CAACCATGGTGCAAGGATCATTGAAGAAAATCGGTTCCACCGGCCCTGGCAGGAAGTAAGTGCCACTCGCAGACACAAAACCAAAATCACCACAGACGACAATCCAATCCATCCACCCAGGGACATTCACAATTAAACAATGAAACTAACATATCTCTTCACCAGGCCCGCCAAGACAACAAGACCCGGTGTCCGCTCCGTCGCGCCCAAGAAGGCCGGCCTGATCAAGCAGAAGAAACTGACCAAGGTACGCAACCGATTCGCTTCTTGTCTCTGTTTCCTGGATGCAGACTGCAATATGTGTCCTGCAAGATAACAAGAACAAGGCCAAAAGGAAAACACCACTAACACCGCTCTAGCAACTCACATCCGGCCTCGTCTCAATGACAGAACGCAGTCTGGCGACAAAGGCAGGCCATCTCGAGCTGCTTGCTGGTGGAAAGAAGGATCGTCTGCAGAAGGAGCGTAATGCGGCTCGCAAGGATGGAACTTTGGCTCGTAAGGAGGGTTCGAATTCTGGACCTAAGAAGGCTTGAAGTGTGGGGAATTTAATGGATTGAGATGTTTTTTTTGTCTATTTAGTTCCATTTTTAGTTGCAGTTCGTCTATCTAGAGCTCTTTATATGAGTGCATGAAATCGATACCCAGTTTCTATTGTCTTTGTTTTGTTTGAGTGGTCTATATCTATGATAGAGGGTAGGTAAGTAGACAGACAGGCAGGTAAATACATATGTAGGCAGCATGAGATGGATGCAAGATGAAGTAAAGAATAAAAGCAGTGTATATATTGATAAGTAGTAATCCCATGTACAAATCTTGAAAAAAAAAAATCAGTTGAAGAGAACAACATGCGCGAAATCATCAAATCATAAGGCAGATCTTGTATGTAAAAGTCATGATGCATCCAATAGAAACAAAGAAAAGAAATCTCGAAAAGGAAATAAACGAACAAAAAGAAAGGGTATCTATAATTCGAACTCCAATGCCATTACCATCCAAACCATATTCATCTCAGTTTCGAGATGCGGCTCGGAACACCAGCCTGCTCAATCAAGTCCTGGCCACGCTCCATCCAACTGTGGAAGCCTCCATCACTGGAGTCTGAAGGAAAATCATCCCAGACGGCATTCTCCGAGTCCGCATAGGTCGACCAGATGCCCTTGGGGACATCGGCCGCCGACCAGGAGGGCAGCTTCGCCAACACACAGGTGTAATAGACGTAGAGGATGCGGCAGAGCAGCTCGACGCGGTCGACGTAGTGCTGCTGGGTGGGATCGGGGTTCTGGCCGCCGTCGCCGAGCCGCTTCCACCAGCTCACGCGCCAGCGCAGGGTTAGCAGGATGTGGCCGAGTTCGCCGAGGAAGCGTACGTGCGTCTCGTGGGAGATCTGCTTCCATTTAATGTTGTAGAAGTCGCGCTCAAGCTTGCGGAAGCCTTCGACTTCGAGCATGCGGCAGAAGATCCGGGAGAGTTGAGCTGCCAGGAGGATCTCGCGTTGGTCTTCTGGGTTGTTTATGTCCATTGTTCGTTCTTCGCCTGCTGGGTCGAGGGATACGAAGCTGTATTTGGCGCGGCTGGGCATGTTGTTCCACTGGGAGAGGAGAGTCTGGGGGTGGTCAGTTTTTATGCTTCTGGGAGATGAGACAGTGGACACTCACATATGCTTGGTTCATTGGGTCGCAGTCGCTAACACAGGACAGCCAGTTCTTGGACTTGTCCTTTGAGTCGACAATTCGACGATCGATGAACTCGATGAAAGTGGACTTCGAGTTGCCATTGTACTCACTCAGGGTCTTCAGGAACTTGTACGTCTCTCCTAGATCGAGAACATACAGAGAGCCCCAGGCCTGGCTAGCGCGGATGTTGAACCGCCCCTGGCGCTCGGCGAGCAAAGACAAGAGTTGACTGAGGTCAAATTCGGATGGAATCTCCATCCGGACTCGGTTGGAACCATCAATGGTAGGGTGGTTGACAGCTCGTTGAGCTAGATAGGGTCAGTCAATTTGAACAACCTATTGGGGGGTTTGATTGGTGCTTACAGATGTAGTTGCAGGTTCCGAACTCGACAATGCTGGAGAAGCATGCACGAGCGCATGGTTGTTCATGAAGTGTAGGGCGACAAGCATCGCAAGGGGCGCTTCCGTCACACTGCAAACAGGTTAGCTTTGTGAATATACAAAATTTAGATGGAAATCCTTACCTTGCGCTTGTTCAGTCGACACTGGACACAGGTATCCTTGTTTTTCCTGCGCAGGCCAGCATTGGCCCGTCCAACCATACTCAATGGACCCTTGCGGCGAGCGCCACGTGGGGGCGAGACAAAGTCCGCAGACGCAATGGAGCCGCCTTGGCCATCCTCCTGGACAATTTGCAAGGGTCTTGCGATGCCCTGCTCCAACGAAGCAGGATTTCTAGCCTTGCGCTTCTTGACTGTAGCCGAGGACTGCATGGCAAGTGCTGCCGGTCGACCGGCACGCTGGCCAGCACTCGACGAAGCTCTCGACCTTGAGGGAACAGTGGAGACTAGAGATTCCGCGGGGGTCTCACTCACCATGAAGGCAGTGGTCTTGAATGCAGGCTGCGACCCCTCCGGCGAACTGGATTCATGCGGCGAGGTCTTCCACTGGACATCGTCGTCTTCCAACTGACGGTCAGTAAATGCCGGGGCTTCGTCACTAGTAGCGGAGTAGGAACACTCGTATATTCCCGACAAATCGCCGGACACTGAAGAGTTTTCAGATTTGAATTGGAACTCCTGTCCCATTTGTGCATTTAGCCGGCCAGAAGTTTGGGAGAGTGGTGCGATCTGTTGGGTTGGCAGTTGGGATTCCAGACTATTAAGCCATCGCGATTCCAGCGATCTGATAGAAGTCTGGAACTCCCGCAGGGAGTGATCCTTGGGGCTATCCTGTGCGCTCAATGAGAGTGACATGGACTCTTGCGGTGGAGGCATATTGTCCACGGAAATGCCGTGTTGGATTTCAGTCCACTGCTCGGAGATCATGGGGAAGGACTGGGGAATCTGCTGGAACGACATGATGCCCTCTGCGGGAGCATCCGAGAAACCACCACGACGAATCTCACCAACATCATCGACAATGATGGCGCCATTCGAGTGGCCGGGTCCTTTCGCGTAGGGGTAGAGCAAAGATGCATCCATTGGCATGCTCACTGAGTTGTATAACTGGAAGTGTGGCCAAGCCTCGTCGGAATGGAAATTCTCATCGGCGGAAGATGGGATAGTGTTAGGGCTGAGAGTGCCACTGCCAGTGCCCTCGACAAGGCCATCGGCGTAGTTCAAGTTCTCGGGTGCTACATCATGCTTTCTGCAACAAAAAAAACCCAAGTGTCAGCCACGCCAAGATCGCGCTTCACGGTATCAGATCAGGGAGGAGATTCCAGACCTGTTCTCCAGCTGGTGAAATTCACTGGTCAAGGGACCATGGAAGGTGCCCAAGTCCGCGATATCCGCATCGCACTGGCTCGATTCCTGACTGGTGTCCCACTCGGGGGGTTGATCATAACCTAGATGTTCCCATGAAGCGACAGAAAAGGCGCCTTCACTTTGCCAATTGTCTAATATTTTGGGGTCGATCCCCGCAGCGGTCCCAGTACTTCCACAGTCCATACAGGATGAGAGGGAAGGTTGCGGCGACAACCTAGGTGAGCAAAGATCCCAAAAAGACGTGCTTTTTGAGACTTTGCAGGTACAGGTGGGGTCGGGGCAGAATGGAGTGATGTAGGCAAGGGGCGAGGATGTCTCGAAATGTCGAAGTATCGAATAGATATATAACAGTGATGTTGAAGAGGAGAGAGTTGAGGGGCCAGAAGATTGTTGAAAGGCTGACGGGATTCCCCACCTCAAGATTTTCTGCGATCGTCTCTAGCGTGCTGCCGGCACAGACCAATTCAGGATTTTGTTTACAACATATGATGAATAGATGGATTAAAATCAGTTTGTATCCCAATTAAATATAGTTGAAATATAGGAACTATCAAGGCCATATACCCTCTATATATTTTGAATACTGTTATGTCGATCTTTTCTAAGGAAGCCAAGTAGATAATGTCAGAGATTCCCAATTGTCCGCGGCACCTGGGTGCCATCTAAGGCTGTGAATGGTCCAAAGGAGAGAGTTTTCATGCACAAAATAGGACAACACACCGTCCCGTCTCTTGCAAAAAAAAGAAAAAAAGACCGAACCGTGCCAAGCGCCCAGAGATTTCCCAGACCTTGTTATACCGTGTAGGTCGTAGCACCTGAATGTAAGCACTCGGCATTGATTACCTCATCCTTCCCTTTTGGGCTTTAGACTTTCTGACTATAAAAAGAGCCAGGAGAGAAGCTTGGAAGTATAAGATCTATATAGAACGGTAGCTTATGGATTAGGATCTGGTACTTATATATATATATATATATATATACACACTTAATATATATCTTCTAAACTACAGATCACCTCTATGTAGATACTAAGATACTCCAGGCGGTAAATTTGAAGCATTTACAATCAATTATATATTCCGTAGACTATTAACATCTTACATGATTTCCAAGATTAGCCTATTGATCCCGGCTTATATAGTAAACAATATATCCAATCCTTCTAGGCACTACCAACATATATATAGAAGATAAGTCAGTATATCCGAAACAAAACCGAATTTGTTCACCGCAAACTGCATTCGGCCCTACCATTACCGTCCCCGCAGCCTGAATCTTCAAACCCCAATGCCCCGGTGTGTGATTCGGTGAGGCCAATGGCTCTTTCCTTACCCTGACTCCCCCAGGTATAAGTGTCCTGCACCCCGAATATCCCCGGGATGCAGAATATTTCTTTCTGTTTCTTGTTCTCTGATAAAAAAAAAGTTCCAGAAAAGAACCAAAAAACCCCTCCGTTCAAACCGCCACCGGGGCACCTCCACCGAGTCAAAATCTAAATCCAGATCGATTCTCGAATATCACTTAACGCCCTTGGCGCTGCCTAATCCCGCCCATCATGCACATCCTGGTAAGTGAGATCATCGGCGAATTTCTTTTCTTTTTTTCCCCTGGAAAATGTATAGACGCCATTTCCTGCAAGGATTTGCTTTTATAGATCCGCCATACATCCTCACCGGCGATATCATCGCCACCCGACATCCACCTTTATCTCATTTTCTTCCATCTTCCCAAACCCCATAGCAATACGTTGCACAACGTAGATAGATATAAAAAAGCAAAAACGAAAAAAAAAAAAAAAAAAAACTTGAGGCAAATAAGCTAACAACCCAAAAATAGGTCGTTAACGACGATGGTCCCCCAAGCACCAAGCTCTCACCATACCTTCGCCCGCTAGTCAAAACCCTGGAAGCAAACGGCCACCAGGTCTCCGTAGCAATCCCAGCATCCTCACGTTCCTGGATCGGCAAAGCCCACATAATCGAAGCCTCCCTAACAGCCAGCTACGTGCACCCAGACGCGTTCCGAGCCGACGGCAGCTGGGACGAGAGCTTCGAATCCCCAGACCCTTCCAACGACTGGGTTGTGATTCGCAATGGCACACCGGCCAGCTGCGCACAGCTAGGTCTGTACAACCTATTCAGCGAGCGTGCACCGGTCGACCTCGTCATCTCGGGCCCGAACCACGGCCGCAATGCCTCCACCATCTACAATCTGTCCTCGGGGACTGTAGGCGGTGCGCTGGAGGCGGTGTTCTGTGGTAAGCGCAGTATTGCTATCTCGTTTGGTAGCAAGGATCCACAGCCCGATGATATTATCGCCGCTGCGGCGAGACTGGCTGTTAGAGTTGTGTGGCATCTGTATGAGAATTGGGATGATCGGGTTGAGCTTTATAATATCAATATTCCCATGTGTCTTGATGTTGAGGAGAGGCCTGTGCTTTATACGCGCACGTTGCCATATTATTGGTCGAGGGGGTGTTTGTATGCTGAGAAGGGGGCGGGGAAGAAGGTTAATGGTGTGAATGGTGTGAATGGTATGAACGGTGTTTATGTCAATGGCGAGACCAATGGCATAAATGGCGAAGCGAATGGCACAAATGGAACGAATGGCATTAACGGCACGGCTGTTAATGGACATGCATCTGCGCCCCGACAGCGCCAGTTTAAGTGGTCCGCTGATTTATCGGACATGAAGAAAAGGTTGCAGGAGAGTGAAGTGGGCACGGATGCTCATACCGTGCTTAATGGGTCAACCAGGTAAGACATTGGTCCATTTTTTTTTGGCGCCGCGCCGGAAACCAGATATGCTAATGCTGTGTCTAGTGTGACTGCGCTCCGAGCCAATTTCTGGCATGTCCCCGGTCTTGAAGGGCCGCTGAACATTGATTGTTGAATGGTTTCTTTGAACAGACTCTGAATGCTTTGGATGATCCCTACGATACCCGCAATGGTTTTCGAAAAGTGCATAATATGGTGATTTATAGGAAGACCGGTCCGTTTTGTACATATACGGGAATTGCATACACGATTTTTTCTTTTGTTTTGTTGCAAGTGATTTCAATGATCGTCATTTGCTGTTATTCTTACCAGACAAGCCTGGCGTAATGAAATAAAATAGAAATAGAAATAGCTAGTGCAGGTGCAAGTGCAACCAATCTGAGCGGGTGTATCACATAAACAACAGATGCTGAATTAAGAGCGTCAGCTCTTGAGCTCGGTATAAAAGATCACACGGTCCTACGGTCCTAGAGCGCACGCGCAGCTTCGCCTGCGCCGCTATCCACAGTCGATACCTGCTCAGCTCGCATCTTACCCTTGCCGATGCCTCCCTCACCGACGCCCATTCGCCGAGCGACGTACCGCTGAGCGATAATACCAGTGGTCAGCGAGAGAGTTTCCTCGATCCACTCCGAAACCCACTCGCGGGGATCGACACCTCCACTTTCGATGACCTCAGCGATGGCCTCGGGCACCACAACACGCTGAGCATTTGCATCGTCGGAATCGGGGTTCTCGGGAGCTGGCACTGAAGTATCGAGCCATTCGATCCATGCCTGCGGGATACTCTGAGAGATGGCGTGGAAGGCGATGCCATGGATGGGATCGTGTAGGTACAGTGCGAAGAAGATCTCCTCTTCTTGCGTATCAGCTTCCACGGCTCCTTCGGTAGCCTTCTCGCCTGTCGCGCCTGCCTGGAAGAGATCCTTTGAAGTAGTCTGGCTGATAGCCTGGATAGCCAAGAAGATATCACTGCTGCGGACTGGGTTCGATTCACTCAGGACTTCCGAAGCGTGCTTCGCGGCCTCTTCGACTCCGCCACGGGACGAGAAATACTCGGTAGCGTAGGATTCGGCGCTGACACGAGCGAGCTTGGAGCCTTCCACGGCACCTCGCACGGAAGAGATGCTTCGCGGTTGTCCAGGTGTGACCGTTCGCCACCAGGGCCCGTCGTTCCAGCCAGCACTGCTCATATAGCCGGTAACATCGATCCCACGCTTTGGGGATGACTCCTGGCCTCGCTGGATCACCAACAGCTCTCCGCCTTCGACTTGGGACATCACTCGCGAGAATACTGCATAGACTAGCGGGTCGATGCCCGGGTAGCCGGACATATCGTGAGTCACATGAATTTGTAGACGTTCATGCGAAGAAATAGGGGGGGCGAGGGTGTGGATGAGGTTGGTGAATGTCGGGATTGCCCTGTTTCGAAGCTCGCCGCCTGCGTGCGACTGTTAGCTCAATCTGCATGTAGGAGAGCATACTTTGAGTAGGAGGATCCGTACCAAGATCACGGAGCGCTCCAACATTGCCCTTGACCTGCTGAGCCCACTTCTGAGCCTCCTCGTTATTCTGAATCTCTTTGACAGCTGCCTCGGCCTGCTTCATAGCCGCAGTGGCAGTTGCGAACAGCCCTCCTGACCATCCACCCCACCAGCCCGCACCCTCCTGTGGTGTTTGCTGTGCGGGGACCTTCTCGGGCTCAGCCTTGGGCTGTTCTGGCTTGGTCTCTGGGCGTGGAGACCGGCCTGTCTCCTCAGACTGGCGGACCGGCGCCTTGTCCTCGGTCGGTCGGTCGATGGTCGCGCTCGGGCGGGGAGATCTTGTCGATGACCTGGTCTTATCGGTCGACAGGCGCGGGGTACCTGGTCCGCTGGCTGGACGTTGTGTGGCTAAGTGGTCCAGCTCGGCCAGGATGTCCTCCTGCCCACCTTGGGCATTGTCAGATGCTGCGATAGGTTTAGATGTTTTGTTTCCTTCTTTACCGAGACCGAGGTCGTCAAACTGAGCTAAAAGCTCGTCACTGGTGGGTTTAGGGGCCTTTGGAGGCATGTTTGTTTGGGGGAACAATGTTCAGGAGAGGTGACGACACCTTGGGAGCTTCCGACCTTGTGGAGATCATGTGCCAAGACAAACAACGCTGCATATGCTTAATGAAAGTCAAATTTATTTAAACAGACTCTGAGAACTTGAAGACAAAGCTATATTTCTATGATTCGAATAGTTCATTCAATTCCTAGGGGAAATATAAGCCTTGGACCTATTGGACGTTGGACTAGCCTTGAATTTAAATGTGTCACCCCGCACAGTATAGAGTACGGAGTATCCTTGTATACTTGGTACAATGTCAACTACCATCGATTCTTCACGTTTTCTCTTCGCAAGTCCATACTATCTGGAATTTCAAGCTAAATCACACCAAATCCTGCGGAACACGGAAGCGCAAACCCGACTACCGCGGCTTTGACTATCGGGTCCATATGGACCCGCGCGGGGTTGCCGATAAATAGTTGCCCATTTCCCGCCGTATAGAGCCCAGTTCCGGCTTTCCTACAACAAAGAGTATCTTGCAGCTTTGAACCAGGTATGGGATACTTGCCTCTCACCCAAAGCAGCTGTATGCTCCAAAACACAGTATATGTAGTCACATACCAACTAACATCAAACCCCAGACCCCGGATTCCACTCAAATCCAACAATTGAACAAACCAACTTGCAATTAAAATCATCTACAGTCCTTGTATACCACCCACCATGCGTCTCCCATACGTTGCAGATCCTCCAGCAACTAGCACACCGGATGAAGCCAGAATCCTAGCTAGTGTCCAAGCCCGCCGGGCCCCAAACCCTCTCCTCCCCCTCGACCTAGCCCTCCTACACTCCTACCCAGTCACAGAAGGCTGGAACTCATTTATCGGCGCAATCCGCACCCGAACCACCCTCTCAACCGTCGTTCGCGAACTAGCCATCTGCCGCGTCGCAGTGGTCAACGGCGCCCTGTTCGAGTGGGAACAGCATGCACCTCTGCTTGAAGAAGGTGGATTGAGCGCAGAGGCGCTGAAGTTTATTGGAGATGCTCAGGCAGACTTCTCGAATGAGGCTGCGTCGTCGGTCTTGAGTGCTGATCAGAGGGCTGTGCTGAAGTATACCGATGCTATGACTAAAACGGTCACAGTGCCTGATGAGATTTTTGCGGAGCTGAAGGGGTGCTTTAATGAACGGGAGGTCGTTGAGATTACCGCTACGATTGCGGCTTATAATTGTGTTAGTCGCTTTTTGGTGGCTTTGGATGTTGGCGAGAAGAACCACCTGCACTGAGTTGAGGGGGTTGCAAGCCTTCCGGCAAAATATACTGGGTCTAGAAAAGAGCTATTGACATTAGCACGGTAGCAGAATCAGAACGGTTGGCCTCTTCAGTTAAGGCAAGAAAAATCAAGAAGCTAGTGAAGTCAGCACCGTCAGACAAGTCGAGCCCTCGAGTCCGGGTGAGACAGATCATGGAGCCGGTTAAGCCAATCAAGTGTACAGCACCACAACCATCGACCGTACCAGAAATGCAATATGTTATATATATATGTTGGCTGCTCCAGTCCCTTGGGTCAGAAGAAACCATAGGCGAGTCCAGTCAGCCGAGTCAACAGCGTCAGAAGAATCGACTACAACTGCATCAGATCAGTCGGAGAAACCAGACCTCAATTTGCGAGATCTCAGCAATCGCCTTCCGAGACTGAGATTGAATAAGACCACTCTTCCATTTGACTTTCTATGCCCTTTGGATAGTGAAGACCATCCTATTATGGGCTTCTTGCACTGGCACTGTTTGGAAATACTGGAGTTTATGGATATGCTGCCCTGGCTTATTTCTGGTAAGGAATATCTGGATGAAGTGAAGATTGACTCTTTGCATTTGAGTATATGTTCTGCGGTGCTTCCAAAGTGACCACCAAAAGAGCCTATCTAGCTTGAGTTCCTTGGGCTTGCAAAATTGACATTTTGCTCTCCCAACCTCCAAAGAGAAGCATTTTATAAAAGCTATCATACAGAAGATCCAAATTTACTTTCCGAGATGTATGGTTTCAATAGGGCCACCTAAGCGCAAAGCAAGAATAAGCAATAATTCATAAATGGCAACCCCTCCGAAGCTCTAGTGCAATCCAAGTTTAAATTGGCAGATCAGCTGGAAATACACTGTGCTTAGGATACTGGTAGTATGGTCCACGGTTGCTAAGGATGATTCTGACGGGATACAATATAAGCTGGGCCACAATCCACTGCAGTCTCTACCAAGAGTTGCTCACTATAAATAGAGCAGATTGAAGGTGACTCTATACTTGATGGCAGAGGTTGAGGTTGGGTGGTGCGGTTTGTAATAGCTTCTAGTGACTCGAAATACCCCTGTAAATACCCATCCACCAAACTTCCCGATCACTCATCTTTTTCAATTTACACAAACGGTGCACCATGACTAAGTTGGATCTTTTTGTAGCCACTCGTGCCAGCCAGGCTGCACTGCTACCCGTGGTCTTGATTGCGTCCTTCATTAATGAGGCCCACCCGTTAGTAACTCCCTAGGAGGTCCATCTATGGATGGGACCTTGAGCCTACGTATATACATACAAGCTAACCATACCTTAGAATTCCAATCATCAAGATCAATTTTGAGGACACTGCCCTGCTCACTAGGGATGAGAAGTCAATCATCCACTTTCAGACAGGTGACAAGTCTGTTGCTGGCACTATACCCATCATCCAGGAGCTGTGTGCGCAGTTCCCTTTTCTTGTGGGCAAGTTGTGGACAAGAATGCTAGAGTGGTGAGCTGTCACATCGTCGATATACGCTTTACAAGTCAACAAGCTCCTGAGGTCTAATACAAATGTTTCATCTAGGAGAATAAGTGGATCTCTCAACTAGATTCCTATGACACCTTGGAATTCAAGGCCCTTGACCCGATGCTCCAGGTTAGAAGAATCTATACACAACATTAGACTCGTCTAACATGTCTATAAAGCATATTGATACTCACCTGCTCCTCCAATCTTTCCTATCGGGTTATTCTCTTTCGACACCGGATATTGCACTATGGGGTGCCATTCGCGGAAAGCGTGTCGCTGTCGCCGCTCTCAAAAGGGATACTCTCGTCAATCTGACCCGCTGGTACAAGTTACTTGAGGAGCTGTGCCCTTGGGCCACATCGGCCGTTGAATCTTTGAATGCTACTTCTCGTGAGAAGAAGCTTGCTAAGTCCAAAGATAATGCCAGCTACGATATTTTCCTGAAGGTAGGCATTTGAAGAAGACCGATACGTGGTATTCATGGCTAATCATGTGGAATTTTCAAGAATACCGAGAATGGCGTCGTTACTAGATTCCTCCCAAAGCCTTCGTACGTTCTCTTGCTGCTGGCACATTTCTTTACAAAATTGGTCTAGTGAATACCTTCCTATCGGACATGTTAAAGCCGTTCTTTTGGTTCGCTTCCCACCTTTTTCTCTATGACTCGCAGGCTAACTTGAAAATTCGTCTAGAACGATTACTTTGCCACTCGGTTCTATGTCCTACCTACTCGCGGAAATGATATCATACTATCGACTACTTTTTAATAGACGTGAAAAATAGCGACACCCTTATACTTCGGTTCGTCTATATGGTATAAACTGATAAAGACAGAGCCTTACTCCATTTTTAGATTCGATGATACCAACCCGTCGAACGAGAAGCAGGAGTTTGAAGATGTCATCGTGGAAGATTTTGCATTGATGGGTCCGTCCCCTTTGTGTTTCAAAATCGGAAGTACTAACGGCTATACACAGACATTCAGCCCGACAAAGTCAGCTATACTAGCGACTACTTTGGCCAACTCTACGAATATTGTCTTCAAGCTATCAAATCTGGAAAGGCTTATGCAGATGACATTGGCAAGGAGACCATGGAGAACCAGCGGTGGGATGGCCTACGGTGGTGTATTCGTGCTAAGATATCCTTCGATGACAATAACACGGCTCTTCGAGACCCTGTAATCTACCAATGCAATCCTTCTACTCATCACCGTACAGGTGATGCCTGGGTTATCTATCCTACGTACGACTTTGCTTGTCCCATTGTAGACTCGATGGAGGGTGTTACCCATGCATTGAGAACTATCGAATACAGAGACCGGAATGCGCAGTACCAGTGGATATTCGATGCTCTGAGCTTCCATGCTGTGCAGGTCTGTGTCAAGCAGGGTACGTCTAAGAATGTGACCTGGCAGTCCAATGAGGGTCAAACTCTGGTCCCCGTCGAGCTATTCGACTTTAACTACCTGCTTAAGAAGGACTCGCTGAGTGAGTGTGATATCCTCGATGATTTTCTCGACTTTAATAAAGAGTTTCGTGTGAGTGCGCTGGCCGACCGCAATATCTCCGAGGTCAATGTTGACGACATCCTGCAATTTGACCGTAGGATTGGGTTCTGCTCCTGGTATGCCGTGCGTCTTCTTCAACATCCCTACCGGAAAGCAGAAGTAGACGTACAATAATCTTGGAACCTAGTGAAGCATGAACAGAATGACGCACAGATATGATGCGGTTGGAATAGAGACGATAGCTTGGATAAAATAGCGCCCAATGAGACAAGCGTGCACTTTAATGTTCTTTGTAATCATGTCCGTAACAACATATATCACATATACTCCGAGTTTCTTAGGAATACACTCGCCATGAATAAAGCCAATCAGTTTGTCGGTTTCTATAGAGTCAAGACCTATCTTGATGATATAAATCTGAATTCTGAGGTGAGTGGCATGAAACTTGGTAAATTGATAGCCTTAACTAAACGGACTCACTTCGAGCTGTACTACTAAGGGCTTTCTTTATTTGGTTATCTGGAGAGACAGAAAAATAAAAAATTACACTAAACGTGGAAGTTATGGATCAACCACATCTTTCGATGCATAAATCTTGGTGATCGATGTGCAGATGCTTGTCATCATGCATGTCAGACACGATTGACACTTGGGCAATGCATTTTATTGGATAGTATTAAGTCACATCAATGTCGGACTTTTATTCATCCATAAACACTGCTTTTGTGCGATACTGCGACAATTCTTGTATATATGTATAGTCCCTGCAGTATGTCGTATGTTTCTAAGCACTTTGTACCACCATCCACGTACCCGTGGACCTGCCATTATGCTTGTTTGTAATATTCACTACCATTTTTGCTGGACTATGAGCAATTTCCAGCACAAGGTTCCTACCTTATTGTTGATGCTTTTCCTCGGAGCAATTGGCTCTGTCAACTTATACTTCAAAAGGAAAAGCCATGAACTAGTCCTAGTTTGTCTTCCCCCCCTTTTTTTCTATATTATATTATGCTCCATATTAAGAGGCCAATCTCTACAATATATGATATTGCCCAAAGAGGCCTAGAATGCTAGAAATTCTTCTAGTGTGACCTCCGCATTTTCATGGGGTCTACCTAAGGCAACCTCGGGACCCACTTGTGGACTTCATATTTCCTACTGGAGCTTTTTCGACTGCCGCTTTAATGGGCACCATCAGTAGCTATAGCCCATTTGGAGAGCAAATGCTTATATTCTTATGTCGTAGAAAGAGATCTAGCTGACGGGCCTTCAAAATTACAGATAGTAATAAAAATAGGGATATACAAATTACATATACATTTCCAACCCCAGAGATCCGGTGCCTTATATATTGATTTAATATACTAATTTCATCGATGGGTAAGAATTGTCATTATCTGTGGGAAATGCTCGATATGTTGCCCTTTACGCACAGTTGAGTCCGTATTACTCGTGTAATAATATGACATGATGAGTCCCGAAACCTGGGAGGTGGATTTCCCCCCTTCGATGACATCCACTATGGCGGGCGCTAGGAATGAATTGTAGGGTCCGTCATACTTCTCGCCACTTCCTTAGCAGCTGTAGTGCTTTGTATATCTCTTCAGTAAAGCGGCGGGAAGAGCACCAAATCCGGAAATAGACAACAACTAGATCGAGACTTGATCGTTGATGTTCGTTTTTATAAATTCCTTTCTTATTTCAATTGTTCTTGAATTAGTTAAGCTACAGCATTTGTAGACGAGCGTTGTGTCTGACTAGTAGATTGTTGTTGAGATAAACGCTGTGAAGAAAACATTAAAAAATTGAGATAAATCTACACTCGATACGTACAGGATGCGCGCTACGATGAATGCGACAGCCTAGCAACCCAGCCAATCAAACTATCGTTGCGATAATAATTGTGAAGGTGTGAATATAAAATCTATTATCAACATCCGGCATGGGATTTCTATCCAACAAGTCCCGGATTGTTGGAATGTATCGCTTAGGCGAAGGTGACATGAGTGGCGATTCTTGCTGGTGGCGAAGCGGTTGGTAAAGTACGGTTTTCCTTGGAGAATAGCTTAAATACAATGCTATAGACTATAGGAAGATTGAAGCCGAACAGTTTGCTTCGGTATCTATAGCTGGGTTGAGGTTCCCATGGTGCCCAGGTGCTGTCCCTACTTGTGACTTGGTGTACGGGAAGGTCTATATGCACAATTTATCTTATATGTTCTTTATGCTATAGGTAGACATAATCTAGTAAAAGGTGACAATGTGTATTCTAGTTGATATATCCCAGCCGGAACGAGGCGTCAGCTCATCCATTCCTTGCGACACAAATGCATCGGAAGGACCCAGCGTAGTCACTCACGGATATGTAGGTAACTAACTATTAACTGGGTATTACCTAAGTACAATCCAAATATCTGGCGTGTAATTTCTAGTCACTTGCCTGTAACTTGCTCATCGAGTATGGATATAAGTAGTCAAGTCCATGAGACGGCCCACCGAAGTTTCTTTGGAATCAAGCGCGTAGAGTTTGGTCTCCCGGGTATCCCTAAGGCTTTGATCTAACTTACAGCTATCTATATCAATAGCCAGCTACGGAAGAGACACGCTATTGTTCTACTCTAAAATCACATATCATGTGACGTCTGTTGTAAAGGGCTTGAAAGTCTGTAAAAGAGTAGATATCAATAGATGAATAAAGATCAATAGAAAATTAAAGATCAATACAATGCAGAGAATCAATAAAATCCTCAATCAATAGTGATCAATCCAAATCAAAAGCCCCCCTTTCCTCAATGTCGTTCAATGTGGCTAGTAGATAAGGGGCCTCTGATTGGTCGGGCCAGGACGGGGTTTCCACTGCCTATGAAACTACAAAACTATCTCTCTCTCAACCTCAATCTCTTCTCAACTGCATCATCCTAAACCCATTTCCCCTTCCGATTTATTTTCTTCTTCTGTACTCTTTTCATTCTGTAATCTCATCCCATCTACTGCCTTTGTTTTCGTGTCTTCTTCTTTGCGCAGTGTCGCGTCTCCCAAGATCATTTTTTTCTTCATACTACCCGGCGACGCAAGATCTGCGCGCCAAACACAAGTTTGCGGCGTATTTTCTTTTTGACATCTGCTCTATTTCACCTGTCTCCTAAATCTCATCCTCTCTCCATCTCCTCTCATCCCACTTCTCTTTGTGTCCTAATACGTGGACTGTCACCTACCCAGCCTTCCCAAGGTTCTCTCCAGTCAGATAGTAAGTACACATCCCTGGCAGCCACTTATGTCCACCCTGTACCCTTCTTTACAGAGCTAACAGCCAGCAGTCATTGGCTGTGACTCGTGTCTCCTACAAGGATTTGACTTGACTTTCAAACATCTCATGGTAAGTGTCGCGTCTTTTCCACTTTTTTCTTGTATGGCACAGTTTCGCAGTACTTCCGACGGTCAGATCTTGATCCATGTATTTTTGCCCGACCGTGTCTTATGTTTCATCCTTTTCTTGTCGCATGTTACATGTCGCGTTCACTTGGTTTACAATGTCTTGAGACTCTTGTGTTCGCGCTGGGCTATGTTTCGCGCCTTTACCTTGGAAACCACGGAACTGCGCTGCGATTTACTGGCGTCTTGGCACCCGCAAGCGAACCAACGCTGACCATCTATACAGATTCTTCCTTGACATTTTTCATTCTCCATTTGAGACTTCTATTTTTTTCCCTTCTTTTTCTTGTTTATTCAAATATTCATACCCCTCTTGTTCCTTTTTTTCACTTTCCTCTGTCCATTTCCGCCAAAATGGCCCCCATCCCAAGGGCCGATTTGGACGGGGACAATCCTTCTTCAGATATTGGTGACAGCCAGGACTCCCCGCTACGTCGTCAATTTTCTGAACCCTTCCGTCCCCAATCTACTTCTACCCAAATCTCTCAGTCCCCAGAGCCCTTGCCTCGACGACTCAAGTGCGACTGGTGTGGGAAGCTTTTGATGCTCCCAAATGACGCAGACATCTCCGAAGAAGATATTCTGAATGATCATATCAATGAAGCTCATCCGAAATCTATTAGCTTCTCTGGGTATGATGGTGCCGATGACACTTACGACGAGAATGGCGATCTCCAAGATGACGACGCCATTGAACAAGACGAGCCCATAGCTCAAGCTGCCAAGCCCGAAGATGTCGAGGCCCAGGACGAAGAAGGTGAAGATATCGCAGTGGAAATGACCACTGATGATAACAATGGCACCCAGCCAACCGACATCCCAGTCAATGTCAGCTATATGCCCGAAACGAAACGCGATCTGTTGGACTGGCTTTCCAACCCACGTACTGGATATCCCGAGGAGTATCGCCTCCGCGACGCCCGATGGCGACGACCAGATGTGAAAAAGCGCCTTGAACGCTTCTGGAAAGTCAATGATACCAACAAATTCTCCCCCAACTACGACCAGGAAGCCGCCAAGTGTGAATCAGCTTGGGACAATGCTTTCCATGACCCTTCTAAGTCCAGGAAGCGTGACGCTCCTGAACCAGCTCCTCATCCTCTTCCTTACAAAAAGCCTAAGGTCGACAAAGGCCAGTTCCTCGAAGTACAAGTTCAGGAAATGGACGATCTCGTCAGCATGCTCCGAACCCCCGAAAAATACACACCTGAAGAACTCTACGTACTCACACAGACCGCCGCCTTTGCTTTGAAAACATTTCAAGATGAATACCTGGCCCTCGACGACCTTTATCTCAAGGCGCACCGACACAAGCGGGATGAACCCTCATATCAAGCAAAGCGACATTCAATGCAGGGTCACAAGAAAAAGGGTGGAGCCCCTCTGGCTCGCCTCAATGAGGACAAGCTTGACTTCGAGGATAAGAAAGAAGCAATGCTTTATGGTTACAAACACAACTATTTCCCAGGAAACACACCACTTGTGCCCATCCGCACACTACAGGATCCATTTGTGCAAGGAGGCTTTGTCCCAACTCCTGCGCAAGCTAGAAAGATGCTTGCCAAGAGCAAGGAGAGTGGTGATCTTAACCCTGATGGGTGGGCTACGATGAAGAAACATGGCCTTGAATACCACGCTCAGATGTATGAACCTCGACGCGAGCCACTTGTGCCGAAGGTCACTCGGAAACGCAAGGCCGCGGAGATCGAAGTACCAATCAAAACGACCGATACAGAAGAAACTCAAAATGAAAGTGCGGATGCCGATGAAACCGATGAAGATAACCACCCGGCAAAGCGACGCACTCGAGGCCGCGGCGGCAAAACTGTCGTTGCCGAATCAACTCACTCTGATACTAACTCTCGCCGAGGCCCTGGCCCTAGCCGTGGCCGTGGCCGCGGACGTGGCCGTGGGATTGGTCGCCTTGGTTCCTCTCGGGCTACCTTCGAAGTCACCCCTGCCCCAACCCAACCCTCATCTCGGGGTAGGGGTCGACGTGGCGCTAGCAGCCTGGCCTCCTCATCAATCCCCCCAGCAGAGACCTCCTTCCCGGCCGTCGAACCGACGGCCACCGCAAGCCCTGTCGACTCCACCCCGGCGTCGGCCAAGAAGGAGGCTCTCTCTGCTGAAGCGATCGAGGAGGCCAGGCGGCAGAAGATCGCCAATTCGAAGAACCCAAAGAGAACCAAGGCGATGCTCGATCACTGGGACCGGTTCAACCGGGAAGGACGGATCCGCAACCCAAAGCGATCCAAGGCCCAAATCGAGCAGGACCGGACCGTCGACGGCGCCGCCGACGAGGTCCCCAAGCCCACCGGCCACGGCCGCCGCAAGAGATCTCCCTCGCTGGCACCACTTGCTGGCAACCTCGCCCCCAAGGGGCCCACCGGCCTGCCCTCAATGGCAAACGTGCAGGCGCAGCAGCAGCAGCCCATGGCACCCACCCTCCCTCCTATGGGGGTGGTGCCTCACTACGGCCCTGGCCCAGTGAACCCTTTCGCCGCTGCTGCTGCTGCGCCTATGGCGCAACTGGGGCAACCCATGCCGCCCCAGTACGCCCCATTCCCGTACGTCCAGTACCACGGGATGGGTCCCCTCCCGGGTCATAACCCGAGGGACCCACGCCATTGAGGGCAGGCCGGCTTGTCGAGGCAATCCCCAGTTCCCTCTCTCTCACTTTAGCTATTCTTCTAACTTCATGTTTATCTCACTTTTTTTTTACAAGTGAGAGAGAGGGAACTGAGGATTGTCTCGGCACAAACTGATCGTTCGCTGTTTCCTGGCCCACCTCAGAGCCCACCCCAGGGTGTGAAATAGGGTCGCAGGGGTAAATCCTCCCCCGGTTCATCTTGACTGCTTGGTGCACGGCCCTCTTCGTGATTGGGCTGAGCCCGCGATCGATGAACCGGGTTAGAGGTTCCCTGTGGCCTCGGACCTACCTGGGGCGTGGGCCAGGAAACAGCGAATGATCAGATACAGTATTATGAAGCTGCCGGTGCCCTGGCAGTGTCAGGACACACTGCCAGGGCACCGGCATATGTATTCTAGGGCTCAATTCATGTTGTAAAAAAAAAGTTCTTGTCTTTTATCACTAATTTTACTTGGAGATACTAGTTTCCAAGCTTGTAGATTGTATGTAGTTCGTAGTATCTTGGATTTTACCTGGGATTTTGTTCAAGATGGCCAAGAAGGTGTATAAGTCAAAATCACCGCACTGGATTTGTAGTATGGCAGATCATAGTAGGCTTAGCATTATTGTTTAGAAGTAATACAACTAGTAGTAGCCATTCTACTTAACGGGAGTATCAGTATCAGTCAAGGGAGTATCAGTCTAGGAAGACAGGATGGAAATCGATGAGTAAAAATTTCATTTGATCGAATAGAGCATACAAGCACGTTCCGAAATACAACCAAAAAAATTGCAAATTCTTCCCAGTGCTCCAAACACTTTAAATGTTCTTCTATTCACAACTGTATACCTCATCTAGTCACGTGAGCATCACGTGATGAAAGCGTAGCCTCATCATGGCAAGCTTCCGGATCCGCGACTCTTGAGGAAAACTCCCCTCTTCTGCAAAACCCCACACTCCTGCAGTATTCGAATCGCTCCTTGACTGTGTCGACGTTACAATGGGTAAAAAAAGACGTGGTCCCTCCCTCGAGGAGCTCCTTGATCGCCCATGGTGCTATTATTGTGAACGTGACTTTGACGACCTCAAGATCCTCATCTCTCATCAGAAAGCAAAGCATTTTAGATGTGACAACTGCAATCGCAGACTGAATACAGCGGGAGGTAAGTTCCATTTTATCTAGATAAGGTGAGCGTTTATACTGATGGCTTGTGCCGTTAGGTCTATCCGTCCACCTAAGCCAGGTCCACAAAGAGCAATTGACACAGGTCCACAATGCGCTCCCGAACCGCATGGGTGTCGATGTTGAGATCTTCGGCATGGAGGGTATCCCCGCGGATGTTCTCAAGGCCCATCAGCAGCGTGTCGCTTCCCAATTCCAGCAGGCTGAGCTAGATCGCCAGCACGCGACAGGCAACCCTACTTCTGGCGCCTCTTCCGGCCGCCAACCGGCGAAGAAACCCAAGCTCGAGCCTGTCTCAGATCTTAAGAAGCGACTGGCCGAACACAAGGCCAAGCGTGCGGAGGCGCTTGCCGGGGGTAGCAGCGGCGATGTGACACCTTCTAGTGCTGTTCAGTCTACGCCGACATCCGGTGTATACGTGAGTCGTATCTCGCTATTCATTGTGAAATCATATTTAAGAACTAACAATTATTACTAGACTCAATCGCCTCAGATCCCAGCCGCTCAGCCATATTCTTACCCTCAGCCCTACGGTGGGCCCCCTGCCGCTGTGACACCTCATTTCTCGCAGACTGGCAGTCCTGTCTATTCAAGCTATTCTCCAGTTGGTGGACAGCAGGTCCCTGGTGCATCGCCTTACACCCCGTCTGGATATCCCTCGCCATACCCCGTTGGACTTCCTGCGCAGCCACCAGTCTCCTATGGGGCTCCTCCCTTCCACCAGCAACAACCTCCACCCGATAACAGATTTATGGGCCTACCGGCCGCTTCAAACCTTCCCCAGCGTCCTGCTTTTGCTGTCCCTTCAGTGAATGCGCACGAAATGCAAAAGATGCACATGGGACACGTCCCCCCCACCCCTGCAGCTTCGGGTTACTCTAATGGAGATAGCTTCCAATCAACCGAGCATGTCTCCACACCTGTTGACAATCAGATTTCAGGCGCAGCCAATGACATGGCCTCCAAGACAGACGATATCAACAAACCCAAGAAAGAAAAGACCAAGCCCGCGATCCGAATGATTTACAATGACGATACCTTCAGTCCGGAGGAGAAGATGGCGCAGCTACCTCGATATGCATACGTCCCAGACAAAAGCACGCAAACCGCCCTCGGCGAAATTCCCGGTAATGCAATCGTGGGCGCCATTCAAGATTCCGACACGGTGATCGATCCGGCACATTAAGTTCTGCTTTGTTTTTTCCTGCTGCATTTGCAAGTGATGGAGTTACGGAACCCAGCTAAGTCGACACATGAAAAATTTTAGTTACACATGAGCATTCTTCTGGCTGGATATTTGGTTGTCATCAGTGGCCCTGATTCCAAATCCTAGTCTGGCGAGTCCTCCCCCGTCCTACCATCTCTCTCCCTACAACCCCAGAAGACGTTGATGCTGTTTGAGTTCGGTGCTGCGAGATGAAAAGATGTTTTGAAAGACATTGAAGGAGAAAATCGAAAACTCGAAAAAAAAGCCATCAAAAACAAAAAATAATGAAAGAATTGAGAGGCTTCCTTGAGTCACTCGTTCGGGAAAGGGAGGCCCAGGTCTGAGTTACTGGCCCGCGAAAGTCACATCAGACGAGCCTACGTACAGTACGTGCTTCGCCCTTTGATCCTCCCTCCTGACCCTCCACTGGAGGCTTAACCCTGGCCTGGAGGAATCTGTTTGATGTGAATGCCTAGACGGCAAATGATGCCATCTACGGTCGATGTAAGTTTTTAGCGTTTCTCGAGGTAGGAAAACCATATCGGGCGTTTTGACCTGGAATCTCATGGGCTTTTCATTATCTACCAATGCATGTTTGATTTCGGTGATTCTATCTGTACCTCCTATCTACAGTAGCACCAGTACATACAACATCTAACTTAACCGAGTCATATGCAAATGGCTGATATAGTAAAGACACCTAGACTCAATTGATGTATGAGTATCACTAAAAACGAAATAATAATTCAACTCCATTCATTATGTATTTCTCCCTCCAGCATTTACATTTTCATTTCCAATCACGCCCTCTTCTCCTTGAACGCAAACCCGAAAATAAAAAGTCCATAAGTAGCCAGTATCGACAGAACTACCGGAACAGGCTTTCCACCAGTCTTGATCACACGCGGGACCGAGCTTCCGCCCAGCACGGCCGAGGCCAGTAAGCCGAGTTCCTCGCCGTACGATTGGCCGGCGCGAAGGCGCAGGAATGAAAGGAGATAGACAAAGCCGACGGAGACACCGGCGATGATCGAGGGGAGGGATCCGGTGCGCGCGTAGCCGATTATACCGCCCAAACTTGTGAGGAGGGAGAGGACTAGGGCGGAGGTTGTTGGTGGTGCCTGGGGTTTGTTAGTTTTGGGTTGTATGGGGTAGATATAAGAGCTATTGGATTGGTGCTGGGGACTTGGGTCTGTGGACATACCATCTTGTAGATTTAAGGCAGCTTATCTCTTGTTTTCTGGAGGGTATGGGTCAAGAGTGAGAGGGTGAGATTAGAAGAGATGTAAGTTACGCAGATGAAGCTCGGTCATGCAATTGATTAGTCAGATGACGAAGTCTGGGGTAAATGTGCATAATTTAATGCTGGGAACTATATAATTGTTTACATAGCATGATTTCAACGTTTTACTCATGAAATTTGTTCATATTGATATAGATATCTGTTCATCTCAAAGACCAACTGTGCTGTATATCCAACGATATATCAAACCCAAGTAAGTCAGTTGCTTGCTAGCCATTTACAGCAGCAACTTGGTCGCAGCGCCAATGCGTTCCTGGATGATCGAACTCCATTTCTAGAGAGACGTAAGTTAGCAACTGTACCAAAAGTTAAAAGGGTTCGTAAATAAACACATACCTCGGCATTCTCCACATCCCCAGCTTCAAGACTCTCTACTAGTCCAGGGTATGTGGCTCCCGAGTAACCAGTCCAAATGCCAGGGGCAAAAACGACATGCTTGAACCAATCACGGCCATCCAGACCCGGCTGGTACAAGAAAGCACGTTCAATGCCCTTATACTTCTCATTGGTAACGCGAATCTGGAACCACAGTCTCACCTTCTTCCACCAGTGGTACCAAGGGACGTCATCACCAAGCTGGGACTCAAGATCGGCTGCATGGGCATCAAAGGCCTTTGCAGATTCCTGGAACTCAAAGATCGCTCTATCTAGAGGTGCGAAGTCGAAATGTGTCTTCTCTGGGAGATTGTCCGCTGCAGGCTTAATATTGTCCAGGTAGGATCCAAGGCCAAGAGCATAGTCTGTGGCGTTAAGCGCAAGAAGAGGGGACTCCACCAATTGTGCCGCTGCCAGAGCCCAGAGTTTTGTGCAAGCTTGATGGTAGAGGAAGTCCTTGTCACCGTACTTCTCCATCCATGCGAAACTGTCGTAGTTTGAGTGGTAGTGGTAGACTGGGTCATTCTTACCACGACCAAAGCCGAAGTCAAGACTAGCGATACCAGCGAAATCTTGGAAGGCAGTGAAGTCACTGCCACTGCCCATCGTCGAGATCTTCCCATTCCAGACATCGCGGACCGTCTGGCCCCGCACAGTCTGGTTGGGAGACTGCACCAGGGCAGTGACATCGTGAATGACCTTGTTCAGCAGGGGACTGGCTCGAGGTTCGAAATTGGTGCCCGCAGCAGCCACATCGACATTCAGATAGGCAATGTTGGCCTTGGAGAGCCATGGGAGGTATTCTTCCACCCACTCAGTGGAGCCAAGAAGACCGTACTCTTCGCCGTCCCAGCTGGCAAAGACAACAGTGCGCAATGGCTTCCATCCTGCCTTGAGGGCCTCGCCGAAACTGCGGACGACCTCGTTCAAGGCAGCGGATCCACTGTTAGGGTCTCCTGCACCACCGGCAATCCACGCATCACGGTGGTTACCAAGAATAACGACCTCATCGGGGATGTGGCCCTTGATAGTACCGATGACGTTCCACAGTGGGGTCGTCACATACTCCTGAAGATTGTGGAGGTTAATCACCACATCCTCGGGGGACGGTCCGATATTGTATTCTACACCCTTGTAGCCGAGGCCACCTCCCTGCCAAAACTCGTTGAACTCGGACGCTTTGGGGCCGTGGCCGTTAAGCGCCTTCAAGAATGGCAGAACCTCCTTGTACGAGATCGGGAGAGATGGAATTGAAGGGATGGATTTGTTCGGATCCTGTCGTTCGCATCCGGGCTTAGATGGGTATCCCGGGGTTGTGGGGTCACCAGGCAGGATACCTTGTTCAGGTCAGCTTCGCAATGCCATTATCTTGGGGGGGAAAGCCTTACTGAGGAATTGAGTGCTACCTCTCTGGATAGCACTGGGATTCCGTGCAGGTCCATTAGGATAGGCTTCATAGCCATTTTCCTCGGTAATTTCACCATCTTCCTGCGGATCACTGTAGATAATTACACCGACCATTCCAAGCTCCTGTGCACGCTTCACCTTCAAACCACGGAAAATCATACCATACTTTGCGATGGCAATCTTACCCTCCAAGGTGATATTGGCGTTGACGAGGTCTTCAAAGTCTCTGTATGTGCCAAAGTTGACATACACATACTGTGCAGTCACATTACCGCTAGCAGAATAACCATGGAATACTGGGACACGGTCTGGCAGACCGGAAGTGGGGTCCTCTTCGAGAACATCCTCCTCCAATGTAGCTTCAAAGGTCACTTCGGACTTGTCCCCGGATGTCTTCAAGAGGGCAAGGCGGTGTTCAAGCGGGTAGTTGATGTAAATGTCATAGGCCGCGAGCCCGGTATCCTCCACGCCAAATTCCTTCCATTTTTCCATAGTCCAGAGCGCCTGAGACAGGTTCTTTCCCCCCAAGTGTGGTCCTGCGGTATAGTATTGGCTCCACTCCCGGGCCTTATCTGCAGAAGGCACATTTATGAGGATCTGCTGGAGCTGGTCGTAGGGCAGACCATAGCTCTCCGGCCATGCTTCGTGGGGGATTGGATGGGCACCAGGGAGATAGGACCAAATAGAGCCGTGCTCTCGAGGAAGAATGGCGGTGGGAAGGAGGAATAGAAGAGTTGCCACAGAAAGCAGAGCTGCTAGAGAGATAGTACAAGCTCGACGAACAGCATGGTGCGGGTATCTATGCCGCTGAGGAGCGACATTGACTACCAGCAAAGGTGTCGTCTCTGAAAATGGCATGTCTTTCTCCCTCATCTTGTGTGATGGAGGAGTCAAAATGTCAACCCTTGAAAACTTCTCCGCACCTGGGCATTGTATCATCGACCGAGCAATCACCTTATCAGCTGACAAAGCTACCCCTCACGGATCAGCCCGCCATCAAGTTCCCTGTTTAGGAATTGGAATGTTGATCTACAAAGTACTATCTACAACATGTGCAATTTACTCGGTTTTCTCGGCCTTTCTCACTAAAATGATCATGTGCTATTTGGGTCTTCAATTGAGGATGGATATAAGTGGTATTCCAGTGAATGAAAGACAAAACATGAGTGGTATCATAATGGCTATCTATATACAATCGCTCAAGATGATAAAACTGCACGACTCTTGAAATGGCGACAAAGAGAGATAAAACACACGCCATAGCCGGAAACTAGATAGAAGGACATAGCGCCCATGGTATAAAATGTAACGGAGTAAACCCACAATCATAATTCGACATCATCCGGTATCGGGACGACATTGAGGTCTGGATTGACTCTACCACCAATGTCCATACTCTCCCTCATAATCCGACGGGCATCTTCGTCGTTGACTTTCATGTCATCCTTGACCATGAGCACAGCCAACTCAGGCACAAGGACAGACTGTGTGTAGCCAGCTACGCCTGTCGTCTTGATAAGTTCATCTGTTGTCGCCAGGCGACGTACAACCACAGAAAAACGACGGATGATTGTTTCAAGTCTAGATTGAACACAGATGTTAATATATTCCGACCAAGCAGAGAATCTTGGAAGTATCTATCGCTTACATTTTAGTTGCGCCCATGGCACCATAATAACCACAGGTTATTGTCTCAAGCCTCTCGCCATCATCTACTCTCACACGGAAATTTCTTGCTTTCCCTGGTGCGAAAGAGGTCCTCAGAATATTTCGGTAATAAGAGGAAGCATCGGGGACAAGTAGTTTCTCGAGTTCGGGGAAATAGCTCTGAACACGCGCTTCAAACCCTTCCCAGTCGATTTTAGGGTACCCTCGGTCACGCCACATGTCCATCGCACTGCGGAGTTTATGTGATTCACAGAACATCACTTGTTCGCGAATACGTTGCTTCGGCTGTGCTTTGAACAGTTCTAGCGAAGCCCGGTCTACTTCCTTATGGCACATTGGGCACAGAGCTTGGGTGGGTGGCGATGGCTGGCGCTTCTCCTTTGCTGCGAGTTCATCGGCCTGCGACGTTTGCATTTGCTCGCAAGTGGAAGAAGGCGGGGATGAGAGAGGTGAGTCATTATCAAGCAACATTGCTTCGTATTCTTCGATCGTTTGGCCGTGGGAGAAACTGGAGTTTGAATCTTCCCCGCCGCGAGGTTCTCTGAAACTCGAATTTTCGATGTCCTTGGGCATTATAAAGGTCTCCTCCGGTTCCTTGGGAGCTTCCTCGACTGGCGACGGCTCTTTTGCTTTCGTCGTTGGTTTTTTTCCTGGGGCAAAATGTGGCCTGTTGAAATACGACTTGGACACATATTTCACTGCCTTGTGCCGCTTGTGGCTCTGCGAAGAGAACAGTGGCCCGTCTTCATCACCGGAGCCCGTCATGGCGCTGGCGGTTCGCGCAAAACTGCCTTTGCGAGAGTATCCATTATGACTTTGTGAACTACCGTATGCCCTATTTGCTTCCGCAAGCTTCTCTTCCAAAGTCGTAGTCGTATAGTTCACCTCTTTGCGACGCGGGGAAGCATCGCTATCGCTAGTTTGCTCTACATCAGAGCTTAGAGGATCAGCATCGGTGTCGATTTCGGGCAAGTTCTTGATGCTAGATCGAATGGCGTTTGATTTTGGGTCTTCTGCTTCCTCTTCATAAGAACTGAGAGGTACAGAGCTGAGAGATTCGGTATCTGTGTCAATCTCTGGCTTGTTCTCGATGCTAGGCTGAGCGATGTCTGGCAACGAGTCTTCGTCTTCCTCTTCGTCGGAGCTTAAAGGTTCAGCATCTGTATCAATCTCCAGTCTTTTCTCAATGCTAGGCTGAGCAACATCTGGTTTGGAATCTTCTGGTTCCTCTTCATCAGAGCTTAAAGGCTCGGCGTCCGTATCAATCTCCGGCTGTGTCTCGACGCTATGTTCAATAGCTTCCTTATTCATTGATGCGATATCGATTTTCGCATCTTCGAGCTCAGGTTCATTGAAATTAGACAAAAGATGCTTAGGCGGAGGGTTGCTTTTCGTTATGCGATTGGACGCATAACTGGAGTCAGGTTTAGGCTGAGCCGCCGCCATGGTGGGCGATAGCGGAGAATTTCGATTGCCGATTTCCAATTGTCAATTGTCGGCACCAATCGATGGTCTGAAAGCTTGGGGTCAAAAGAGAACTAGTCGGAGTTCATGTGAAGCGCGTTGCTCAGGCCGTGAGGAAATTCGGACAGGGCGACGCGTTGTTGCGCGGTTTCAACTCTCCGCACACGAAGGTATCTGCGGCTAGTTCGAGTTGAAATGCTGAATCGACGTCGTTGAGTTTTTGGTCTTCGAAACAAAGAACGGTAGGGTTTCGAGAAGCTGAGACAATGCGGACACCTGGCTACGGCGGGGGATAGCGGCATATGGGGCAACCGGGACTTGATTGGTTGAACCATAGTCTATGTTTGGTTTTCATCCGGCAGAAAATCATTGAGCAACTATAACATCTATACTCTGTAGATCTATAATAGATCTATTTTTATCTGTCATAATATTCCAAATATCGCATATTATGCACCAAAAAGCTGTTCTGTAGGAGATATGCTTTTCACCGATATTTCATGGTTGACGGCTACCCATTTCCAATTACCCTTCTCACTACAGCATTGAGAAGAGAAAGAAGGGATCCAAAGAAGTGACCTACAAAGGATCTCCAAGGAAGACACCTAGTGATACATCTAGAAAGGCACAAACAAAGATATCAAGCACATATCCAAACAAGATATCCAAAACACATCTAAACAAGTTCCTAATAATACCATGTTTAAGGAGAGGCGGGGAGCAAGGCGGTAGATTAGTCAATATTGTGATCCAATTAAATGCCCGCTACAGGGCTGTCCAATGTGCCGCTATTTTCTACCGTACGTGGCGCCACATTGAGGGGAAAACGCGTCAACACACGCGATGCTAGCCCAGACTCAGATTTGATACTACGGTTTGGTACATCTTGACGAATACGCAAGAAAGATACATTTAGATTGCTTTATATTTATCCTTTTCGTTCATGACTGCATACCTTTGAATACTGCTGCTGTGTCTTTATTGTGTTTGTCTTAAAGTATATTTTGAGGGCACTACGAGAAAACAGACAAAGAAGCCAGTTGAGCCAAATCCGCTTTCGTGTAACTTAGGAACGTTGTCGTGGTAATTGTTGAAGCTAGGACAGCCTCTATACATAGATGGATGAGTATATGCGCAATCAGATCATAACCAATCCATGCGCCTTATTAAGTCTCAGAGATCGAATCAATAGCAAAAAAATATATATAGATAGAGAGAGAAGAAAAGCAAGAAGAGAAGAGCCCTGGAGCTGACCCTATTCGAACGTCATTGAGATATCGCCATCTCGATGTCCCTGATCATGGTCTGCCCAGGCATTATGCTCCATGGCCATAGCTCCGAAGGCACTGCTGCCAATTGTCGGCATTGTAGAGGCAGTTCTCAACTCTGGACGCGGGTGAAAGTCGTCGTTTCTGGATCGTGGGGATTCATGGAAGGATGTATCAAAGGTCATTTCCATTTCTTCGTGCTTCGACGCGGGAGAGAATTCATAGGGTTCGTAAGGAGAATACTGCCCCGATGGTTCTGGGGGTAGCGAAGAAGTCCGAGACGCAGCCGGTACTTCGGGCGTCTTGGGCCTATTGGCGATAGGGGGTGATGGTTGGGCGGGTGGTGGTTCCGATGGAGCATTCAGGTCTAGCTTCATCAAAGGCATAGTCGACTCCAATTCTTTGATTTCGATCGCTTCGGAATGCAATTCCGCTCGAATGGCCTCAATGTCGAAGAGGACAGTGCCGGGGGTACTTTCTGGCTCGTTTGGATCCCGAGGAGCGGTGTTTTTGTTAACATCGTAAGTTTCCCATTTCTTCTTCTCGGCCATCTTGCCTCGCTTAAATATGCCGAAGCGCTTCTTCTCTGGCTTTGCCTCTGCTTCTCGGCGAGCTTCATCAATCTCACGAATCAGCTCGCGCTGTCGTTCGGCATGGTTGTCTGGGTCTGGATCCTCGATTTCTGCAAACTCATCCTCGAGAACCTCCCAACCAACTTCCCTCAGAATTCGAGGCATAGCCGTACGGTAATCCATATGACCATTCACGAGCGTGGTAATATTGAAGTTCTCAATGCCTGGTATACCTTCGACAGCTGCGAGACCGGCGACTCTCATAATGCCACCACTTGTTGCCCGAAAGAGGTAGCCCAGGATCCAATCATTTGTGGCATAACCATTCACAAATCGCCCAGACACCACACTTCGAGCCTTGAGGTATTCATCTTTGTTCGCCACAACGGGCGAACCAAATAGGTATACATTCTGGATTAGTCCGTAGGCGCCCTTTTCGGCCAGCTCTTTCAGACAAGAAAAGATGACACGCGCACCGAGGGAGAAACCAAGCAATGTAATAGGCCGGTTGCCAAGGTTCCGTTCTCGCAAGGAATCGGCCATAATGAGGCCGGCTGCGTTGGCTCGTGCCAATGAAACGATCCAGGGATTGTCAATCAAGTATGCGAGTTTAGTGAGGACAAGTGGTAGTTGCAAGGATGCCATCAGCGCCATCAGAACGGTGCTGCCTAGTACTTGTTGCAGACCTTGTGTCAATGCCTAAAGAACCAGTTAGTCTATCGGTAATTATCACATATCTTGGAAAGCTTACCTCTGTTGCTAGAATATTGATAGTGTCACCCATGCTTCGAAGCATCTCGGGCTCCCATAGCACGGAATAGATATCGCCCATAATCGGATCGACAGTACTGAAAGGTAGACGGACATCATCAACCTTACCAGTCATCCAGCCAGAGACCGTCACAATCAGGTTGACCTTCTTGTTATTATGAAGAGGACGATATTCAAAGGTTTGAACTGCACCCATACGTCGTTGCGAAGCTCTCATTCCAATGGTGCTTCCACCTAAAGTAGCACCAGAAGCGATCAAAGCTGTGCCGCCGGCTCCTCCTAGGAACGCGCTGGTTCCAGTGATACCCACTGTAGTAAACCCAGCTGCCAGACCAGCTCCGATGACGGGTGCCAACAGTCCAGCGGATAGGCCGATGACTAGTCCACCGCCGACCGTCGCTAAACCCATAATCATGTATTTCCGCTTCAAGGCCATCTTGCGGCGCTTTTCCATGTGATTTGACTCATCCCAATTCTCTTTCTCTTCTTGCTCTTGCATTTCGAGGGAGTCTGTGACTCGCTTTTCAAACCGTGAGATTTGTAGCCATGTTACATCCAAAGCTGCGCCTACCCTTTCCAAAAGAGTTCGTGATCGAGCATCGTATGCTGAGTTTGCGATGAGCACAAGGAACAGGTCACAGAGGACAGTCCAGCGAAGATCGATATCTATGCGGTCAGAGGTTGGCATCTCAGAAGGCATCTTGACCTCCGGGGGCTCCTCGGTCTCATGGGCCTCGTATGGCGGAGGAGAATCTAGTTCGGACGAATCCGTCTCCGCGGAGAGTCTAGATGGAGAGTCGAATTTCCGACTGGAAGTGGAGGTCTTCGGTTCACTCTCTGCCATAGGATTTTTGACTCTCGCATTCTGCATGAGTGGTGGCACCAGATCTTCTGGTCGCACCCCATGCTCTGCGAGCTGCTCAATCATAATCTGCTCAGCAGAATTGATATCCATATGAGCATAGACTCGCCCCATGATCGCCTGGCCCCATTTTCGCATGGCATCCGAGGCTTTCTGCATGGTTCTGCGCGTGGACTTAGTTGTGGCCATCGACGCCAAGTCATGATTCATACTATGGATTGCCAACCTGACAATCCCCACATACGCAATCTTTTGAGTCTCGTTGAGAAGATCTTTGGTGGCCTGGAGCTGGCTGATAGTATCTCGCATTTCTTCGCCAACCAGACCAGCAGAATTGTCGCCTGTCTCTCGGAACAGGTAACTTGTATCTTCATCTAGGCTTGTAGCAGACTGGGCATCTTCATCAAGCTGCACCCGAGTATAACCCCTCCCTGCTCCTCCTAATCCTTGGTATACAGCCTCGTCGCCTTCTTCTTTGGCGCCACGAGCAACGAGCCTCCCAAAATCATCATAGTAGTCGAATTCTCCAAGTGCAGGCATCGACATCCATTCATCGGGCTCTGGCTCTGATTCTTCACTATCGGGATGGTGTGCATCAGGTTGGGCGAGGCGCTGGTGCGACCATTCCGACACCTGGGCGGACTTTCGCTTCGAAGTTGAGGTTCGAGGCTGAGAAATAAGACTCGGGGTCTGTGAATATTCCGGGGGCGCAGGAGAAGTGTCCTGGGCCTCTACACCCTTGCCTTGCTCTACCGTATTATTCGGATTGGCTAGCTCGGGGGCACTGGATTCCAGCTTGTCCTGTGACAACTCTGGCTCCTTCGCCTTTTTCGCAGCGTCACTATAGTCCGTCGAGCTCACCGCCACCTTCTGGGTGTTCTGGCTGACATTCTCTCCTTCGGGTGACTCGCTAGGTGTGGGGTTGGGTCGGCGTGCTCGAATGGGAAGGCCAAAATCATCTAATTCCTCTGATGCGGGGGGATCTTGTTTGGCCGACCCTGCAGCAGGTTCTGATGCTACTGGTTTGGGCGCTGAAGTCTCTGTCTCATTTTCATTTTGATTTGTGGAGGAATCGCCCTTCGATTGGGGCTCGTGCTGGGAAGGATTGGGGGCATTCGACGGGGAGGGTATAGGAGAATCGGAGGTGTCTACGGTGACACCTGAGGCTGCGGTCATAATTTCATGGACTGGAGGCTCCTGGCCCCAAGGTGGTGTATCGAATCCCAGTTGTCCCTTGCGTCCTCACGTTCCCTCGCGATAGCTTCGGGAGCTCACCCATTCGGCCTCACAGTTGTCGCGTTGAGCTTTTGAGCTCTTATCTGAGTGTGTACAATGTTTGTCTTATCACAAGTTCCCACGTCCGATGGTGGGCCACTAGATGGTCATCGGACAAGGGTTAGACGATCTCCGCAGATGACGGTGGCCACACGAAAAAAGGAGGGGCGGAGAGTGTGGCGGAGAGATCAATTAACGAGCACAAAGCCACAGCAAAGTATTTGAATCAAGTTTGTAATTAAAGTAAAGAGTTATTGTAGAGATAAACTTGAATGTTTAGTGGAGTTTAGGCAGATAGCAAAAGGAACTGTTGAGGGACCGAAAGCGGAAATCCATCGGAACTGCTAAATAAACAAGTCCAAATGAAAACAGTAAATATAGTATGTTTGAATAATATATACATTCTTTTGAATACTGATATGATCTACTCTTCATTCTATATACTCTAGAATGTTTCACAGTAAAGTCAATGCTTATGAGATCTACAGAATAGCTGCATGTCTATTTCGCACCATGTTTATGGCTGCCTTATTGTATTATATTATACAAAGCACGAAAAAAAAAGTCCCATCGGAGATACAGAACCCTTGTAGTCATGCAGCTTGCCTTTGATTCCATAATACGAGATCTTTGCCACCATGTTTTGCCCGGGTAAAGAGCAGAGGTTTATTCACGGGCACCCGAAGACCTCCGGTAGACAGCCCTTTCAATATGGGCGAGGCAAGTGATAAATGAATTCAAGGTAAAGAACTTGGAACGTGTTGAAGTTTGAGGCACTTGAGGTGGTTCGAGGCAGTGCCCGGTACGATAGCCCGGGGCATCAATATAACAAGGCGAAACATACGCTAGATCATTTCAAGTTGAAGATCAACTCCGCCCGTCCTCATAAACCAACGAGAAGGCGAGGAAGCATAGATTATGACGGCATAAATCGCGGAGATACAAACAGAGAACCCCGAGCTCAAATCTCATGTAAGACAGGAGTCACTTGATAGGCTTGCGGCTCTAGTCCTTGGCATGCGTAGCCCAGAAGTTATCTTGAGGAAATCCACTTTGTCTTTGATATCATATCTGGAATGATCTGAAACAACTGTCAAACACTGCCATACCCTGCGCTCTTCATCATGGCACAAGGTACGACTTTTCCTTTAGGAAGTTGAGAAAATCTACTAATGAGGTCCATATCTAAAGGCTCACAGGCTTCCATTGTTAAGATCGCTGGCGCAGGGTTTCGGCTCTCACTACTCCTCAATGCCGCTGCTTGTCAACTTGCCCAGTCCAGACTGGAAATTCATAGTATCGCCAAGGGTATCTCGCTTTTTGCTCTAGCACTCAGACATGTTGGGCAGACTATTGAGGGTACCGATTTGGACCAGTCTCCAGAGGCAACAGAGAAGGCCTGGGAGATCGCAGGACAAGGCCAGATGATATTCATCGAAATCGAACACATGTTGAACAGGTTGAAGGCAACCGATAGCAACAATGATCTTATGAGCATTCCACTGCAGGAAAGACTCAAATGGTGTTTCCGGAAGCACCATGTCACATATCTGCTAGCCCAGTTGGAATCTCTCAAGCTCAGCCTGATTGTGATCCTGCAAACTCTACAGCTTGGAAACTTTATCAAATCCAACGTTGATGATGGAATTGATACTGATTCCCTTACATCTACCGCCGACGATGTCATTGCCCAAGAGAAAGCGGAATCCCAGAACATGATCATCGTCCGGTATTGGTCTATCAAGCGTCTCGATCGCTTGTGGGATCTTGTAGAGCAGGAGAATTCAGATGCCGCCAATGACCCAACAAACCAGAGGATCAGTTCCAATTACTCGTCCAATACGATATCAGCATCGAACCCACTGGCTGCCGCAACCAGACGCTCGGATCCGACAAGGCTGCCCATCATTACTTTCGGAGACAGTGAAATTGGACTAATTGACATAGAAAGGTCTCCGAAGGATATGGTGCAACTGTCTGAGAGCGCATTGAACCGGCTGCTCTTACTCTGGGTGCCTTTCGTTGACCCTTCCAAACTACACCACGCCGGCAAAGGCTTGGACATATCTAACAAGCCAGTCCAACCTCGAGTATACGTCTCTTCGGACACCGAAGAAGATGATACCGAAGAGCTAGACTTTGATAGCCAAGACAACCGAGGTTACTATCTCGAAGGATCGACCGTGGACTGGAGGGAGCCTCATTCACAAGAGGCCCGACAGCATGCAGCAGAGCTACGCCGAAAGTACTCCAGCTACCAGGCTCACGTGGAAAGCGAGCCAGAGCCTGATGAATATCCCAAGCATCGAGATAAACCTCGCAGTGATCCAGCAGTAATCGACTCAATTGACGAGGGCGAGCAAAGGTCCGACACTGTACGGCGGCCCTCACACACCACAAATCCCATGCAAGGCCCCCGTTTCCATTCCAACAGCCTGTCATCTGGATATCCTCCAAGTCACAACAGTCCCGACAGCAGACCCGCCACATACCCAATCGGCAGCTTCCCTCCCCCGAACCATGCTATAGCCCGTCATCCATCACTGCCTTTGCACGCACAGCCGGGCCCTCCTTTCCAGCAGTCATACAAATACTACCCAGGCCAAGATTATTCTACAGCCCCTCGGTCCATCCCAATGAGAATGAACCAACCCAACAACCCAGCCATCACCATCCCCAGTACAAACCCCTCCCCTAGAGGTTCATCGCCAAATCAAGTCCACTTCGAACCCACTTGGACCCGAAATCATACATACAACAATAATATCCCGAACAGCAACAACAGCAAACTCCAACTCCGCCACTATCCATCCGCATACCCGCTTTCCTCCTCATCACCCGAGTCTAGCTTCCGAGCCTCGCCGCCTCGCTCCGATCAACGGTCTCCGTCGTCGCATCCGCGCCGATCCTCGCGCGAAGAAGCTAAGGAGCGACATAAGGCGATGACTCGTAGTGCTACGAGGGGTCTGGTGGGGATCGGGGCTATTGCTGGGTTTATGGATGCGTTGGAGGCCTTTTCAATTCTGTGATTTACATTGCTGTACTTTTACACTTTTTCTTTGGTTCCGGTGTGCTGGGCTTTTTAATTTTCCCCGAGGAGTTGATAGGCCAAGTGGTTCTGGTCTTGGTTTCGGTTGACTTTTGATATCCATGATCCATCTATGCAACGAATTGACGAACCCGTTTTTTAACTGAGACAATTTGCACAAACTATGATTAATGATTTGCTTATGCATTATTTCATCTGATTACTGTCTGATTATGCGGATCCTCCATACTCCGTAGATCCCGTTGACTCCGCGGATGTGTTGTACCAAACATTCTCGAATGTCCAACTAGGCAGCAAACAACCCTACAAATAACAAAAAAAAAAGCAAATATCACACAAAATACAATAACAAGGATACTTTCAGAGGTTATTCCACTTCCAGAACCTATATCATCCTTTCCACTTCACCCATTTTCGGTTTGGTTCGGAATCGGTTCTGCTACAGGTACAAGACAAGCCAATGCAACCCCCGGGGTCTACGTATACCCGTACAACATATAACATATTCCGTAGGGCAGAAAGGAGCAGCCAAGACCCCGAATAAACCCACATAATACCCATGTTCACTTTATGCTCGATATGAACGGTCCCCGACAGTTCCATCGCGGAAGTTCCGATTCTCCCGAGCCTCCGAGCCTCCGATACCGTGCGCTTTGTGAATGTTTGCTATTTGTTTCGGGCTAAATGGGTTAATGTCCTTCTGGTAAGGAATATTCTCTCTTTATTGGGGCTTTCTTCTCTTTTCTTCTTTGTTTTTCTTTTCGTCTTGGTGATTGTGTGGGTTTTGTTGGCACTGGTGGGTATGTCCCCCTTCCAAGTTCTATACTCCCATCTATCAGGGTTGAACTATTGAGCTGAGCTTTACCTTATTGGATATTCTTTTTCCATTTTGTTCTCATGTATTGGTAAGTATACACAATTCCTGCTGATATGACTACAGGATGTCGGTTCGAAATATTAACAAGCTGATGTGTATATACAGTTCATACCTATGATCTATGTCTTTACATATACTCACATGTGTATCCCGAGGTCTCTCTCAGGGTCTTGATCTCCATCTCAAAACTCAGGTAAAGGCTGCAGTCCAAAAATACTCCCATCAGGAAGCCACCCATCCAATTCCATGCCCGACCTGGCCATGTGCTGCCCAGCAGCACCAGCCGGCATCCTGTGCGAGTCATACGAAAAATGAGGCGGCAATGCCTGCGCGTGCGATGCCGAAGGTTGATACCCCGCCGCGCTCATGGGATAGAAATGCGGGTTATGCCCGCTGTCCATGGCCCACATGCCCGCACTACCCATCGATACGTACCCGTCGCGCATGCTGTCTACCTGCATCGGGGGCATGGGGACGGGGAAGGATTCCATAGTTGACGGGGCCTGAGTTTGGGGTTGGAGTTGGGGTTTGGTTTGGTTATGATGTGATCCTAGAGCTGAGACTGATTCCGCAGTGCCCGTCGATGGACTCCCTGATACGACCCGGGAATGACCTTCTATTCCTTCACTCTGCCGCCTCTCCAGCCGATCATACCAATCCCGGCCCTTGACGCCCACGACGTAGTACCAACGACCGGGGATGCTGTACTTGCCCCCGCCACTGGCCTCACTTAGCTTGCTAGCTAGAGCGTCGAGGTAGAAGGCCACGTTCACGGTCTGCGGCGTGACGACTTCCCCGAGAACACCGGTTCGCACGGAGAAGTGGATCTTCATCAGGGATGTCACGGCCATCGCGAAGCGGGTGTACATGAGATTCGGGAGTTTACGCATTGTGTCCGTGCTGCAGGTCAGCACGGCGTCTAGAAGCTCATGTGCTGCGTTCATCCATTTCATGTTGATGTCGATGCGGATTGCGCTGAGTGAGGTATCTCCTTCGATGCCGCTGTTGCCTTCTTCATCGAGGGTCGGTAGTGTGAAGTATCGTCGCTTTAGTGAGTCTGGATCACGGTAACCTTCTCCTACGCCGAGTTCGTACATCGCTAGTGCTGCGGAGCGGTATTCGAGGATCATGGGGACTATTTTGACGGGGTCGGTTAGTATGGACGGTTTTTGGATGCATAACAACACTAAGCGAGAGGACTGGCGTTTCTTACTGGTAAACATTTCGGATGGGATGTTCTTCTTCCACGTTTCGAGCCGCTTGTCGAACCAGCGTAGCACGGCTTGGACCCGCGACTCGGTTAGGGGCGATGTGGTACTGGTGTCGTCCAGACCGAATGAAGACATTGCTTCGTCGGTTATTCTTTGGAGCTCGAACCATATCGCGACATGCCGATCCGTTCGATGCGGCGAGTTTTCTAGGTGTTTGAGACACTCGGACATCCAGTCGTTGAACTGGAGTAGATTTGGGCGACGGGTTTTCATCGCAACACTCGAACCGAGATGGTAGCAACCGAGGACTGCTCTCGCCTGCTCAGCCAGCAGCTCGTCATGCGCCTCCTGCCTGCTGCTCCTGCGATCAGGCTTTTTGGAGACACGGCGTTTATTAGCTAACCCAATTTCTAGCGCCATCGTCGAAGCAATGTGGGTGTACTGATAAAGCTGCAGCTTCAATGGTGAGGCAGGTGGGAGATAAAATATGATCATCAGCAGCATTGCTTGCACTAACTCCAGTGACTTTTCGCCTTCGATAAAGAACCGCTCTGCATAGAGGCGGACCATCTCGCGGCCCAGCACGGCTGCCAGGCCTGCATCAACGGATATGGATGTCGCGGCAATCACGGAGAGAAATAGAATTGGTTTTGTTTGTCGCAGCTGGGCTGCCGTGGTGTTTGAAGGCAAAACGACCAATGGAAAGAAGGATGCGAGTTCGTGGATGAAATACGCTACCAATTGCTCCGCATCTTCGAGGGAGATAATTCCCCGATCGATCACATCTTCCGCCGGAGGAAGCCTCTCCTGCTCAAAGCCAGCTGGCATACCCGCGTAAGTCGGCGGTGCTGAAAAGCCACCACTGTCATGCACGTTGGGGTGCGAGTTATTCCCCAATTCAGGGGAATAGTCCATATAGCGGACATCCTCGGATGAGTGGGCCGAATGGTCCCGCAAGGCGTGCCTGCTTTCCATCTCGGCCGATTCATGATCTTGGGCATCGTCCACATCGCTATCATCACCGGAATCCGATTCTTCTTCTTCAGGAATGCGATTTTTTAACAGCGTACGCATCATACGCATCTCCTTCTCAAGCTGAGCGACGCGCGAATCCGTCCGCTTCCGGGGCCGCCGCCTCTGCGGGGCCACAAAGACACAGGATCGCTTGCCCTTAGCACATCTTTGGCACTGATTAGGCGTAGATGGGTTGGGGAGGCAGCGAACTTTGAGACTTCGGCAAGACTCGCATGATCTATTTAACTGCTGGGCTGATCCTTGGGGGGTGCTTGGTTCACCTTGGGGCGTGGAGGTCTCTGACATATTCACATATATACACACACCAGAAACGATCAGGGAATGAGAGTTTGGTGGTTGTTTCCCATAAATGATGAGATAGTCTGAATAGTGCGTCCGAGTAGCGGTGGTTACTGTGTAATTCGACTCATTGTATCGAGTGAAAATCATGCAATGGGGGGACTGACATGAAAGTCGAATCGACAAAAAGTATCCGATGGATTTTGATGCCAGACCCCACAAGGATGTGAAAAAGAGACTCAGTTGGAATTATCATGTGAAAACTAGGAAATTAATCGACGCTTAAAGCAAAAAGATGCTAAAGCGTTCAGGGAAGGCTAGAAGCCGTGGAGAAGTGGAGAGAGGAGGTAGGAATCCTTGTCCTTCCACGCTAACAGGTTGGGATAGAAGATAAAATACATATCGGTATCTGTGGTAATATTACATACATGTATGCGGAATTTTGGCCGAGAGGGCTTTCTTAGCGCTTACCTCTTGCCGCTTTTTAATATATTGTAGCCTAATTTGTGAGGCCCTCTAAGCCTCATTATTTCCTATCTTGGGAAGGTATTAGCAAGATAAAGATATCAATACGACAAAGATAGTGCTAGTTCCAGAATGGGAAAGCAAATCTAACATACAAAGTAATATAATTACTTGCAGACCCAAATCACCGCCAAGATTAGGGGTCCAAGGTATATTAAAGTGTACAGTATATAAATTGACCTCATCTACCAAGAAAAGTCCGCACTAGGACAAAATACTCACGCGGGGGCCGCCCCTTTTTGCCATCGACTCTGTGTAGCGGTCTCGTTCACCTTTATACATACGCACTTGCTCAGGCTCCCAACAACAGATTCCTGGTTGGGCAGCTTTTACAAAGCCAGCAGAAGAGCCTGAATAGGATGTCCAGTACGGTGCCTTGCCGCTTGATTACTATGCTATGTTGCACCTGGGCAGTATGCCGGGCCAATTCCGTCACATCTATTGATGAATACATACCTTGACTAATGCCAAGGAGGACAACTAGTATGAAAATATTACCTGGGCAAGGGTTATCGCTTATTAATCGATATGTTTGCAGGTGGCTGTCGAGGTCCCTGGCTTAACTATATCCTTGCCCTTTTACTAACTTCTAGTTGGGCCTATTATCTTCGGGTCTAATCGGTCCTGGCTCTGATAAGCTCGCCTGAATCGACAAAGGAGCAGATCCAAATTCTCGGCATTCACCACTCCAAGCGAAAAGTTAGTCCACGGGTGCAAATGAAGACGGTGGCGTCCAGATGGCCTGGCTCGGGACCTGCCACGATAAAGACCTGATCGAGAAGTACGAAGGCATAAGCGCCAAGATTGTAATCGATACCTCGACGGCAATACCGGCTACGTCTTTAACAATGGACCTCGGGAAGCCTGGATCACTTCTCGCCCGAGTACCAGGTATTACGGACTATGTACATGCTTAGCCTTGGAGGGTATATAGGATGACAGAGACACCCTCTAATACACTGGCAGAACGACGATGGATTATAGGCCTAAGGTGAGGAGCTAGAAGAGGCTGAATATAGGACCCTAGCCCTTAAACAGCTAGTTTCCTAGCCTTTGGTGTACCTGCTAGATCGTGAGGCTGTAGAAACGGGTCTGGTTAAGATGCTTTGGTTGGACGAGCACAGTTATAGTGTATGAGAGAACCGAGTGGCCCCATCTAGTTTGGAGGGGCAGTTTAGAGTGGCTTGCCTGGGCTTTTCTTAGCTGCATTCAGCTAGATGAAATCATGGGCGGAGCCTCTAGTTGAGGCTCTTTGATCAATGTATGGTCTTTAGAGGAGCCCAGGGTAGCCCTCCAGGGTTGAGATCTGCACAGATTACTCAGTGACCAGGACCCTGTCTATGTAGGTGAGCGCCCTCATAAAGCGGCAGCACCCTGATCAGGAAAATATAAAATCCGATACATACGGGTACATGTGCAGGGTAATGGTGATCTACCATATGTATGCATCTTTCACACTACCTCAGGGGTTAGTTTAGAGAAAACAGGCAACAGTGTACTCCTTATGGAGTACTTTGTACGAATTTAACTTATTAATGAAACCGTGATGAAGATTGAAAGCCTAAAGCTAAACATGGCGAATCATTATATCTCCATTATATCTCTATTATATCTCCACATCTCCACTGAAAAAGCCTTGATTCTAATTCCATTTTACATTGGCACTTCATTGGCCTACCGAACGTACCCGACGGTTATGACCGATTGCCCAATCGGTTCATGCGTTTTTTTATTTTCGTTATAGCTTCCTATTTGTGGTAAATGAGGGAAATAATTATAAAGTCAAACCATTGGGACATGCATATACTTTGATAGTGTGTCCATGATATTTTTACTAGTATATAAAAGTGTTCTTAAAAAAGCAAATATGAAATTGTCCGGCCAATTCCCCGCCAATTCCCCGAATCCCTCCGGCGAGATAACACGATGTGATGTATCAACTGGATAAGGTGTTACTATACAACATAGAGTCTCTCCAGGGAATATTCGAAGAGTGTAAAATGCCTGTTGAATGCCTTGTATTAAAGGTAAGTTATATCTATATCTCTCCATAGTTATCCTGAAATCTCAATTGTTGTCCACTCCACAATGAGCATAGTCAGCACTGCCACAAACCAAATAGATGAACAGACAACTCCTATAAGCATGTGACAGAGGATTCGGCTAGTCCCAAGACAAGCTGATCTTCTCGGTATGCCGGATAAGTGGGCCCTATGGAATATTCGAACAGAGATTTCGTTTAACGTGTTAGAGTGAGGTGTAGATTTGCAGCTGTAGGATTTACAAGGCCAATCAGTCAATTCCATACATACATTACGGTCCATTGCGGATATTTATGTGGTTCTCTGATTGTTAATAAGTTGCAAACTAAGTTTGTTTCTCGTATTTACCTTTTTATATTTTAGTAAGAATTTTAGCGCACATTTCTAACGGCGATGTTCGTCGTTTATGGAATAGACGGACACATCTATACACTAACACCATTGGACCCTGTTTTTGTGACCAGCTCGCCTCTTTGCCTTGCAGTTATCTACGGATACCACATTCTCCTAGAGGTGCTGAATCTGAATATTTGCTTTGTCTGCCCTTATAACATGGAACACCGCATGCTGCCACGACTCTCGGTACACTTCCACTTTCAAGGTCGGTTCAAGTGGTGTTTGGAAGGACCAATCGACTTAAGCAGCACGTCCAAGGCCCATACAATGCCCCCCGAAGCCAAACTCGTATACCGAGATGTCTGGGATCTTCGTAAACAAACCTTCGGGAAATGTCACGAAGATTCCCTTTGGTCTCTCCATTGGCTAGTCCAGCATCTTTGCAGCCAGGAGAAACATAAAGAAGCCGAAGCCCTATGCCGCGACGCTTGGGAAGGCCGTAAGCAAACACTCGGGCAAGACCACAAACACACACTTTTCGCTCTTCGTTGGCTCGACCAGACAGTCACTTTGAAAACGAAGTATACCCCGGCCAAGGTGACATCCAGGAAGACACACTTAAGTCTCTTGAATCGCTAGCCAGCTCTCTTTATTTTCAAGGAAAGTATGCTCTGGCCGAGATAACATACCGAGACGTTTGGGAGGGAAGAAAACGGGCCCTTTGGCACAACCACCCATCCACATTGGCTTCTCTCTGTCGGATAGGCAATGCTTTGTTTTCCTTTGAGAGGTATACTCTAGCCGAGACAATATACCGAGACGTCTGGGAGGGTCATAAACAAACCCTCGGGAAAGACCACCAAGAGACACTTTGGACTCATCATAACCTAGCCTTTACTCTTTATTGTTAAGAGAAGTATGCTCTAGCCGAGGCAGTATACCGAGACGTTTGGGAGGGTCGCAAACGAACGCTTGGGAAAGACGACGAAGACACCTTAGGTTCTCTCTACTGGGTGGGTGATACTTTGTTTTTCCAACACCAGTATGCTCTAGCCGAGACAACATACCGAGACGTCTGGGAGAGTCGCAAAGAAACCTTCGGGGTAGACCACGAAGACACACTCGGGTCTCTTTATAGGCTAGGCCGCGCTCTTTATTGTCAAGAAAAATATGCTCTAGCCGAGGCAGCATACCGAGACACCCGGGAGGGACGAAAGCGAGTGTTCGGTGAGCAGCACGCCGACACATTCGAGATTCTCCATGAACTAGAGCAGACTAGACAACACTCTTCGTAAGAGTTCAGTTGTTCTGAAAAAGATGCGCCAGCCCTGGAACACATTGAAGAACCTAGAGGGATGCTTCTCTTTCAATGCACGCACAAAAGTATCTTCAACCCCTGCGGTAGCCAACTTTGCAATTTATGAGTTAAACCTTTCAATTCTGTAAGATCTATGAATCAATCTGTCTATACAGACGCTTCTTGCTTGTTGAAGCGAGACCTCGTGGTCTTCAAAGAGTGGAAGTGCCAACCGTCACACCCAAATGGAATTTGCACAGCCCACCGACAGTGTTAAAATACAGTGTGGTCTATGCGATCATGAAAAACTCGGGACCGACGCCTTTCAAAATATACCTAGGCACGATGGATCTATGAGCCGCTTTGTACACCGCTCTATACAGGTAATGTAAGCCATACCTCAACTAATTCAAATGAAGCTTCTATACACCATCCATGGATATAAAATACTTCATTTCATTTTAACATAAGAACGCTAGTAGAATCACCTCACTTTCATTACTAAGGCATATGTAATAGGAATGCACCCATTCTAAGGTAAATCCAGACATCAAACCCCCTTGAAATTGGATCGAGCCCGCTGTGTTTGCCACAACTTGTTCATCGTCATAGTGAGAACATATATCCTCATATAGACATGATATATACATACATAATATATATATATATATATATATCTCTCTCTCTCTCTCTCTCTCTGATACCATTACACCCAGCGTCCTAAATTCCTGGGTTTCTTATAATTATATCAAAAATTGAAATGGCAGAACCAGAAACAGAAACACAAAATGGCAACTTCGAAGTTGGGGGTAGCTTCCTTAAAGAGCTACCAAGTTCAATCGAAAGATATTCATATGAAGGAGAATGTTCCTTCCTCCAAATCTTCAATCTGAAACTTAATGCCCGCGAATCCCCAGGAAATGAGAAAAACAATTTCATCCTGTTTCATACGAGTCGTGAAATGATCGAAACCCTGTTGAATCCAGACGACGAATCAACTACCCTTGCAAAGAACTGTTCCTCTTTTGATCTGGACGAGGAACTTATCCTGATCAAAATACCCTCCCTCGAACACTCGGCCGCAACCACTGCCGTGGACCACGCAATCATGGCAGCCATCCTACCAATGGGATTATTTGACTCCCTGAACGGATATCCTAACGCGACTATCCAAGGGCAAACAAGAGGGAAGCAACCTGACCACGGCTGGGGCTCTATAAGGCCACCATCTGGTTACAAACGGAAACCCTCGGTTGTGTTAGAAGTCGCTTGGTCTGAACCAGATTCAAAATTGAATTCTGATGTTCGATTCTGGCTGGAACCAGCCGACGGAAATGTCAAGACTTGTCTAACTCTGAGAGTAGACAAACGCCAACCAGCAATCCGTATTGAGAACTGGAGACCCCAGAATGGAAGAGCCCATCGCTTCCAGATGATCCAGGTGACCAAGGTGTCAAACCACATAACCGTCACAGAAGACCCTCTTATTATCCCATTCGAAGATTTCTTCCTCCGCGCACCCTCTATACCCACCGAAAGAGATATTGAAATCTCACATCAAGCCCTGCACGTTATTGCAGAGAAAATCTGGGATGTTCAGGGCTACTAGGTCTCTTCCATCCATGTCCTCCCAACCATCCTCTCTGTCATGTACTGGCTTTCTCCATTGGACAAGAGAGAAGTCTGACTATATATCTTCTTAAGCAGGAAGCAAACAAAGCCTCGTTGCCTCGTTGCCTTATCACCTTGATGTCTTGATGCCTTGATGCCTTGATCCATGCTTGAGTGCCTCAGAATCTTTCGGCAAGTGGTACTAACTATTTTGTTAATCAGTGGAAATCAAGTAAATTTGACTGAAAAGGACATCGGCTTGTCCAAATCTCACCTCCAGGTGGATTACGTAGCCCGTCCCTCTCCACCACCTTCACCTAGTCTACTACTAGTAGTACAGCTCGTCGGGATCTTACGCAAGATGTTCAGGTCCCGATCCGCTTAGCTTCCGATATAGAGGAAAGTTAACCATACCGCGGAACTTCGTAAATAATCGAGATGATTTCACTTGGTCTGAGCGCCATTGATATCCTCTTTCGGTCATTAGAATCCCAAGGTCCTTATAGATTTTCGTGTCATGTAAGCTACACTACGATCTCTTTTTTTCCACGAGCTTTTTCTGTTCGGTGTTATAGCTAGAAAAGAAGAAGAAGAAGAAGAAGCAATTAGCTATGTACAGAAACACCATCAGGAATGGGAATATAATAATAATCGGAATAATGTGTACTTATGGAGTACCTACATATAGGTACAATATACGAAGGCGGTACAAAATATAAACCATATGGAATTTGTATAACCAGGGGCAAGAGTAGCTGGTCGCGTATGAATCTTTTGTGCTCGAAGACGACATGATCTAGGTGGGAGACTAAAAAAAGACGGAAAATGCGGAAAAGGGCTTAAAATGTGCCGATAAATTTTCAATTTATAACCGTGGGATCGAGCAAATCAACAAAGTGCTCACGGCGTGATTTATGATCTTGGAAGGTTGAATAAGAAATACTAACCGCAAAAACTAGGTGATCAGTGGAGATTGAAAATGAATGCCGGGACTCGGATACGCCGTTCTTGGCAAATTGGCACTATTTAAACATACCACATAGACCGTTATAGGACCCACGACGGCAGTCTCAAATTTTGGATCGCCAAGCGCGCCGCTGATTTTTCACTGTCTGTTGAGGACACCAACAGGGCAGTAGCTGCGGCTAAAGCAGCACAGCCGACATGGGCTGCATTACCCCCAACGCAACGCAGTGCCCCGCTGAAGAAGCTTGCTGCGCTACCTTCTATTACTTCGAGCTATTGAGCCGCCACCCTACTACCGGCAGACATGCTATCCTTCCGACGTTGCGGAAAGCACCAGTTTAAGTCCTCCCGGTCGCACAGTGGCTACCTGTGGAAAAGAACCCCGACCCACTCACTCATAGTCGACCCTGAGAGTTAAGACTAGAACACGAAGAAATGGAAACAGCAAACTCGGTTTTCAATATACAGTACATTCCTGCTATGGTCGCAAGCGGGAAGATCCGCGGATCCGAGTTGAGGCTCGAGCTCGGGATTTCTTCAGCGGCCAGTGCACAACACAAAGGCTTACTTTTTTTGCAGTCTTACATGATTGGCCGGCTTCAAGCCGTGCAGAATGCCGGCGTTCCCCAAACGAGCCGCGATTCGCTGTTGTTGATCAGTCGAGTCAGTGGAGGAGCTAGTCTCCATCCTCTACGGAGTACTCTATACTCTGTACTCATATGGGTCTTTTACGTGACTGCAATGCATAACAAAAACATTGGAGATCATTGCTAAGCATGGGTGGGGTTTCGTTTGGACAGTTATCCGAAGACTTTGACGCAAACCGGAGGCCTTGATGGATCATCCACCTTTAACTGAAGATCAGCCGAGGTAGCTAAGAAGGTAGTTTCTTAGTCGAGAGCGATTCAGGTTCAACCTTGTGACCACAAACTCTATCAACCCATATCAACCCATATAAGCATGAAGGCCCGACAACAACCAACTGCAATGATTATAGGAGAGGACGCGTATGCCCCAATCATTTTCTGAGCGCCACTTTATATTGATAGCAGGTGAGCTGGCCCAGCGGAGTCTCGGATTGGGGGAACACCGACGGATATAGTGCTCGACGGGTACGCGTCCTTGTCAGCCACATATGTGAAATTTGACTTCTACAGACAGGACTCTGTCAAGAATGTCTATGCGACTCGAGAAGCTCATTGCTATGTGGGGCACACACGTGTGGCGTATCCTTGAAGAATTTGCTGATTCGATCCGTGGATACGCTCGCTTGGAATGGTTCCCGAGGTCTTCTATGGGGGTCGTCAGCACCCCCAATACAAAGTCTCTTGGATATGGACTCCGGAAAATTCGGGATTAAACATCAAGCCAATCGGGCCTGAGGGAATTTAAACAATGGTTTAGTCCCGGCGAAAATGGAAGCGTTGTAATGAAGGCAACTGGCCACAGGTCAAACCCGTTAAAATGTTTTCTGACATTCGTTTTTGACCCCTTCTCCAGTTCAATCTTTTTGCATTATACCCTCTTTTCTATTTGTTAATTGCTCTTGTTCTTCATACATTCTCTTATTCTACAGTATAATCCATCCTATCGGCGTGGTTCTTGGACATCATCCATTTGGGAAGAGACTACAGCACAGCTCGAATCTGTCACAGCACATTTCAAGGTCATACATATTGATACCCGGAGCATGAATTATCAGAATTTGCGAATATTCAGTACATAATGCGCTCTCCAATCATCGGGGTCTTGTGGCTCTATGGACTCCTTTTGGCGACTACTATTTCTGGAGTCTGTGGAGATACAGGACCGAATTTCATGAGCGTGCGAAAGAATGTAACAAAAGAGTATAAAAGTGTACGTGAGATACCGACAGAGAAATACTTTCGTAAGTGCAATCTTTCCATCGATGTTGATCTGCAACCCCACAGGCTGGTTTAGAAGGCCATGCGGCCATGCAACCATGCAACCATGCGTGGATGGAACTCTTATTGAATTTTAACTGACTCGCGTGAACCCTACAGATGAATCAGAGTATGTCTAATACTTCCCTTCCTGTGAATAGTACCAGGCATGATCAGACCTAACCGCAATGCTCAGCTTCAACGATCATTATGACCGCCGGTACGCTCGTTCATTCTTCACTCCCAACCTTGATGTACTAACACTTCTCAGATACGCCAAATCCAGTCTCCCAGATACGGAAGTCATTTCATATCTCTCGGATCTAATTAAGACATATCTCACAACAATGAATGCAATCGGCGCAGAGACATGGATCATGCATGGGAGTCTCTTGGCCTGGTGGTGGAACCAGAAGGTGGGATAATGGATGTCCCGAATTCTAGGATGAAACAAACCATCTAACCAGTTGTATAGCTCTTTCCGTGGGATGACGATATAGACATGCAGATCTCTGAAGCAACGATCCATTTCTTGGCAGACTACTATAACATGACTGAGCATCATTTTGACCTACCTAACGTCGACGGTGGTCGTACGTACCTGCTTGAGATCAATCCCAATTATGTTGTCAAATCCGAGAGAGACACTTTGAATAAGATTGATGCCCGCTGGATTGATATGTCGTCCGGACTTTTCATTGATATCACCGCTGTCCGCAAGGATGAGAATAGGCGGTTAAACGGCCGTCCAAGAGCGCTGGTGTGCAAGGATAAGCATGACTATGACGTGGGTTGTCTTTTAGTTCTGTCTTTCTATTCTCACTAACGGATGATGTAGGAGAGCGACATCTTCCCACTGCGTGATAGTCTCTTCGAGGGTATTCCGGTCAAAATTCCATACGCTTATACATTTCTTCTCGAAGAAGAATATGGCCTAAGGGCACTTACCCAGACAAGCTTTAATGGGTAAGTCATCAAGTATTCCGATTTCTAGATTTTAGCTTGGTTGACTAATTGCTTTTAGCTACATCTTTGATGAACAGACCAAGATTTGGGTCCGCGATGTGAGTGCTATAACCATCATGTTTCCCATGGATGACTGGCTGATTCTCTTTAGCCCAAAATGCACACTTTCAATTGAACGAGGCTTGCGCGGTAATAACCTACCTATACACACCCCTACGCTCATTCCTCGTGTCTACATAGACGAAGCATGAGTAGACCACTCCAAGTGCATTCCTTGCATATGTGTTTTTTTGCGTATATCTAGCGTTGGTATATTTGAACTAGATATTATTATAAAAATATATATATATATTACTATCTAAGCCTCTATTTATCTATTTATTTCCAGGACTTCTAACGATCTATATAACTGGAGTCGAACAGACCTCCGGAGATATACCCAAACGGGACGGGGCCCCGAGACCAAACCCAGTGCTGAGTCATAGTCTTCTGGTTGGAACAGCTCTACAGAATCCGGGCAGCCAGTCACACGCCCGCATTTCCACGGCCCCAAGCGATGACTTGATGCATATACGATTACGATTTTGTACTTTTGCTAGTTATTCCTCGTTAAACCAACTAGACTTCAAAGAATGTGGGAAGCGATACCCGACTTCCTTACATCAGCGCTATGTCCTTCCCTTCAGCTTCCCCAGAGGAGCTGAATTTCTCGCCCGTCAACAATAATTCTCCAAATGCCTCACTACCTACGAACTTGACCGCCACTGCTCCCCACCGCGTGGCTGCGGAAGCCCCGAGCTCAACCTCTCGCAGCTGTGTAACATGCCGCCGCAGAAAAGTCCGATGCAACAAGAGATCGCCATGTTCGAATTGTTCCAAAGCTGGAATCGACTGCATCTTTCCCCCTCCTGGCCGTGCCCCACGCAAATCGAAGCGCCCACCTGACGCGGAGCTGCTTGCGCGATTGCGTCGTTTGGAGGGTGTTATCGATCATCTTAGAAGTAATGGTAATACAGAAGATGGATCAACCCCGAATAAGGCGCCGTCTTCTACAACTGGATCTTCGACCGCTCGGAGTGAACCAACTGCGCCCACGTCTGTTTCAGTTGAGCCACAGAACCAGCCTGATGTAGATCCCTGTCCTTTCGAACAATCAGATCCGAAGAAACTTGTTCCCAGTAAGTTTGAGAATGAGTTTGGACGGCTGGTCATCGATGAAGGCCGGAGCAGATATGTCAGCAATCGCCTCTGGACTAGTCTTGGGGACGAGGTAGATATCCCTCATTCCCTTCTTTGCTACTGTGCGTACTTTATACTAACATGTTTTAGATCGAGGAACTGCAAGATATTCTTGATCACTCGTCGTCAGAGGAAGATGATACACCTTCACCAGAGTCTTCTCAGTTGCGTTCACATGACGGTTTCCTTTTTGGATTCTACTCACTTTCACAGTCTCTTCAAGAGTTCCATCCCTCCATGTCCAACGTCTCCATACTTTGGGAAACATATCTCGAAAATGTGGCTCCTTTGATCACCATCGTACACAGACCGACTGCCAGAAAAATGTTTGCCGAGGCAGCACAGCACCCAGAAGCTCTGGACAAAAATTCAGAGGCGCTGCTCTTTTCCATGTATCTTTGCAGCGTTATCAGCATGAAACCAGATGACTGCTGGTTCAAGTTAGGTGAAGACCGAGCTACTGTTGTTAAGCGGTACAGGTTTGCTACAGAGCAAGCGCTGGCAAAAGCTGGGTTCTTGAATACCCAAAGCTTGGTCCTTCTGCAAGCTGCTGTCTTATTCTTGGTCTGTGTGCGACGGGAGGATGATAGCAAGTTTGTGTGGTCTATGACCTCGATCGTTTTACGCCTTGCTCAGGGCTTAGGCCTACACCGGGATGGCACCAATTTCTCCCTGAAACCGTTCGAAACAGAGATGCGGCGCAGATTATGGTGGCATATCTCGCTGTTAGATGTCCGTTCATCTGAAGACCATGGGACGGAACCGCTCATTAGCGAGAGAATGTACGATACTCGGCTTCCCTTGAATATCAACGACGAAGACATTTCGCCTGACATGGAAGATCCCCCCGAAGAGCGAGAAGGCTTCACGGATGTTACATTCTGCCTTATTCGCTGTGAGATCACAAGCGCTTTGCGAAGAGCAAATTACGTGTGTCCTGGGGCCCAGTTTCGTTCGCCTAACAGTTTACCGCCCATAGAGCGCGCTGGACGGATGATCAAAATTATCAGTGACCGATGTGAACAACGGTATATCAGGCACTGTAATATGGACATTCCCGCGCAGTGGTGTGCTGCCACAGTTGGGCGTCTGATCCTCGCTAAATTATGGCTAATCGTCCATCACCCAATGACCCGAAAAGACCGTGGAAATGTATTTCAAGCAACTCGAGACAGCTTGCTTGTAACGGCAATTGAGGTCCTTGAGTTTGGTCGCTTGCTTGAAACTGATCCCAAGACCGCCAAATGGGCCTGGCTGTCCCGGACCAATATGCAATGGCATGGAGTGGCATTCGTTCTGTCTGAAATATGCGTCCGACCAATCTGCCCTATTACCGATCGAGCTTGGAGCGCTGTGAGTTCTATCTACACGCAATGGGCCTTGCAGGCGACACATAAGAAGGGCATGCTGTGGCGGCCGCTCGCCGCCTTGATGAAAAGGGCTGCTGCCACCCGGTCTAAGCAACAGCAAGAATTGCTATCCAGTTTTGAACCAGCACCTACCGAAGCGAAGCCCATCCAAGGCCTCAGTAATGGCGATGCCCTTCCTCGCATTTATATGCCAACAGGGATGCTAAATTCACCCTCTCCAAATCGTCCAGGCTCAACAGAACCGGTTGAACATGATTTATACTCCGACATTGACCTCACCAATGGACCTTTGGATGCTCTCCGAGCTATGTTCCCTGGCACAAACATCTTTACACCGAACAATCTATTTGATGCTCCACCGGCCCAGAATAATACCCCGGCACCAAGCTTGCCCACAAGCCTTCCTGACAACACAGCCATGAGCGAACTGCCATTCTTATATCAGAATCCCCTTCCAGATGCTGCTCAGCCCAACTGGGAGGAATGGGACCAACTCATGCGTGATTTCCAGATGGATGTCGAAAATGATTCCCAGCCAAACAGCTTGACCCATGCTCATGTTGCGCAATGGTTTGTTTAGCCTTTTGATAAACGGCAGTTCCTTTGTCACCTGAAGCTTTCTGACATTTAATGATGTGATGATTTATGGCGTTGGTTACTGGATGATATCCCCCTCCCCTCACTGTTATCGTACTCCCCCCTTCTTCTCTCTTATGCGTCATATCAGCGACGCTGTATTGTGGCAATACTATATACCCAACATCAAGAACAACTTGAAGGTAAAAACACTATATAAATGCATCAATCAATGATTCTATCATTAAATCATTCAATAAATAGAATATTCGTTATCACTTAATTGTATACTTCCAAATCAGGATCTACTCCACCACGTGATCACAATGATACCAAGCTCCAAGCTGGCATCAACCACCACCTCCACTCCGCCATTGTCCTCCAAACCACCGTCCTTGAGCCAATTTCCCAGTGAAATCTGCCTCCGAGCTATCCAAAACTCATTCACTGCCAATTACATACACCCCAACATCACCGATCCCCCAAACCCCAAAATCATGGCTCCCAAGCGCCACGCGGCCTCAACTACCTCCGCGGCACCTTCTACACCCACGCCCACGCCCGCGCAAGCGCCCACAACCATAACACCGAAACTCTCCTCAGGCCCAAATACCCTCAAGACCAATGCCTCAGCTGCTGAAATCGCCGGCCATGTCTGGCAGCAGTATGCATCTACAACGCCGCAGCGGACACTCCTCCTAGATGCCTTCATGGCGTTCTTGGTTCTTGTCGGTGGATTGCAGTTTGTGTACTGTGTCCTAGCTGGAAACTATGTAAGTTGAAGCTCTGGCTGGTACAAAAACTTTTCAGGAAATCGTTCTTTGTACTTTCCTTTCCCCTCTTTTTGATCCCGGATGTGACTTGCAATTGGAATCTATAGACCAATAACTAACAACTTCTCTTACTTTTTAGCCCTTCAATGCCTTCCTCAGTGGCTTCAGTGCTGCTGTTGGTCAATTCGTCCTTACCGCAAGTCTGCGCATGCAAACTAGCGACAGCGGTGCTGGCTCTGCCTCAAAGCCGAGCTCTAAGGGAAAGAATGCGCGCTTTGCGGATGATAATGAAGAGCAGGGGAGTGGTACTTCGCATGAGAGGTGAGCGTCTTTCCCTTATTTTCTCCCCCTTGGTGATATACAATGCCACGAATACATATGCTGATCTCTAATTCTAGGGCCTTCGCCGATTACATCTTTGGAAGCTTGATCCTACACTTTTTCTGCGTCAACTTTATCAACTGAGCTGTGCTCGGCTCCCGAAGCCTCCGTTCAATACCATGCTGGCTCATTCTGTTTTCTGTCTGGGGTTGGTTCGTTTCGATTCCCAGATGGGGTGCGGAATGTTGCCTCTTAGATATCCTTCCACGTTGGAACTTTTTTAGCCTATCCTTGTTCTGATCTTGTACGCTTCGTCTTTGATCGAGGTGGAAGAAAAACGATGTTCATATTTCACCTATCTACTTACACATGATTGACTCGTTAGGCTCTGTGCTATTCATATCATTCTAGTTCGGAGATAGCCCCGGTGTAGAACAGACCATACTCGGAAATGAAATGGATGAGAACGCAGTGGCGGGTATCAATTGAACGAGATCCATCTAATAGATGGATTTAAAAGACGAAATGATGTTTTACAAACAGGGCACTCAAGTCCCCAATGCAGTCATTTTTCACAGCAAGACTAGAATGCACGTCCTGGTCTCCGAGGCACCGTAGGCCTCTTAACCACACTGCTTCCAGCACCACCCCCACCTCTTTCACGAGCTCCATCGCCACTAGCTCCCGGCCGCGAGGAAGATGAAGATGAAGCAGTCAACCCACCGATCTTACGTCCTGGTCTGATAATTGGTTTACGCACCGCGGACTTTCCGCCAACCTCGATTTCTGTTTTGCGACGGGCAGGATCGTTGCGTTCCTTCTCACGTAACTTCTCAGCAGCATCGCGTTCACGGTCAGCTGCCATCTGCTCTTCGATTTCCATGCGCTTGTTAAACTCGACTTCTGTCACGCGGCGGTCGCGCTTCGAGTAGCCTTTCTCTTTGACGGAGTAGTATACACCACCGAGTTCGGCGAGCCACTAAGAGAAACAAGTTAGTTAGGTACTAGATGACATACAGGCGGAAATAGGGTGGTAACTTACGTGAGGGTCAACGGCTGTCACTGTGCCCATGTATTCCTTCGACGTCAGCATCAATTCGTGGTAGACGACGTAGTCGGGCACGTAACCGAGACCGTAAAGGGCACTTGTGGGATGGATCGCCATTGTCACGCTGGTGCGGAGATTGATGAACTCGCCAATGCCCTTTGATCGTGCGGCTTGATGGTAGAAGCCCGAACAGATGCACTTGCGGATATTGTCCCAGTCTGTGCCGCAGCTGATGACGGGCATTTTTTGTTGATTCATGATGTCAGAAAGTTGGTCGCGGACTTCTACTGCGCGGCGGAGGTTTTTGGCGTTCAAAAAGTGCTTGGTGCACCAGGAATCAGAGTGACCGTTGGTTTTCCATTGATTATAAACATGGAGAAGGGTCAAGTGGTCTGATTCTGGAACGAAGAATTTCTCGCGGGCTGAATCGGATTCCTCCTGTCGTTCTTTGGGACGATAGAAGACATTTGGAACTGAAAGCATTGCGACGATGGTCAACATCTCTTCGCTGCACTGGTATTCATCGGAGGCCATGATTATGAGCTTGGCAAGAGGGGGATCCATGGGGAATGGTGTCATGCGCCGTCCTAGAGATGTAAGATTGCCCAGGTTGTCCAGAGCACCCAGCGACCAGAGCTCGAAAAGAGAGGTGGAGATTGTCTCCTGTGGGGGAGGATCCATGAAGTCAAAGTCCAAAAGGTCCTTCACACCAAGAGATTTCAGTAAAAGAATAGTATTGGAAAGACTGGTTCGCTGAATCTCAGGTATCGTTTGAATGTAAAGCTCATTCTTGTAGGCAGTCTCGGTGTATAGACGATAGGCCTTGCCTGGCCCAGTCCGTCCAGCACGTCCAGATCGCTGGTTTGCATTGGCTTGAGAAATCGGAGTGACCTGGAGACTGTCCATACCCATACGCGGGTTGTACACCTTTAGCTTTGAGTAACCTGCATCCACAACGAACATGATACCGTCGACTGTCAGACTTGTCTCGGCAATGTTCGTAGCCACAATTACTTTGCGCACGCCCGGAGCGGCCTTCTCGAAGATCTTTGCCTGTTGCTCAGCTGGCATTGAACTGTAGAGGGGTAAGACGCTAAGTTTCGGCGGATCATTCAGTTGCTTCAGCCGTTCTTCGACCAGCTCGCAGGTCGCCTCAATATCTTCTTGTCCAGTCATGAAGACAAGAATATCACCAGTGCCCTGGGATACATGAATGGCTAAGACCTGTTTGACCGCACTATCAACATAATCCTCACAAGGTGTGCGCGAGAAGTGAAGATCAACAGGGAATGTTCTGCCAGGAATGACGAATTCTGCGGCGCCGCCAAAGAAGCGCGAAAATCGTTCAGAGTTCATCGTTGCCGAGGTCACGATCAATTTCAGATCCCTGCGCCGGGCCAGAACCTTCTTGAGAAGACCCATCAAGACGTCAGTATTGAGAGCTCTTTCGTGTGCCTCGTCCATAATGATGCATGAGTATTTGTCAAGATCCCTCTGGGTGAGAGATTCTCGCAGTAATACACCATCCGTCATGTCTAGTATACAGATTAGCTATATGATCACACCAAAGTGCAAAGGGAGAAACTCACATTTGATCACAGTCTCATCACTTGTACAATCTTCGAAACGGATAGAATATCCGACGAGTGCACCAAGATCAACATCCATCTCCTCACTGACACGCTTTGCGACACTCATGGCAGCCACACGACGAGGCTGTGTGCATCCAATCATACCGAACTTAGAGTAGCCATCCTCGTGGAGGAATTGAGTTAGCTGGGTGGTTTTCCCAGATCCAGTCTCTCCAACGACCACCACAACTTGGTTATCCCGAATGATTCTCATTAAATCTTCGCGCACGGCAAACGCGGGCAGATACTCTCTCTGTTCGCGGATGGTCTTACTGTTGCTGAAAGCGCTGGCGCCGCCACCGCCTTTTTTCATGTGTTTGGCAAATTTGTTTCCTCCTTTGTAGACTTCCTCGACAGGCATAGCGACTGCGCTGTCTCCTTCGTCCTCCTTGATACCCATGAAGTTCCCCAGGGTTGTGCCGGCCATATTCGTCGCCTCTTGCGCTTGCTTTTGTCGTTCACGCTGCTGTCGGCGGTCATTAACGACCCTGCTTCCTTTCCGACTGAAAACCGCCATATCACTTTGCGGATCTCGGACAGCGGAGATTGGCTCCAGTTGCTTCGTGAAGATCGTGCGGCCATCGAGAAAAGGCGGACGGAGGTCGTGGGTGAGCAAATGCACTCGAGTTGCCTCTTCATCTTCGATCATGAAGTCGCCCTCATGGTCTCGTCGTTGTGCTACACCAGAGGTGAGCATTCGATTGGTCTCCCAGGTGTCGATATCCTTCCGTTTTGCGTCGCGCAAGCCTGGAGGGAGATGTCCAAAGCCCTTGTGCTTTTTGGCCGGAGGACCCATATCGTTGTGGGACATGTCGTTCGGCCGGACTTGCAAGCCGGGTGTAAGCCTGTGGTTATTCGCAATGTACGACCCGGTCTGGTCTACGTGAGGTTGAGTTTATCAAGAAGTGAGTTCCTCGAGTCGAACCTCTTTCCTATCTATTGGCTAGCGCGATCTCACCGCTTTTGATTGCCAGAAGAGCTACCACTCTCCCAGTCCAGTTTCTAGTCTTCCAAAAAGACAATATCATCAGCAGATATTAGCTTCTATTTATGAAGGAGGCAGCTCCTTGGCAGCCTTGACAACCCGAAGCAATCTTATCTTTACATTGCAGAATACCTAAGAGTGGTGGAGTCGAGCTGATCGTCTGCTCACTATCGCAATCAAACATTGCAAAATGCGATATCAGTCATGTGACTTATGAGTTACTTCATTAAGAACATATAATTAGTAGAAGAAAGTTAAGGCAATGATTATTTTAATAATCCTGAAGTTAGTTTGAATATTTGAGTAGATATATGTGAGATTCAGAGCTAGATTGACTATGTATGGGGTATGGGGTGTGAGGTGCATCAAAAGCCCTATAATAGCGGCCTCTGCCAACACCAAAAAGCAATCGCCCCGCATCGTCATCTCAATTTCTCGAGCTTCCTCGTGCCGACCACAGCGTGTCAAACAGCCATCATGTCTAGCCAAAAACAGATTGACCCTAAGAAGCAGCAGGGTATACCTTTCCTATTACCCCTGCAACCCCTAAGAATTCACGCAAGCTGATCCAAACCCCTCAATCCAGAGCTTCAGTACCAATACACCAACTTCAAGAACACCCTTCAGCAATTAGCACAAAAGATCGGTGATATTGAGCAGGAGGCAGAAGAACACAAGTGAGTCATTACTAGGCGTATGCGCTATTCCAGTACAGTGGGATCTTGCTGGGGTTGAATCGGGGGCTACACCACGAGCGAGCACAACCAGCGATGTCTTAACGAACATGAATAATGCTAACATCTATTTCTCTAGACTTGTGATTGAAACCCTCGACCCTCTCGACGCAGACCGCAAATGTTTCCGCATGGTGAATGGCGTTTTAGTTGAGCGCACTGTCAAAGATGTTCTTCCTACCCTCAAGACCAACTCGGATGGGTTGAAGCAAGTATTGGAAGATATGCTCAAGCAGTATAAGTCAAAGCAGGGTGAGCTGGATACCTGGAAGGTAAGCGCATCTCATGTCTCACGGCTGTTCCTCAGCCTGAAACCGTATCCTGGAAACTTTGATATGGTCAGTGCTGACCTTAGTTTCCCCTTTGCAGAAGAAGAACAACATCCAGGTTGTGCAACCTTAGTGGCATTCCTTTTCTCTGTATTCCTTCAATTTACGTGTTCCCGGGTGGTGCTATCTGAGTGCAAGAGGCACCGGCGTTACTGGGAACGGCAAAAGACTAGACATAATGCAGCGTTGATTTGTACTTTGATGTCAAACTTGCAAGATGAGCTCCTTATCATAGTAAAAAAAATTATATACCCATAAGTTCTGAATCATGAACGTTTCAGCTGGGGCTCTCGGACCTCAGTAATGTCATGAGATAGCAGAGTCTTAGCTTAGGGTTGCATATATCAACCCAAGATAACTTGAAAAAAAAAGCCATAATTGATGCCTAACTCAAGCCATCCATCTAGTCGACACTTTAAGATTTGACAAAATTAGATATGTATGTACCACAATGTAGGTTTATGGATACGATAGTTGAGGATGCAAGCCTGGATGCCTGACTTGATAGCAAATGACCCAGGCATTATACTATGTTGGGCCCTGAAGAACCTAACTTATTGGATATGGATCCACACTAGAATACAATAAATAAGGAAATGGAGATCTGAATATCTGGTTGGATTTCAGCTTCTTTAGATCTGTAACGATAGTTGCATACATATGCATTAGTCGCACCAGCTAGTACGTCATTACACTAATAGATAATGCCTTTGAATGGTATATACATATGTGCGTTTGGGATATAGGAAAAGGCCAAATAAATAAGAAACTATAAGTAAATATTAAATATCCTAACAGTTGAGAGCTACTCCATACCAAAAAAAAATGGCATCCTTTAAGCCCTACAGGGCTATTTTGGCGGGGTAGTATTGTCAGTCATTCTTTGTTTGATTCAAGCTGATTCAAGAAATTTGTGTTTTATTGCTCTCCAATAGTTGGCACCCAACAACTTCGAAGTAGTGACGTTGGTACGTGACCAAACCAACGGCGTTGATCTGCCACTTCTGGTTCGCCAATTGACCTCCCCCAGATCCTTTTCAAACACCTTAACTTTAGCTCCGATCCAAGGCGAATCAGATTACATTTAGAAACTCTCCCGTTGCGAGTTGGAAAGTTGGGCTCTCTCTCTCTCTAATCCGACCCACCTTCCCGAGGATCACTGCGGTCACTGCGCGTTGCATCCGCGTCATCTTCACTGGTCCAAATTCTGCCTTGAATTTTTGAGGCGCATATTTGGTGTTGGTATAGCGGGTATGTGATCGCGTTGCATACTGAAGTCTGATTCCTGTCTTTAGAAGTGCCCCCATACCATTTCCCAGATACGAGGCTAATTGGTGCCATTGCGCGCGTCGCAACAGAGCTACCTAATATCCTGCATTATTATCAACCCCCCCTGGGCTGACGCCATCATCAAGGCTACTGTAAATTGGTTCGTACCCAGCCAATACAACCCTGCCTACTTCTGGCGCAGTTGGTTCTGCGCCTGAAACGGAGGCGATCGCGCAGCATTGGGATCTGACGTGGTCTGACAACAGAGCACGCGAAACACAAGCATTGACGCCCAAGCCGAGGATCGGATCCACCGCACGTATTCCAAACCACTCATAATCATGTCGAACTCTCCTTCAAAGGACCCTGAACTTGACCCCGAAGCGCAATCGGGAGAAGAACACGAGCACATGGACAAGGACCATCACGACGTGCAGGGACACCCGGGCGAGTTCGAGGTGAAGGAGCAAGATCGGTGGCTTCCGATTGCAAATGGTATGTCGCATCTCCTTGCATTTGGCCTTTTGTTCCGATTTGCGCGTACCTTGCCTTTGCACGCTGATGGGTCGGTCACTCCTGTTTCCCCCGCATTTTTGGTCTTGTACAAAGTTCCTCCCGGTTCTTTTCGTCGGAGGTCCATATATGCAAACAGGATGTCTTTTCCAGATGCTTTTATCGGTCGCATAGCTCATATATCCAACCCTTCTCATTACACTACCCCGCCTTTTGACGAGATCATGCAAAACAGCAACCATATGTCTCCACATGTTAACATCACTGATCTTATTTAGTGGCTCGTATTATGAAGTTGGCCCTGCCTGAAAATGCGAAGATTGCGAAAGAAGCCAAGGAATGCATGCAGGAATGTGTGAGCGAGTTCATCTCATTCATTACAAGTGAAGGTGAGTCTAGTTCTTGTTTGGTCTAAGTTACGAGATAAACTAATCGACCATATACGCAGCCTCGGAGAAATGCCAGCAGGAGAAGCGCAAGACAGTCAACGGCGAAGACATTCTATTCGCCATGACCTCACTTGGATTTGAGAACTACGCCGAAGCCCTCAAAATCTACCTATCGAAGTACCGCGAGGTAGAGTCCCCTGAACCCCAGGATTCTTCCGGGACCGAGCCTCGAGCAGTTTTTAACTCCGAAATAATATGTACTAACTTGACCCCAGACCCAATCTGCACGTGGTGAAAACCAAAGGCCCCCAAGCGCTGGATATGGAACTGGGGGACCTGTCGGTGGCCCTGGTGGACCTCCAGCTCGTCCCACAGGATTCCCCGATGCCGAAGGTGCAAATCCCATGTTGAACCCCAACCTTGACCAATCCGAGCAAGATGCCTCCGCTTACGGCTATCCCTCTATGGTCGGTCAGCCTCACAACGGTGCGGGCGGCGAGTCATACTAAGGTACGATGTGACGGAGTTGGTCGAGGGACACTGTACCCGATTTCGATACAGGACGCATGTCCTTGGTAGCACTAACGAGGCAGATCCAATGGGAGCGTGTGTGAAGGCATCTTCTGCTTCTTTCTTTGATGTTCATCTGCAATGGTCTCTCGACTGGTCGATTTGTTCGCGGGAGTATCTAGAGGGTTTGAGGGCATGGCTTTTTTTTTTTTTGATTTCGGCAGATTATGATTTCCATCGGGCTTTGAAGTTTTGATTTTGGAGTTTTGCGGCGAATCATAGGTGGAATGAGGACATACATATCTACGACAGTACGAGGTGCAGGAGACGAGACTGAGACTGAGTCTACAATCTGTACATTCCAACGTTGGAGTAAATGCAATATTCCCCCTAACTATATGTCTTGTTTTGCAAGATCTCACTGTTCCGATTGTCCGTATTTAGCCAATCTGCATGTGTAAAGGCGCCCGAGAAGTTCAGCGGGGCTCCAGAGCTGTTCCACCTCCGCGGGGCATCAGCCAGCGCTCCTTCAATTCATTTACCCGGCATATTCAAGACTCAACCCAGAGGCACCTGGTATACTATTTTTGTCCACCTGCACAATTATCTTGCATCATTATATTTTTGTTAGAATCAGCTTCCAACCTTGAGAGCTCAAGATTCTCTAGCTATTACGTCATTGGAGAAGCTGAGATTCACCTCAGACATTCAAGATGAGCACCGGCAACAAGATCCTTCGCGTGGGAATAATTGGGTAAGACACCCATTGCCAAAGGGCTGCATACATAGATATTAATTTTCAAGCCAGATGTGGCGAAATCACCCAAGTTGCCCATATTCCAAATCTGGGGTTCCTCTCGGATTACTTCCAAGTCACCTACCTCTGTGACATCTCCGACAATGCGCTTTCACACTGTGCCAAAAAGGTCATTGGAGGTACACCCAAGACAACCCGCAAGGCAGAGGAGCTCTGTGCCTCGCCGGACGTGGACGTCGTGATGATAGCCAACAGCGATGCATTCCACGTTCCGCACGCGCTACTGGGCCTGAAACACGACAAAGTCGTCTTCATCGAGAAACCCATGGCTCTCTCTCTGCAGGATACAGATCAGCTCATTGCGCTCGAGAAGCAAACATCTGGAAAGGTGATGGTGGGATATATGCGGCGATATGCGAGTGGGTTCATCGACGCCGTTAAGGAAATAGGAAGCTTGGATCAAGTGTGCTATGCGCGCGTGCGAGATATCGTCGGCCCGAACTCTGATTTTGTTGGTCAATCGGGCACGTTTCCTAAGGTTTTCTCTGATTACAGAGCGGAGGATTCGAAGGAACTTTCAAGCAAGACAAACGAGTTCCTCGAACAGGCTTTGACGAGGGAATTGGGAATTCCGGTTACGTCTGATACTGCTGCGCAGTGGAGGCATTTGGGGAGTCTGGGCTCCCATGACCTTAGTGCCATGAGAGAGGCTCTTGGTATGCCGACGGCTGTGCTTGGTGCTTCCTTGTGCTCTGCGAAGGGTCCGCCGTTCTGGAGGTAAGTTGTGGATTCTATATCCATGGTTCCTGGTGATATTTATGTTGATTTTTCTCCAGTGCCCTTTTCCAATATCCTTCTTTTGCTGTGTCTTATGAGTCTGGGATTGATTATGTCTCCCGTTTCGATGCGTCGATTGAGGTCTTCGGCGGAAATAAGACTGTCAAGATCTGTTTTGATTCGCCTTACGTCAAGGGGTTGCCTACCACTATGCACATTCGTGAGAAGTTGGAAGACGGCTCATTCCGGGAGTCTATGGTTCGGAAGACATACGAGGATGCTTATACTTTGGAAATGAAGGAGCTTTATGCATTTGTTGTTGAGGGTAAGCCAGCTAAAACTACGTCGGAGGATGCTAGGAAAGACCTTGAAATCTTCGGTATGATTATGAAGGCGGGTCTGGAAGGACAAGCTAGACTTAACAAGGTTGTTCGAAACTAGACATGTTGTGTACATAATTATGTATGGAAGGATTGATATCATTAGAAAACCAAAAGAAGATTCCAGAATTAAAAAGGCATTGTCCGTAAGCGGCCCGGCAGCTTGAGATCAAACGATCCAGGTGGCATTCATTGCGCCAAATGCCGCCAACGACAATCGCTAGCCCCAAATGCCTGCCCATCCATTCATCAACACTGGGCAGTGCCATTTCTCATGTGAAGTGAAAATAGGAAACTGAAAATAAAAGCATTTACCCTTTATATCCATCAAGATCAACAGCAATAGTTTCTATTCGGGTGCTTTTCCCCAATGACCCGTTGGACCATACTGTGTAGGGACGCTAGGCCACTCATCAATTCCGTCCAAAATTGCGAGTCTAGAAGTTTGGTTAATACATGTCATACAATGCGAACATCAAGATGGGGGTAACTTACGCCATTCCTCCAGTAAGGTGTGGATCGATATGGCAGTGGAGAAAGAAGGCCTGTCTGGTTAGCGAAAACTGTGAGAGATTCTATATAGAATTATGTCTTACTCCGGGGTTTTGCACTATTCAATCCAGCCATGTAAGCTTTTTGATTCTCAACCCAAAAAAGGAGAAGATAGAAAGAAAAACGATTGAGGACCTACCATGATAGCGAACTGCCAGCCAGCTTGGCCTTTGCAATGCAAGAAGCGTTGTGAAGGTATCTATCCCATCCATCAGTTTCCAGCACTCGAACAATCACAAGTAAAGCCGTATCATACCTCTCATTGGAGGGTCGACCAGATTAAAATTCCCTGGGATTTCCTGTTCGGCTTCTGCAACAGAAGTCCAATTGAACTCGCCCATACCAGCACCCTTGAAGACACTGGTCAGAATCCAAACACTGAAAAATTTACACCCAAAGAATGCATTCAAGTTAACTCACGAGGACATAAACCATGTTTGAATGCTTGTGAATCGGATGACCAGGTTGGATAGTCGATTCGTTGCCAGCCAACGCGAAGATAATATCTACCCAAGTATCGTTTTTCGTAGTGATAACCAGGTCACTGTGTGCATATGATTCAGGGTCCCATAGCATTGGCTTCTCTGACTCCAGAGACAGATCGTACGAATGGTATCCATTGAGAGACCACTTCCAGGCTTTTTCAATACGACCAATGTGGAGCAGAAAGGTTTGGTCCACTTCATTGCTAGGTTTACTTGGAATAAGCGGCTTAATCCTAGTCTGGTCCAGCACAACGACATCTTTACTCCTACTGTTTCCACCGTAGTTGATCGAGGGTGTGCCCACGACGGAGGAGTCACCGTTGACATAGGAGAAAGTGCCGTACCCGGCAACCTTTTGGTTGAGTCCTGAATTGGCTGCTGTTATCAGATAATCGCCTGGCGTGTTGTTCAATTGAACTAGAACCGAGTAGCGAGCACCGATACTGATTGACAATGTCTAGAAAAACATTCTTAGTCAGTGCGATATTCATAACTTTGCGGGACAAAGTAAGATAGATAGTATCATACATCAACTTTGGTGGGTACGATGTATCGACCATCAACTTCATATACCCAGAGAGAATGGTTGTTGATAGAAACTGAATAATTTAGTAAATAGTCTCAGCTTTCAAGGTTGTTCCTCTTGAAACTTAATAAAGGACAACAACAAACATACCTGCTGGGACGGAGATCGATGCGGAGCCGATGAGATTGAGGCTTACCCAACCCTTGTTGGGATTAACTTTTACCACTTGCTCCATAGACTCTGTGGCATTGCATTGGTCAAACATGGATGGTGGTATTGCGGTGAAGTTATGCTGAGCAAATGCTGTTTGAGAAAGGGTATTTTGAGCCGGAAGACATCTTATATTGAACTAAGCGTCAGCTTTCTGACCAGCACTTTGAGAGTTATCACATACCCTTTTGCTGTGTAGTTCATACCCTGGAGCAGGGGGGCCAGTAGTGGAGTAGCCAGGGTGGTCAAATAGACAGGGTTGAGGCAGCGCACTCTACCTTTGCCATTGATCAAGATAGAATCCGCACATCTTGAATTATTATAAGCCCATTTTCTCACAATTCCTTTTGTGGAGCTTACAATGTATCAATATTTGCAGAGATTGCAATGTCTCGGAGCTCTTCTGATGTATTGTGGTACCAATCGGAAATCATCAGCAATTCGGGGTTACGAATGGCATTGTGGATTTGATTATGTTCCTGTGTGTCGTTTGATATCATACTAGCCAAATTTGTAGGAATTTCTCGTGGCCTAGGTTGTAATTATTCAGTATGCGCAAACAGGTAGTGTTTTAGTTTGGATAGGTCTGAACAAACCTAATATAAATCGGCCCATACATGCCATCCATTATTTGACCTGCGCAATGCGAATGATACCTTCAATATGTTAGCAAAATAGGACTCATGATCAAGACAATCCACTCACCAGTATGTTCCGTATTGTGAAGCAGTAAATTTGTAAACAAATCTTCCGCCAGGGGGAATAAGGCCCTGTGAGACTCCAGGCACACCATCTGACCACGATGTTCCATGTTGCCTGTTTTTGTCTTAGTGGTGAGTCAAGTTATTTTCCATGAAGACTCACTCAATACCATGCCAATGTACCGTGGTGTTAAATGGCATGTAATTATTCACTGTCACCTCAACATCGTCATCCTCGTCAAATATAAGAGGGGGCCCAGGGAATTGGTCATTAATTAAGGCTTGTTGGCGCTCAAATCCATCGGGCGCCTTGGTGCCCCAAGTTATATTGAGCTCGAACTTCTTTGTTGGGCGAGGTGGAACAGTATATAAAGCGGCAGCTAGTCCGATGAAGCAAAACACGATATACGGTTTCATATCTATCGGATTGAGGGCTCTTTGACGCCGCACACACATAAGAATAATAAAGACTGATATTACAATGAGATATTAGGAATATCCTCGAATAGTATGAATCTACACGAGGGAAGTGTGGAGTTCTTAAGAGCTAATCTGTATACACTTGGGCCGCAGCGTGGTAAATGATGCAGGGGGATATAGTTCCTCCGTAGTTCGCACAGCTTCAAGTTCGATTAAACCAGAAATATTGCTCTGAGACTATGTATGCATGTTCCCGCACAGAGCATGCTCTGTTATGTACGCTATATCTCTTTCGTATTTATGTATGTAGATCACTGACGTGTTGTCCCGGGGTAATTGGCTGGAAGTGAAAAGCTTCTGTTACCCGATGGGGCGTTCATCAGCCTTGCCCACTTTTTCGAGGAAACCTGAGGTCTATTTCAAATAGCTCGGAACGACTCGGCTCAGTATGCTATCTTGAGACTCGGCTTTGAGGTCTGGGCCTTTTTAGTTTATATCACATACCAAAGTCTTCAGTCGAAGGAGTCAAACAGATGCTCTTCACAACGAGAGCGAACAAGTGAATGATGATGCTGCCGCTTATAAGTCAAATTATTTCCTAGTAATGATTGAGCAAGGATCTCGAATCGCAGATCATATTCTAGCAGCCAAGAGCTGAGCTAGCATAAAGTCCGTGCGGCGTAAAAATGAAGTACGGAGTATATTTATCTATCGGTAGTTAAACAATCCGATGTAAATGTCTCACTAGGTACTTAGCATTGGCCCCTTTAAGTTTCTGATGAAGATGTCAGCCGAGGGATCAACGACAGAGGTCATGACACTATAAGGAAGTAAAGCCGATATAGTCTGTAGTCTCGCAGATCTTCCGTTCGAGTACACGTCTAGTGTTGTGGCGCACCAATAATAGGTGACAGGACCCACTATGTGTACGCTATATCTTCCCGAGGTCTTATCTTCTTTCCGTTCTATCCGTTTTGGTATATTCTTGATCGAGAATAGCCACTTATGCGGTCTTGTTTTGTTTTTTTTAGGTGGCTTCTTTCCTAGTTATTTCATTTAGCGGTATTGTAGCTAGTAGGAAGATAAGTATAGAATATAGGCGGTGAAAAATATGTGATGTGTGAAAAGTCGATAGTTAGTTATACGAAGTGTGCATTGCTCTCCATATTTTCAAAATTCCTCTACCAAGCGATTATTTGGGGCCTGGGAGCCTTAGGCGTGCATGATGACAGGACCATGTACGGAGTAGTTGGCTACATAGTACATATGTAGTTATATAGCTCCCTTCTTCCCCCTCTCGTCTCCTTGTTTCTCCCTCCCGTCCACTTTGTTGCATAGGAATCACACACTCTTTCTCTTATTGAGACTGCCCATGGTGTAATAATCACTAATTAGTCAGATTGATCAGAATCTATTGACAAAACCGTCAAGAAATGTGGGATTTCGGGGGAACCAGACCATATCGCCTCGGGTGTTCAAGATAAAGAGGAGATATTGGACTAAGATGAACTTGAGGGACCCGTCCCGTGCTTCAATACATGATCAGCCTGGTTATTTGGTACAAAATATGAATTTGGTGAAATAAGCTTGAACTCAGTGGGCATTTACTTTCGATACTTCACTGTTACACTCCTGCTTAAAGCATCGGATATACCAAATATGGAACCTATCGCCCATTGGAAAAAGACACCCCAATTTGTTCTCCAGGATGACTACAGAGAGATATCTTAAGTCTTTTCGTTCATTCGATGCTTATTCGATGACACATATGGCGGCGAAACAAAAGAACATATTCCCGTTCGTCAGTCAGAGATATGGTTTGCAAGGTAAATACACTGTTCGACGAGTCAAGCGACGGCAACTTTGTTGAAATACGCCAGAGATTATAATAATTTATATACATTGACCTGCAGTATGTCAGACTACTAGACGACCACTTTGTCGGCACGGATGACAATGGGAAAGTTATACTCAGCACTCACAACCATTTATTAGCTATTATCGCAGAAATTGCTGTCCCCATTTCTCATGAGGTCAAAGGTTCTTGCGGGCTTCTTTTTGCGGCAAAAATAGCAGCCAGCATGGTGGAGATGTTCGAACATGGGCGTTCGCTTGAGTTTGGGTTTTATCTTTACGGCAAACTTTGAAGATAGTGAAGAACCGCAGGTGTCGTTAACTAAAGACAAATCTGAGCTAAAACACAAGCGGCTAGCAAGACTTTCTAGGGTGATTAAAAAATAATGATAATTATTTTTCAAAAAGATTAAATAAAAAAAGATAGAGAACGACGGCTGCATGGTTCGAACATGCGCCTCCGAAGAGAATTGATTTCAAGCTGCAGGCATTGTTAGTAAATATTGATGGATTGGTTTTTTATTAGAGAAACGCACTCAATCGCCTTAGACCACTCGGCCAAACCGCCGTATTTGGAGTATCTTTCAAGAAATGGTATTACCAATTGCATAGGGTGAGGCTGTAAAGCGTTAGAGCTACTGCTGGGAAGAAAAAGGAGGAAGAATCGTGATCCATTCAATTTATAGAAAGCAAAGGTAAATAGTATACTCTGAGAAACTAGTAAATAAATGCTTGGACTGCTAGCAACCATTGGAGATGGGATCATCCAACATAAAGGATACTTGGGCACATCGGATGATATGAATTTTCTACCTTCGAAGTAGCTAAATAAAGAGAAAGGATACAGCTATATGATATATATTTGGCTTAATTGATCTCACTAGGACTAATTCTAGACGTCTAATGTGAAAGAAAGGGTGGGATTTACAAAATGCATTACATATAATAGTTATATATACTCCGTAGATTATATGTAGAAACACATTATGTACATACTTCCCTCCCTGGTACTCTTGATTATTCGCTAATGTTTGAAACAGACTTCCTTTACACCACATGCATCTTCTTATGTCCTTCCTAGTTACCCCGGGGGATAGGATAGTTTTTTACACCTATCATAGGAAGTGTCCTCTGTGTGGGAAACTCATACAAAAGATACATAATTATAATTTATATATTTTATGTTTAGTGAAAGTTTTGTGTCGGCGCACATACCATGTATGGTGGTGTTGAGCGCTTTGCATAGGAGAAGACCAAAACATACTTGCATTGACTGAGAAAATAAGATATATCAAATCCTATGCAACTCCCGAGGAATATGACCCTGTGATACGATTTCGGCCCATTTTTTACATAATCGGCTTCTCCGCATCCACGTGAGTCTCCACCAGAGACCCGATCCCGCAGTTCCCTCAACTTCCCGACTTTTTTTGTTTCTTTATTTTGTTGTTTGTCGCATTATCCCCGGAAATCGGTTCGGAGTTCGCCCGTGATGCCTTGAAGTGACTAGTGTTGGTGACTCGAATAATGCAGAATCGTGGCCGATTTGGACGAATGATGTCAATGGTACTCCTGCCATGTCCTCAGTCAACGATAACGCCCCCTCGCCGCTCCCGGTGGATGGGGTGAGCAAGCGCAAACAAGGTAAGCGCTTGTGCAAAGCCCCCTGTCTGCCTGATCGTTTCGCATCTTGATTTGTGGTCTCTTTTCTCGGTTATTGGTTATTTTTTTTTTGCGTGACCAGACTCGCTGACCGGTGACTCAAAAAAAACTCTTAGGCTCCGCAGCTTGTGTCCACTGTCACCGGCGCAAGGTTCGCTGCGATGCCCGTACCGTCGGGACACCCTGCACTAACTGTCGCGCCTCCGGAAAGGCCGACTGTCGCATACATGAAAAGAAAAAGCGTCTTGCCGTACGCTCAATCCTAGATCCCGTCCCGATCCGATCTCGGCCTCTCCCCACATCTGATCACACCTCAAACCCTGCCCTCGCAGCGGGGACACCACTACCACCAAGTTTTCCAACCGCATTCCAAAGCGGCCATGCTACACCAATATCTGGGGGCCTTGCGCAACATGGGTTTCAGCAAGGCACGGGGTCGGAGACATTTGGCCACCATGGCCCCGATATGGCGCATGCCCATGAGGCACATACGGAGATGGAGCAACATCTCGTTAAATTGATAGATGAAGAAGAATCCGGCAGAAGAGAGATCCAAAGAGGCGTGCGTGCTTTCTATGTCGGGCATGAACATTCGAACATGTCATTCTTGATCCGACAACAACGAGAACAAGATGACGATGTATACCATTTTGCAAGCAACGAAATACCACGACGTCAAATGAAGACGGGTCATGATCAGCTTCTTATGGATGCTCTAACACTTCCAGAACCGGCTCTCGCAGATGAATTGGTCCAGGCTTATTTCACTTATGTCAACCCGGGATACCCAATTGTCGACGAAGATTTATTCATGACACAATACCGGAATCGGGATCCTGCAGATCCCCCACCTGTTTTACTTCTTCAAGCAATTTTGCTGGTTGGGGCGCATGTTTCTCGTACAAAAGTAGAGCGGGACCCTCTCAAAGAAATTTTCTTCCGTCGCACCAAATATCTGTTTGATAATCGCATTGAGCGAAATCGTGACATTCTTGTTCAAGCGGCCCTTCTTTTGACATGGCACTCGGATCGCGCAGATGATGATGTTGCTGCAGATGCTCACTTTTGGGTTGGTGCGGCTGCACGTATCGCCACGGGACTTGGAATGCACCGTAATCCTGTTTCCAGTAGCTTCGTGACTCGCGATCGGCGAATGTGGCGAAGAGTGTGGTTTATTTTGGTCCAATTTGATGTGTTGATTTCCCTGTCATATGGCCGACCTCAAGCGATGTAAGTCATTCCAAACGGCCAACTTGGCAGCAAATACTAACCAAGTTTCAATTTAGCAATCTGGACGATTCCGACGTTTCTCCTTTGACGCCCGCTGATTTTGAGAATTGTGGTCCTCTTGTACAAGCAGAATACGTGATGCATTTCACCGAGCTTTGTACGATGATCTCGTATCTAATTCGCGATCGATTTGGACTTCGGGCGAGTGAGGAACGGCGAAAGGCTGTTCTTCAAGAAGCTGACGGGTCACTGGCAAACTGGTCTTTAAAACTTCCTGATAATCTTCGGCTTCGCGCATCTGATATGGATCCTTGGTCCGCCATGCTCCATTTGACCTACAACAACTTCCTCATTCTGCTGCATCGACCCCACCCCAGAGCCTCGGCCTATTCCGATGACTATGGTCCTCACGACGCAGAAATTTGCAGTGCGGCCGCCGGGGTTATAGCCTCAATATTCGAGGAGCTTAGGATGCATGAGCGTTTGAAGTTCCTTTGGTACACTGGCGTCCATACCCTCTTCACGGCCATGATTCAAGTCCGAGTTGAACTCCGCTTCTCCAATCCCGTTCTTGCCATCAATGCCTTACGCCGCTTTGATTCTGCCTCTTACTCGCTGCGCGAGTTAGCTCAATACTGGGCTCATGCTGGCACAATCCTGCGACTCTTCGAGGACTCCAAACGTCTACAAGAGGATCTTAGGATGGCAACCACAGAACGACCCAAGCAGTTCGGCGACACACATCATTCGCACAAGATGCCCATTGCCTCTCCTGTTCCATCAATTAACATGCAAACCCCCGGACCACTCTCCTTCGGTGTGCCTACTCCCGAATCCACCCCTCTCCAACAAACCAATCTCTCACCACAACCCAATCCTCCCCAATTCAATAATTGGATTGCACCTCTCCGGCTTAATGTTGGCCCGCTGGAAAGGAACGATCCTTTCTCAAGCAGCATGCAAGTGGATTCCATCGAACCAGCTCGCGACTACCCAGACTGGCGACAGCTGTTCTCATTCGGTGATGTAGATCTACCTCCCCCTGTGGGAGGTGAAGGTCTGCCCGACCTTGAAGATGAATGGCGACAGATCTACTGGCAGGATGCCCCAATGGCAGATCTCATTCACGATGGAGGATGGATACATAGCTAGCTTTGACTCGCTACTTCTGGTTGATGACTGTATAGAGCTGTCATCTTTTCCTCGCCTGTTCTCCATATACCTTTTCTACTTTGACGACGAGACGAGCCATGCCAGGGCACGCAGATACACGATACATTTTAGAGACCATGTCAGGCCACAGACACCTACAGGCGCAGCCTATGATACCATGTCACCAACGACCACATACAATGATAGAGATATACCATGTCATATAATTGAAAATAGTGATGTCGGATAAAATCAGTTGGGGCCTTTTTATATCTTGAATCAATCACCTAGGCAAAGTATCCATGGATATATACGCGAGTCTTCCAGATCGCACCCTATATGCGTCTTCGCTAATTGCTCAAGAAAACTGCAAATAAATCAGAAATCGAACCGAGGCTCACCTATGCAGGAATATAGAAATGAAAGACAAGACCTAGCCAAACACAAACCGCCGCCAATTATCTGCAAGTATCTGAACACCGTGCCGCAACTCCCACCCACGTAGTTTACAAACCTGTCGGGTCACATCTTCTAGCATCTCATCCATCTGCGCACCTGCAACATGGAGATCACTTTCAATCAGGATACGGTCCTCAGGCAAAGCTTTGATAACATCGCCAACCTTTTTCTCAGCAGGACCGGAGAAATTGATAAGTTTCGAGAAAGAGAAATAAACATCTGACGGATTCGACTGATGCAAGAACTGGCGAATGGGCTCAACCGAACCAGTATAAGAGTGCATGCAGATGCGAGGCGGAAACGGCCGATACAATTTCCCATTGAGGTCGGATACCCTGGTAAGCTGAAATCTGTCCAGCGTTTTATCTTCGTCTTCGTCTTCTTCATCGTCGGATACGGCGCCTTGTGCATCCCGCTGCTTGTCCCTCTTCCGTCGCGATAGCACAACCCGTTCATGTCCTGCCCAGAGCTCTTTGAGGACCTCGAAGACCCCGCCATGCGCTTGCACACTGTGCAGCGATACGGCACGGTTCATTTCTCCCGCTAGCTGTAGCTGCGCTTTTAGCACGGTGCGCTGGTGTTCCGGCTTGACGCGGTAGTTTGAGAGACGTCGGCCCTCGCGCGAGCCCGGGGTAAGCTGGTCATCTCTGTTGTCGATATCTATTAGAGTCCATGGGATTGGGAGTCGGAATGACCTGTCTAAGCCGACTTCGCCGACTAGCGCATTCGGGAACTGCTGAAGTCGGTTCCGAGTTTCAGATATTAGCTCTGAGAGGGGCTTGGGAACAGGAAGTAAATCAATGAATGGCTGGTCATCTGCTGGAGATGGCGTTAGGACAGTGACGTAGTGTGTGGACTTGTGTTCGGCTGGGTTCTGTGTAGCTGTTGGCTGTGCTGTGTCGTCCAAGATCTGGTGCGAGAACCACGGGTGCCATCCAAAGCAGGGGACTACGCGGTCTGTTGTTGATTGTGTTGTCTTGGCTGAGAGTGATACGGCTGTTTGTTGTACGAGACCTTGATCCTCCCCGCGCGTGGCCATGATTGTCAGTGTTGTCGCTTTCATCTGCGGGATGTCGGCCACCGAGGCCAATGTGTCGGTGGGGTGGCAGTGGGCATCGTGAACGCCAATGTCCCAAGGGAAGGGTTCGTCCTCTAGCATATTTTTAGGGGGATATACAATGAAAATCAGAACAAGGCGGGATTCAAAGCTTATGATATACAACAGAGCTGCCCAAAATTCCCGAAGTGATGTAATTGGCGTTTGTGCTGCCTGGGGCATCTATCACATGCTTTCTCCGCAATTTGTTGTTTTTGTGCTGTGACTTTGCCCAGCTAGATTTAAGAAGCCGGAAGTCTTATGATCATGATATTCTGGCCTTTAAATCCCTTCCTAGGGATATAGATTGACTCCTCAATGTGGTCTTCTCTATCAACGTTGCTCGCGCTGCCTATACTGGCCCTCATCTCCATCCCACTCATTTTCTCAGCATGGGTTACAATCTCATTTGCGCTCTTTGCATTGGCACTCAGACTCTTAGTAGTCTATGTTGAGGTAGTCTACGGATTCCTCATGCATTTCTTCTCAGTGCCAACCTCATCTACCTCATCATTGTTGACATTCGCGGCCTCAGAACCTACAACCCCAGCTGATGGTAGATCAAGAAGGAATTCCAATCAAACGACGACGCATCCCCGAAAGATAAATGACCCTCTCAATTCCTGGGCTATTGGAATTGGAGCCAGTCTTGATAACCCATCAAACCGCAAAAGGAACTCTTATGCACGCAGTATGATTGAGGCCCATAACATATCTACCCCACTTGTCTATAGCCTGCCTATAAGCGGCGATGAAAGACGAGACTTCGAGGGCGTAGGTGGATGGCGCTCGTACCGGACATCCAAGACCCGCAGCGTGCATACTCCACATGAGAAAGTCACAAGCTCGACTTCGTCCTCTTCGCCCCGTAGCACCGGCGGCGATGTTGATGCAGACGCAGATATCGACGCAGATGAGCGAGCCTGGCTTTCTCTAAACAACCGTCTCGAGCTCCCCTCACAGCTCGTCACACTATGCACAAGCGTCCACGCCGGGATCACCCTAAACGGCCCCACGCATGAAAGCGCCGATTGGCGCAATGGCCGAAGCAATTTCCAATCGCTGGCAGGAGCAACGGCCTTACAGAGTATCTACCCAGAAAAGCAACAAAATGGGTCAAGACACCACCACCGCTCGCTCACGACTTCCTCGCTAACGACCTCTGACCGGCGTACGGGCACAGGGCTGTCTATAGCGCTGTCAAACAGACCTGACAACGCAGCGGTTGATTTGAGAGAACACGGCCAGTCGATACTGTCAACGGCACGACTTGCTGCCCCGTTCATGACGCCGCAGCCATACACGCAGCTGGATCCGAACTCGCATTTCCAGTCGCGAACTCTCCCACGCGCTTTTCCTGCAAACAGCGCACCGTTCACGAGCTCATATTTCTCTACCTCCGGGGATGGGCTGAGCCACAGCTTTGGGAGTAATAGTAGTGGTGGGAGCTTTGGTAACGGAGGCGGCGGCGGGTACTTTTCTTTGAGGCGGCCTGGGTCCTCTAGTAGCCGTGTTAGCCCTAGTACTAGTGGGTATAATACCCCTAGGGTTGGTCTGTCGACTGAAGAGCGTGATACTTCATCGGTAGGGCTAGCGCGCTCAATGGCGCATTATCCCACTAGCCCTAGACATCGGAGGCAAAGTATCTCTGGGCCGAATTCGAGGGGGCTGGCTACTGGTGACCGAGCCGGATGAAGGTGCTGTTTTTTTCTTCTTTTCTTTTTGGGGCTGGGAGACGCAAGGAGCACATATGATGAAAGAAAAGTGTCATTAAAGCTGTTTCTCCGACTGGGGTATTCATGGCTAGTGCCATTGATTCTGTCCAAGTCTATCTAGTCAATATGTACCGCACAGAATTGTAGTCACGGTAAATGGGGAGAGAGACACGCGAACACCAGGGGCAAAAAAAAGAGAGAAAAAAACCACAATAAACGAAGGACGATACGAAATATCAACCTTGCCCTCCCGCTCTAAACTTGATAGAACATTCATTATTCACAATAAAAGGAAAGAAACCATCGTCAGCATCCACATCTATTATCACTGACGATTTCTCTCCCTCTGGTTGACCTCTTCCATCTCATTGAGTACAATACTGTTGAACTCCTCCCAACCATCGAGATACAAATGGTGGCCAGCTCTGTTCACGACAACCACTTTAGAAGAACCCTCGTCAGCGCGCTTTTCCTCTGGGGTGGCCTTTTCTAGGACTTTGCGCTTTTCTTCTTCCAATCTAGCAACGGCGGCATGACCACCTGAGACGTCCATCCAGTCGCGGTCGCCATACATGAATACCACGGGAAGACCCTTCTCGCGTCGAGCAGCTCCCAAAGACTCAGAAGAAGTAGTAGCGGCGGAGATTGGGTGAGGGAGGGCTTTTGGATTTTGGATAATTTGTCTTCCGAGGCCGTGGACACGGTGGATCAGAGGACTGCGAGCGAAAGCACCGGGGGCAAGAATGTATGCTAGAGCATACTCGCCGCTACCGCGAAGACTGAAGATCGAGTATGAATAGTCGTGGAGTGCTTTGGCTTCGTCGGCTGGTAGGTGAGAGAAACGACGAGAAGTCCACCCTGACACGAGACGTGGACCTAGAGGACCAGCCCACCGCACTAGACTGAATGGGGAGATGTTAGCATCCCACAAATACGCGAACCACTTGGGGAGATTCCGCCGTGGAGGTTGAGTGGAAGTAGGCGGGACTGGTTGTCTTCCAGTGATAAAGCTACCATCGGTTGTCTTTGGTGCTGTGTCCGGGATGGCAGCAGATGAAGTGACATCTTGCTGGTCCTGAGTAAGCTCGTTAGCCAGCGTTGATGCCGGAGGCTCAGCCACATCTGCAGTAACAGCATATGGGTCCTCCGGAATGCCGACTGGAGACGCTAGGATAAGCTTGTTCAGATGGCCGGGGTATTTCAGCGCATAGGCAACCGCCATGTACCCGCCGAGACTGTGTCCAAGTAAGGTAAAGCGATCAATCTTGCGTTTAATGCGCCATTCCTCCAAGGCATCTACAAACCAGGCCTCTGCCTCCCTGATTGCGTCTTCTCTTTCCTTTGCCTTGATTTTGAATGAGGGTCGAGTACTTCGGCCCATGCCTAGCATGTCTAGGGCATGTAGTTGCCAGCCCTTCAACCGACTCAGTGGTTCGAAGTTTTTATAAAAGAAGCCAAGTCCGGCGCCGTAGCCATGGAGCATAACCAAATGTTGGTCTGCTTCCTCGCCAACCCTCTCCACCGAGAACTCATTGAGCGCGCGGTCTTGTCCGCTCAGTTCTACCATGCTGGAACGCCATCGGCGAGGGCCATAAGGGTCATCATGGGAGCTGGTGGTGACTTCGCCCAGCTGATTAGGGTCTTTAATTTCGAGACTGGTCGGGGTAGCGCCGTCGGGGAACTCGGCCGTGTTTCCAGTCTGGAGGTGGGTGGGGGGCTGGTGATGCAAGTAGGGCAGAAAAGAGAGGACTTTATGTTCGGCGGCAGCTGCAGGTAAACGAGCCCACTATTTAAAGCAAATTATCAGCGGACATGCAGCAATGGGGCTGCTCGATTGTAACTTACCCATTGACTGAAGCCTTCGCGGTATCCCAACGGGAAAAACGCGCTCGCAGCTGCCGCGCCAGCAGCAGCCTGAGCTGCATATGGAGTTCCCGAGATTCTCTCAGTGCTACTTCCACCTGAGCGTTGGTGATGCCCACGGATATCCTCTTGGGACGAGTTAAGTGATTCTGACGCCATTGACGACAGTTGACGCCCCCGAGGGAGGGTGGCGAAGGCTGAGTGAGGTTTGGCCTGGTATAGAAGGACCGAAAATGGAAAGGTAAGTCGCGGAGCTGTTCTTGCGCTTCGCATAGAAGTTGGAAAGACAAACGGTTTCTAACAGAAGTTGAAATGTGGCGCTCATGGACGTATAAGAAGGGGACCCGGAGACAAATCGGTCACTCCGCTTAACCCCGGTAGGCTGGCATATGCGCAAATCCGGACAGAGGTAATATCCGATGGAAGAGAGTAGATAAAAAAGACGAAATAGAATGACTGAGCCCCCCTTAAGGGCAATGGGCAGGCGAAAACAGAATTATGTAAAGAAATACGAAGTCAAGTCAAGTGGATAGATGATGTCGATCCAACTTCGCTTCCTTTCAACTTACCCGCTTTCCTCCCTCCTCCTCACATCTTCACATGCGATGACAACTAGCCTGGGCCGGATCGGCCAGTTTTGATTTTCCTTTAGCTGAAGAGCTTTAATTTTCATATTCTGTTCTCATTTTGGGACTCTTTCTACCATGGCTTCGCCTTTAGACCAGGTGGTCAAGGGCGCCCCAGCACCGGAGGCTCGCGCCTCATCAACCCCAGAGCCATTGAATTCCTCACGATCATCTCAAGCCCATCCTTCAGATTCCTCCCCACCACGTCCCTCGACCCCAGACCCGCTGGCAAACCTACCCTCCTCCCCGCCCCAGATCTACCTAAACCTCTTAATACTCGAAACCTCGCTGCGAGCCCAGTATCTGGCCCTGCGCGAGCGTCGCCGCCAGAACACCTTCTTTCTACTTCTACTAGCCGCTTGGCTCGCCCATTTTTCATATGCTCTTTTCCTTCGCCCGCGTGAAGATGGCCGCGGGGTCGGCGGCTCTGTCTACTGGGTAGTGGAGATGGCGGAGAAAGTCGCCCTGCTCGGCGGGGTGGTTACCGCGCTGCTCGTCTGGGGTACAGGGCAATGGGAACGAGGAATTAGATGGCCTCGGCGCTGGCTCGCTGTCTCCAATCGCGGCCTACGCGTGATGAACACCAAGATTATTATTATTCGCGGTCCCTTCTGGCAGGAGTTACTGTCTTATGTCTCATTCCTGTTTCCATTCTCCGTCCCGTTCTTACCCTCCCCTAATGGAAACTACCATTTCGTGGAGCAGAGCCCCTCCGATAAGCGCGCTGGTGGTAGTCGGCAGCACTATCAACAGTATTACAGCAGCGACAGCGAGTCCGGCTTGGTAGAAGAAGACCTCAGCCCTGGAGGCGACTACATCCGTCTCCTCCTACTACCCAAGTCATTCTCCCCAGAATTCCGTGAAAACTGGGATGATTACCGCACAGATTTCTGGGAAAAAGAAAACGAGCGACGCGCCCAGCTACGTCGCAGACTGCGCGAGCGCGAGCAGCACCTCGCCAAGACAGAAGGAGGCTGGCTAGGGCGGCTCGGGTTAGGCTGGCGCGCCTCCCAACGCCGCCGCCTCGTCGCAGGAACCTTGCACCGCCCACTGGAGCCAGAATTCAAACACCGCCTAAGCCACGGCCACCACCCATCCATCACAAAACTCAACCAGGAGCAGCGCGGCCCCTCCTCCCGCCGAAATACCCGCTCTGAATCCCACTCCCGCACCTCATCCCGCAGCACCACACCCGTCGACCTCAGCCTCGACGACCGCCCCCCATCCCGCTCTTCTACTTCCAGCCGGCCCCGTCGCGGAAGTACCGCCTCTGGACAGGAGGCGAGCCCGCAGCAGCGGAAACGGAAAGGCTCGATGCTTCGGCGGGGTCTGTCGCCTCTTACGCAGGCGCAGATCCGAGAGGGTGTCCGTACCCCATCATTCTCATCTGACGACTCTGTGATGCCTATGGGTATGACTGAGAAAGATAAAGAGGAGGCTATACCGAACTCTGTTCCGGAATTGTAATACTGCACCGCGTGGCGAAATGTCGTTCATGCTTATGCTGTTCATATCTCTATACCCTGTTTTTCCTTCTCTCTCATATTTGCCAGACACTTCTTGCTCGGAATGCTGTTTTTGGAAACCTGCATTGGCTGTGTATGCATATCTCTTAGAGCGCGGTGTCGCTAGTTCTATAGATAAACCCGAGTGCCTCGCCTATGTGTGCTGTTGTGTTACATCTCTGATTCCTTTGGAAAGCTCCCATTTTACTGCATCTTTACAGTGTCAAATAAACAGACGTCTGCTAATCACATCACAATATATCGCATGGCAATATGCAAGTTAAATAAGCTTAGGACTACCATTCAGGTCTTAGTTTAAGTCAAGGATCGAGTATTCATTCATATTTCTCGTATTGAGTCCACTAATATTTCCTCACAAACCCACTCCGTACGCCAAACACAAAAAAAAACATGCGATGATATCAATCCCAATGCAACGACAAGAAAGCATGCTCGTAAAACTGGACGCAAACAGATCCAGCATTCTCCCCTCTAGCTATTTTCCACATGGAGGAGAAAGTATAGACAGAGTTGCATAACCCAGATAGATTAGACCCGATACACATCTTCCTCGTCCTCGAGGTACATCAGAATATTGTCCTCGGTCATGACCTGCAAGGCCTGGATAGCCTCTGGACGAGAGAAGACGTGCGAAGCGCCAAGTCTGGGCGATTCCCGGATAGCATTATTAACAGCATTGATCAAGTCATCAATCTTGCTTGTATCGCTATCTTTGAACAAAGTCTTGCCCATGAGCGGGCCCAGAGTCTGCCGGAAGATTGTCATGCGGGCAGGGGTGATCGGCACGTCTGTGGATGTGGACTGCGAGTCTGTCTGGGACTCGATGAGCTGCGAGGCTGGCTGCGAGGATGCCATTGACATCTGAGAGTCGGTCTGGGTGCGGCCTGTCTGGCTCGAACGCAAGCGTTGAGCGCGAGGGCTGGCTGTGTATAGGCTGTCTGGGTCTTCGTCCTCGTCTGGGACTGGAGCGCTAGACTGCGTTGTGGTACCGCGGGTGCGTGCCGTGCCAGTGCGTCTACCAGGTGTGGCGGTTGATGTGCCGCGGGCTGGGGTGTCATCATCAGAGTTATCGTCAAGTTCGGCATCGCTGTCGTCGTCGGAAGAGTCATCGAAGGTGGTCACCTTGCGTCTCTTCCGGCGCTCGTCCTCGACCACTTCCTTGAACATGGCGAAGCGCAGGATAATCTCGGCATTTTTAGCATCCTTTTCGTCTACTCGGTTAGACAGACGAGCCTTAGCGTGTGCAGTGGACAAACGAATCAATGTCTCCAGGGTACGAGGGGTGATGGGGGATGTGCGACGCTTGTTGCCGGTGATTTCATCGTTTCGCAGAGCTGAGTATGCGGCGATAACGTGGTCGGCAGCACCCTTGGTCAAGACGGGCATGATTCGCCTTTTGGCGTATTGGATGTACTTCTTAATGAAGGGAATACTAATGATTTCCACGTTCTTGCCGCGGCGGCGGCCAGCATTGGCAGCGTCGACCATACCACCGTGGAGCATGATATTGAACTTCTCGAAAACCTCACTTGGCGCATTAGTGTCTTGGCGGTCTTCACCTCCCACGCCCAATGTTTGATTGAGCTGTTCCCGAACGGGCGCGCCCTCCTCGGTGCCAGGCTGGCGGTAACGGTGCATGCGTAGAACATGCTCTGAGATTATTCGGTCATGGGCATCCTCGATATCATCCGTCACGACAAAAAGCAAATCGAAACGAGAAAGCAGGGAGTCGGGGAGAGCAATGTTCTTATGCGGGTCCTTGTGGGGATCATATTGGCCATAAATCGGGTTGGCTGCTGCAAGGACACTGCAGCGAGCGTTCAAGCTTGTGTGGATACCGGCTTTTGCGATTGTCACGGTCTGCTGTTCCATGACTTCGTGGATGGCGACACGATCGACATCACTCATTTTGTCGAATTCATCAATACACACCACACCACGATCACCGAGAACCATAGCACCAGCCTCCAGTCGACGTTCGCCAGTTTCTTTGTCGGATGTAACAGCAGCAGTCAAACCGACACCGGAAGAACCTCGACCGGTAGTAGCGATTGCAAGTGGCGCAGTATTCAGAACGAAACGAAGAAGCTGGGACTTCGCAGTCGATGGATCACCGACCATGAGGATGTTGATATCACCACGAAGATGGGTTCCGTTATCCAAGTTCTTTTCCATTCCACCGAGAAGCATCAGAAGGATGGCTTTCTTGATGTAGTCATGTCCGTGGATACTGGGAGCCAGAGACTTGGACAACAAGTCAAACACATTCTTCTTCTTAGCAATCTGATTGATGTTTCGAATATCGGTATCCGTAAGCACGGCCTCCGCAATGCCTCCGCCGCTCTTTGAAGACAACTGGATAATGTTGTTCGCCATGATGACAGTGCGGAACGTCGATGAACCACTGCCTCCGTTACCGAGTGTACGGTAGATACCCACCAGCTGGATTCTATCACCAGGCTTAGCGGTGTCGACGAGGTCGTCGTCTAAAATAACATCAACACTTCGGGGCAGTTGTCCCGCCGGAGCACGTTCGGGCATTTCTTGGATAGAAATCGACTGGTGGTCGAGATATGTTGAGTAACCGTACTCAGTGATAAGCTAGGAATTATATCATTAGTCTGGAATAATTGAGTACACCGTCCGGGTTAGACTCACCGGGTTCTTCTCTTCGTCCTCTTGTGGGTAAACGTTCAAACTGGTTGTACCGCTGGAACCCATAGTTTGATCACGATACTTTCTGGCAACAAACCGATCCTTCTTCTCGACGTAGTGAACACTCTGGACGATCTTTGGGCGTACCAGGGAGCATTTTGTCACAATTCCCTCGAGTGAGACCATGTGGTTCAATTGTAGCGAGCCCAATGTACGGGGGTTGCAAGAGAATTCTCCGAATGCGCCAACATAGGCGCAGTAGTAGTTCTGTCGATATTGTTAGATATTCAATGTCTGCTAAGAATCACCAAAAAACCGAATACACACCGTTTCATCCGAAGTTTCTCTAAGTGGTCGACCAGGTAGGGTCTTGACGACCGCCTTCAACGCTGCGTCAAAGGCTTGTGAATAATCAAACGGCGAAGAGAGCAGCCTACAGCCATTAGTCGATGAACCCAATTCCACTTGTTATAGAGATTTAATTTACCCATCGGCAAGCTCCCGGTTGTGTGCTCTGATTTCATCGATGCTGACCTGTCCAAAATTATCAGCACCACCTCCTGGCAGGGAATTTCGCAGATCCACGCACTGTCAATCGTCGCGCACCCTTGTTCAGCATAACCACAATATCCGCTCGATAGCTGTTCCAGCCCGTTAGGTATATATAATAGCACATTGATCTTCGAGGTCGACGAACCTGCGTGCCCGTGCATCATCTGAAAAGACTTTGTTAGCTCAGACCACAACACATAACTCAATGAACTTACTTGGGTCAAGAAATTCAGTTGCGGCACGCACGCGATCCTGCGCGGCCTCATCACGTAGTTGTAAGCCGTCCATGATGTGTGATGCAATATAAGGGTAGTGGGAAGGAGGGAGTCGAGGGGGCCCAGTACTGATTGGAATTTCCCGATTTGCTAAAGTGGAACGCGTGAAGTGGCACGCGAGGAAAGCGCGTTTCACGGGAACCACGTGCCGTGATGACTCAGCAAATAATTTTTCACTGGGCTATATAAGCAGCCATTCCCCCGATCCATTTCTTCTTCTTCAAGCGACTCTACGTGCGTTCTCCTCCCCCCAACAGTTGGAAAACTTCCCGAGTTTTCATACTGGACTTTGATACTTTGAACTTTTCACTGACTTTTCTTTTACTACAGTTCAAAGAATCACTTTAGAGTAGACGTCCCCTTTCTAAACTCTTTAAAAGAGCCACAGAATCTCCACCCTTGCTGATGACTACATGTCCTCGATGCCCTAAAGTGAAACCTTTTTACTCCCGCCTCGACTGTCACGCGTGCTGTCCGCAGTGTCTGTGTTTCGGTCCAGGGAGTGGTGATGATCTTGGCCTGGTCTCGGCGTCTGACTTCGGTCGGTCGGTCCTGGTGGGTGTCGAGGAGGTCTGAAAGGTCCTCTTCCATTCTGGTTGATGGTATGGAGCTCTATGTTTGGGCTGTTCGTCTTATGCCATATCTATATGCAATGAAAAAAATTCAGTTGACCTCTTTAATCCTTTTGTAAAATAAAATTCTCGTACCATCTATCAATGTTCTGCCGAAGTCGGAAGTCGGTCTCGAAATTTTCCGTGCTAGATTTTATCCACTCCGTAGTTTTTCGAATATAGCAATAGGACTTTATGTTGTATAGTGTCCATGGATGCTGTAGAGTTATACGAAACTATTGCCATTGCCCTTCTTTCCAACCCCCTTTTACTGTACGGAGTACATAGTACATATTATAACTACCCATCATCTCAATATATCCGACATCTGCTCCAACATCTGTTCCAGCTCTCTGAATCTTCACTAACTCTCTGCATCTTCGCCATAGGACACGATATTGCTAAGCGCTCAGCGCTATGAAAGAACACTTAAAAACGCCTTTGACCCAGATTCACGTCCCTTGAAATTTTCAACGCTATGCATGCACCCCACTCTAGTCGTTCGAAAAAGCAGCTGAGGCAGATGCTGGAGAGCTGGAGCAGATGGTTGATGGAGATGATGTACGTCAATCTACATAATCGATCCATTATTACTTGCTACCAAATGTAGTAGTCACGGATGTTTAGCCCAATTCATATAATTGCACTTCACCCGTACTAGTTGAAGGTACCATAACAAAGATAAAATATTACTACATATGTACCCGTACTTAACTAGTATATTCCGTTATGTCTTCTTGTACGTCTTTCTCCTTTTCGGTTTCACACGCATCTTGTAATTTGAGAGATAAAAAAGCTTAAACTGTACAGACAACTTTGCTATATATATATAAACACTATAAAGAATAGCAAACTCTTGCAACCGTATTTACCCATGAGCGATATAGTTATATATGGAAATATTGTATACATATGCATATATGTATAACGAGGAACGTCCAATGAAAGGTAGAAAAACAGATGTATTGTACAAGATCAAATGATAAAAAAAAATCGGGATATAAAAACAAGCTAAAATTACACAATCACTGTACATGGAGCACGCTGCTCACGAATCGTTGCCCGTTTCTTCTCTGGGCGTCCAGGGTCCCTTGTAGTTTTCTCGCACGGACGCTCGTTCTGACGGAGAACGCCCGGGTTTCACATGGAGTCCAGAGGTAGGGTTGAAGAGAAGGTGGGTTGGAGTATTCAGTCTGTACTTGCGGTTCTCCTTGTCAAACAGTTGCCGCTTGGGAGTCGGCCTCTTGATGTCGGTACTTTGTATTTTGCGCATACGTCGTTCGTAGGCGTAGGCACGCGGAGCATTATCCCTTTCTTTCAGTGAAGCAATACCCTCCTTGTAACCCTTGGTTGTTTCCTTCCACTGTGTTGTCAAACTGTATTGCTCGTAAAGTGAGTTCTCCAGGTCAACTCGATCCTCACGAGGAAGGACGGCACTCAAATAACTCAATTGTCTCATTTGTTCACTGGAAAGCAAGCCAGTAAGACTCGACTCGTTGACGGGAGGTTCGGGGTATTGTTGTTTGCTTGGTTCGAAAGGCTCCCTACTCGCGTCATCAAAGCTGCGTTCTCGTGCCTTATGGATAGGGCCAAGAGGAGGGCCAAGAGTAGGGCCAAGAGCACCATAGCGTGTGGAGAACACATGAGTCGGACGTGGGAGTATATCACTTTTCGCCTCTTTGCCGCGAAGGATTGTGCCTTGATGTTTATCGCGCACGTATGGCATCGTGGCAAGGATATCAATCGTGCGTGGCGCAATTTCGTAGAGACTCGCCAGGTGCTCATTCCCCTCCATGATACTCGTTTGCCGGTGCCGTTGCAGTGTGCTGGCTAGTTGCACCATGGTGGGGTAATGAGGGTGCATGTAATCAGGCTCGATCTTGCGCCAATGCTCTCGGGCCGATTTTCCCATCATCCTGCGGGGTTTGTTGATACCCGAGCGACCTTCGAGATGGAGGATTGTCACGGGGGCATTGAGTGGTCTCACGCCATAACCCTTGAGAAACCACGACCAACCAGGGAAATGATCGACGAACTTCTCTTCGAACAGTCGAAATGCCTCCACATTGTCGGGATATTTACCAGATTCCGCAAGGATTCTAACATAAGTTGACCAATTGAAACCAGTCAGCGCAAAGCCTGCTGCCTGAACTTCGGCCACAACTTTATGAATTTTTTCGGACATGCCTCGGCAAGCCAACGACTGCATGTATAGCGAAAGTGGATAGTCCAAAACGAAGCGTTGGGAATGAAGTATTTTGGGCTTTTCTGCTTGAGTGGTGGATATTGAGAGCATTGACGGGAGAGGGGACTCGGCTGGTGCTGGAGAGATTGACAACGGCGAACTTCCAGAAAAGGTTTTATCAAGGTCACAGGTACCGGCTTTTATGCTGATACCTGCCATAATACTATTCCAGCACTCTTCCACTTTCTCATACTTGTTGGATTTTAGATAGGCAATCATGATGGCTTTGGTGAAGTCGACTGGTAAAGATTCCAATTCATCGCCGTCGGATGATCCCGCAGTTCGTTTGAGTTGCATGTAACGAGTGAAAGTTTCAAGTGCCTTTTCGGGGGCACCTTCGATGCCGTATGCATTGATCAGCCGTTGATAGTGCGTGGCAGTAAAAGAATCAACTGCAGCCCCCTCTGATAGACTGGATAATCGAATGTTGGACAACCGAGCATTGGCTCGCAATGGATTGGCATTGAATTTTTCGATTGATTCAGAAAGAGTTTTTTCTGCGTTCTCAAAGACAGTATTTTCAACAGGAGCTTGAAAATCTTTTATGTTTTCCACGTCTCTCGCAATCTGCATTTGCAGGTTCAACAGGCTCCCATCCATTCCGACTCGACCGAAACGCGATTCAATTTCGCGGGAGATGACGTGCACCATATCACGGTTCCGTTGTCTCACATATCCAAGTAAGAGAATGGAATAATGGTACTCGGTGGGGTTCAAACCGATTTCGTGCATCTTTCTGAGAGTAGTTTGCGCACGATCCACCTGCTTGGAATAGACGTAAGCAAGCATAATAGCCGCGTAAGTCATACTATCTGGTTTCAACCCTAGCTGTCTCATGCGGTCGAGGACGCGTCGGAAGGAAAACTTTGATACCCTGAATGCATACCGCATTAGAAGAAAATTCCACATTCGCAAGGGAGACCCTCCCACCGCTAAATCCCAGCTGCTTTCGACAAGCTCTTCTGCATAAGCAAATTGCCCATTCTTGCAATATGCTTGAACAGCCGTATCAAGCATTGGCCTTGTGATTTGTACTCGTGTCGCCTGCGCCTCTTTCAGCATCCTCCGGATAGCTTCGACGTCGCCTCGCTGGGCAAAAATTCCCATCAGTGTGCCATATGTGTACGAGTCGGGAGGTACGTAATTTTCTCGCATTTCCGAGAAGGCAGAAAGAGCACCTGATAGATCCCCGGCAGTAGTATACGCTAGAAGCAGTACATTCCAGCAAACTGTGTTCAGCGGAAGACCAAATTCTGAAGGAATTCCACCGAATAGTTGCCGTGTCTTGGACACATCACCTAGCCGTGCATAAACGGCAAGAAGGGAGGCCACTGGCCTGTGGTTCTTTAGATTGCCATGATCTGCCAGGAGCCTATCAAACAGGCGGTTGACAGTTTGTACATCCCCAATCCTGGAAAAAGCAATCAAGGCGGTATTGTATGAAAATGTGCTTGGTCTTTTATGTTCATCAAAATGCGCCTCTTCATCCAAAAAGTATGTCAAACTGTCGGTCATATCCAATTCATTCAAGCGTCGAATGAAAGCACGCGTCACTCTCCCGGATACCGAAAAGTCTGGAAAATCCAACCGCAATTGACGATAAACAAGAATGCCCTTGACACATTCTGACCTCGGCGCTGCTGGTTTTAGGAAGAAATTCATCACACAAAGATAATGTCTGCCGGTCAAAAAACCAAAAGAACGGTATGTGGACAACAGTGAAAGCACGGTTGATATCGGCGTGAGTTTGACCAGGTCAGAAGACTGGACAAATCGGTGAATGAGATGGCGAGTAAAGTCATCTTTTACAGCATTCATCTTGTTATTTCTCTGGAACCAACCCTTTAAATCAAGGAGATGCCTTGCAAGGGAATACTCGGGGAAATGAAAGTGATCAAATCGATACAGCAAAGAGCGTAATGTCGGTCGCTCGTTTTCAGGGGTCTCTAGCAGGACCTTCCAGAGCACAGTGATTCTAGCCCACTGTCTGTTTTCCACCATGTGCATCAGGCCCAGCGAGATGATATTTTGAGCAAATGGCGTGGAAATGGCTTTCTGACAAATCAAGCCCAACTTCTCGGGTTTGTGAGTGGGCAACGAAAGAAGCTGGGATCTTATAATGTTCTCGAAGTCCAAGTGGGTGCGATCTTCGGGCGCAATTTCCTCGAAGAGTGCCCATGCTCGAGCTCGTTCCTTTTTATTAGGCGATTTACTCATGTAAGCACAGAGTGCAGGCTTGAGTTTCGATGGGTATCCAGCCGCAACGTATAGCACCCAAGCTTTATCGAATTCGCTGCCATTCTTCTGAAGGAAAGCCTGGAGGGATGCGCTTGCTTTTCCGTCATTATCGAGTAATTTTGGTTCTTGAGACTCTTGGGCTGGCTTAGATACATCTTTGGAGCTGGATAAAGCTGTTGACGTAGCTTGGCGAAGACTTGAAATGGAAACATAAGATCTTGAAAAGCCCAAGTGTGGTCTCCTCCGAAATCCAGTCCTGTTTTGGGGGCGAGACAGACACGAAGAACTCAGAGTCTGAGCCTGCCGAGGGTATAAGAATTCGAAGAATGGCTCTGTCCCATCGCTTGACTCTCTGCTTTCGTATTGAGTGCTAAGAACGGGGGGCGATCGTTGACCTGACGCCTGCAAAAGCGCAATAAGCCACTGAGGGACATCCGTTCCAGAGCCATTGTACTCCCAGATACGACCGGATAGGCATCGTGGGTTTCGGATCACGCCATTGGAATCTTGAAGGAAACGCCGTCCCACGTTCTCGAGAGAGCCTGTTGCACGTTCGAGCATCACCCTCAATCGCAGATTCAAGCTGTGAGATGCCGTTATTCTACCTTAATCTGTATTGTATATTCGGTTCAACGGATCTGCTTAAATAATGCTTGTGTCAGAAAGCTGTCCTGAACTGCTGTAGAGTATGACAAGCAAAGCAATTGAGCAAGTTGTCCTTGGTGGTGCCATTCGTACCAAGGAAGGAAAACCGGGACTCGTCGGCTTGCGGAATACAATATTGTTCACACAGAGGTCCTGGACGTAAACTGCCAGCCAAAGTCCAGGCACCTTGATTTGAACAAAAAAGGCAATCGTAAATTCGAGCTTCCATGAGCTTGGAGAAAACAACGCAAAAGATTCGGAGGTGCATGAAATTGCCGGGGGTTCACCGCCTTTGCTGAACCCACCACTTCAACCGTGTCCCTCCCATTCTCATCACAAGGACCCCAAATAAAGAAACAAGAAAGAAAAATATCATGGAGGTGACTGACTTTATCTTCAAAGAGAGAGAGGAGGCTCTGCTTGTAGGAGACTACAATGCCTACCGGGCGCACACTACTAGAAAACTGCAGAAACTCCGCAAGAAGCTTGGTCAGGCCACCGTCAAAGGCCGCAAGTATACTGCCAAACCAGCTGTGACTGCTGAAAATGTTGGAAGCAATGTCTCGTATGTTGCTTACCCGTATTTACATTCCGGGGTACTATTTTGACTAGTTTCTAACCTACGCCAGATATGTACACCTTTTGCTTCTTAGTTCCGAACGAGCTTGGGCGCAAGCAATGCACATGAAGTCCACACATTCCGCAGATCCTTCCGCAAAGGGCATCTCTGGCGCTGCTCGGCGTCACGTTATTTCTCGACTGAATAAGGCCACTGGGTATGCGCAGCATCTGGTCTCGCTGCTCCACGAGCAAACGCTTTCCGGAGCGAGTGATGTGGATATCCTGGAGACTCGGGCTTATTTAGCAATGATTTCCGGCACTCTATGGCTTGAAAAGCGGAGATGGGAACAGTGTCTCCGAGATTACTCCATTGCGAGAGTAATCTACACTGCTTTAGGTCAAAGGGTCAAGAAAGATGCTTTTCGGGACCTGCTCTCGGGGACTGTTGACCCAAGTCTCCGATATGCGGCTTACCAGATGAAGCTCCCTCGCTCCAAGCCTACCTCATCGCTGGCCATTGAATTCTTCCCGTTAGATTCGGAGATTCGCGCCGAGGTTGAGAAGATTGACCCTTCTTGTCTTGCTGAAGAAGCAGCCGGTACTCGGCGAACTGCAGAGGGAGAGGTGCAGGAATTGCCCCAATCTGTCACTTGGAGATCACGAACTGTCCCACTGGACGACGCCTCAATTTCTCAATCGCTAGCTGCTGCTTCAGCCGCAGAGGCTCGCCTCACTACTTGGCTGGCAGGCGCAGGAAAGTCTGCCGCTGCTAAGGAGAAAGCTGCTGCATATGACAACGTGATTATTGCCAGTCAGGATGCTGTCGATGCTACAAAATCCGCCATTGATGACCTGACTAGTGAGGGTGTTGACCCCAGTGACAAGAGAATGCAGGCACTGCAAATCACTCGAACAGCAGTCAATTACACTCTAATTGGCTGGCGAGTCGGCCGTAACCGGGTGTTGTGTGGAGAAAGAGACGGTTTGTCATTTGAGGAACAGCAACCCACAACGAATGGAAAGGAAACTGCGAAGCACACCACAGGCAATGGCAAGAAGTTGAACAAGCTCCGTGAGCGTGTTGTCCTGTATGATTCAACGCTTCAGAGCTTGGAATTCATTCTTGAACTACCGGGTGTTGCGGCCGACTCCGCCTTTGTGCAGGATCTAGAAGCAAAGCGGCGCTACTTCCGTGCTCTCAGGTATGATTCTCATCACAATCCTCACCGATTCTCGCAACTAATCAATTTTTTTCCCTTTCTTTTCTTTAGATGTCTTGCTTTAGGAAGATCCCATGGAGTGCTTTCGAAGTCAAAGGAGGCTCTTGCGCTGTTTTCCCAGGCCCTGAATCTCGCCTCATCCGGTTCTCCCCAGTTGGCAGCAGATGCTGAAGGTGTCCCAAAGCTCGATGTCTCTCAAGTGCAATCAAGTACCTTGCACTCAACTTTGCGAGATTTGGTTGCTCGGTATCGTGGACTTGTCACTTTGGAGAAGGTGACTGCCGAAGAAGCGTCACAGTCGAGCCAGAGGCCAGTGGTGGAACGACTGCAACAATTCGCAGGATCCGGACTGGACCTCAATAATTTGGTGCCGTACCCACCTCAAATGCAGCCCATTCCTGTCAAGCCCTTGTTCCTTGATGTGGCATGGAACTACATTGATTACCCACGTGAAGGTGGTCCTCCACAGGAGGCTCCAATTCAGACACAAGCTCAACCCCCAGTTTCTGAAGAAGAAACGAAAAGCCGTCGTGGATGGTTTGGTTTTGGTGGTCGCTGAACCCTTACATAGCTACGAATACCCATTTTCCCACTAGTGCACTTACAACCTTTGGAAGTACGACATGTACGTTGTAGTAATAAGCACAAGCACGTGCCCACATGAACCCTTACTTTATTGTTCAGCCAATCAGAGACAATCGATATCTCTCGGGAATTCCCTAGCCGGAGTCACGTCGTGCTGAGTAATTATGTGAGAGATTACATTCCATTTTAGGATAGTTATCCGGACTCCGTGACATTTAAGAGCTTTACAATGTTATTTTTGAGATACGGAGAGTACAGAGTACTGATATTGAGTACAAAGTACATACATATGTATATAGATAACCTAAGAGATTTCAAGTACAGACGTAGTACATATGTACGGAGTACTACATACTACACACTACTACTAAAAACTTTTGTACTTTATATAGGCTAAAGTAGAGTACTCCAGAAATATAAAAGAAATCAACCTAACAAAATCTATTGAATATTAATTACTCTGTACACAAATCATTTATGCATTAATCATTAAATATGAGTCCTGGGAATCCTGGGCATCCCGGGCCCTCCGTTAATTGGCGTTCCCACCCCTGAGCCCCAGTCAATTCTTTCTCCCCTCTCTCTCCACTCGCTTTTTTCCCTTTTTGTTCTGGGTTTGGTCTTTCTTCCCTTTCTCATTAGAAATTCCTTCAATCTTGCTCGGAACTTTGATCCGTGGACTCCCAACATGGTCAACATGGCCAACCTTACCGGGAGCTTCGTCTCGCCATCGGCGGATGCGACGATCTCCCCCAAACTTTTCGCGCCGGCCGGTCTCGTCGCCACCATATTGGAAGGCTTCACTATCTGGAAGGGCCTGTTGACTTTCTTCATTGCCGCTGTCATCTACGACCAGTGTGAGTGCCAATGCGACATGGCGACCTTGGAAATCGCGTCTTGAAAACTAATTCAAACCCCCTATTCATAGTCAAGTACCACTACCTCAAGGGCGCCATTGTTGGCCCTATGTACAAGATCCCCTTTATGGGCCCATTCCTCCAATCAGTCAACCCCAAATTCACCGAATACAAGGCCAAATGGGACAGCGGAGACCTCAGCTGTGTTTCCGTCTTCCACAAGTGAGTAGTTCCATATGTACTTATTTCCTTTGGATATGTGTCTCTAACGCTCTCCTATAAAGGTTCGTCGTGATTGCATCGACTCGTGATATGTCCCGGAAGATCTTCAACTCGCCCGCCTACGTCAAGCCCTGTGTCGTGGATGCCGCGCACAAGCTTCTCGGCAAGACCAACTGGGTCTTTTTGGATGGCAAGGCCCACGTGGATTACCGCAAGGGTCTGAACGGCTTGTTCACTCGCCAGGCCCTGGCCATGTATCTCCCCCGCGCTGAGGAGGTCTTCAACTCCTACAACCAGCACTTCCTCAAGAAGTCTGCCGCCACCAACTTCACCCCGACCCCCTGGATGTCCGAGTTCCGCGAGCTTATGTGTGCTCTGTCTTGCCGTACCTTTGTCGGTTACTACATCAGTGATGAGGGTGTCCAGAAGATTGCCGATGACTACTATCTGATCACTGCCGCACTCGAGCTCGTTAACTTCCCTATCATCCTTCCCTACACTAAGACCTGGTACGGCAAGAAGGCCGCCGATATGGTGCTCGAGGAGTTCACCAAGTGTGCTGCTAAGTCCAAGGCCCGTATGGCTGCTGGTGGCGACATCTCTTGTATCATGGATGCCTGGGTTAAGGCCCAGCTGGATTCCGCCGTGTACCGCGAGAAGACTGCCAAGGGAATCCAGGTCGATCCTTCAGAGAAGCCTACCCATGTTCTCCGTGAATTCTCTGACTACGAAATTGCCCAGACTATCTTCACCTTCCTGTTCGCTTCCCAGGATGCAACCAGTGCCGCCTCCACTTGGTTGTTCCAGCTGATGGCCGACCGCCCCGAGATCCTGGACAAGGTCCGCGAGGAGAACCTCAGCGTCCGTAACGGCGACTGCACTCTCCCTGCAACAATGGATATGCTCGACCAAATGCCCTACACCCGCGCCGTAGTTAAGGAGACCCTGCGCTACCGCCCCCCTGTCATCATGGTTCCCTACCTGGTCAAGAAGGACTTCCCTATCAGTGAGACCGTCACCGTCGCCAAGGGCTCGATGATCATTCCCTCCGTGTGGCCCGCATGCCACGATGAGGAGGCTTACCCCAACGCAGACTCATTCGACCCAGACCGCTGGATCACCGGTACCGCTGAGCAGCAGACCAAGAACTGGCTGGTATTCGGCACAGGTCCCCACTACTGTCTGGGTCAGACCTACGCCCAGCTTTCCCTGATGTTAATGATTGGAAAGGCCAGTATGGTGATGGACTGGGAGCACACCCCTACCCCCGAGTCGGAGGACATCAAGGTGTTTGCCACTATTTTCCCTCAGGTATGTTCAAGCTTATTTTTCATTATGATGATGCAAGTCACTAATATATATCAGGATGACTGTCTTCTTACTTTCCGTCCCCGCGCTTAAATTTTACCTTTCTTGTACAAAACAACAAACCGAAGCTGGAACCCAGCCCCATTTTCTGGACAGAGGGCTTGGTTACGTTTGACATGATGCCTTCCTGTCCTGGAGATAGGGCGGTCCGCTGAATCTTTCTTCCTTCTCATTCAATTTTGATGCATGATGAACGCTCAATACAGGAAATGTCTTTAGCTTATGTCTTTCCTAGAGAGACCTTTCATACCCTTGCGCAGAGAAACCCCCATTGCGATTATGATTACCTGTTGCCCGTGAGGGGTCGCAGGGGGTTTCTTGTTTCTTTTCTTCAGAATGACTGCTCCTAGAGCCATGCATATTAGAACAATATTAATTATCTTTTTCTGCTTGAATATTTATCTCATGCTATATTATAATTCTTCATGGGCTTGAATCTACTAAACATTTCCTCAATTGCCTCAACATACGGGCTAAATCCCTTTGCCTTTCCTTTGTCTCTTGGTTTTACGAATTGGATTTTTAGATGAACAACTTCAAACACAATCATTAGATCTAATATTTGCTAAAGTCTTATGGTTTAATGTGGTCTTCTTCGACCTATCAAAAAGGATCTAGCTCATTTTCTTATGTGTAGTTCTAGTGGAATTGTTAATCATAATGTCCTATTTATTTGATGTGCATACACTCCACTATATATCTCCGCTATCTTTCCAAGATTTATGTATACAAAAATCAAACAAAATATGTCTTTCCTCTCGAAAAATACCATCTAGCTATGATATAAGTAGTTAAGTCATTCCTATCAATCAAAATCCCCCAATATTGCCCAGCAAACCGTGTACAACAACCTAGAGAACCGATGAGCAACAACCCTAGACCAGTAGGCGGTCACAAAGGGCAGATACTGACATCACCGTTTCTCATCCCGAGGTTACGTCCGGAGGTGTAATAACTCCCGACTCACCTCCGCGGACAATCAAATCCAGAATTGAAACAATGGCTTCGACATTATCATCCAAGATCCAGCGATCTGCTATCGTGCTGTCCTCAGCCGCAGTCAGAACCCCGACACGCAGTGCGGTATCATCCGCCGCGGCCTTGCGCAGAGCTATCTCCGCACCGACACGAGGACTCGTCACTTCTCAGAACCGTGTCCTCTCCGGTCAGCCGGCACCATCATGCAGTCTCCAAACCAAGTCATACCTGAAAAGCCCGCGCCAAGTGCAGACGCGCTGGAATAGCGATGATGCCAGCTCAACCAAACTCCAGCAATGGGGCTTCGAAGATGTATGTACTCCGTAACCTCCATTACTTGTTACTTCTTTCTTTGAACCGAATATCTTTGAATACTACAAGCTCCAATGAATATAATTGAATACAAAGCTAACAAAATCAAACCAGATCACCGCCGCCCTCCCAACCTCAACACCCAACTCCCCAAACCACAAGCCCATAATCCTCATCGATGTGCGCGAGCCCGCCGAGCTCAAAGGCACGGGTATAATCCCCTCCGCAGTGTGTATCCCGCTAGCATCGCAGCCAGACGCATTGTACCTCACCCCAGACGAGTTCGAGACCCGGTTCGGGTTCGCTAAGCCTGATCCTACGGAGAGCGAGGGCGAGCCTGCGCAGATGGTTTTCTACTGCAAGGCTGGTGTGCGGGCTAAGACTGCGGCGCAGATGGCTGTGCAGGCTGGATACGACCCTGCCAATATTGGGGTTTATATGGGCAGTTGGTTGGATTGGGAGAGGAATGGGGGGAAGGTTGAGAAGTGGGAGGGGGATGATTTTTGAGTTAGGAAATTGAAAAGGATTGTACATACTACATAATGTGGAATAGGATATTGGAGGGTAGATCATTTGCTCTATTCTGATATTCTGGAGCAATCGTTTGATTTGGTCTATGCCCAAGAAAAGCCCGATCTTCCTAGTTCAAAACTGGTTAAAGTGCTTCTATGCATTGAAGATAAGACAATGATGCATTATGGACGGAGTAGTCGATATGTCTATTTACCAAAGCAAATACTTGAATAGTATAAATTCAGTTCACTATAACAGTAACAAAAGATCTGGTATCTACCAGACCTTGCTTTTCCTATATCATGTACAGGCGACTCTCCCTGTTCATCCATCAAGTCATGGTCATTCATTGTATGTTCAAATCGTAATTAAAATAGAATAACTTTTCCACATTTCGATAGCAATTGTCATAGCACAGTAGATTTTGATTTGTTTCCTCAAAACTGACTATGACGGAACCCAAGGTCATGAGGGCCGACGGAGAACAAAGCTCGCCACTTACTGGCAGTTGATCGTTAAGTTCGCTCGAGGATAGGTATCGCAAGGCTGGAATGGGTCCGGTTTTGACGATTCCTGATCTGAAGACATCGCACACCGGAAGGAAGCCCTAAGACCGAATTCAAGGAATATCGAAGACAGGCTTGAGCTTCTTGACCAGAGCCCATTCTTCCATAGAGACCTCGGACCGGTAGAACTCCTTGAGGGTGTCGATACTGGCACGCGAGATGTGCGAGATAAGCTGATCCTTCTCTTCGAGGTGACGGCCATACATGGGCTGGTTAGGACCCTCAACCTTAACAGCAACGGAGGGCTGGCCTCTCTTGCAGACAGGAACGGCCTTGTGATCACGCTCGATGGATGTGCTGTGAAAATAGTTGCGTTAGAAATCAGACCAAAAAAAAGATGAAGTGAGAACAAAACTTACACTCTACCAATATCGACAATCTCCCTTACACCAGCAGCGTTGGTCCTGACCGCAGCGAGAGGAGTGTGGAGACGCAAGCTTCCTTCAATGACATCAACACCGATGACAATGGGGTCGGTCTTGTTGAAGACAGCAATGGGCTTAATGACACAGGGGAAGATAGCAAGAAGCTTAGCCTCCTCCTTACGCTGCTCTGTAATCTGAGCCATGTGCTCAGTGAAGGCATCGAACAAGTGGTAAATGATGTCGGCGGTGAAAATTTTAACACCGATTTCGTTGGCATAAGCCGTAGCATCCTTATCAACCTTGACATCGAAGCACAGCATGACAGCAAATTCCTTATTCTTCTCAAGCATGGTACCGGCCATCATAACATCACGCTTGTAAACGGGACCGATGGAGATATTGGCAACGGGAATCTTGGAGACCTTGAGGAACTCCAGTAGAGCCTCGAGTGAGCCCAGGGTAGAGGCCTGGACAGTAACACCACGCTGATCAGTTGAAACACGGCTCAGCAGATTCTCCAGATCGCTCATGACCTCCTCCTCAAGATCCTCTTCATCATCGTCAGGGCCGACAACAAGCATGCGAGAACCAGCAATAGCGTGCTCCAAGTCATTGGCAGCAATCTTTACACCAAGGGCAGCCTTGACCTCCTTGTTGTGGACGTACTGGGACTTCAGACGCAGCTCCTTGAGCGGTGCTGGTGTCAGAAGAGCACGGATATTGGTTGTAATAGGACCGTTGAGACCGCACATTACGATGCGATCACCCTCGCGAAGAATACCGTTGGACAGGATAACGTCAATGGTGGTACCAAGACCCTCAATAACCTTGACCTCCAGAACTGTACACTCAACCTCAGACAAGTACATCAGTGAGTTGGTCATACGCTCTTGGCTCAGGCTCGTCAGGAGCTTCAGCATGTCAGGAATACCCTCTCCAGTGTGGGCGGAGGTGGGAACGAGAGAGACGTTGCGAGACAGAGACTTGTTCTCGAAGAAAAGCTCGGAGTTGAAACCCTGTTCGGCGAAAGCAAGCTTGGTGGCCTCAAGACGAGTGCGGAACTCGTTTTGAACGCCCTTGTTCTGCATGTTCAAACTATCCTGGAAGCCATTGTTGTCAATCTTCTTCCAGCCGTAGAGACGATCGATCTTGTTCAATGCGACAATGAAAGGAGTCTTGCGGTCACGCAGCAAACGCATAGACTCGAGGGTCTGGGGCTCGAGACCGTGCATGATATCGACAACTAGAATAGCAATGTTGCAAAGGGATGAACCTCTTGATCGCAGGTTGGAGAAGGACTCGTGACCAGGGGTATCGATGATCAACAGACCGGGAACCTTGAACTCGAACTTGCCATCCTTGTTGACAACTTGGGTCTTCGTGCGCAGAGCATCGACAGGGAAGTAAGTGGCACCAATCTGCTGGGTAATACCACCAGCTTCGCCCTCCTGCACGTTGGTCTGTCGGATCTTGTCAAGTAGCTTAGTTTTACCAGTATCGACGTGACCAAGAATACAGCAAATAGGGGATCGGAGATCATCCTTCGAACGAGCAGCCATAGCCTCCTCGTGCTTGAGCTTTCTCCGTTCCGCAGCCTCGGCCTTTCTCGCCTGAATGGCCCGTTGGTTGGCGGATTGCTCTTCATCGGATGAATCTTCATCAGATGATTCGTCGGAGTCGGAGTCGGAGCCAGATTCTTCTTCCTTCTCCTCCTTTTGGGCGGGTGCCTCCTCAGTGGGCTTCTCTTCCTCATCCGATTCAGCATCCCAGCTGTCCTTGACTTCCTCATCGGCAGCCTGCTCCCAGTCTTCGATGGCGTCCTCTTCAGGGGCGGCAGCAGCAGTGGCAGCGGCAGCGGCCTCAGCCTTGGCTTTCTCCTCGGCCTGCTTCTTTCGATCCTCAGCTTCGCGCTGAGCCTGGGCTCGAGCGGCAGCAGCTTCGAGGTCCTCCTCCTGCTTCTTGCCAGCCCTCTTCTTCTTGTTCTCATAGACAGGGCGCTGCTTCTTGTCGGCACCCTCTTCCAGGCCAGCAACCTTGCCACCGGCGGCAATCATCTGCTGCATACGCAATTCATTGCGCTCCTTGGCCTCTCGTTGAGCCTTGGTAAGAAGCTTGCCTTCCCTGCGGAGCTGCTCCTTCTTTTCGCGCTCCTTCTCCTTCTTACGCTCACGAGCCTCTGCGCGCTTCCTCTCCTCCTCCTCATCGAGGAGCTTCTGCTTGGCAGCGGCCTCCTGCTCTTCTGCTGCGATTCGCTCCTCCTCCTCACGTTGCTGTCGAAGAAGCTCCTGTTGCCTCTGAAGAGCTGCTAGGTGGGGAGGAAGCTTCTTCTTTTTGCCAGTCTCTGCAACGGGTGCAGGAGCGGCGGCTTCATCCTTCTTGGCTTCCGCGGCGGCAGTCTTCTTGGCTTCAGCCTTCTCTTGAGCAGGAGTGAGCTTCTTCTTTGTGGCAGCCTATATAGACGAGAAAGAGAGAATGTTAGTAAATGATTTCAATACCGGCGCGAATTTCCAGCACGAAGAAAGATGTAAAAACCTACCTGCTCCTTCTTGCGCTGCTTCTCCTTCTCCTTCTTCTCACGCTCCTTTTCCTTTTTGCTCTTTACTCGGAACTCGCCCTCGGGCTCTTCCACCACGGGCTTAACCACCTCCTTGATGGGCTTGGTCTTCTTTCCAGCGAAAACATCGTCGTCATCGAAGTTGCCCTCCTCGGGCTGCTTGCTAGCCAAATCGTCTGCTGGGGGTGCGCCGGCACCCTCGGCGTCCTCACCCTCGACAAAATCGTTCATTTTGCCCTTCTTAGCCTTCTTGGCCTTGTTTTTTCTCAGAGCAGCCATAAGACCGCCGACTGGGGCATCCTCGTTGGCATCTTCTTGGGGCTGCGCCTCGGTGGGAGCCTCGGTGGGAACGGACTCGCCGAGATCAGCCTCCCAGTCCTCCTCCTGTCTCTTGTTGCCCTTCTTCTTTGGTGCCATTATGAATGATAAATTTCTCTTGGGAGTTTGATGATGATCCGATTGGAGTGACCGGAGAAATGTCGTGGGCGCACAAACGGAGTTAACCGGTTATTTGCGAGGTGTGGTAATACGAAGACGTATTAAAAGGGAGAGGATAGAAGTCGAAAAAAAGACAATCCCCAGAATGAAAGGCGAGAGATGGAGCTCTCTGTAAGGTGGGCCTAGGGAGGGGTGTGGGAAGGGAAAAGAATTTCGGAAAGATTCATGGACGGTGGGGAACAATATGTATGGCTCTAAATCGCCACGACACGAACTAGCTGGACGACCCCCCGTGTATTCAAATGTTGTCAAAGGTTTTTTTCTTTCTTTTGGATATTTTATATCGCACGCGTACAAATCTACCAAAACTTAACTTCAAACATTAACATTTTCATTTGACTTATCCATGGTTGGCATAGATACATCTCCTCCAGGGCTATGTACTTCCAAGCTTGGTCCTTCACGCTTCTTCACTGCGGTCAAATCCCCTTGAGATTTTAAAGCTCAATGTGAAGCACATTCCGAAGCCAAGTGAATAGAGCCTCAGTGTGGTTGGCAGAAACACCAAGGACGTCCTCAATTGCCCCAATGAACACACGCACTGTCTCAGGGGTCAGGTCCTTGGACTGACTCCCATTGCATGCCATGAGAAGCTTATCCAGGTATTTCGAGTCGTGACTAACAAGGCGAGACAGAATATTTCCATCGATGTGCTTACTCATTTCGACCTGGGAGATTGCATCAAGATAGCGATGTCTACGGGAGAGGGAGGGACAGATGCCCTCATCCCTAAGGCAAAAGTTGAGCAGAAGTTGAAGAAGGCACCACTCCTCCTCGTCGAGGGGCAAGAGCCGATAGACAGATCCATTGATGTCAAAGCCATAAAACGTACTGACGGTCTTGAGCGAAGCCGGAGACTTGCAGCCTTGCGCGAGCTTAATAAATGAGATGGGCAGATTGGCTGTCGGACAAGGCACAAGGTCGCCTCGTCTTTGGGCGTTTGGGAAGACTCGGGTAGCTCCACCTCGGGTACTCACAAGAAGGCGATCCGATCCAGTTTCAGGCCCGGGCATGAAAGTGTGAGACAAACCATCGCGCGACATTGGGTGGAACCCGTTCAACAGGATGTCCCCATTTACAATCTTGTAGACCATCAGGGAATGCCTCGAAGTGGTAACGTAGATCATGTCTCCTTTCACCGTCATCGCGACAGCTGGGGATGGTAGTGTGCCTGAAATATTGCGAATCCATTTTGTTTGAGAGTTTCGCGAGGTGACCGTGAAGAATCTTTTCCCAGAGGCAACAATCACGCTATCGTAGTATGCCACCATCGCATAAACTGGGTCCTTAAACCATTGCGTGTGCTTGTCGATGCAGGTAATCTGCTCAGGATGGTTGGCATCACGAGACGCTTGTATGAGCATCAATCGACCTTGGCGGTTATTGGGTTGATGAGGCAGATTGATTAAAGTCCCAATTACTATGAGATGGTACGCGTCGCCATTCTTTACTGGCATCCAGTCAAGAATGCAAGTGATTTTCTCACCAGAAACTCCATGTGGTCTCCAGGGAAGAAGGCCTTGAGCAACCATGTCTGTATCGCTGGGAACCACTGATAACTGTGTGTCTGGATCCACAAACTCGACATATGCCGTGTGGGAAAGATCAAGAGGGTTTGCTTTGTTGTTGTTCTGAGTGACAGTATATGAAACAATGAGACTCTGAAGATGCCTGGAGTAGGTGAGCTTGCTGGGATTTCCGGGAATGTCGATGCGTCGGGGAACGGTCTTTGCTTCTTGATCCAGAGTACATATTAGAAGTTGACCATCTGCAAAACAAAACAGGTATGTAGCTGCACTCCCAGTCTCTTGATCTATTATGTCAACAAGATCGAAGCTGTTAAATCTTGTAGGGAAGTATGCGGGCTGGCATGAACGTTAGACCATAACCCATAACGACAGGATGGGATGTAACTTACGCAGTTTTGATCTGTAATCCAAACCCGAGACAGGAAATAGTCGAAGCCAGTGCAATCTCGGGCATATGACACACGCCAAAAATCATCTCCACATGTAAGCAACGCAAATGTATTGTGAGCTTTGAGATTGATTGATGTTCGACCAAGGTAGCGTGGCGCTCTTTGTTTCAAACCTGAAAAGAAGGTATCTGGTTAGTAAAAATTGCCGATAATTTGAACCAAAGGTAACCCACATTTGAAACCAAAAACTGGGTCACCGCGAAGGTTGACGGCATCGGTATGTATCTCGAATGGAATAAGTATGCCACTTCGCAGCCCACAGAAAAGGAACGGGTGTATTCTCTCGTCTGAAGGATTCCTGATAACAGCAATACTTTCAATCGCTTTGGATATGTCTTCTTCAGTGTTGACTGAGATACGAGTGTCGGCATGTCGTCTGATCCCACCAGTCCTGTTGTAAACCTCGAATGATAGCACTGTGCCATCGCCAGTGCCTAGGAAAATGAATTCAACTTCCCCCATATTTTGGTAGGAGATACAGATGGGCTCTTTTTCGAGCAGGTATGGGGCCTCATGATCAGATAGAGAGGCGCTTGCTTCAGTTGTGACCATCCGAAGAAAATGGAGAAAATTTCCCTCTCTACTTCTGGTAGTCATGATAATAGTAGAACTTGGGCCATCCACAATAGCTGCTGTGACAAATACAAGGGGGTCATGTTGAACACAGCTGTTGAGGGAGAAATCAGTAGGGACAAAAAAGTGCACAGCTTTTTCTGTGACCCGAACAATAACACCGGAAGGTGTGCAGTCCATTGCCAAGGTCTGTTGAACGTCCAAGCCTGTATCGTCCTCAAGGGCAGTAATGCCATCTCTCATGTCAGGAGTCGTATGAAGAAGCAACGAGGAAAGCGGATCGGAGGCCACCAAGTATATTGAATCCTTAGCACCAAGTGACACAGCCCACATACCACGTATGCTGGACAATCCACCCAATGTAGTTGCGACTCCAATCTGAGCCTCGATGCCATATCGAAGTTCTGTAATAGCTCCATTGCCCAAGGCAGAGTTTGAGCAGATGAAAATCCGATCGTGATAAGTTAGCTTATCTCTGCAGCAGCCTGGGGGCCTTGAAGGAATGACAACTGCATCGGAAACTGACGCCCAGTTGAGGAATCGCTGAACACATCTGGGGTGATCCCGTGCCTCCTGGACAAACAGCCCACCATCACCCTGGCTTCCAGCAGCGAGAATGAAGTCACCGCCTTCATGGCCCATATCAAGAATATCAAATGCCGTATCAACATTGCAGTGGAGTTGACCCAGAGAAGTCTGGGTTTCGAGTTCACCATCGTTGCCAAACTCGAGATAATAGATCCAGCCTTTTTCTTGACAGAGGAAGATTCCATCGTACCTCTGACTGTACATCCAGTTCCGCGAAGGTCTGGCCCAGCGAGTCCACAGTCCAGCTTCGGACGATTCGGCATCGGGAATGATTGGCGGGTATCGCATCGGACGAGACGAGGAATTGGGTGTGTACATTGCCATAGAGTTTGTAGTGACTAGGAGGTAGGAGGATTCTTTGGCCAAAGGGATGACCATGCTAGGTAACTGATCTTGCTGAGGCAGAGAAGTTAAGGTGAACTTGGGACTCATGCGGTCATGCATACTAGCTCCACTCCATTCAAACACCATAGACCGTGTTATGTTAGACTTATGAACAATAAGAAGGAGGATGGTCCGTTTGTCATGCATGTCCTTCGGATAAAGAAATTCCATAAAGAGGATATCTCCGTCCACTTGAAAGAAACTCTCCTGTTCAAATATTGTTATTATCAGACACATGATAAATAGACCTTAGTGAGCACATACACTTTCAAGTGGGTTCAGCTCCCCTTGTAGCATCTGTGCCTGGATTTGGCTGGGAGATTTTAACCACAAGACACCGAAGAAATTACGCGATGCGCTGACTGCAACCGCACGCGATCTTGATCATGGTGTAAGCTTTCGCTAATTCGATTGAGTGAGCAATGGGCGATACTTACTTGGGATCAACTGCTATATGCTTGCCATACTTGTCGGCAATGCTGACGTCGCGGGGTAGAGGTCGACTGTAGGAAACAAATGGGCCATCTCCAATTTCCGAGCAGTACATGAAAAGGAGCTGATTTGAGTCCATAGAAAGAAAAAGGATTTGAGGAGGTAGTTCGTTTTTGTCGTAAGGGTGCGTCGTGGAGCTTGATGGAGTCTGAGTTTCCCAAGGCAATTGGGTGCTTACATTGATGACTTTCGCCCCAATAATCGAGCCTTCAAGGTCAGATTTTTCGACAACATCTTTAAGATGGCCACTGGGCAGGGCTTCCTTGATTTGAATTCGTCGCTCTCCAATGAAAACAACATCGTTGTGGTGTTTATCTCGAAGACGCGCTGGAAGGATCCAGTTGATGATAGGGCTTGGGATTAGTGGTTGGGTAAGTAATCCAGTCAGACGCGGAGGCATGACGGGCTGGGGCACAGGCATTGCAGTGATTGGGCGGGCTTCACAAGAAACCAACAACAGATTAGAGCAAACGAGGAAATGATCCTGAAGCCAAAGAAGTCAAGGGAGGTGAAAAGATACAAAAAAAAACTCGAAGAAAGAGTTGCAAGATGGAAATAGAAGACGGAAGATGAAGATGTAGGGAACGAATGGGAAGGTAAGTAGGGAAGTAGGCAATATCAAGAGCCGGTCAGGCAATGGCTTGCGGTGCAACAAGCCCCAAGATCTGTTTGAACTGCACCGCACTTCCTATGAATTTCTGTATTCAAGAAACCGGGCAATTGCATTCGAGATTTGTGAGATCCACTTCTCTTCATACTTCAAAGGTTGAAATATCTCAATGTGATTAATACATTGACTGCCAAATGCGATACTGGCTGTGAGTTGATGCCCGATGCACAGCCCGAGCCTGGAAAGAGTACAGGCGGTTGTAGATACTTCCACAGGTCAAGTATAACCCAGACAAGCCCTGTCATATCTTTATTAACCAATGCACTTGACGTATGAGGGATCAAGATCAATGTGAGACTTGCAGCTTGCCTGAACGCTATACAGCAGTAGCAGCTCTCGAAGATGTAAAAATACTTGCCACAAGCTCCATTGATTGCCAAGTTCCTAGAAAGAAGACTGAGCTAACACTTGTCACTGGTAGACAACTTGGAGAGCAAGCCAATTCCAGAGTGGTGGAATCGCCGCCCGTCGGTGAGCTAGCGCAACCCCAGAAACTGTGGACTTCCAAGGGCGCACAACGCAGTACACAGCTATATGTGTCCGAGATCTCGCAATTTATACCGCAAACCTATTCAACTGGAGCGTTGTGCCTAAGCCTGGCACGGGCGAATGTTGTTATCGGCGAAAACATGTCGCGGCTGCCGATAGATGCCTAAGGCCATCAAGCGGGACTCCGGGTGCCCGCCTTTGACTTCAGACCTACACGTTTGGGTATACGTGCCTAGAGATTCATCAGTTCACATGCAAAGAGGGCTCGGTCATCAAAGGTAAAGCTATTATCTCACATATTTGGTGTTGAGTCGGTGTTTTGGACACGTCATTTCGCTGTCCAGTTAAAAAGCTCCTGTCGATCGATCTATATCCGATCGGGGTTTCAATCTTGTTCAGCTAAATTCAGAACACACAACGTGTATTTTTTCAGCCAGATCGAGAAACAAATCGAGCCAGAGCCTCCATATTTGCATGAGTGTGCATATTGCCCACTTGGTCTTCTCGCAAGGCGATATCTTAGCGGACAAACAATGGGAGATACCAGAAAAGAGGGGATTGATTTCAGCTCCGAGCATGTATCGGCATCGGAAGGCGTTTTCAAAAAGCCAGATGTGAATGAAGAAATAAATCGGATCGCTCGAGCAGAAAAGTCGAGAGCTATCCGCAAAGCATGTGCAGCGCACGATGTCGAAGCCTTAGCTGTGCACGCAACGTCTGAAGGGGGGTTACTTGAAGATGACTTGAGACAGATAGCTTGTGAGTTATTTCGGTCTGATGAAGTTGTACAAATATATGGCCTGAACCCAACTAACCATCTAGATAGGGCCTGTTTTGTTACAATGCGACAAACAGATACAAAAATCCGATACGGTCTCAAGTACTGAACTCTTACGACATGGCGATGAGGAACAGGTAGAACTTGACGTAAACCGGTCTTTTGTCTACTACCCGAAAGGTATGCTATTAGAACTCTCCATGCAATATGAGTTTGTGTGTTAATATAGTCTAGCTCCCGAGGAGGAAATGTTGGAAAAAAAAACAGCAACTATCCAACCTGATCACTCAAGTACTAAGGGAATACCCTATGCTTTGTTATTTTCAAGGGTATCACGACATAGTCCAAGTTCTGCTTTTGGTACTGGGAGAGAAGCAAGCTGTGCCAGCAGTGGCGCAAATATCTCTTTTCCGTATACGTGACTATATGCTTCCATCGCTGTCCCCAGCCGTGAAGCATCTCCATCTCATTCCTGCAATCATCGAGACAACAGACCCTGAGTTAAGACGACACCTTGGCAATATTGAGCCGTTCTTCGCCCTCGCAGCTACACTGACACTATATGCCCATGACATCCAAGAGTATAGTAGCATTTCACGACTTTTCGACTTTCTTTTGGCTCGAGAACCCGTGGTTGCAATCTACCTCTTCGCAGCAATGATTCTGTCGAGGAAGAAAGAGTTGCTGGAAATTCCAGCAAATGAGCCCGAGATGCTTCATTTTACACTTTCTAAACTGCCGTACCCACTTGATCTGGACGGACACATTCTGCATGCAACACGGCTCTTTGAGGACCACCCGCCCGAATCTTTGCCGCTTGGAGCCTGGAAACATATTCCCTGGTGTAGTGTGCTCAAAACTTCACGCGACCCACATCGCAAGTACACCCGAGAAGAAGCGATATACTTGTTTGAAAAGCAATCTCAACAGATTCGGACTGAAGAGCGCAGGAAACGAGCTCTGGATTTCTTGTGGAGCCACCGTCGCTCTGTGGGCTCTGTGGCGTTAGCCATCTTGGTTGGCGCTGCATCTTTCTATATCCGCAAAAAAGGACTCGACACTTCCATTTGGTCTTATGTTGGCCAAATTCAAAGGTCAATCCAAAGCTGGATTTAATCTTCAAGACACTATGTCAGGTATCATGGATGCCTGGTGCTGCATATGTATGATAATGAGCAAAAAAAAAAGAGATAGAATCATAATAAAGATCTTCATATTTGAAGATTGAAACTGAAGTATTCCCATATAATTAAAAACCCTGTCAGTTATAGCTAATACTATGTATTCGATACTCATGTATGAGACCTGGGTAGTGGTACCCACAGTTGTGGCTTGAGCGCGTGGCTTTATCTGCGGAAGCTGATGTGTACACTTAACAACTTCCCTTCCAACAGCTTTACTTCAAAACCAACCACCATGGCGAACCGAGGCTATGATGTCGTAGTAGATGTGGATGCAGAGGTAAAACCGCTCGAATGATCAATACATCATTCCAACTAACAAATCAGCAGGGCGACCTTGGCCACACTGACCTACAAGAAGACCTCGAATTCCACCCCTCCAGTGAGTTTCCCCGAGTGCATCAGCCCAGACCAGCTCTAACCAAGTAATCCTACAACTTAGACTTTGAAAACGACCAGAGAACCGCTAAAGTCCAAGGCGATTCCGCCCCGTTCCTGGGCGGTGGGTCATCGCGTCGCCGTGACCGGTCCCCTGGCGGCACGCCGACCAAGCACAGCTGGTGGTCGATACACTACTACGAGCGATTTTTCGACGTCGACACGAACGAGGTCCTCCGCCGCTGTGTGGCGACGTTGTACCCACGCAGCAACTTCCTCGATGTGCTAGAGGGCAACGCAGATCTGTACGGACCAGTCTGGATCGCGACTACGGTGGTTGTTATCCTGTTTTTGACGGGTACTATCTCGCAATGGTTGTCAAACAATGGCGACAAGCACTTCGAGTACGATTTCACGCTGCTATCGGGTGCAGCTGGTCTGGTCTATGGGTACACGGGTATCGTGCCTATTGCCCTGTGGGGCGCACTGCGTTGGTTCGGCAGCTCAACAGCTGACCTTATTGAGTGCTGGTCTCTGTATGGGTACTCTAATTTGGTCTGGATTGCAGTTGCACTGGTCAGCTGGAGTCCGTTGACTGCGCTTAACTGGGCGCTTGTTGGCGTTGGCTTTGCTTGGACGGTCTTCTTCCTTCTGCGGAACTTGTACCCGGTCTTGAATGCTACTGATGCGAAGGCTAGCAAGATCCTCTTGATCTTGGTTGTTGTGCTACATGCGGCACTGGCTATTGCTATCAAGGTGCTTTTCTTTGCGTAAGTTGTGTCCTTTGACAAACGAATTGACCTTGGACTGACATATCTACTAGTCACGGAAGCCCCGTCTCAAAGAAGAAGGATAAGGAACATGACGATAACAAGGATGATGACAAGAAAGGGATGATGTTCCGGGCATAAGTGGGGAGGATGGACCATTGGCTTTCATCTGGAATACTGGCCATTCTGTCGATTCTTGCTCAGGTAGCAGGTTTCAAAGTTCAAGTTTTCTAGTCGTCTTATTGAACGCATGCATGTATTGTACTCTGTATTTATCGCAGATGGAATTTGGAGGTGTGAAAAAACAATGCGACTGTTTGAATTTTACACATTTCATTTCATGGAGTGCAACTTGGTCGTCGAGAGGAGCCAACTAGAAAAAGTATGACTGTGGCTGCATTGATTTTATCATCATATCTAACGCCATTTGAAATCCTCTCCATGTAGCAGTCCAGCCAATCCCCATCTCTGGAACTGCACCACAACACACCGAGCACAAGACCGAGGAGCGAGTCGTCTATTTGAGCTTCTTCTTGGGGCGGAGCTGGTTGGTGTGTCCGCACTTCTTCTTGCGGCAGTTGGTGGCACGGGGAGGGAGACGAGCCTGTAGAAGATCAGAGTTAGTACATGTGTTGACGTAATTGATGGCCTTGCCACGAAAGGCAATTTTATCCGCAAAGTATCGGGCGTAGGCGGAGAAGGCGAGAGTAAACGTACGTAGCACTTGCGGCAGATGGCCTTGTCGCAGTTGAACTTGGAGGCAAGGGCCTTGAGGGAAGGCTCAATGATACCACCACGGAGACGCAGGACAAGGTGAAGGGTGGACTCCTATAACGAGTTGATATCGTATGTTAGCGAATGTTCCACCATTTCGCAGACCGTAGACCATAACGTAAAGCGATGATCCCCCCTCTTGCGTATCCGGAATGGGTAGAGTGATCTCCTGGACAAAGAACATCTTGAAGATCCGATCCACCCGAGATACCATAATGCCCCCACTTTTGGTCCAAATCACAAAGGTTGGATTCCGGTCCATACCTTCTGGATGTTGTAGTCGCTCAGGGTGCGGCCATCCTCGAGCTGCTTGCCGGCGAAGATCAGGCGCTGCTGGTCAGGGGGAATGCCCTCCTTATCCTGGATCTTGGTCTTGACGTTGTCGATGGTGTCGCTCGACTCGACATCGAGGGTAATGGTCTTACCCGTCAGGGTCTTGACGAAACTATATCGCACCGTATTAGTCCATATTCATATTCCTCCATGGGTTCGTGTCGTATCGGCGATGGATCGGGATTTGTGGTTCGCGATGACATTCGAGGGTTCAGGAAGACCTACATCTGCACTGAAATGGCGCGGAAAAACACGATGTTAGCTCACTGATTCCATAGCGAGGCATATATGCTGTTTAACGGGGTGTATGGAACGTACTGGTTGCGAGTTTTCGTTGTTGTCGGCTGTCGGTCGCTGTGTTCCAGGCGGAGCTGTCGATTGTCAATTTGAGGATTTCGCTCGCTTAGCAAAGGTGGACCGATTGGGGTACCCTAAGCCCTAGTTGCTGCCCATTTTCGTTATACATTATGTAATCAACCCCAGCCGACCCGTCCGACCCAGCCAATGATAACTTGGCCGTGCATCTATCTACGTCAAGTAACTATAGTAGTCCTGGAGAGATTCTACTAAAAATAAATGAAGAGTGTTTTCAACTTTCAATGGCATCTTCTGATCAAATACAGCAAATCGATCGATCATCAGCTCAGTTGGAAACATCAATACACCGAAAAAATACACCAATAGCTCACAGCAACGTTAGAAACCCAAATAATTGAACTAGAGATAAAAGGTTGTACAAAGGTGAACGCCAGATACATGATTCCAAAGTCCCCAACGCCATGCATATAGTACAACGGACTTTCCCATCGACCTCTAGATGGTCGACCATATCTTTGAATTGGAGGTGAAATCATCACCATCCATATCTTCAGACTCCGCGCCGTACATGTCCTCTTGAAAATCATCCATTCCATACGCGTGATCAACATCGCTTTCGTCAGTGTACATTCCTTCTGCTCCCAGACTAGCGAAGTACTCTCTGTTCTGTCGCTCTTCGTCTTGCTGTGTGATCTTAAACTCAACAACTGTGACAGCACGGACAAGAGTTTTCAATGGGACTGCAGCGAGCTGAGCTGCTACCTCATATAAGGTCCGTGCGGGGCCAGTGAGATGTGATTCCCATCGATACCGTTGATACCACTCGCCGGGACGCTTGGGATCATTATCTTCATTGTCAGGGATAACCCTTCTGGCTCTAAGGGCTTGCATGACTGGTCGTAGCAAAAGCTCGAGCTTTTCTCGAGTCTCATCAGGAGGAGCAGAAGCAGTATCTGCATCAATATCAGGAGTAGGAGCAGGAGCAGGAGCAGGAGCACGAGCAGAGGCAGAGGCAGAGGCAGAGGCAGAGGCAGAGGCAGAGTGAGAGGCGGAAGTAGAGGATGGTTGGATATTTTGTTCTGCTCGGTTGATAGGAAACATTTCGGCGATGCGAGTGGGTTCCTTGGAAGTATCCAACCAACTGCTTTCATACCAGTCCATGTAGTCGTCTAATTGGGCAGACGTCATGTTCAACACGTCTTGATCTGTGATCTGGATAGCAGTCTTTTTTCCAATCTTCCCCCCAAATACCCGATCATCATCGAAATGGTTCTGGGTGCGTGCCCAGAGAGCCCAGTCCATGACCTGCGTAGCGGGCTCTGTATCTGTGGAGGGATACCTTTTCAAATCATCGATTGGGAAAAGTAATTTCGTAGAAATGATGATCAGAGATATCAATTGCACATCGGGAAGAAGGCGTGCTGTTTTTCGGCGATTGTATGAACGTGCTGCCGGCCACATGAATGTTAAGCCTAGTAGATCTTGCAAGACCATAGTTGCATCATATATCTCGACTAAAACTCGTTAGCTAAGGCGAATTAGATAGACACATGGCGAATGTTGCTCATACTTGGTAAAGCCAATCTCTTGATGAGCCGGAAAAGAATCATGGGCAAATTCAATGGAGGAAGGTCCAATTCAAATCGGCGCTGATAGAACTGTACTATTTCTAGGACGGCATGGTGGAACCGCTGGGCATTAGGTATTCTCTTCGTCAAAATTAGTTAACGCCGACTAAGAAAAATTGCCAGATTAGACTACACTCACATTGACCTCAAGGATCCCCGTCAGTTCTGGCGGAAGTCTATCCCTCATTTCCCGAGGGACGGTTGCTAGGACTCGGGAATAAGGGATTTCCTGCCGAACTATCATTCTATAGAATGTGAGTATTGCTCATTCTAGAAGCAAACGACCGGGCTTGCATAGAGGAAACCATGTACTTACTCGTGAAAGTCATTGACACAGACAGGAAGCCGCATCAAAAATGCTGCGAGATAGCACAGCGCAACGGTATCAATCAGGCGAGGCCATTCGAGAAACTTCGAGTTTGATTTAAATCCTACTTCACGAGATTCATCTTTTTCTGCGGGTTGTGAGCTGAACAGCTCGGGTTCGGTATCATCATCTTCAGTAGGATCAGTGATTTTCATTTCAAAATCTTGCAGGCGAAGAGCCCAGAGATCGCGAACAACAATCTAATGTATAATGAGCTTTTTTATCTTCAATATACGAAGCAACAAGTAGACATACCTCAAGTTCTTCTGGGAAACCGTGGTCATGAACCAAGGTATGACATTGCTTCCAAAGGATAAGCTGGTGTATTTGCAAGAAAAGCGTGTAGGCCGGACGGCCACGAAGTGCTTTAGACATAAGTCAGTGGAGAGAATGGTTTTCAAGTTGCTAATTACACATACTCTTGCTGGCCTTCTCCTTAATTTCTTTCTTCAGGCGATGTGTTTTGCCCAAATTTCCGAAATCGTCGGCATCCTCTGCAACTTGGACACCCTACGCATGTCGAATAGCCACATTAGTTGTGTACTTGACATTTGACGATGTGATAGGAGAAAGCCGATGGACGTCATACCGCCTGCAAATGACCGCGTCGACAAAACCAAAATCCATTATCGAGATAGTATCGGGTCTCACGGCAACCTTCTTGACCGCAGACCCCTCGGGTAACGTAGTCCATCCCCAAGGGATTTGTTCATTCTTTGATAAAGAAAGGTTGGTATATCGAGATGGCGGGACTTTTTTTCTGCCTCAATCTGAGTGACCGCCGATTTTCTCGCTCCACCTGTCCCGCAATGCGCGCAATGTGATTGATCGGTGGACGATCTCAGAAGATTGAATTGCAGGGTTTTATGTACTTTTTAGTAGATCGGAGTAAATTGTAGTACTTTTATGTACTTTTTATCATTGTGTTGTCTAGGGTTACACTGGTGTATATTTTAGATGGGAGTCTAATTGAGATCTAAATCTCATTCAATCTAATTTGTAATTTACTAGATCCCTCAGATAATCATAGTCAAGCAAGATCGAGTATTTATTTCATCACACTATCATGAGATGCTGAGACTCAGAACTGTTCGGACAACACATATCATGCCAACCAAAGCAATTCTCGGTCCAGCCCACATCCAAGGTTATGTGGGGGACAGATCTTGAAGCAATGGGCATAATCGTTCAAAGAATCGTATCCTCCTTTGAGCCATGAAAGATAAAAATTTTGGGTGGGCTTTGAGCCCTCGTGGAACATAAAGGTTGGCATAACAGGTAATAAATCCAGGTATTAAATTTAACCAGACTTAGGAGCCTCCTTGCACTCCATGGCGGCCTCCTCGCCCATGGCAGTCAGGACGACGATGTCTAATGGCAACATATCAATAATAATTCTCTAGAAGTCTGGGTATTCTTGCAACTTACTGCACTCCTTCTCCTCGGTAAGGAACATCTGGTTGATCTTCTCACCAACCTCGTTGTCGGGAACCTTGACATCATCCTTGGTGTCACCGTTGTCGGTCATGAGGGACATGAAGCCATCCTCAGTGATATCAAGCTAATACATTCATCAACAAACAATCCAAAATTTAAGCTATCAGGGGAAACTCACGAGCTGGTACTCCTTGCGAACAACGTGGGGAACGTCCATGTTGTGGGTGGAGGGGGAAAGATCCTCAAGCTTCTTGCCGGTGAAGATATCGGTGGCGATCAAGTGAACCTTGGCGTGACCGTGCTTGCCGGTCTTGGAGGTAGACATGTCAATGATCTTGCAAGGACGGTTCTTGATCACAACGTGTCCACTCTTGCGCAGAGCGGAACACTGCATGGGGTAGGTGAGCGAAGCTCCGGCATCAGCCGAATCGAAAGTGACATCGTGCTGTATCAAAACATGTTAGCAAGCGCTTCGAAATCCGATGATAGGGTGGGGTTAAGGGTGCAAAATGGCCTCGTGCCCTCGAGAAGAAGAGGAGGGGGAGCCGCATGCGGGGCTGGGATAGAAATCTTCTCAGGTAGAGCCATTGGGAGATCTCGAATTTGTAAAAGAAAATACATACCTCCTCGGCAGACATGGTGAATAGATTTAGAGGGGTTGAAAGAGGGGAGTTTTTCAAAGAATTTGGGGAGGGGAAAAATGAAGAGAAGAGGAGGGAAGAAAAACGACTAAAATCTATCGTGGGCGGCGACGCTGTGGCGGGGTCGCTTATTGGACCGTGATTGGTCAAGGAGGGTTGTCCACCTTGTTGGGTTTAGTGTATATAGGAGTAGTGTCCGAGTGTCCTAAGACAACCTAGCAACTACAACGTTTCTACATTAATTGACATTTACTTGGTTGATTTTTTCCCAAGTATAACTCTGGATTTTCTTTGTTTTGTTTTGGATTCCCATGCTGTTCGTCCTTTTACACAATGTGGCGCGACCGCATTTCAGCCCAGTCAACTCCCTCCGGATCCAATAATCGCAACCTTTCTCCTCTACCGCGACGATCATCCTCCCAGTTATCTCCAAGTCCCTACAATAGTCGCCCTGGTGTAACATCTAGAAATTCATCCACATCTCTTCTCTTGTCACCCAATGACTCTACAACATCTCTTCCCGGAACTGCACGGGCAACCAATGGCTCTCCTTTAAAGCAGACGAGTATTCAACGACCTCGACCTGCCAATGTCCCCGATCCTCTGGAAGTCTTGAATGAAATCATTGGGAAGGAAATTCAAAGAGACAAGAATGTGCCGCAGCTATCGTCGGTACTGGAACGACCAGAACAATTGGTGGAAGCCATCCGTTTCGATGGGCTAAGTCTTGAGGACTTTCTGGAAAAGGAGGACCTAGCTCCAAAGAAAAAGACCCGCGAAAGTGATGTAAATGCGCAAACTGTCCAGCAATTTGAGCAAGAACGAGATAAGTTTCAAGAACTACACACATCGATTACTGGATGTGATGAGGTGTCCAAGTCAGTCGAGCTGTACTTGAATGACTTCCAGAATGAACTGGGTTCCGTATCGGCAGAGATTGAGACTTTGCAATCTCGCTCAACACAATTGAACGCGATGCTAGAGAACAGGCGCAACGTGGAACGGTTGCTGGGACCCGCCGTGGAGGAGATCAGCATCTCCCCTAAGGCTGTGCGGACAATTGTCGAGGGCCCAATTGATGAGAATTGGGTGCGTGCATTAAACGAGATCGATTCTCGAACAACAAATATCGAAGCCAAGGCCACCGCTTCTCCCAATGGCTATAAAGCCGTCGAGGATGTACGGCCCCTTTTGACCGATGTGAAGACCAAAGTGAGTATTCTACGCCCTTGAATGATCTAAACTTGAATTAACATTCATGCAGGCGATCCAAAGGATCAGAGACTATCTTGTATCACAAATTCGTGCTATGCGATCGCCAAACATCAACTCTCAGATTATCCAACAACAGCGACTAGTGAAGTTTAAAGATCTATACAGTTATCTCTCCAAGACCCACCCAAAGCTGGCAGGAGAGATATCACAGGCGTATATAAACACCATGCGTTGGTATTACACATCTCATTTCACACGCTACCTTCAAGCACTTGATAAGGTCAAGGTTTATCCTCCTGACCGAAACGAGGTGCTTGGAGGCGAGCAATCCACACATCGATCAGGTAAGAGCTCTGCTTTCCTGATGTCATTTATATATTAATTGTTTTAGGAATTCCTGGCGGCCGAGCTGGCTCTGCCGTGCATGACCCTTTCTCCCTGGGTAGACGGATTGATGTCCTCCGAACTGGCAATCTCCAGGCTTTATCCTCATACCTGGCTGAAGAGGACAATAACTACCATGGAATTGAAGTCCCGTTCCGAAACTTCAACCTCGCATTGGTGGACAATGTGTGTGCCGAGTACTCTTTCCTGACTGAGTTTTTCTCCCCAATGACCTTCCATCAAATCTCTCGTATTGCCGCGGACATATTTCAGCAGGTATTTACCCTTGGTCAGGGCCAGACCAAGAAGTTAATCGAGCACACCACGGATTCTCTGGGTGTCCTCATGTGTGTTCGCCTCAACCAACATTCAGCGTTCGAGCTTCAGCGCCGAAAGGTGCCCGTCGCCGATTCGTATGTTAATGGAACAAACATGCAGCTCTGGCCGCGCTTCCAGGTGATCATGGATCTCCACGGCGAATCGCTCAAGCGAGTTGGGTCCAACACTGGGCGCAGTGCTGTCTCCGCCCTTTCGATTGCAGGCGGAGACGACTTGAAGCAGTCTTCGGCGCCCCACTTCTTGACTCAAAGATTTGGACAGCTTCTTCATGGAATTCTTGTGCTGAGCAGCGATGCTGGTGATGATGAGCCAGTATCCAACAGTTTGTCCCGGTTGACTGCTGAATTCGATTCTCTTTTGATAAAATTAAGTCGCAACGGCACAGATACAAAGCGAAGAGAGCGATTCCTCTTCAACAATTATTCATTGATTTTAACCATCATTAGCGTATGTTGCTATCTCTGCGTTTGGGAAAAATGCGCTAATTGGAAACAGGATACCCAAGGCAAATTAGCAGTTGAGCAGAAGCAGGTAAGTATTTGAGTTGTATCTATTAGATATCGTGTGACTAACTTGAGTTACAGCATTTGGAAGAGATGCTTAAGAATAGCACCAAGCGGTAGAAAGTGATTGCATCCACCTATCAGATGCATATTCTGTGTGGAATAACAACATACTGCATTTAGATATCCTTTCACATATCCACATCTTAATTAACTTATCCAGAAACTTGCAGGACTTTATGGTGTAAATTCCGAAAATCACCTGAACATGTAGATAGAGAAAGATACACTAGAAATATAGATCCTAGCGATCCACTGGGTCAATAGTGGATTCAAGCCCTTGAATTGGAAACACAGACCAAAGTGTCTGCTACACTTGAAATTAACCTTTGCTATTGACGGATCTAGTAAAGTGTAGATGTATACATAACCATAGTATTATCGGGCTTTGTATAAAACCACCGTATGCAGCTACCATGTTGATCTTCACTATAATTTTATCGCGAAATTGAAGTCGAATCCCGTGGAACTTTCGCGGTGGCCGGCATAAAGCTCTAGATATTTCTGCTTGGGAATGGCTTGCTCTACTTCCTTATAATTCGCTTGCTTCATACGCAAAACCATGTTCGGAGTTAGTTGGAAGATGGTTAATGCACCCGCCAGTTGGCTTAGTTACTGGTCAAGTCTAGACTAGGAATAATAGTAGAATGACCGTATATATAGGGCTTAGAAAATCACAATCTATATTTGCAGCATATTTTCTGAGAACCAAATCCAGCACAAGATGAACATCTCTGAACAAGTCTGCGTCGAAGTGCCTGAAGACTGTAAACCCTTCCGCTTCTGAATGTGCATCTTAGCGGAATTCAACTTTTATGGCATCCTTAGCATACGCTTTTGGAATAGATTTGGGATGAAATGTTACACTGCCTTCGAGAAATCCTTTCCGAATGGCTGGATAAATGTGGCAGGTAGATGAATGTGGATAAGGAAGAAGAAGGGATTGAAGGGATTATAGAAATTGCAGTGCCCACCAAAATAATGATATCAATCCTATACAACTATTATATTAGAGCTTCTGTGGTGAGCTATATTAGCTCTGTACATAAGACTAAGAATATTAAAGGGAGGTGGCAGACCTGCATAACCCCTCTTTTGCTGCCTAAGAATACTTCCTAACCTCGATGGCCTATAAAAGCACTTCCCTTTCTTTATATTTAGTTTCAATTAATGTAAAAGGTTTGGGCCGTCTCCATATTATGTCTGCTATTTGTCTAATTGTTTAATAGCTAGACCTTCTAGCTCATCATTGCCTTACACAGACACAATATGGCAACTACAACGAGCGTCCCTGTGGCTATTCCAAACGATGGCTCACTGACCAAGGCTATGATCAAAACTATTATCAGCACATTTCTCACCAAGGAGTGGCCAAATGTGGACCCAGAAACGCTCGTTGTGACACACAATACTGGATCAGCAAACACAAACTGTGTAGTGAAACGACCGAAGCCAAATGGCGACACACACTCAGAGCCGCTCAAGGTGTTCCTCAAGATACACGGCGAACTTGAAGGAGAAATTGCGGTGTTCAAGCACTTGGTTCCCAATAAACTGGAAGAGGCACAACTATGTTATGATTATGCTCAATCAGGTCCTGGTGCCAAGGTGTATGGCTTCTTTCAGACACAGGATGGCACCTTCGGAAGGATCGACGAGTTCTTGGATGCACGCCATTTAACGCCAGCAGACGTGGAAGACGCGGATATCCGAGCTGATGTTGCAAGAGAGAATGCCTTTTTTCATACCATGGCGTTACAACGGAAGGGGAACCCAGTTCAATCATATTACGATGCTGTCATTGGAGAGCTTGCAAAATATCATAAGATGGACAAGCTGAAGAGGCTGGCCAACGAAGGAGGCGTCAATATAGACCGTCTTGTTGATTATGACTTTGTGTCCAGATTAAGACGAGTCAGGGATAGGCTGGAATCCATCGGAGGGAAAAAGGGATGGTGCATACACGATGTCCAACTCATGAATGTGATGGTGAAGAATAGCCCTAAGGAAGGGGAAAGCAAGATCGTCCTCATAGACTTCGAATTCGTCTTTCAAAATTATCGAGCGTTCGACATTGGTGCGCATTTTTTGCAAAAGATGTTCAAGTGGTTTGACAAGGAGAGCCAGATTGCAACCTGTCGACCTTACACAGAAGAGGAGAAAAGGCATTTCTGTGAGGAATATGCAAAAAAATGGAACGAGAGGACTGGTGATTCGGATACAGGGGAGCAGGTTTTTATCGAATCTGAGCTGGGGTTCATACTGGCTTGCACGTTCGAAGTCCATAACATGCTATGTTTTATGGATCAGGATGATGATAAGGACCCTTTGAACCTTTTCGCACTCAAAAAGGTGTTTGAAGAGTTTATGAATCAGTATAAAAGGCTTGGACTAGGGAACTAAGAGCACTTCAGCTAATGCACTATTCTCACAACGCATTAATCTATATATCGACCCTAGATATAACCCTCAACTCAGACTCTGTGCCTTGCTTGCCATATGTTGTGATAGAGCGTGACATTGACCAGATAGGTGCGCTCATGAAGAAAGGGAGACAGTGTTGGTATTAGTGAGCCCAAACATTTGTTCAAGTTGAAAGTGAGGGAATTCTGGAGAGTTTTTGAAGATCGAAGATACCGAGTTTTCTACTTTTGAGTACGCCTGCAGAGATTAACATATCTTAGCTGTTTCATCCTGTCGCAGAAGATCAATTAACTAAACCCTATGCCCTCATTTTACCACCAATCACTTCCCTGGGATAAGCTTCAAGCTCTTTCCAATGTTTGGGATACTGGAAGCCCGCTGGCGCAGTGACACGACCTTGATTTAGAAAAGGGTTCTTTCCCCAACCTTCTTCAACTCAATAGAGTAATACCCCGTATAGTGAGTCGATTTTACAAAATTCAAAGAGACAACAGATAGCCAAGGAAACTGGACCAACAGTGTCCAAAAGTATGTCGAGAGTGTACTGTATAATTCGTCAAGTCAAGCATCCAGTCTAGATCCCAACAAGCCGATCAGGCCCTTTCCAAAGCACCCCCTCAATCTGGGGTAAAACCGACAGCGCAAGCCTAGCCCAAGTGGCTGCATATCCGGTGTGATGCATATGCACCCCTCTGCACCCTCCATACCCCTCAATACACGATAGCCCGATAACACAGTATCCAATGAGTAATTAGTCAATTGAACCGAAAGCCACACAGCCCATCTGCAGTGTCTGAGCACATTTCCCGCTGTTACCGCAGCGGTCAAGAAGTGTCCAGCAAATGCGTCTCGATGCATCATCGACTTGGCCGGTTCGTTTGACAGCTCTGACAGCCCCCGGATTTAAAATGAAGCCATCATTCGTATCCCAGGCTCTGCATGATATAGGCTTGTTATTTCTGATTGGGAGTTTCTTCTTCTATGTAGCTCGGCGGATGTCGCGCGGGGAAGGAGCGGTGAGGTATTTGGGATCCTAGGTGTGATTGGGACTTTTTTTGGCTTCGTTTTACCTTTTCCGAGGAGCTTGATCAGCTGTTGGCCAAAGATATTTGTCTTTTCGGATTTCATACGTCCGCCTGGTGGGATATCGGTGCTGATAGGTACCCGGTGTTTTGGCCTCGGGGGTGTCTAGATAGTAAATGAGGCGATTTGCAAGACATCCACATCCATTGAAGTCATTGAAGTGATAGTTGCAATAAGAAATGACACATCAAAGAAAGGCCCAAGATCAAACAAGATCTATACCAGATCCGTGACTGCTGCAGTCCAGGATAAACTCCTGCACTGAGCCCCGCGGAGTTCTCCCGATTTGAGCTCACTTGGCGCAAACGTAAACACAAACCCTATATTTGAGGATTTGGATGAGTTGAAGACATGAGAAATCACATAGATAGCGATCTTCCATATCAGTGGAGTCGAATGCAAGCACAAAAATGACGCCGATCTCGACCCACATCGAATTGGAGGTGACGTTGATCTGTATACTTCGTCCGAAGGAGGCGTTTGAGCATCGTATGGGGCGCTTTGATGAGACTTTATGAGAGAAGTTCCCCTATTTCCGTAACTATTTATATTGATTTGATCATCTTGCTCCTCCTTCCAATCGATTTTGGTATCTCATCAATTTCTCCCTTCTCCCCATAACCCATCCCACCTTCAATCATGGCTACCCCCATTCCCAAGACCATGCGTGCTCTGCAGTACTCAGAGCCCAAGAAGCACAAGATCGTTGAGGTCCCTGTGCCTGAGCTCCGCGAGAACGATGTCCTGGTATGAAACTATCCATCAATTTGCAGAGAAGAAGCAAACTGACCAAATGATTAGATCAAGGTCAAGGCCTGTGGTGTTTGTGGAACTGATTTGCACATCCACGAGGGTGAATTCATTGCCAAGGTATGTCTTTCCACCATATCAAGCACTAATCGTGCATTGGTGTACTGACTAGTCCATAGTTCCCTCTGATCCCTGGTCACGAGACCGTCGGCGTAGTTGCCGCCATTGGGCCCAAGGTCATAGACTTCGAGATTGGCGAGCGAGTCGTCGCTGACAACTCCGAGCTGTGCGGAACCTGCTTCTACTGCCGCCGTGGCGACGAGCTGTTCTGTGAGCACTTCGAGGCCCACGGTGTGACGATGAATGGCGGTTTCGCTGAGTACTGCGCCTATCCTGGTAATTAGAGCGTATAAACAGCATCCTGGGCTTTGAAGACTGATTTTGGATTTCCTATTAGCTGGCAGAGTCTTCAAGATCAAGAACCTTTCCGACATTGACGCAACTCTCCTCGAGCCCGCCTCATGCGCCGCCCACGGTTTGGATAAGATTGCTCCAAAGATGGGCTCGTCCGTGCTGATCTTCGGTGCTGGTCCTACTGGTCTGGTGTTGGCTCAGATGCTGCGCCAGAACGGTGGTTGCAATGTCGTTGTTGTTGCTCCTGGAGGTCTGAAGATGGATTTGGCTCAGACGCTTGGCGCTGGTGATAAGTACATTGAGCTGTCGCGCGAGAGTCCCCAGGCTCAATTCGATACTCTCAAGGCTGAGAACCCGTATGGATTCGACATTGTTGTTGAGGCTACTGGTAGCCAGAAGATTCTAGAGGACTCGATTAACTATGTTCGTCGTGGTGGTAAGCTGGTGGTGTATGGCGTGTACTCGAGTGAGGTCCGGGTCTCGTGGTCACCTGCCAAGATCTGTAAGTGTTCTTGTCCCCTTTTTTTGGGGCTCCTTTGCTAATTTCCTTCCAGTCGGCGACGAAATCACTATCCTCGGTAGTTTCTCTGAGACATACAAGTTCCCTGCTGCTGTTGATTATCTTGACTCTGGCAAGGTAAGGGTGGAGGGCATTGTGAATAAGGTGTACAAGATTGAGCAGTGGGAGGAGTGCCTTGAGGCGATGCGAAACAAGACCGCTATCAAGGCTGCCATCGTCTTCGATTAGATCATTAGATCTGGATACACTGTGAACTTCATCATACATGATACATCTTCATAGAGGATAGTAAATTTTCATAAAGGTTAATAGAATTGACTCTCTCTTTCTGAAACTACGGGACAGCTTGACTTTATACTTGGAAGTGAGGACCTTGTAGGCCAATAAAGTACCTCGGAGGCTAACTCTTATTCTCAAATATCTGCGATATTATAGAGGGGGCTTGTACTGAAAAGAATGCGAGAATTTAGATATATAAATAAGGTAAACTGTTATAAAGTCAAGATAGATACTATGGATAGAAGTCGAGAACGGTGCTCATCTCAGCCAACTGGTATCGCAGGGCATACCACTGGGCACTTTGGTTTGGCTTTTATTGTCAGAAAATTGGTATACCCCATGGACATTATTTTTTAGGGTATTATCGTGTTATGAACAATCGATAAGCACTTCTAGCCACACACATAGTATGTATAGAAAAGTAGGTTTGTAGGTGTGTATCAGTTCGCAGCTGATATTCTAGACGGGCATTTATAGAACTATAGATATTGAATGATATTGCAGTGGGATTGTAAGTTTAACACCTGTAATATCATGCTCAATCAACCGAGTATATGTACTCAGATTATCCAAGTCCTACATCACTACGTATAGAAGCCATAGAAGGGGCAGATATTCTACTGATATATATAAATGATCAACTGTTGCATCCAGGTAGTAAGGTGTAGATTACTTGCCTGCTAAATACTGCTACAAACACCTGGGCGGAGTCAGACCTCCAGTTGTCATTGTGAAGCTATATAAAGAGCTTTATATCAGTATAGACCATCATCTACACTCAATCTAGTTGATCATGTTCCTTGCTTCTTCACTATACAGGCTCCATCACCAACCCATGATAAAGAAACTCCTAGATTGATATAACAATTGAAAGAAAACAGACGAAGCATATTTTTGGGTGTCTTCTATAGACAACACGCATTCCTACCCCACTTCTCGATACCCATATCGAGAATTTAACCCAGATCGGGTTCTATCTCAGATCGGATTCCAGTCTAGCTTAGTCTAGTCATGAATCGGGATCCGCCCCAGATCAGGTCAAGGTCAACTTAACTTAACAGACTATATTCTCTCTCAGACCAAGTTCCATCGTAGGTCAAGGGGATTTTGTATTGGGTGGATAATCTCACTCAAAACTGACCGTTTATGGCCGAAGCCTCTTCTGTTTTGAATTTTACACGTGGAGAGTAATTTCGATCTGAGTTTTCGTTTTGAAACCTCATATCTACTGAGTTAAGATGATTTCGACCTGAGATAGAACCTCATCTGAAATGGGACCACAGAAGGGTGGTATCTAAGACTACAAAGGAATCAATGTGAGTTAACAGGAACTTGCTGAGTGCTGTATTCACTATGTCAGATGACTGACTATGTAGAGAAAGAGAAAAGGAAACTGACTACATACATATATATGTACGGAGTAGAGTAGCTATGGTGGGATTATGGCCCCATGTACGGAGTAGGCCATTTATAGACACCCAAATACCGCCTTCCCGATCCGTCACATTATGCAGCAATACAGGGCCCAGAATCTCCCCGCCCTACCCAAACTCTCCAAGCTCCAACCAGCACCAATACCCCAAACAACCACAATGGTCAAACCTCTCACATTCAAAGGCGACAAGCCAAAAAAGCGCAAGACCCGCACTGCAGACAGCGAAGCCCCAACCCCCAAAACACGCAAAACCGAACCTGAACCAGAAGACAACCCCGAAGACCAAAGCTGGGTCTCCGCCGACTCTCCAAGCGACATCGCCGGCCCAGTAGTAATCGTACTACCCTCAGACGACCCGACCTGCGTCGCTAGCGACGCCAACGGCCAAGTCTTCGCCAGCAGGCTCGAGAACCTCGTCGAGGGAGACCCAAGCACGGCGGAGCCACATGATGTGCGACAGGTCTGGGTTGCGTCGCGGGTGGCGGGGACGGAGTCGTTTAGTTTCAAGGGACATCATGGGAAGTGAGTGAATCGAGACTGTTCATCGCAGCATACCTTACTCCCATTCCTATTTTACTTTTATTTTTTACTTTCATCAATCCAGTCCAAACTAACAACCTGCAACCAGATACCTCTCCTCCGACACACACGGCCTCTTCTCCGCAACCGCGTCAGCAGTCAGCCACTACGAATCCTTCCTCGTGATCCCCTCCCCGGAAGTCTCAGGCACATTCTCTTTACAGACGCACGGCGGCGACGGCGAATCCTTCCTCTCCATAAAAGAGAATTCCAAAGCAGCTGCTGGCGTTGAGATCCGTGGCGACGCGAATACCATTTCTTTTGAGACGACTGTGCGCGTGCGCATGCAGGCGCGGTTCAAGCCTAAGCTGCGCGCGTCGAAGGAGAGTAAGGCGTATGAGAAGATTAGTAAGAAGGAGCTGGAGGGGATTGTTGGGAGGGCGTTGAGTGAGGATGAGGTTAGGAGGTTGAGGAAGGGGAGGAGGGAAGGGAATTTCCATGAGATTTTGCTGGATGTTAAGGTTAGCGGGAAGCATGATAAGTGGGCTTGAAGGGGTCTTGAGGTTGGTTTTCTTTTTTTTTCTGGTTTATGGGTGGTGGTGCTGATTGTGGTAGGGTTTTTATCCTGAAGGTTGTGCTAGCTGCTGGCCTGGGTGGACGCTCATGATGGCATCGTGATTGAGTCACCATGAGGCTTTTGAACGTCTTCCTCCCGTCTGTTTAGCAGACTAGCAGTCCAAGGTCGAAATGCATCGCTGAGCCGTTCGTTCGGCAAGGATTGAGGGACAGAGAAACCTCAATATGCCAGCCCTTGTGACGATTGGTTCAGGCCCGTCGAGGGAACTATGTAGTTGATGCATGGCATATCTACAAGCCTCCGAGGCCCACAGTGAAGGGAGAATGCGGAGGACGTTCAATTAACCGTACATCACTAGATGGATGATCAACCTGGCACTGGTCAATTCCTCTATAAAACAGAGCATTCGCATTCATTCTGAACAACATATAGCGAAAAAAGCAAAGCACAAAACATAATGAATGACACAAATCTTCCGTCCGGGGGTGTATGAAAACCCATTTTATATCTCCTCTCTGAAACCAAACGTTCACCTGCCCGATCCGTGTACAAAGTTGTATATGTTAAAATTAGTAACGGAATACCAAGGAACGAGAATCTCAAACGGATTTCAACATAACTTCAATTAACACAAACAACGCACACATCCATTTGTAAATAGAGATAGTTCTGATTATGGAAGACATAATTCGTCACGCAGAAACAGATCTATGGCGAGGACAAGCTTGGAAGGAGCGGTAACGACAGAATGGGGGAATGTGTCCAGTAGAGCAGCAAGCCCTGGGTATGAATTCTAACAACAGTAGTACAAGCGAACAAGATCCCAAAACCCCGTGTAGAGCGAGGAATGGGCACACAAAGAAAAGAGAAAAAGCCGAGCGCGGGTGAACATAATAGAGAAGAAAGACGAAAACTGCGTCCACGTTTCGGCGGGAGGCATTCTTTGGTGAAAAGATGACGAAATAAAAAAACGAAATAGACAAAGTGGCGATATTTGGTTGAGAGGGCGAAAATAACAGAACTGGTCAAGTCTAGGTTTCATAAGAATCTCTTTCACCGCGAGGATAAGTCCCAAATTATGGGGCGGACGCAAATGGGCAAGGGTGACGATTGTACAGAGATAGAGGAAGAGGAGGCATGGCGAGAAGAGAAGGAAAAGAGAAAAGAACACAAAAGAGATCTAGGAGTTGAGCGATAGGCCCTGGAATCGGTTGATCCATTCGCCTTGTGCTGGGTGCATACGTGAAGATCCATTGGAGCCTCCGACGTTGCCAGGATATTCGAATGAATCTGCTGGACCAAAGCTGGATGGTGCCTGTTGGGCGAAGATATCCGAAGGGGGTCCGTCCGAGTGACGGGATGGCTGGGAGAAGGGCTGGTAGGACTCGCCGTATGATGTGCGAAGCATGCCCACGGGGTTTGGCATCTCTCGGCCTGAGTCGATGGGATCTCGAGCTCCGCCATAGGATCGGTTTTCAAGTTGGTGGCGACGGTCCTCCTGGCCATAAAGGGGGTTGGGCATGGGGCCAGGACCGGACAGGCCAGCTGTAGGGGGCGTGACAAACGAGGCCGGGTTGATGGCTGACATCCAGATGCGAGTCTTGTAGATCTTGAACAGATCAGTCACCAGCGAGTTGAAGTTGATGTACGAATCAGCAAAGTAGTAGAACGTAAGCTTTTTCCAATCCCTGCATAAAAATTAGTACGACCGTTGCGGATAGCAATCGGAACTATGTAGACTTACATTTGGAACTCAGCATCGAGGATCTCCATATTAAGCCTGTGCTCAACCACCTTTTGCTGGCAGACCCGCTTGGCTTTGGCTTCGTTTCCTTCCTTGTCGTGCAAGGTTAGGACCTCGTGTTGCTGTGCCAGGCGCTTGATGAGCTTGGGTTTGATGTCTGTGGTGGCTTCCTGCACATTGTGAGGACCATGGGGACCCATGCCACCTGTGGTGCCGCGAGTGTTCAAGCCTGTGTTGGGGTTGGTGAGGTTGGCTGCTTCAGGTTGCCCGTGTCTAGAGAAAATCATGAGGGTTTTGTAATGTTCTTCTGCGTAATGCTGCTTTAACTCTCGTGCCTGTTGGAGCGATATGTTGGCATGAATGACGGTGCCCAGATCGGTTCCTCGGTCAGCCTCCACAATGACTAAGTCACCATTTTTCACCTGGAGACCAGTATCTTCTTGGATGTAGAAAACGTCTGCACGGCTGCATTTGAAGGCAACAATGTACAAAAGCTGGTTTTGATGCGCATGAGACAGTGTGGATGGCTGACGACCATATGGGTTCGACATCGCATATTGGCTGAGAGATGACGGAACACCAGAGGAGCCATCTCCACGCAGGGTCTGTTCACGGGGGTAGTAGGATTCTGCAGAAGATATTAGTTTTGAACGATAAAAATATGTAGTAAATATACTCACGGCTGGGATAGTCGGCAAGATTGCCATATCCGTCATCACGGTCTCCCATGGCTGCGCGAGGAGTAGCACTCGCATGCGAGTCCACAGTACCGATCGAGCCATGGCGCATCGGGATCTCCGCGAAAGAATGTCGACGACTTTGAGGCATGTCAGGCATGCCACCGAAGCCTAGAGACGTTTGCCAATGGGCCTTGCGGACATTATCCAGAGCTCGATTTTCCAGTGGAGAGGTGAAGGATGAGAACTGCTGTTCTGGGTGCGCTAAATGTTCAGAGAAGCGGCGACGAGAACTGCCACGCATATTGTTGTATCCGGCAATATCACGCAATTCTCCTGGATCCTCTCCAGCCAAATCTCCCTCTGTAGCACCGCCTCGGGTGCGATGTAGTGGATGAGGACCTCCGCCGATTGAGACAGCTGATCCAGCCCGCTCACGGAATCTGCTATCCATTTGGCCTGCCGCAGCGGCTTGCCGTAGGAGTGCATTCTCGCGTGCCAGCTGCTCAATCTGCCGAGCCTGACTTGCTGAGTAGCTCAAATCGCTTCCCGAGTCATTGAGACTCTCATCGCCATCATCATCCTCGCGGACTCGACCGAGCATTGCAGTATCGTGTCCTAATTCTCCGAGCATACTAGGACGTGATGCCCGAGGCTGAACAGCAGACATTTGGCCTGGACCGCGGGAGCGACTTCCTGGGTATTGCGCACCGGGAGTAGGAGTCACACCGACCTTGCTAGCAGCGAGGGTAAGGAACTCGGGGTCCATCTGACCAACAGAATATGACTGAGAGCGATAGGTTTTCAGAGTTGGCTGTAACGGAATAGAGAATGGAATTGCAGATTCACCAGAGATGGTGCGGGTGATTGGGCTCAACATTTCGTCTGATATGTTGCCGCCTGAAGGAGGTGGGTTGGTCATGGTTGGTGAGGGTACCATTTCTGCCAAGCGAGAAGGTGGTTCCTTGCGTGATTCAGTGTTCCAGATTCCCGTACCTGTGCCCCAGGGGAATGTACTTCCTCCGGTTTGATTCCAATTGAAAGATCCGGTAAGACCTGGACTCGTAGTTGTCGCCCATGGTGCCTGATCACTGGCAGGGCTTGTGGGGTTGGACGGAGCAGAAGAAAGGTGACCTCCAGGCAAAGAATGTTTACGCTGGGCGGAAAGGGGCACTTCATTCAACCATGAGGTGCGGCGGACCGGTGGTCTGGTGGTAGGGGGAATAATATGTTGCGCTTGTGTCCCGTGCTCTCCATCATCGTCAGAGGAAGCCAGTGCATCCGAGTCTGGGGTGGAACGGCGCACGCCTGGGTGGGTCTTCTCGAGGATAGCAGATGCTGTCGCCGTTGCCGCAGCTGGAGGGGTGGAAGACTGAGCCATAGGGGTGGATTTATTGGATGGCGCTGCCATTATTTTTTTATGATAAGAGGTACTGTTGCAATGTTGTGTTAGTATAGGATTCCCAGTCTAATGTGTGACAAACGCCATTATTCCCTGTAGACTGTGTCACCGTGAGCGCCACTTGGTACCCAGTGAAGCAACATAATCAGAGCGGGGTTGTCGGATCAAGGAATAGCCCGAAGTCATGGAGGAATAGGAGGTTCACTGACCTGTACGATCTTTGTTAATGGCAAAGCTGTACTGTATAGATGTCTCTTGGCTCAAGAAAAAAGACAAATGAACATATGCGATAAAGCGCCCGTCTTGTTTCCCAACGCTCGATAATAGTGAGGCTGACGATGGTGAGTTTTGGGTAAAAGGCCAATCTCAGCTTCTAGAAGGGGTGGTCGCAGACTGGGTAGATGCGCTATGTTCAACGGCTAAATTGAAGTCAGTGATTGATCCCATATTGAACCTGGATAGTAAAACAGGGGGGAAATGGCACAAAAGAAGGAAAATATAAGCACATGTGGGTGTGGCATGACTTGAGAGCAAGAGAAAAGCGGAGATTGCGCATATATGCATATTCTCGGCCCCTCTTATGAGAGGGTCCAGAAGTGGGGATAGTTAAAAAAAACCCCCCTCAATCAAGAGAGAGCTATGCGCAACTGAACTCGGAGGATATGGATGTGAAGGAAGTACAATTGCAAGGAGGGTCAAGGGAAGAGTGGGAAATGCCCACACAGAAGAGAAATGTGAAAATAACGCATGCAAACAGGTAGCGCGAAGACGGGACATGACCCAAGATGTAGGAAAGCAAAGCGACCGAGAACTCGCCACGTACGTACCTCAAGTTGGCGTCAAATGCAACCGTTGTGAATCCGTTTAGCTGATCTATCTGTCAGGAGTAGATCACCAAACACCTCGAAAGCAAAATAGTCTCCACGGAGAAAAGAGAGTCGGAGTCGAAAATCAAAAGCAGTCGCGTGATCGCAATTGTGTCTGGAGATTTATTCATGCATCAGCCCAGTCGCGTTCAGGACTAGGGAAACTCGACGGAAATGTTGCGCGACTCACCAATCTAATCGGGTCTCTCAAAATATCTATTTGCAAGCAGGGGCGCACGGTGATCGTGGGTCTCGTCAAGAGCGTTGGAGAGGGAGATTTGTGCCCGAATTGCACTTAATTTCGAGATGAACGTGAGGCACGAGGGCGATGGGAATGAGGTTCAGATGGACAGAGCTGGAGTAGAAGCTGTCTTATTTGCGGGGAAAGAATGGGGCGCGTGTCGACAGAGACGTCTGAAGATCTGAATGTTCGATAATCGGTCTATCGGGAAATGGAATGCGCTGGATTTGCACGAAGCTGTAACCACAGAGATGAAGTGGAGCTAGCCGGGGACTAGGCTGATCCCCTTAAGGATGGCGCATCTTGCGATCGAAGAAGAGTGTGTAGATGGGATGAAAGTGGGAGAGGAAGAGGGGGGGGGGAAATGTAAAATGATGAGGGGAACGCAAAAGAGCCTGGGGTAACTTCTTGGTTTACGGATCTGGCAACGTTGCCCCGGGGGACACGGACCACACCTATGGGTTGATCTTGTTTTTAGTGCTTTTTGGGGGGTTTTTTTCAGTGGACTTTTTTTTAGTGGGCTTGTCTTATTTTTTTAATACGAAGATACTAAGTTTTATATAAAGATACTTAGTGGAATAGTAGGATAGAAGATATATAGGAATTAAAAAGAAATACGGAGCTAGAGGTTTAGGAAAAGTGGCGTCCACCCCCAGAACAGGCGGGTCCCTGGGAGAAATAAGCCGATCATCTGGGGTTGTGTGGTTGGCACTGAGACTACATTTACATGTACATCTTATAAACCACAATGTTATACACATATAGAGAGAGAGAGATATATATATACATATATTATAATGTCTACATATTCTAAGTACTTCGTATATAAAAAGACACAAATCCCTCGCACGGCCCTCGGGTCGCACACTTGCGGGGCTCAAGGCCAGACTGTTCTGTTCTAATTTGTTTTACCCCGGATTGATATGCACTTTCTGACACTTTTCTCTAAAAATATAGCTTCTTCTTTCCCCTCTAATTCCCCCTCTTTTACAAATATCTTCATGCCCTCATCTATAAGCCCATCACGTGTCAATACATCAATGTGTCTGGACCGTTGAACAGCTCTGTGCCACACAGTCGTGTAGTACAATGATATTGTCAACGTGACTCTTTTGCCCCTCAACCCCTCAATGGATCACCCTTGTGCAATATAAAACAAAGTAGTGTCAATGGGGACCGAAGGATCATCTCTGTAACCAATTATTTCTAGCGAATCATAGTCTGCTCCGAGCCTCCGACCGGATCTATTCCCTGGAGATGTTGCAACATCCCGTGGCTTTTGTTTGCTAATGTACACTATTGTTAGGCGCCGTTATGGGGTGCATGTCTTATTTTATTTTGCTTACAGTGATATACCCCGCAATGGATTAACTGTAGATATTACATTATAAGGCAATCATATAGTTATATCACTTCCGGGAATCAATGTCATTTATACTATACACCCCTTAAAGCACTATCTTAATGCACTATATACCGGATAATTGTATGAGCAAAGGGGCGACCCAAGGTGGGGTGCCTAGTGGACCTCGGGAGCTTTGAATGACGACACCACATACGAGATTATCAACACGCTAATTGGTTGCTCAAAGCCAAGTATGCAATGCACCGAACCTCGACCTAACCAAACTTCGTTTTGTCTATTATGCTAGATGTTACCTCTTGCATTTACAAACGCATGAATCCATGGCGATTCTCTAGACAGGCATACAGTTTTTTATCGAATCAATTCCATGTCCCGAAGACAATTTCTAAGTCTGTCTCCCAGTATAGGTTGATTGAGGACGTTGAAGACCTAGACAGCTACCACCCTAGAGGCTACTATCCTTTACAAATCGGGGATGAATTGAATAATTCCCGTTATCGAGTGATTGACAAGCTCGGGTATGGAGGATACTCAACCATATGGCTAGCCCGTGATCTACAGATGGCCCGATATGTAGCATTGAAGGTGATCACTGCCGATGCTAGTTGTTTCACGCAGGAAGCTAGTGTCATGCCTTCCGTTGGGAACGTGCCATCTGGGCTTGGAAGAGGAGTTATTCCACCCCTCATCGACAAATTTTGGGTTACCGGTCCTAATGACAAGCATACATGTATCTTCACCCCGCCTGCACGGATGAGCCTGTTCGATGCCAAAGAGGCCTCAACCTTGGGGCTCTTCCAACCCAAGGTCGCGCAGTCAATTATCGCCCAGCTTATTCATGGAGTCGCATTCCTCCACAGTGAACAGATTGTACACGGTGGTATGGAATGATTTACACACGAGTCCATTGGCTGCCTGGCTGGCATTTATGATTTATCAGACCTTCATTTAGGCAATATCTTATTGCAGTTTCCCGAAGCAATAGATCGTTTCTCTACATCGGAGCTGTGCGAAAAATTTGGAAAGCCAGAGCCAGAGGCCGTTATCCGTCTCGATAGAAAGCCGTTGATGGATGGAGTACTCGAGCAAGTTTTTATTCCCGGTTTGTTTGGCGTTCGCAGCGATAATATCGATCTCAGCGAGGAGAGGATAATCTTTAGCGACTTCGGAGAATCTTTCAACCCACATATCTCACCTAAATTCTCCTCTAACACCCTTCCTCTCCTCTAGCCACCTGAAGCCAGATTTTCGGACGAACCGCTCTCCTTTCCGTCGGACATCTGGACACTTGCTTGCGCCATCTGGGAGATTGCCGGCCAGCGCCCATTGTTTGAGGCATTCTTCCCAACTGCCGACCGTGTTACCGCGGATCAAGTTGAGGTCCTTGGCATCTGACCTCCGGAATGGTGGGAAAAGTGGAACAGCAGAGCGGATTGGTTCAATGAAGAAGGCCAATTGATTTCAGAGCCAGGGATGTCTACGCGCAGAGACTTAGGTCAGAGGTTTGAATACTCCATACAAAAGCCACGGGCTGAGGCAGGCTTAGAGACTATGACGGAGAAAGAAAGGAGGGCATTTGAGGTGATGTTTCGGTCCATGTTTATTTATCGGCCAGATGAAAGAGCCACAGCTCAACAGGTATTGCACTCTGAGTGGATGAAAGACTGGGGACAACCGGCTTTGGATCAGAGTTGGAGTGTATTCAATTATGCCATGAAAAGAAAATAGAAATATTGGATAGACCTAAGCTTTAGTTAGATATCTAGAGACATAGTATATGCTTTTGCTGATTGTTTCTTACCCTGCCAAGGTTATAATAAACCGTGTACTCCGTGATCATATAGTAGTTGCATTACTGCGTAATGGGTCTTGGCATTATAGATAGCAGCAACCACAGTAAAGTGGTGACAGGGGTTTCTAGAAGGTATAGAGTAATCCAATCCAATTGCTTTCATTTGTTTCCATTCTAAAAGCTAATGTACAAAGTATATGTTCCCAAATGACCCAATTTACGGCGCGCTGTCCACAGGCGCATTAGCTGTAGCAGCAGCACCCTTCTGCTGGCGCAGCTTCTCCTCAAACTTTGCAAACTCATGCATGGAAACAATTTCCTCCTCATCCATAGCCTGCTCAACACCCTTGACTTCCTCAATCTAGAAACCAAGTTAGCAAATAGCCCTTATCCCAAAACCAAAGAAACAGGTAGCCGGGGAGGGACATACATAGTGCATAAGCATAGACTCAATACCATTCTTCAGCGTAACAGTGCTGGAATCGCATGTCCGACAAGCACCACGCAGCTTCAGCTTAACAATACCATCCTCGAACCCTTTCAATTCGATATCACCACCGTCTTCTTGGATAGCAGGGCGGATCCGAGTCTCGAGCAATTCCTTGATCATGCTGAGAACTTCATCATCATCTTCGTTATAGGAGAGAGAGTCCTCGCTGCTCTCCTGCTGGCCATCGTGGGCACCCTCGACCGTCGTCACGATCGTCTCGCCGGATGTCACGGCCTGCGTAATGATGCTGAAGACTTCGGGCTTGATATGCGCCCAGTTCGCGTCGCTGCCCTTCGTCACTGTGATGAAGTCTGTGCCGTAGAAGACGGATGTGACACCTTCAACATCGAGCAGTTTCGCGGCGAGTGGAGATGGGTGTGGAGGCGCGAGAGTTGATCGTGGTGACATATACTCGAGGAATGTGCTGGGGAAGTCCTCGGGGAGGACGCGGTGGTTAGGAATGAATTTCAAGGCCTAAATTATCAGGGATTAGTTCAGTTTCTCTTGTTAAGATGGGATAATTGAGCTCTGGGAGCTTACATCGGGGTTGGGGGTGTTCTCGGTCTGGATGAAAATAGTGCGCTTGGTGGTTGGCGAGAGACCGTTCACTCCGCCCTGCGAGGCGGGTGCCTGGTATGGTCGCACCGTTGGTCGGCGACGGGTCTCTGATGCTGTGAGGGTCGGGAGTCGCGCTGCGCTGGACACATATCTGTACGGTCCGAATGCCGGTCTGATTGTTCGGGCGGAGCACTCGACGGAAGTGGCCAGACGACTGCTTAGCAGAGCGCGGCGGAACATTGTTGTAGATGGAGTGCTTAAAGACATTATTGTAGAGTGAAATATGCAGAGATAGTTGGTAGCAGGCGAATTGTAGAAAAAAACACCAGAGGATCTCTCCGGCTGCCGCGCTCTGACGCAATTTGATTGCACGTGATTCGAGATCATCGCCCAGATGACAAATGAAGACCGTCCCTCGGCCAATGAGAAGAGATGTTTTGCACTATTACAACTATGCATGTGCCGACTGTCGGAGGTTGACAAACCAGTAGTTCACATGGTCAATTGTCATCGTAAATCATGTATGGAAATGGAATTTTGTGATTCATTCTACTCTTAGATAGATCATCATCCTCAATTGCAACTTTACTCGCAATCAGGCTTTCTGCAAGTAAGCTTATTGTCTTTGTTGCCTCGTAGCAGAGGTTATCTTTCAAAAAAGCGGAATTCCGAAGTCTCAGGACATAAGAATATTGAAGCATGAGCTTCGCCTCAAGTCAGCTATAATTAGCAGGAGTAGGTTGGCTATTCAGAATGCGAATCGGCCCGTATAACGTGTGTGATCCAGCCCTGTCCCAAGAAGAAACTCGACATCCGAGAACAACATTTGAGGCTTGAGATATGCAATAATCGAGCTCATTCTAAAAGAGGAACTGACTGGGCCAATATCACGTTGTACCAAGCCTCTCTCGGCAATTCATAAACACAAGGATGAACCCGTTGTTCAAGGATAGATGGCTAACAATATCATAACGAATGCTCTTCAGTGGACCGATCGTGCCGTGGCCCACGCCAATGGGATCTCTCTTTTCCATAGTTGATACATATACTTGTATGCATAGTTCCGCTTTCCAAATGCACTACACAGGTAATAGACCCGGTGATCAGTCCAGAGTCCCCGGAAGCAGTAGGCGGGTCATCTTCATTTCCTGCATTTTATGCATTTTGTAGAATGCAGTAGGGAGTTCGGAGTTGACTGACCTACCATGAGAAACTTGGATTGGTGGCAAACGATATACTCTGTTAGACTAAGTCAGGGCACTCCCACGAGTAAAAATAGCACTGTTTCCCCGTGTATGGACCAGCTATGCCCTAGCCCTAGCTATCGATCAACCAGTTAATCTACCAGCAACTGCTCTATACTGATAGATGGAGTTAATTACAATAAGGGCGGGCAAGAAAAGTTGCGGAAAAAAAAGAGGCCTCACCTCCTTTTCCACTTAGACGGATCCTACAGCATACTAGCTCCCTGGTACAGTCTTGCAATGTACACATCAATTGAAAATTCTGATTTGGCCCTGCAAGAAACGTCGATCAGAGAGAAGTAGCCGCTTTGTCTAGCACAAGTTGCAGAGGTGCTTGGATGCCACTGGCCGCGGTGGAATAGCAAACAGAATATAACACGTGGGCCTGTCGACGCTTCCTGACAGGTTGGATCCAGTAGGTTGTGATGGCTCGAAAATGGCAACGAGAGAAAATAGATACATGGCCCAGTCCCTTATCCTATTAGATAAAGAACCAGCATAGTGCACCATATCTGTGGAGCGAGGGGCATATCATAACTAGGATTTCTCAACAAATTGAACAAAGGTGTCGTGCCTTAAAAATGGGCACCAACATGATATCGACAAGTATGAAACAGCCCGTGGACACATCAGTTGCATCGGTTGAAAGGGAGACTAGTATATAGTTTGTTTCAAACTACGTTAACATCCGGGGTCGACATGGTATTGAGGAAGATCAAGATCCACTTAGTATAGCCGGGTTGATATCCCCGCAAGTGACTTGTCGTGGCCATTGTACGAATGTTATGCTTTGGCACCCCGAATGGTGGATAAACACACGATCCCTTGCATATCCTGGGGCAAACGTGGCCGTTAGTTGATGTATCGCGTGCAATCTGGCTTTGTTTCGTCATACTAGACAAGAGCAATTTTGGACGTGGACGTTCAGGCTCCAACCAAGTCCCCGGGAGCAGATTTGATATCCCATTTGCGCCTTCAACGTATATTTTTGCAGCCTTTGAAGCTAAATATGTAGTACGCCACCGATTTATAGAGTTTATCGCCACGCATGTTTCCGTGTATAGTTGGCGCCTGAGGCAGAAACAGATGACCCGAGCTTCTTGATTTTTGTGCAAATCATGCAAATCGGGTAGCTCAACTTTCCTGTCCTTTACGCTACATCATTCCTAGGCCGGACGTGGATCAGTCAAAAATGAAGGAGCAAGTTTGATTGTTCAGCAGCTGATGGATCCATTGGGAAATCGACATAATGCCTGGTTCCTGTGAGGTTTGCTCTTTAGAGCCCTCAAAATACCGCTGTCCCACATGCGCACTGTTGAGGTACTGACTCGATTACGATTCCCCCTATTCACACGTGGACCAGTTGCTAAAATTATCGATTTAGTTGCTCACTCGCATGTACCCAGTCACATAAGATATACTGTGCTCCGAAAGCACCATCGAACGAGGAACCGAGTAACACCCCGGCTCCCGATGTCGATCCCACACCCAAAAATGATAGCAAGGGCCCTGAACCTATAGAGCCAACTGGCACCAAAGCTACTGTGATCACCCCTGCAGCAGTGGGGGCATCGCCAGAGATGAAAGAACTTCTCAGCCAGTACCCAGAACTCCGCAGTCAGCTACAAGAAATGTTTCAGTCAACCCTGGAAGAAGAATGGGTAGAATCATACACAGCCCCTGCACGAGGGCGTGGGCGTGGCCGCGGGCGAGGTCGCGGAGGGTCTACTCCTCGCAGCCGTGGCCCCTGGACGTCTGAGAAAGGCTTCAACCGCGGCCTGGGTAGAGTCCGCAAGCTGAGACAGGATTGCGAGGAAGGAACAGAGACTGGCAAGACCGCTGAGGCTTTCATGCGGTTTATGGCGCTTGTTAAACAGGGCGGTGCCTCAGCCTGAGTAATATATATTCTCTGATGAAAAACAACCGCGTATGAGTTGGACGGTCGGCACGTATACCTTGATTGCACAACTTTATGCGCTCAGTCTGTGTAAGTGAGACATGCAGATTCACTCTATGAGATGGTGGGTGGGGGCCATCTGATCTACTTTGGCTGTTCCAATAGAGTAACTGTCAGATTTGACAGCTTCAGCCATTTCAGCCTTATGTAACCTTGGAAATATTCCTCCTTGGTTCTTCTATATGATTCTCTCTGTGTACATATTCCTCAGCTCTTTGGGCTGCTGATAACCTCATTTCACCATTAAATTAAAGTGATGGGCACTGACCCTAGGGTTGCTCAGGGCTCATATAGTGCAATATCACATCAGATACAACGTTACCATAGCCAAGACCAACAGCCGAAGTCCTACTCCGTACATAGTGTCAGATTATTAGCGGCGCTTTTAGTGCCCCCAATAAAGCGGAGCATATGCTAAATGGCCCAGAACTTCAAAGACCGGAATTTCGGGTGCAAAAGTACCAAAAGAATGGAAAACTGGGAGTCTGTATGTTTATGACTGGTCACATGGAGAATCTCAAAAAGAAGCAGAGTAGTATCCATAAATAGTATGAGCATTACTCTGCAGAGGATGCAAAGACGTTTGAAACAGCCCTTTGTTTCCGAGAGTAGGGGGATGACACACGGCAGTTAAAGCAGCCCTGGAGCCACTGCAGCTCTAGTCAAGCAACAAATACTCCATACTCTGTACCAAGTCAACAAAATAAATGCAACATCTGTTTGTAGACTTGCTGTCTAAGCGAGATCCTACTAGACCCAGCCTCGGTTTTAGTTTAGCCACCCATGTGTCGAGTTCAGCTGAGCCGCTTTCACGAACACGAAGATCTTTTCTCCCAATGACGAGAATCCCTTCAAAAAAAAAAAAAAAAAAGAGGAGCTCAAACCAGTTTCATATTTCCTCAATCTTGGAAATCTTGGAACATTTTGTGATCTGTCCATTCTGTTTAGTTTTATATTAATATTATTTTCCCCCGATACTGCCAAGACCAAGCCTTGGGATATATCCGTCGCAGATCCGGCTAATCAGGGTAGTTTGCAACCTTGGAAGTCTACTCCCGATAACATCTCGGATGGCTGCCTCGCTGCTCTACCGAAGTTGATCTGTCCTAACGATGGATGCGCTGCAGTGCTCGTTCTCTGAACTTACACAATAATCGGAGCGCTGTCACACCGGTGAATTCCGTGGGCCTCGATTGCCGACCGCCTCCGTCATGATCTCGCAGCAATCCCGCCGAGAGAGAGCTTACAGCGACAAAGCTCAAGCAATGTCTGTTACAGCTCCACAAAGGCCAGGCATGGGAAGCCGAACTTCTTCAGCTCCAGGGGGCCTTTATCAACTCGATGAGGCATGGAAGCCAGAGACAGGGACGAAAGTCGAACACACATTGCTGGAGGAGGATGAGGGGTCGCCAATTGCGGGCGACTTGATCAAGCGCACAGGACTTCGTCAGCAGGATGTATGTGTTGAATTGATCCAAGAACTCTAAGTAGCTTTAAGGCTACGGTGTATAGGGAGCTTCAATTGCTAACGGTTCCTTGCTTCCCCCTGTTATAGGAATCTTCCAAGAGCGGTTTCCCTGAAGTGACCATTGCAGTGGCCGGCGAAGAAAATGCCGGGAAAACTAGCTTTGTCAAATGTGCCCTGGATATGAAGAATTCACCTGCCTCCTCTATGAACAAGAAGAAAATGTCGTTGAACGGATCGGTTTACATTGTGCATCTGATAGAAGTCGACTTGACCCAGGTTCAATTCGACCAGGACAAGAGGATCATCTGGCCGCGTACAGGGCGCGACAATTCTGCGCCAGTCATTGACGGGGTTTTGGTTCTACATGATGCCACCAAGCCGGATCGGCTCTCATTAACCACGAAGCTCATTGGTAGGTTTTTGTTTAAATTGGATATATACCTGATATGGGGGGGGGGCTGATTCTTTTTCCGGAATTTAGACTCATTGGCTGCCTCGGATCTTCCTTTCTTGCAGGTCGCCTGTAAATGCGATGTCAATTCTGAACCTTTGGAAGACAGCGAAGTGGATGTGGATGAGATTCATGACCGATACGAGATCTATCGAACATCGTTTTCCTCGCCTCGATCTCAACGCATTTGTATAGCGTTGGTTTTGCGTGCAGTTATTTCAACCCGAGAAGGTGAGCAATTTCCCTGATTTTTTTGGGGGGTTTCCTTTCTTTTTCTTCCCTTTCTCTTTCTTCTGAGACAAAACCATTGTCGGATGAAGTTGTGCCTTGACCCCCCTGGCAAGCGGAAGCGGGCCAAGGTGGGTCGCGGTAGGAGCGTTCGCTACTTGTTTCCCCATAGAACTCGTCTTTTTCGATTTTCCCCTAAAAAACTAACCCCTCTCTTCCTTTTAGATCTGTCTAATTCAGATATTCCTCTGGTTTCAAACCCGAGAACAAATAAACCCAATCACTACGATTGGCATCATACCCGTTCCAACTCGGAAACCCCCTCAGCCGTGTTCACAGCCGCTGGCGGCCCACAAACGGCCTCGGATCAATGTGTCGATGGGGATGGTGAGAACCGTCTCGCAATCGACGGAAACCACTTGCAGCATACGCCCAATTCCCACCGTTATGCCCGCAGTAACTCCCAACCGGTGCGACCGCAGACTCCGCCATCCGGCGCGCGTTTAAATCCCCGCAGCCCGTCAGCACAGGAAGCACAAGAACAAAACTCGCTCAATCACGATAGCCGTCAGCAACGATTGCATACCGCCTGGCGACATAGTGGAGGATCAGACGCTTTCAACAGTTTCTTAAACATGGATGACGAGGTAGATGATGGGCAGAGCCGGCCCGCGAGCCCTGGCGCAGTCGTGCGACCAAAGCCAAGCAGCGAGAGCAACTCGAGTGCAGAAACGGGTTTATCGTTTGATGAGCTAGTTGACCGTTTGATTTCCCTGCCATTGTCGAAACAAGACCACAAGTTCCGTTCTACATTCTTATGTTTGTACCGAAAGTTTGCCGCCCCTGCAAGTCTCTTAGGTGCCTTGATAAGCCGATTCGAGCGAAATGAGATGAGCAACGATGATCAGCTGGCCCGAATGGCGGATCAGCTGCGATTGCTCGATGTCATGGCTGAATGGGCCTCGGACTATCCTGGAGATTTCGCTCATCCTAATCTTCGCAAGCGGATCCTTGAATTTGTCGCTATACTTGAAAAGAGCCACTTCTACATGTTCGCTGCCAAAGAGATCGGATCTCAATTAGACTCAAATGCAGAAGATGATGATGTTGGTTGGGCATACGGGGGTGACAGTGATGCCGATGACTCTCCACTGGTTGAGACATTCTTCGATAACTCCGGCCGAAGTTCTCCAGCAGGGGCTCTTACTGCCGCTGGCTCTGGCTCTGGCACTAACACCTACGACACCGAAGAAGAACAAGATCCCATCTACAGTATGAGTGCGCTGGATCTCAGTAATGGACCGCATGACTCGACATCACGACTCTCGGGCACTCTTTCAGTCTCATCAAACCATGAGAAACCTAATACCACCACCAGTCAGTCATTCACATTGCTGAGCCTCGAAGCAGCCCAAAAAGAGGCTTTGCGTCTTGAATTAACCCATAAGACTTTACTTGGCAAACTCCAATGGCGGATTTTCATGGACGCCCCAGAAGAAGAATTCGCACGAGAACTGACACGGATTGACTGGATCATGTACAACTCATTCCGGCCGCGTGACCTTGTGCGTCATGTCAGCCTCTCGGGCATAGACAAGGATACGATCAAGAGCTTGACGAACGTTAACCGGATGATCAAACAATTCAATCATCTGGCCTTCTTTGTAGCCAGCCTCATTCTCTTACGCGATAAGCCTAAGCATAGAGCGCAGGCGCTTGAGAAGTTCATGAACATCGCAGTGGTCAGTATTCTTAATCCAACTATATAAAAACCAGCAACTAACACCTCTTGCCAGAAACTCCGACGCCAAAACAACTACAACTCCTTGGGTGCTGTAATTGCCGCCATCAACGGCACCCCCGTCCATCGCCTCACGCAAACTCGAGACCTGATCCCCATCCCAGTCCAGAAAGAGTTTATGCGTCTGGTCATCCTCATGAGCACCCAACGAAGCCACTTTGCCTACCGCCTTGCCTGGGAGAATTCTTTCTCAGAGCGAATCCCATTCCTACCGCTCCATCGTCGTGACCTTGTCTCTGCTGAAGAAGGCAACAAGACATTTTTCGGCGAGAACAAATCTCGCATCAACTGGAAGAAATTCGAGGTCATGGGTGAGGTTGTTCTTGGCATCCAACGAAGCCAGAAGAGCCCTCATCCCCAGGCTCAGAAGTTCGATGATATCGAGCGACTGATCCTGGACTCGAAGCTCTCTGGAGACGAAGAGGTAAGACCTTTGATTATCGTGAAACATTGTTCCTTTTATTAACGTTGTCTAGGACTTGTATGCTCGTAGCTTATATGTCGAGCCGTCCACGGGAGCCGAGGGACGAAGGAAGTTCGGCTGGTTGCGCTCTTGAGCCCATTATTCTTTAGCCACGCCTCTGGCAACCCGGCGCATTCATCTCCATCAGCCTCAACACGAATTGAGACTGCTCTTTCACACAAACATCTCATCATCTCTTCTAAAATCCTCGCCACTGTCTCCTTACCTACCTCTGCCTTCTCCTACTCTCCTATACTCTTCCCTTCTCATGTCGCTATGCCCCTATATGATTGATAAATACTGTTGTTGTCTTTTGCTTGCTTTTCGTTATGAACTCGCCCCCTCGCGGGGGCTGATATGACGCTTGTAACGGTGATACATCTTGGGAAAAAAAGCTTTTCTACGACATTTTGTACATATGCGTGCTGAGATGTGGGTAGTGATGGTCATTCAATGTTGACTGTCTTGCAAATAGCATATTCCTACCATGGTATATATGGACATGTTTTATGTATTTATTTCCTAGTACCCTCTCTCCATAAAACAAAATTGTAGCCATGTAACAACATTAATCAGGTATCAAATCCATTAATCCATTAAGTGTCAGATTCCCGAGATAACGTTCAAACTAGTACCGCCAAATCGCAAACGCCGCATACATTTCCAATCACGTGAATTGTTTATCCACCCGGCTATCTCAACCTCCGCCCAGCTTCAACACCAAAGACACAAACTCACCTCCAATCCCCGGTGCACCAGGGTCTCGGAACCAACCCAAATCAACTACCAAACAAACCACATCATAAACTAAAACCACTCAAAAATGGCGACAATCCAAGCGCGCACAACCTACCGTGCCCTCCTCCGCGAACTCCCACGCCGCAACTATTCAATCCCCTCCCCACTCCACCAACAGCTGCGCGCAATCTTCCGCTCAGAAACAGTACCATCGACCTCATCAGAATCAAACACCCTGCCATTCTCAATCCCGAAAACAGACGAGGAACGCACCCTCCGCATCCAAGAGGCAGATCAGTTCGCTCAGTATGCCCGCGCCCAGCGTGTCTACTCTGAGCTCCTGGAGCGCTACAACCCTGGTATGAGCATGGACGAGGAAGAGAAGATTCGTCTTACAGCTAGACGGGTTGGGTTTGATTTGCCTGATTTGCATGTTCCTGAGGGTCAGTCTAGTTGAGATGGTCTGTTGGTGGACTGTTGATTGTGGACACGGTCGATGAGATATGCAGTCTGGGTCTATGGCATCGGCAGATTGTACTGGACTTGGTTGTCTGTTGTCTGTTGTCTGTGTGGATAGTGTGATTTTGCTGGGATGCATGTATTCGATGGAATGGCGTTGTTACATATGTTGATTTTGGGATTTGTATACTACGGTTTATGTATAAAATAAAATAGAGAGCATTGCCAAGTAGCATGAATTTGTTCTTTTTGAAACTTCCTCTATGCTATGTATCAACTCTGGGTGAAGAGGCATTTAAATTGATGCTTCAGTCGTAACTTGGGGTATCTGATATTTAGATCCTCTTGATCTGAAAACTTGTTATTGCGAGCCACGTGGGTTGCCGCACAGTGTTTGGAGCACCGAGAATGGACACCTGACGTCAAGACTGGGTGTGATTGTGTTGCAGAAGTGACGGCCTAGCAAAAGGGTCATGGTGGAAATGCCCCAGAACCTTGAGGACGCTAGCGCTGAGAGTTGGGCTTTTGAAGAGACGTGCTTCTCTGATTGACTTTTCAAGTAGCACTGAGCTGGGCACGCTCCATCTGTCTCATCAAAGTCGAACTGCTTTCTTCATCTTCCATGCCAACGCCAACTTCAATCGCAGTCTTGGGCCGGTTCCGGTTCAGACCATCTAGTAGCGTACACGCTTTGCAAATTCGCTGGCTGGAAATGTAGTTACAGCGCTCGCAGTGTTTGATAGTCTGCGCCTTGACAGCCTTACCCGTCGGGCCGCGGTTCGCCTTCACGCGTGAACCATTAGGAAGCTTGATTTCGGTCTCGAGCGACTCCGCTTCCTCGTTCTCAGCGAGCTGCTCCTCCATTGCAGCCATCTCTCCTCCACTAGTTCGGCCATTCTGACTGCCACAGCCACCAGCCGATTCCTCCTCCGCACCAAACTGCTTGGATTTGCCAGCGCCCCGGACTTCCACCGGCACAAGCGCCGCCATGTCCTCGCCACTCTTGACGATATCGAGGATCGAACTGGGGCGAATCTTCTCAAGATCTTTAATCAGGGTACGCGCACTGCCGCGGAATGCCTCAGGCGAGTAGATACATTCGGTGGTGAAGTAGTCGAGCTGACGGTGGTGAGCGTACAGGACAATCTCCTTTTCGTAAGCGTACTTGAGAGGCTTGCTGCGCTTGATATCTGAAGCGTCGGAGCTAGTGATGATACTAGTACCGCGAGACAGACGGGGGAGATCACCGCGCAGGAGATTCATCATAACAGTCTCTGCGACATCATCCGCATTATGGCCTGTGACAACGTGCTTGATGCCCAAGCGGGCGGCGCCTCGGTCGAGCGCCTGTCGCCGGAACACTCCACAGTACGTGCAGTTGCCTTTCTTGCCCACTTGTTCCACCACCTGGTCCATTGTCCAGCCGTAAAGCTCGCTGTATCCCAGGATATCAAGTGGCATCTCGTATTGTACGGCATTGCGCTTCACGGTCTCGAGACTGTCATCGCGATAACCGCGGATGCCCTCGTCGATCGACAGTAGACATAGATCCAGTCCGTAGTTGTATCGCTCGTTGAGGGTTTTCAGTACGGCTGCTAGTACTGTGCTGTCTTTGCCGCCGCTGGCTCCGATCGCGACTCGCTCGCCGGGGAAGAAGAGGTTGGTGCCGATGATTGTTTCGTGTACTTCGGTCTCGAAAATATTGATGAAACAGGCACGGCAGAGTTTGTGCCTATTCTTAGGTCGGATGATGACGGCTCGCGCCTCCTTGCAGTTGAAACACGCCGTCGGTGCCATGATGTGTTGGTTAGGCCTTGACTTGGTGGCGGAGAAGAATTTCTTTTCCCCCGCCGTCGATCTGGTGGTCCGTGCGCTTAACGCTAATCCGTGGATGGATCCAAAGTTAGATCTACTTCGCATAACTATATCAACAGGCCAGTCGTACACCTTCCCATATTTATATCATCAATGTTTTCTAATTATCACCTCACGTAGAGATACGATGCTGTGGTTTATAGAATAAGCTTCATGAGCCTGTGCTATAAGGACAGGCCCACTCACTACAATCAATTTTCGCTGTTTATCAAGATAATCATTATTCGGGCCCGAGAATCAAAAGTATATAAGTGCTCATAGTGGAAAAAGTGCAAACGTATGTAATAGTCGAAGCAAAAATACAAGAATCAGCCAGTTTGGGGCTGAGAAGGATGAGTTGAAATGTGAATGTGGTGACTGGAATCTTGTGTGTGATCGATATTTCCCTCGTAGTCAGAAACCAAAGGTTCTGCAATAGTGATGGAGCCAGCCACTAAGCCCATTCTACTGGGCGAAATGTTCTTTCAGAATTGCTAAGCTTTTCAACAACAGTGATGCATACTGCAAGCTACCGCCTAGGATTGCTCAGCGCGTTGTTGCAACCGGGTACTTCTCCGTACACCACCCTGCCCGTTGTCGTCCCGTTTAGGTTTCGCTTTCGAAGCCCTTGACGAGGACTTGATCACACCAGATGATTTTGCCATTTTCCCTTTCCCTTTCCCTTTCCGTTTGGCCTGTGGGGGTTTGGCGGGACGGCTCTCAACGGCGTTTGGCGGCAGAGGTCGAGTAGAGGGTTGGTCTACAGTCGTATAGGAGCCAAAGTACCTGACGAGGCAATCGTATGAGAAATGATTTGAAAATTGTAGAAAAATTTCCCATAAAACGGCGTTGTCGGGCGGATTATCCTCACATAAGGGATTATTGGCGAACCATATTATAGTCTTTTGCCAGGCTGTCTGGATCTCGTCAAACCTCTGTTCTTGTCGCTTTTTGAGCAGAGTTAGGAATTCATCCTTGTTATTGGCAGTCCTCGCAATCTCAGAGACGTCGCTATGCCAATTCTTTGGGTCTTGGATTGCGCACTTTAGGGTATTGTATTCGGCATGGAGTGTGGTGAAAAGAACGCTGGGATCCTTGTAACCGACTCTCCAGGAGTCCCAGTCCCACGTATCATCGTAGAGATAATCTGTGTTACAAGGAGTATGAGCCCCGAGATGGGTATCTAGTGTACGATGCCACCGCTTGGCCATAGAGGAAGTAGTAAAGATAATTTCTCTTGCTATACTGCTTCTTTAAGGTCGACCAATTCCCCCGGGGTGGGCCCTTTTGACAACGCACTAAAATAGCGGTGAACCACAACAGACGCCTCAAGTGGACCGAATTAACATTGCAGAATTAAATGAGGCTGAAATTTGAAGACATTTATTTATACATTGTATATCAATTTGTATTTTGTTCAATACGCTTTTGATTCGTTTAGTTTTCGTTTAGCATGGTGTTTTGTTCATTTCCAAGATCTAGCAAATAGCTAGGTCCGTCGATTTGATTCACAAAGGAGCAGAATGAATTTCCGCCATGAAGCGCTAGTTGACATATGCATCCAACAAGAAATCAGATTAACGATTCCACCCTTAAAGAGCTGCGTATAGTATAAATGGTCACCATTTCCATGCTCAAGCCTTTACCTTCCGATCTAGGTGTGCCACAGGCTTTCCCTTCCGACATAGGAGCCTGGCAGACCACACAGGCCACTTCTTCCGCTTAGCCACCTGTACAGCCTGGTGATAAATATGATGTCGTCTTAAACGCAGAGAGCAAGGCTTCGACCTATCAGCAAACAACTGAAGATCCTCCATCTCCCTAGCCCCTAGCTTCTCCACAGCCCTAACAGTCCGTTCCTGCGAGAATGCAAACGAAGTCCCAATAATCTTAAACTGCCGAGCCATTTGGTGGAGATTAGGAGAATGCCAGTCCTCAGTGGTCCAAAAGGGCGCCGCCTTCCAAGGTATCCGCCTCTCCTTCTTGAACGCATGCAGCCACTCCTCTGTCGATAACCGACCCTGCTCCCCACTAACTGCATGAACGCATCCACTCGTCCCCAGTGCCACATGGACCAGTGTTCGGTCCACCACCACATCAACCGGGACCTCGTCAATTGTAGATTCCTGGTCTGGATTTTCACATCGCGTCGAGAGTCTAATTTGGCGACCTGGATGTAACATATACGCTGCTGCGCAGGCTGTTGAAGGGGCTCCTTCCGAGGTTGCGAAACCGGGGTATGGAAATCTATCAGCTGGTCCGAGGACAGAAGGTCTGATGATTAGGATTTTGTCCATTTTGTTACGCTCAACTGCCTTCTGCAGGACTAATCGTTCGGCTAGATGTTTGGCGTATGCGTATGGCCATGGGAAATCATGGGTGTCGTATTCGTCAGATGAGCCGGTTTTCTGTATTGTGCTCCATGCTTGAAGTGCAATCTTGTAATAATCTTCCTCCTCCCTCCCGAGGGGATATATTCTCTCGTCCACTGAGACATCGGTTGATTCGTGGACTTTCCATAGATGGGCATTGGCGTATGCAGTGGAGAAAAACACGAAGCGCTCGAGGCTAGGGAACTTGAGGGCATATTGTGTGAGACAAATGCTAGGTGCTAGAACTGCATATGCTAATTCTCGCAGAGAGTTGTGCAGTTGAACTGATGATGCGGCGTGGAACACAATGTGTACTGTTTGTTTCAGCATTTGCAGTGTCTCTTCCGATAAATTCATCGTCGCGGTATTTCCCAATTCGCCATCAAGGATAGTAATCCGCTTGCTTTGGGTGAGGATATTTGCGACAGGGGGAGGAAGAATATTGGACCATTTTGCTTTTGCTTTACTGGTCATTCGAGTCAGTAAGTGTTGCTTTAACATATATATTTCAGTTACTCACTCGGAGCCACCCCGACATAGCACATATACTTGTTTCGGGGACGACTGACTTAAAAGCCGACACAGAAGCGCAGTTCCAATGAAGCCTGTACCCCCTGTAATGAATAGTGTCTTGCCATCATAATAGTCCCATATCATGATGGATCGTGCGGGTTGAATGTCCAATGTCCGCCTCCCTGGGTAAAACAGAAATATCCAAGATAAGAGGGCATGTATAATGCTATAAACTTGCACAAAGGACCTTCGGGTGGGTCTGCAGGCATGATAAAGGGCAGGTTAATATAATCGTTTATTGAATCTCGTGGCTGAAAGCTCAATGGCGGAAACACCGATTTTGGATGCAGATCTGCAGGCTGCAGCTGTGTGATCATACCAGGATCTCAGGACCAACCACTTGGATTATTCGAGACTAGCGAATCTCAAGCTATGAAAGTGAATGAGAATATATTTTCAAATTGGAATTGACTTACAGGAACTCGGAGTACAAGCTAAAATAATGCGTGATTAAAATGCCGATCTCAAATATCGAAATGTCAAATTACCAACCTCGCTTAAGACGAGGGGCAATATTTACATATGTAAGTTTGCCTGTAAATAAATGCACGCCGCTTCATGCAGCGCCTAGAACACCCATGCATATATTGAAGAATTAGACCAAGGCCTTGGATTCTATTTGTAAAGCTCTACAGAGCAGTGACCTCCTTCCGAATCGCGATCACATCTTCCCCGATTTATCTCGGGCCGAGCCCTGGTGGATCATCACTGATATCTTGTTTTGTCTTCACTCCAGAGCCAATGCATCGCTCTCCTTTAGCACCAAGCCAAGCTTGGATTTTCTACGATGTTACCGCCGTATGGAGTATCCAAGCTAGCACTGACTCCTGTAGGCTAGAACCACAATGCAAGGGGAATGGGACCTAGGATGTTTGAGTTGCATAAGGCAGAAACAGTCTCAATTATATCATTTCAAAATTTGTTCCAATGCTAACGTCATTGCATATGGAGTCAAGTGAATCTTTTCGAAGGTAAAGTGAAATGAAAATATTCATCCTAGTTGCGTACTACAGCTTATCAGCGAAGAGCTCTGCCTCGTAGTACCCCATCCAGGCTAGAGTTCAAAGATCCACGTTAGGCTGCTCATGCTCTGACTCAAATGTATCCCGCCAGGTTCCCCCTTTTCCCTCTTCTAGGAAGTCGCCATAATTGTTATAAAAAGGATTTGGTATATCTCCATAAAGGAAGTCGTGTACCTAGCTGTCAAGCCAGAGGCCAATTCCTGCCTTGCGCATTTGGTTGGCTATACAAATAATGAGTTTGGGTCTTGATTCCTTGTCTCGCTAGTTGCAGCATAATATATTACGTATGTCAGCGAGAAGATGATGCCAGTTCCCATCAAGGAATTCGAGGAAGCTCAATTCGATAGAACATAGGGTCTTTCGAAGCGCAGCGAGGAAATTTATCAAGTCAGATTGCTTCACTAGGAAATTTGATAATCTGAAGGAACGGAGGTTCGGCCATTCCTCCACCGGCAGGATAGACTTCAGTGGGATAAAGTGAGTGGGATTTTCCTCGATATCATGAATGGTGTCTGTTGTAACTGTTGTTTCGAAAGTGATGTACTGAATATCCTCAGTTAGAGCTTTCTTGAGGCGCCCGTTGTGAAACGAGTGCCAGTCTTCGTACTCTTCACAAGAAGTGGAATATCTAGACGACAAAAGCCGGGACGCCGAAGGATTGTAACAAGGTTGTCATATCCCTCGCACGGTTGATCAAATATAGTACAGTTGAGTCCGATCGGAAGCTGGTTGACATCGAAAACCAATTCCGACACATGATTATTGTTTTGTGCAAGCACAGACGTCGCATTTTGGAATATACGCCATGGGTTCTTTCGGGCCTCAGTGGCTTCTTTCTACGGATGGGCGCGTCGTGGTATCTCCCCATCGCTCGATGGGGGCTATCCCCGTGGAATCGGATAGTTGAATCCACATGGAAATGATCGAATCATAGGAGTCTCATATAATGGAGCGTAGAGCCATCCATGGGCTGCGGGTGTGATGGTAACTCGTTTCAATCTTTAGTTACCAGCCCTGGAGATGGACCTCATCTGACCCATGCCAACGTTGGAAACATCCCGCTATTATATTGTAGATCAGGATTTTGCCGACTCGGTAAAGGTTAGAGTACTACGGAGTAAAAGGGTAAAATCGTTGTTTACAGAATAAATGTGATAATGATAGCGATCTACCCACTTTGTATATAGCTCAAGTGTATCAAATTCTTGTATCTCTAGAAAAGCCCGAGAGAAAGCAAAAAGGAGAAGGGTAACTATTGATTAGAAACCCGCGTAGCACTATCAAATCCTACATTGCATCAACATACAACGAAACTCTCCAGTTGCCTCGCAATTCCACTGTACAGCAACGACCCCAATACATATAAACTCGCTCGCATGTACTCCGTAGTCCCGTATAATTAATGAAGACTCCGGAGATGTTCGATACATTCTGCGGCCCTTAAGAAGCAATCTACGACCATCGAGCTGACTTCCACACGTGCTATATATAGAATGCCTAGGAGCCTCAATTCTAGATGCAAGAGGAACGGGAACGAGTATATTCGCTTCGCTCTTCACTCCATGGCCAGACGCTCCCGAGTGACATTCGAGGCCATGTATAATAGCAGGAAGTAAGTCTCATCCCATTCTACCTCGGAAATCGGTATATATCATTGGAATTAATTTTACCCCTCTACCTAGGTTGCTTTGTGACATTGAAACTCATGGGATAAAAGGTCACCCATGAGTGACTATGAGTGACTATGGAAGAGACAACTGTGCAAATACTAACATTGATAGGCAATAATCCATACATATACGGTGTGGGGTTATCCCCCGCACGATATGGCGCTTGCATGAAATAGTCAAGTCCATCCGACCTCATCATGTTGCTCGGCTACTCTCTTCTTTCCCTTTATGGGGAAAGTTGAGGAGCCAGATATCTCTCTGAGAAAGCCACGCTGATGTCTGAATCAGTCTTTTTGCAACTGGTATATCTTTTACCGAATTCGCTAAGCTGAACAGCCTGAAACCAAAGATGCCCCCGCACACCCCAAAACGAGCCTGCGATCAATGTCACACATTGAAAGAAAAATGCCGACGATCGAGTGCGACAACCTCGTGCGAGCGATGTGACCGATTAAGTCAAACCTGCAAAACAACGCGAAATCTCGCGACACCCGGACGAAAACCACGTGGTGCAAGAAAACTATCCTATAATCTTCCAGCCTCTATCCTCAGCTCGGCCACCCACAATGCGAAGACTCTCGACCTATCTTCATCGAAAAGCAACACCCCATATCCACATTTCTACCTCCCCTTCGACGAGGGATTATCCAGTAACCCGGCACTATTCCCCGAACTAGACCTGTGGGAACGACACTTCCTGAATCTTATGAAAGACATTGTCGCACCATCCCCACTAGATAAATTTCTAATCGGACCGAGCTTCGTCGAGTCACACCACCGTTTATTTGTGCAGAATCTGCTCCGGCCCGCCCCTACGCCTATATTAAGAGACGCTGCAGTCGCCTGTGCGGCCGTGCTTCTCGGGGACCAATATGCGCAATACACCAAGACAGGTGTCGAAATCGGACACCGACGAGCTGCATTGGCTGTTTCGGGGTTGAGGTCGTTACAAATAGCCAAGGAGCAGGATATGATTACTGCACTCGTTTTAGGCGTGGCTATGGTCACGTTCGCTATGCATGTTGCCGATGGTCAGCCGTTTCTTATATCGCGTTATACGTTGACGCTGGTCAAGCCGGTGTATCACACTCTTTTGGCTATGGATGATCCTGGTATTATGGATTTCTTGATGTGTTTGGTTACTTTGGAGACTTTTGAATGTCTACTGAGGTCCGAGATGCCGACTATCCGCATTGGTGAACTTGATCGCTGCAATGTTGTTGATCGGTATCTTGGGATTAGCTCGTCACTTTTTGCTCATCTATATGATCTCTGCGAGGTTTGTAATTCATTGAAAGCTGCTGGTGGGAGAATGGATATTGAAATGGTTGAACGGTTGGGCACGATACAAGATACCTTGGAGAAATGGCAACCCTCGCCACCACCAGATTTGTCTGAAAGATTTACACCTTTCGAGATCACTGGGATGCTTGCTCAGGCCAATGTTCTTCGTCTTGCAGCTATGCTTATTGTACATCGGCTACGTTATGCCTTTGGGCAATGCGACGACGAGGCATTGCAATTTTCCAGCGCTCTTACTGCGGAGATCGATATGGTCTTACAATCGACAGGGCGTTCAATACCATGCACATCACTTCCATATGTGGTTGCATGCTTTGAGATCACTGGGACCGAAGCGCGAGCAGCGGTTCTCGGCAAAATTCATAAAGTCGCGACTTTCTCCAGGCAATCGCAGCTTCAAGCTAGGCGCTCCCTGTCATCAATATGGGATGCGAGGGACAGCGGGGACCGGATCTACTGGTTCAATATAGGCGATTATATACGCAAGACGCCTTTCGCATGAGTAAACATAATATTCTACTCCAGAAATAACATATGTAATTATATCAACATTTGGCTGTAGGGCAACCGTGACGAAACACTCCAAACAGCTATTTATGTCCCATCATAGCAGCCCAGGCTATCCGAGTCTTCTCGTCATGGATCTCGGGCTGTTCAACGAAAAAGAAGGTGTCTCCTGAAACGCAAACAGCCCGGGAATGCATCTCATCACCAGCGACACGCATTCCTTTGGCATCTACCATATCCACCCCAGACAGTAACTGTGATACTACACCCGTGACAACATCCATAGGAATAAATATTTCCCGTGGGAAGATCTTTTCAAGTTCCCCAGCAGCGAAAAGAGGCGTTTCCACCACCCCAGGGCACAGAGCATTGACTCGAACTCCCTCTCCCCAAAGTCTCTCACCAATAGAGCGAGTAAATCCAATGAGCGCATCTAGAAATCTGTTAGCCAGGCCTTGCGGCACATTCATTCAAAATTTTGATTCCCAACCCACGTTTACTACTAGAGTACATCGGAGTGATCACGCACGGGTATAGTCCCCCGATACTTGACATGAGTATCAAGTTCCTCTGCCCTTTCGTTGACTCCGGAGAGCGACGGAAATAGTGCATCGCCAGGTAACTTGTATGCAGTGAGCCATTCAGATTAACATCGATAACTTCGGAACTCGGTTCGGGAGGAATTCCGGTCTCAGACTGGGCAAAGAAATCGACGAAATCTGCTATTCCGGCGTTCGCGAAGACAAAGTCTATCTGACCAGTAGCGTTGAACACCTTGTCAAACACAGCGGCTAGCTGCTGATAGTCACGCACGTCGGCTGGGTAGAATGTGACATTGGACAGGGAAGCTGCTGCTTCCTCGCCTCGCTCTCGGTCTCTGCCGATGATGCTGACATGCCAGATGTCGGTCTGGCTCAGGTGCTTCGCAACTGCAAGGCCGATTCCACTAGCTGTATTTCAACCTTGGTCAACCAATGAATCGTGCAATTTTTAAGGTTGTGAAGATATGCACATACTGCCGCCGGTAATAATAGCGATCTTGGTCATTTTGTGGGAATTTTAATCAAATTGTGATAGGTATTTTGGTGGAACGACGAAATGTTGTGGAGGAGGATTTGTTTGATCGTGTGGCCTACGCTAATCGTTGATGGTATGCATCTAACGAGTCATTTCTTGGAGGTTGAAAGACACCATATCTAGTTCGCTTATCATCGGATTCAACAATTGGGCAGAGAGGATGCTGATCAATCCATTGTAGGCCCAAAGCGGGGTCAGGCGCAACAAAGCATTGCCTCGACATCCAATGATGCCACATGTTTAGCGCCTGGAAAGTGTTAGTGGACAAGGATATGGATCCTGCCAAGTCATAGAATGAAAAGTGCGATCTTAAAAATGACATGCGGCTTTGCAAACATTCACAATGTTCTTACTTCAGATCGTAAAGCTGCAGTATACATGTACAATCTTTCTGGGCCGTGTGCGGGTCAGGTGAAGATTGCTCAGAGAGGATCAAGGTTATATTCGGAAATCGCCTGCACAAATGGAATGGTCTGTATCCAAACCTTGTTCGCAGTGAGGATACTAGCTTGGAAGAAGCTACCTCTTTTTTCTTTTGGATTTTCGTTGTCTCTTGAGCAACTGGGGATGATGTGGCACGTTAAGTCGATCAAGGTACATAGTCGATAGCTTGTTATCTCATTGCTGTAAGGGACTGGCGCTAAACATTGTCGGACTCTGTCGAGAGTATTGAGATACAGAATGACGAGAGCGAACGTAAACTTCGAAGCGGGAAGATGCCCAGGTGCACCTTCCAATGAGACAGTCTATAGAGAGTCAGGGGGAGACATTGCAATATCCGATAGCCCCCTTGCGAGGATCAGGGATCTTTGGTGCTCCGTACGAGGTAGTCTTATGATATTTTCTACACAATTAAGCTCTAAAATGTATTGCACAAAATTGTGCACGAACAATTCCAATTAAGAATGCATGCAATATTGCATTCGGCATTGTATTTATGTGTGCCAATGCAAGAAAAGCAGCAGGAGAGCATTAAACGAGGGGCAAGAGAAATGCGACTGGATGCGAGTGCAATCGAGTGTACTTAAGTGCATGAGACCTATATATACGTTCGTAATTATGACAAAAATGCTGCCATGTGGATCAAATACTCCGTAGCTAACGGTTTTACAATCCAGTGTGTTGCCTAATGGATATATCATATCAAGGAAGAACTGTTTCAGTATACGAGAGGATCTGCCCAAAGCCAAAACGGTTTCGTTGATATAGGATTTGATGATGCGCATTGGTTTCAATTATTGGATGATCATGGCGTTGTTGTCGGCTAACTTATAGCTCTGTGCATTGGCCACACAACACATGGAGGCAGCTGTCAGTGGATCTACGCATTGTTGCGATATACTTATCTATTTCTAATCCTCCTAACGCATGGGTAAGTCTACCCCGGCTTATCTGCATTTTAAAAAAAAACGAGGCCTGTTTATTGTAAGTCCCTTGCTTGCATTACAGGGGCCAGTTCCAAATTTCGTTGATTAATCTTCCGGTGTAAAAGAACTTGACTTCAACGCAATGAACAACATCATTCTTCGATGCATTTTTCCAGTGATCTTTTCGATCAAAAAGCAATATGCTATCACACGCTGACAATCTGTCTAACCCTTGCTGTTTACTTGGTTTTCGCGAAAAATGCCTTGGAACAAAGTGGACCTCGTTCAGATGTAAATCTGATCTATCTGCTATTCCAAATTGATACGTCGGGAAATGGTTCCTTTGCCTCCATATGATTGGCGAAATATCTACGACTAATGCACACAATACCTTGTTGCCTTATGATCTGGCCACCCGTTGGCTAGTGTGGTCTTTCTTTTTCCAAGTCAATATGTTAATATTCAAATTCGCACTGGACCGTGTCGTGGCGCAAGTGCCATCTGCACGTATGTTGCAGGCCGTGCCCTGTCAATAATGTGATCAATAATCCTTTGATATCATCTTTGCGTGATTTTCCTGGATATCGAAAGTTATGACAGATCCAGGTACATAGATGGGGTCCCTTCCCTCCCCTTTCTCATCTCCTTGATGTATGAAGTATATTAGAGACACGGCGAGTCCTTAAATCATTCCAAATCGTTCAAACCAACAGCTTACACTCGTTTAATTTTGCCCTGTTGGAGTTGATACACCGGATCTATCTGTCATGTCTTCCCCAGACGAATCCTCTGCCCCCACATGGACAGAAGGAGACTTCGAACACCCGAACCAGAAGCTACGCCGGTCAATGGTTATTGCATTGGTGTTTGCTTACACTTTGTCGACTCTTTCCGTTGCTCTGAGGATCCTGGCGAGGAAGATGACAGGTAGCAAGCTTTTCATGGATGACTACTTGATCATGATGGCTCTGTTCTTCAAGTATGCATGCTCCAGTGGAGTCGTTGTTCGTGAGTGAAATCTCAATGCTGCACTGTCAAACAAGCTTTATACTAATACCGTTATTAGTCCTGTTCAATGGAATGGGGTCACACATCACAATGATCCCAGCCAAGAACCTGCTGGTTTACTTCCAAGTACGTACCACCCTGGCTGCATATGAAGTACATGCATTGACTTGAGATAGCTCGGATTTGCCAACGCCTTCATCTACACTGGCTGCATTGCCTTCATCAAATTCTCCATTTTGGCGCTGTACAAGCGACTCTTTGCAGTCCGACACATGACAATTGCAGTGAATTTCATGTTTGGATTCATCGCTCTCTGGGTTGTGGGTGTATACGTTGCCGGTGCTCTTCTGTGCATTCCCGTCAGCAAGTTCTGGAACCCGTCAATTGAAGGAGCCTGCCTCGACCCAGCCAAATTCTACTATGGCATGCAGATCCCAAACATCATTTCCGACATCATTCTCTTGATCATGCCTATGAACGTCGTGTGGACATTACCGATCCCAAAGTCCCAGAAAATGCTTCTTTCTGGAGTCTTCCTCGTCGGTGGCTTGTATGTTTGATAATCCTATTCGTGTTGCAGCGGAAACATACTAACCCTTCGTGTCTAGAACATTGATCTTCGATATCTTCCGCCTCATTGCCATGATTAAACTAGTCGAGATGGGCCCTGATATTACTTGTGAGTATTGACCATGCTAATATTTATTTCAATCTCCCGATCTATATCACTAACTATTTATCTAGATAACCAAGTTCCCGTTATTGTGTGGACTTGCATTGAAGCAGCAGTTGGAATCATGGCTGCTTGTCTCCCTAATCTCCGCCCTCTGTTCAAGTTGGGTAAACGAAACTTCTGGTCTAACCTTCGTTCCTCCAACAACGTATCGGAGATGTCCAGTAGGACTCTTGTGAGCTTGGGCAACCCTGGAGGTACTGTCACCAGCATCGCTACCAGTCATAAAAAGAGTGACTCCTATGTGATACATCAAGGTCTTGCGGAGCCTCAGTATGAAGACTACAAGGACGAGAGGGCGATGGAGAGAGTTTAGTTTTGCGGAATATTCAGGGAATGGAAAGGGAACATGCGGATTGCACTGGGCGGGGGGTTTGGGGGAGTCGGGCGAAACAGGAAAACATTGGCACATTCATTTATATTCTTCTTTGTGATACCTTAAGACTTAACGTCTTCATTCTTTTTTATATAGATACTTTCATGAGCTTGTCTTAAAATATTATACCATTTCTTAATGTCACTGTTAAGATCACGTCCTTCGGTTGATGGAGTTTCAATAGAAACAAAGGGAATTTCCGATTTGCTGATTATTGTGATTGGAAGAGATTAACATCTAAATAGTCCGATGGCTAAGCTGATTTGCCGCCATTTTCCTGTAACTCGCTGCAGTAGCAACCCTAGCCTTCTTACCCCAGATGAGAAGCGGGATAGGGATTAACAGAATCACAAATGCAACAACTGCAACCAGAATGTGCAAGTCTCGCATGCCCATCCCATTGACCCAGGGTGTCAGGACAAAAAGCACAATCACCGAGAAGATGTTTCGCATAAAGATCACCCCAACCAATGCGTCACCAATGATCTAAAAGTCATCATGTTAGAATGAGAGCAGAATGACCCGGAATGAAATAATCACTCACATCTTGATAGCAATCCATGAGATAGGAAAGCGCGATACCGCTAACGGCAGCAAGCGAGAACCCATAGAAGCCAAACCCAACAGCAAGAAGAGCCCAATGCACACCCTGGATAGTGTTAGAGAAGTTCAAAATGTGCTTTGAATGCGCTACGTTACTCACACTGGCAATTCCCAAACCGAACATGAGTATTCCCGCAGGGGTAAGAACGGCAATAGGAAGAGCAAGCCAAAGACGCATCTCCGGTTCATAAATACCTCCATTGCGCTTGGATAACCACAGAATAGATTTATCGCTCAAATGCCCACCAAAGGGAAAACCGAGAACACCGCCAACAAATGGAGCCACATTCATGAGGCCAACGCCAACTGCATCAAAATTATAGGGCGGTACAATCAGGTAGGAAGCCTGTAGCGAAGTCATGATCGCGAATAAACTCAGCATAGACCCGTATGTGATAGCCACATACCCAACAGCCGGGAAGGTAAAGAGTGCCACGATCGGTTGGTAAAAATGTGGCCACAGCGCTTCGTCAGTGGTGGTCACTAAAGCCATGCGCTGGAAATAAGTCTTCATCTTAATGTCCGGGTTGATATTGGACGGCACACGGGTGGCGATCTCATTGGCGCCCTTTGAGTCTGTTACCTCCGTATCCTTATATGGGTTTGACGGTTCTCCAATCACTTGTTCCGTGGCAGTAACCTCCCGACCATTCAGAACGGGGATATATTTCGATTCCTCGAAAAGGAATATCACACAGATTAGTGTGACGCCGAAGAAAATCACACACCACCACCACATCCATCTCCACCCTTGTGCGACCACAATGTATCCCGATGCTACGGGGCCAAGGAATGCTCCTGTCGACTGGCCGATGACGTACCATCCATTCATCGTGGCGTGCTGGTGCACGAAGAACATGTCTGCGATAGTAATCTGCACGATGATCTCGCTGATTGCGCCGCCGATGCCGGATATGAGGCCGCTGCCCATTAGATCGCCGACAGTGTAAGTCTGTGCCTGCCAGATGCATGATGCAAACTGCAGGGCGACGCTGAATATGTAAATTGGGCGTCGACCGTACTTGTGGACTAGAGGCATGAAGAAAATACAGCCTATCGCAAGACCGCCGTAGTTGACGGCTGCTTGGGCGTTGAGTATATCGACTGAGAAGTTGAGTTCTTCTTGAATTGGGCCCCATGCCGTGAAGCCGATGTCGAGTTGTACGAAGGTCCATAGCACGAAGAAGCTGACTAGGGTGAAATTGAGCATTTTGCGAGATGTTGACCAATTGAGGGGATCATTGGGGTCGGCTGATGGGGTGGGGAATAACACCAGTTGGTCCCCGGATCGGTGAACTGATTCTGTAAGTCAAAGTGTATCTGTATTGTAGTGTTTGTGGATCGCAGTCACTTACTATCCTCTAGTTTGACTGTTCCTGGAGCCCAGACGGTCTCATCTCGATCAATGTCGTTCTCCATAGTTGATAGTTGGATACTGGAGGGAAAGTTGAACTTGAGCGAGCATGATGGACATGGTCTTCTCCCTATCTATTTAAGCCATCTATTGCCTTGAACTTGTGGAGATACGAACCATAGTCTTATCAAATGTAAATATACTGCGGGGAAATCCCGAGTATACTGCCCAGATCCTGGTGATCCTGATAATATCGCATTTGGTCGAATCAGGAGACGTTAAACATGCCGGCTTGGCGGACTTCGGGTTTGACAGGAAGCTTCCCCCGCCAATTCCTTCGTTATCTTTGATTTCTATAGGCCTAGCGATTGTACTTGTCTCTTCGAATTTCCCTGTCAAGCTAAGCTTCTAGCTCCTGCAACACGCTTAAACTAACCCTGGAGTACCGATAAGGCGAAAACAACTGACCTCGTGTGGAGAAACAGAGAACTGGGTTCTAAACTATGCAATATGATGTCGGATCGAGTGCAAACACCCCACAATTGATTAGGGCTGCATAGTTACCCTGGATTGGCTTGGATATGCAGGCCACTATGGAATGCTAATTGTATCTCCGTTGACCGCCATGATCCAGCATCCCCTGGTTTACGCCTCATATCCAACTTGCAAGGTGTTATTCCTTTTAATTTCATAATTCCAGTATCAGAGATCTTGCACTACCCTTTTTGCCTCTTATCCATTACCATCTATCTATAGAGATACCAAGGATTAAGACATTCAAACAACATCCGAATTTGAAAGCAAACTATTAAAACTTACTCAAGTGACCAAATATAAGCACGAAACATCTCCCGACTATAATCGCTCCACGGGTAAATAGTAAGATCAAAGTCTGGCTGCAACAATCTCCGATCCCTCTCACTCAGTCGAAATCCACGTTCAGTATTACAACAAGCACACTGAGCCGTGCAATGACCCCAGCCCTTCTTCCTGGTCGGATCAGGGGGTTTCTCACAGCATTTGCACTCACGCCCACAGCATCCACCCCTTCTCGCACAATCATCCCGCAACCACCCACTCCTCAGATACCACTGCGGCTCCCTTCGAATCCACATATATCCGCTCTTGATAGGTCCGACAGGACACCCCGCTAAGATCGTGTCGTATGTCCGCTCAAGACGGGTGTACTCATGGTCTAGAGATATTATATCCTCGATCATGTCCGGTATTAGGATTGTTTTGGTTGCTTCGTCGGAGGAGGCTTGGAACTTTTGAATACAATCCTTGAGGAACTTCTCGTGCTGGGTAGTTTCGCGTAGACGCTCTTCTGTTTCGATGATTGATTGCGCCCATCGCGATATCAGGTCGCGGTCCGTCTCCCAGAATATATGTCGCTTGCCTCGGATAATTTGCCAGTTGACCCATCTGCCAGAGCGCTCTGCGGCATCTTGCACGAATTCAAGGATACCCTCGAGCTCTGGGAATCGTATTTGCTTGACTAGGCTCTTCATTTTGCGCTATTTTGAAAATTCCTATGGAAGACGACTTGAGATTATTTGAAAAGGTAGGTTACTTACATCACTTTTTATCATCCGATTTGATATTGTGAATATGGTTTACGCTTCCATGGTGGAACGTTGGTATAGTTTATTGCCGACCATTTCCAAGCGACGCAACAGTATTACAAACTCCATAAACAACCAAATCGGGGTCCCAAATATCTTGGCCATCGAGTGAGGGGCCAAATATAGATAAGAGGGGCAGAAGTAGATCCCGAGTTAATGACATTCCGAGGTCGGAGTTGCTCCCGCATTTGCATAAACTGGTTTTGGTGGGGTATTGTAGTTGGAATTGTAGAGTAGATTATTGGAGTTTCTTGACACTGTCTTCCCAAGAGTCATCACAAGCCCAACATGTCCCACGATACTACTACAAGCATGCCAAAACGTCGAGTATTGGTAATTGGATCAGGTGGTGTCGGGACGATGGTCAGCGTCGCCCTCGAAAGATCTGGACGGGCATCTGTCACTTCTGTTCTCCGATCCAATTATGAGCAGGTTGTGAAGCACGGATTCGAAATCGAGTCTATCGACCATGGGAAACTATCATCATGGAGACCAACCGCACGTATGTAATCGTTGAAAAGTGACAAGCAGAAAAAAGCTAGTCAGGCTTGAAGCTAACATATAGATAGTTGTCAATGCTGTCCCCCTAGCTGACCCCAACACCCCATTTGACTATGTGATTGTCACAATGAAGAACATCCGCGAAGTGAACAACATCCCGAAGATTATAGCTCCAGCCATAACCCCAGATTATACAACAATCGTCCTATTCCAAAATGGACTGTATATCGAACCACCCATCATCGCAGCATTCCCTTCGAACGTGGTATTATCAGCGCCGAGCTTCATCGGTGCACATGAGCACAATGGCCATGTGGTCCACGACGACCACGACAACTTCCACATCGGCGCATTCCACAACCCATCCGCGGACGCAGCATTCGAGCGTGCCAAGCTCGAAGAGTTCGCGAAAATCTATAACGCAAGCAAAGTCGTCGATGCGGAGGTTGTCGATGATATCATATTTTATCGCTGGCGGAAGGTGATCTGGAATGGCATTTTTAATCCTATGTGCGCTATCACTCAGCTTGACTGTGCTGCGGTTCGACGATTCGGCGGCGAGCATAGTTTGATTAGACCGGGTATGGCGGAGATGGCGGCCATTGCGAAGGCGGATGGGTATGATCTCGGGCCCGGGATTGTAGATGAGATGATGGATATCACGCCGATCGAGTTGTGTTTCCGGCCGAGTATGTTGGTCGACGTGGATAAGGGAAATCCGATGGAGGTGGAGGTTATTCTGGGGAATGCTTTGCGTGTTGCGAGGGAGAAGGGTGTGAACACACCGATCTTGGATAATACGTACCGGTTTTTGAAGCTCACTCAGGCACGGCTGTTGGCTGCGAGGGGATTAATTGTTGAGCCGAAGGAAATCCCAAAAGTAGATCTGATATAGTCATTTGTCTAGACCACATTCGGTTCAAAGCTAGGTACATACATAGTAGTCTGTCAAATCAGCCTGTTGGTTTCACACAGCATTAGGAACAATGAGGAGTGGTAAGATGACATGTATCCTTTTTTTTGACCTCGAGTCGGTATGCAAAAGTAACCTTGTACGAGAAAACCGGTGAAGAATACATGTAGGAACTATGCATGTCGGTCTCAGTTGCGGAGATACATGAACCTGTCAATATCACACTCTCACCAGAAAGTATTCCCTACTCCGTACACACTTGCAAGATACCAAATGGAGAGAATCGATGTGCACACCCACTGTGTGCCACCCTCGTATCGCGAGTATTGTCTACAGAGCGACTTCGCAGGCAGAGGCCACCCAGATGGAATGCCCGCAATCCCAGTGAGTCCCTCTAAACCTGGACAGTCTATCAAATTATCCTACTAAATACAAGAATACAGGAATGGAGCGCCGACTCACACATCGAACTAATGAACAAGCTAAAAATCAAGAAATCAGTTCTGAGCATGTCCTCCCCAGCCACACATCTAACGCCGGGCAACGACGAAGAAGGCCGATCCGTAACCCGACGCGCCAATATCGACATGTCGAAAATCTGCGCCGATCACCCAGCCCACTTCCTCTTCTTCGCATCCCTCCCCCTCCCAGACGTGGAAGGCTCCCTTGCAGAAATAGACTACGCACTGGACCATCTTGGCGCAGTGGGGTTTCAGATCCTGACCAATTCGCATGGAATCTACCCAGGCGATCAGCGACTGAGTCGTGTTTTTGACAAATTGAGCGAGCGGAAAACCATTGCCTTCTTTCACCCGACTACCTGTCTCCTCCGGCATGGTGACAACTCCCTGGAAAAGGTCATACCGATCCCAGGTGTCGCTGCGCCGATTATGGAGTTTATGTTCGATTCGACTCGGGCGCTTATGAGTCTGCTTACTTCTGGGACTGTAGAGCGCTGTCCGGGAATTACATTCGTGGCTGGTCATTGTGGTGCTACGTTCCCGCCGATCATGGAGAGGATCGCGGAGTTCTCGTTTATGATTCCCGGTGTAGGGGATGGGATCAGCGCGGAGAAGATTAGGCAGCTGTTGCAGACGCGGTTCTATTTTGATCTTGCGGGTTTGCCGTTCCCGGATCAGATCCATGGCCTTCTACGGCTGATTGATTCGTCCAGATTGGTGTATGGGAGTGATTATCCCTATACACCTGCAGCGCTGGCTGAGTCTCTGGCCAAGAGAGTGGATGATGGACTACAGAGTCTATTTGGATCTGAAACAGCCACGAGGATTTTGGTTGATAATGCGCAGGATCTTCTTGGGGCGAGTCGTAAATAGTCAGGGAATGCAAGAAACTCTTGGTCAACGAGAGAAAACAGAAGCTAGACATTCTTTTCAATAATCCAAGGCGAGATTGATATTGAACTGCTCGAAATTCATGCTCGTCCTATGCGACAAGCGTTTTGCAATTCCAGGCGCCTCGAACCAGAATGGATTCTTTTTGGCCAATCCAGTCATCCACAAGCACGAGAATAACTGTTTTTGAATTAAATTAAACCTTATCTCGGACAAAGTCAAAAAGTATTGTAAAACCGCTGTGCAAACATAGTTGCGTAGTCGATACAGATGGGCTGCGAACCGCTTTTGGTTCACTAATGGCAGATAACTAGTAGCAGATATCTATAGCATCACTACATAGGAAGTGGAGTATTTATTTGTGATCCTGGTGAGAAATTTGACATACCTGAGTTTGCAGGTGAGTTCGTTCGTGTAGAAGATTTATTGAGATAGTCATAAGGCGGGTAATACAGGAAAGATCTGATAAAAGCATCCTCTGCTATATATACACACACAGGATGAGGTCAGATAGGTCAATCCAAATCAATTGATTTAACGTGGTATATATATGGATTACTTAGGCAGACTCCCCTCTAGCTTTAAAAGAGAACGTGCAGCATCAACAACAGTGTCCTCAAGCTTATGGTACTGAATACCCAGGATCTTCTGTGATTTCGTATTATTAATGGTGTAAACACTCGACGGCACAGTTCCAGTGCCCGGGTTTCCAATAGGCACGCGATCTTGGATTTCAGGAATCCTCTCACGCAAAGCGTCAACAAACCGTTGATAGGTAAAGTTACCAGCGCAAAGGAAAAAGCGTTCGCCGCCAGCCTCGAGGACCTCATAGGCACGGAGATGGGCCGTTGAGACATCGCGAACATCCACAAATGACCAGAACATATTTTGCGGTACGTCATCCGAAGATTTGGTTTGATATGAAACCAGGCGGTAAATATCAGCAGAGGAGGTATTCAGCTTGGCCAAGTTGGCAGTGGCATTGATATTAGGGCCGTACACCATGGGGGGCATGATTGTTGCAATATCAAAATTGGGTTTGTTGGTTTTAACAAAATCCCAGGCAGCATGTTCAGCCAAGGCCTTTGCAGTAGAGTATGCCAGACCAGCCGGAGCGCCCTTGGCAGCTGCGACTTCGTACGGTGTCATGTTCCAATCGGCCTCGGAGTAAACGTGACCCGGCCATGAGCCCTTGCTGATGTCGAGCATGGCAGCAAAGGAAGATGTGATGACAACGCGTTTGACTTCAGGGGCGTGGGTGAACACGGATGTGAGGATGTTGATTGTTCCGTCAATGGCTGGACGGAGCAGATCGCGCTCATTGTCCTCGACATTGAAGACTTGGAATGGACTCGCGGTATGAATCACGCCTTGGACACCTTGGACTGCCTCATCAAATGCCCCAGGCTTGCTCATGTCATTCACAATCACGAGACTCAATTGAGGTGCAAATTGGGAGAAACTTTGGCGAACTAGCTCGGCCGTGGCGGATGAACGGACGGTTCCGCGAACGTGATAGCCGGCATGAAGGAAGTCCCTCACGATGTGAGTGGCAATGAAGCCAGAGGCTCCAGTGATCAGGATCACTTGGTTTTGCTTTTGCGACATTTTGAGAGAAAGACTTGTGTACAATGAACGGAAGTTATGTGACGGTAATGGAGATATGAGCAGAATTCAGATTGTTGGAGAAGGTGGAATCCTCCTTAAATATACAAGCAAGTCACATTTTGCTATTCGGAGATTAGTTCTTGTCTCTCCAAGATTGTCAATTGCTCCAACTTTTCTATGAATCAATCCTTGTCGGTCCAGGTGGGTCCCGGGATCGGCTAACTTTGGGCGATAGTCATCATGTGGAGATACTCTTTTATCCCCGGACTTATCCCCATGCACTTTGGTGAGTAGATTGGCCTTAAGGCTAGCCAACTTGAAAGAACAGATTCAACTACAGCACAGCGACATCATGTAAATCAGGATCAGCTCGGCCGTCCCACTGAAAGTGGTTAGATCTTATACAGGAAAAAATACAGCCATTTTACCACTAGACCATAACAAAAACATTGGTTCCTGTCACTCTTTTGTTGAAATCCGAGGTGGATATACCGTTATGGAGTTATAGCTAGGGCATCATATCAGAATGTCAATGAGCTATACTAGGATAGGAAAAGCTGCATAAAAGCCCTAGAGTGCATATGTTGATTAGTCAAATTGTTCGTTAAAATCTTCTCTTTATGTCAGTTAGACATGTAGTTACATACAATTACTTCATATTTCAAGTTGCATATCACCGAATTGCCATATAACATACACCATTGAAACCACCTATTTCTGTCATACTATCTCTAAGCCCCACCGCCAAGACGCTAGCTTGTCAGCATGTCTCAACAATTACACGGGGATAGTATTCTGGTGATGCCTAAACGGCGCATCTGATTCCGATTTGAAGTATATCTGTTCCCCGTCTGTGGTATCTTCTGGTATTAGATTCGGGGTGTGGGAAACGCTGGACGTTTGAGCAAAATTAGCAGCGGGCCAGCCATTTTGTTAGTAGGCCGAAACGCAAGTAGATAACGCGACCTCGTACCTACGCATGGCGACACCTGCGCGGGCGTAAATATGAGATTAATCATCTTTCTCACAGCCCTCGGGAGGCACAGTAGACGCCCCATGGAGAGAGATGGCCCGACCGGCGCTCTATACTTTGATGGTTAGGTGATGATGGATGGTTTCTTGCTGTTCTCTCATAGATCAATAATGAGGCTCAACACTGAATTGCTCTAATAAGGCTTTCACCCAGTCTGTTCCCCAGCAATTACGCTGAGACCCTTCTCACCACACCACCTTAGGGCAGCACGTGCCCGACTACTCTGTACTTAGCTGCACATAAGCCACATCCCCTACGTCAACGATAAAGCATTTGCATCATGTGCCTGTTGGGTGCTGTAGTTCTGCCTGGTTTATTTCCACGCCCAGAAAATGAAACGGCCCGAGATAAAATTAGACCGCTTCAACCTTTAGACCTATTTAAACACGTTTCGGCCCTCGAAGCTAAACAACCTACCTAGGCTTTTTCGTACAGAGTACTGATAAACAGTCCATTTATAAAGAGGATATACCGGCGGTCTTCAGCATTTGAACCTAATGATCTTTCGCATAACACGCTGAAAAGCCCTGACTCAATAAGTTTCAAACCATTTGGGGGTGATATTCTCTAAAGAATGGAGTTCTCTCGAAACAACGAGAATACAACCAAAAAGAAGATGGTAATATTCATCTTCCTACCTGAACGAAGGAATAGCTGTTCTAAATAAAGTCTAGAGGCCCGTTGCGCCGCCCTTCAGAAAAGAACATGAACTCCAACACACCATACCAATATCCCCACCCCACCACGCAAGTACTGGTTTCAACCCACAACGCCCGGTCTCGGAAATTTTAGACTTGGATCTGCGTACATCATCTATCGACAGGATCTACACTCATCTATGGCTGGCGGGTCTTCCCAAAGGTGCTCGTCCACTCCACCGCCAAGTTCTCCTAGGCCGCACCATTATCATTACCGAAAACCCAAACGAACATCTTATCTCTCACGAAGACCGCATATTCATCAAGCCACTGCCAGATTATCTACTATGCCATGACTTCTGGACAACCAATACCAACCTCCTGGCTCAAGACGAATCACTATACCAATGTGCATGCGGATTCTTGTTATCTTATTGCTGGCTTATCTGTAGTAAGCATGATCTTGCAATTGCTCATGATTCAAATCTACTTCCGTCTTCAGTAACCTGGGAGACGTGGGTTGCTTTTGTCACGGATATACTCACAAACATTGATCTTGAAACTCTCCATTCTGTCTCGTTACGTTACCACTACGGCGAACTCCGACTCTCGCGTTTGAATCTCATCTACCGATTCTCGCCTCACACTTTCTCAGTGCATAACTTTCTGCACGGCTTCATGTCCGAACCTTCGAGGTCAAAGGCATACCTAGTTCGAACCTTTGCGTGGTTGCTCTCTGTATTCTGGTTTGTGTCCATTGTCACAAGCGCAATGCAGGTAGGTATAGGTACAAGCTTGTTAGGGGGAAGTAAGCTATTCCAGGGTGTGTCAGTGGTGTTTGTTGTGGCAAGCCTAGTAGGGGTAGCGGCGAGTGTTATACTTATGAGTTCAGTTTGGGGTTTTTTGGCCATTTATCATATTTGTTGGGCCAAAAGAAATTTAACGGCTGCGCAAAAGTCCAGACAGATAAAGACAGATGGGAAATGTGAAGGTGTTTAACACGGATTTCCCGCGTCATAACTTGATCCGCAGTTAAGATAGCTAAACAAGCCCAAAATACCTCCGTGGTGTCTGAAATTCTTCAATTATCAAACTATATACATTTGAAAGCTTCCTTACATATTGACTACGTTGTACAACTTTTGTGAGCCATGTGTTTATGCAACATGGGAGCGGGTCCGGGTTATACGACCTCGTATTGCAAGGAACGCCGATGTGGCCCTGGCGTATGTACTCCTTCAACGCATTTGTGAACAAGAATGGCTGAATAATTTGGCAACTCAAATTCTTTTGTTCGCCATTTAATCATACCTAGAAAAGTCTTCTGCGCAGTGTATGCATTTTCTCGTCTTTTCCCACCGTCTAGCTATAAACCCAAGAGGGGGAAAATAATATCAAGAAAGAAAAAAAGAAAGAAAGAAAGGCATCCAAAAAGACATCTAAAAAGATGTAGGCCCTATAGGCAGCCAACTATTCTATTGTAATTAATTCAAACGAAATCTCTTGAATAAAGCTTTATTATTCTTCAGCCACCATTGGGCATTAGCCTAGGCGCGTAGATATGCTTAGATCTGTAATTTCGAAGGCTTTACAGAGTACCTAATAATAGCACAAATCGCCGTTCTAGTCGCTTTAAATACCCCGCACCTGTGTCCATTCAGCCGCAACAGAGAAGGTCATCCTAGCACTGCTTCACGGAGAACCTCACAGTCACCAGCTATCATCCATTCTCACAACAGATAGATAGTTGACCGTAAATAGGCCTCGGTATGGCTAGCCGAAGAAAATCTACCATTTTTCGGGTTACTGGCCTGATACGGGATCCAGATCAGACAGATGAACAACTCCAGGCGGCATTGGAGGATACACTCGTTGAGAACTTGTCCATTGAAGAGAGATCTTGTATTCAAACAAAGGTCGATATCGTACCTTCTTGTTATGAATCCGATGCAGAGAGGGTGGCTCTTGTACATTTTCAGCCCGAAGTTCCCCAATTCCTATCCGAACTAGAGGATAACCCCGAGCAAAATTGGCAGATAGAGATGGGCGAGGCAGATATTAATATCGACCGAAACTTCTTTGGATTTACTCAGCTCTATGCGCCACAGGAGGACAAACCAGTCACTGGAGAGTAAGTGAGACTTGACCGTTGATTGAGTGGATGCTTATTTTAGTGAAGTATCATCGCAATTACAGGGCTGGATGGACACGCCTATGGGTCATGGCGGGGAAGGGGAAACCTCGGTCGAATGTGGTTACGGGATTTTTTCAAAAAGGACCTTCCGCGGTGTCGTACAATGATTTACGGATATAACTCTAAGCTATCCAGTTGGGGAACCGACACCCTTCTCGACTACGGACGAAGCATTATGGAGGAGATCAAGAAAATCCGGAACAGGTAACGAACTTCACCTCGGGAAATTAGAAGTCAAAGAGCTTTGAACTAATAGAGGGACGAACTAGCTTTGCCAGCGGCCGATCTTTTTCATTGGTCACAGCTTCGGTGGGATTATCCTCGCTCATGTACGCCTTCTATAATACCATGGAATATAAGCATGCTAATGTGGACTACAGTGCCTCGTGAAGGCGATCCAGGCGATGAAAGATGATAATCCTGCAATCGCTTCTCTTTATCAAGCCACCTATGCTACGATATTTTTTGCCACGCCCCATAAAGGAATGATTGTGGACGACATCAAACAAATGCTTACCCGTCATGAGAACCATCCGCGACAGCATTTAGTCGAGCAGATTTCAAATAAATCTGATATACTAGTCCATCAGCTTGTCGATTTCAAAAACCTGATTGGAGACCGAAAGGTGGTGAGCTTTTACGAGACTGGGGAGACGAGACAGCTTCAATTTGTATGGACATATGTCGGGTCTTTGTATAATGAGAGGACATAAGCTAACTGACACAATAGAATGAAGATTCCAAACGATGGGGCCGAACGGGCAACTTCATCAAACCAGTGGATGATGACTCGGCTTTACTTCAACTCCCTGATTCTATTGAGGTGAAAATATCTGTTGATAGGAATCACTCAGATATTGTCAAGTTCGACGCTCGCGGTGACCGTGCATATGCATCAGTGTTACAATACCTACGGGAATTCGAGAAAGATGCACAGGAGTGTGTTAAAACTCGCTTTTGTACGTAATTTGATGGAATATCCATCTATATAATCCGATGGCCCTGCCTCATCCCTTTTTTCGGAGTGTGAACTAATAAAAATATGATCGTAGCACAACAGCCCAATCGCCCCAAGCCCTCCTCCACGGTACCCTTCAAAAGGGACACTATGTTCATTGGTCGCGAGGATATTATTGAAGAGATTGAGAAGAGGTTCCAAGCCATGGGGCATCAGCACGAGCGTGTCGCACTCCAAGGCTTAGCAGGCGTCGGGTGAGTACTTCCAAGAGAGAATAGGTTGAATATGCCACTAAATTCTTTGCAGAAAATCTCAAATAGCGATTGAGTACTCCTATCGAGTGCGTCACTCAAAGCCGGACACATGGGTCTTCTGGGTCCATATGAGCAATTCCGCTCGATTCAATCAAGGATATGAGCACATCGCGGGGGCTGCGAGGATTCCAAAGCAAGATGACTCGAAAGCGAGCGTCAATCAACTAGTCCATCGATGGCTATGTGATATGCAGAATGGCCCCTGGTTGATGATTGTAGACAATGCCGATGACGAAAGTATATTGACCAAAACGGATGACCCGGAGGGAACGGCGCTGGTGGATTTTCTTCCCCAGGTTCCACACGGGTCCATTCTCTTTACATCACGCAACCTTCTAGCAGCCCAGAACCTCACGGAGAACAATGTGATTGAAGTCGAGCCAATGGGCAAGACAGAGTCTATAAGCTTACTGCGTTCAAAAACACACACAAGTCAGTCTTCAGAGGACGAAGAGATGTTAGTCCACGCACTAGAGTACGTTCCACTAGCCATCACACAGGCAGGCTCCTACATTGCAGCCCGATCAACTCGCATGACAGTCGCCAAATACCTCGAACTCTTCCACGAGAGCGAGAAAAACCAGAAATATCTCCTTAACCACAAAGATGCCCAAGACCTGCGGCGAGACCCTAGCATCCCAGATGCGGTCATCACAACATGGGAGTTGTCATTTGAACAGATCCGCCGTGACCGGTCGTCAGCTGCGGATTTACTTGCGTTAATGAGCATGTTTGATCGGCACGGGATTCCAGAGGACCTAGTCAGAATACAAGATGACACGCTTCAGTTTGAGGATGATTTAGCACCTTTGATCAGTTTTTCCCTCATCAGAGAAGAAAAAGAACAACGTTCATTTGATATGCACCGCCTAGTGCAGTTATCTGTTCAAAGGTGGCTGGAGATCCGGAAACAGCTCAATGAATGGAGAGAAAAGTCCAAGGGTATAATGGCACAGATGTTTCCATATGAAGACTACAAGGAGTGGAGTACTTGTCAAAAGCTACTTCCGCATGCCAAGAAGGTCATTGAGTATATTTCACTCAGTGATACGGATCGTATCAACATGGCAAAGCTTGTATCAAAATGTGGTGGTTATCTCATTCGCCAAGGCGCTCACAACGAGGCTGAGGTAATTTTTCGACGTGGCCTAACAGGCTGTGAGCAGGCGCTCGGGCCTAACCATCCAGACACACTTACTAGTGTAAATAACCTTGGTACAGCGCTTAAAAGCCAGGGTAAATACCTCGAGGCAGAAGTGATGTATCAACGGGCCTTAGCAGGCCGTGAGGCGGCGCTTGGGCCTAACCATCCAGGCACACTTGCTAGTGTGAATGATATCGGTACAGCGCTCAGAAGCCAGGGTAAATACGTCGAGGCGGAAGCGATACATCGACGGGCCTTAGAAGGCCGTAATGCGGCGCTCGGGCCTAACCATCCAGACACACTTACTAGTGTGAATAATCTCGGTGTAGCACTTGAAGGGCAGGGTAAATACGTCGAGGCAGAAGCGATATATCGACGGGCCTTAGCGGGCCGTGAGGAGGCCCTCGGGTCCAATCATCCAGATACACTTTTGAGTGTGAACAATGTCGGTATAGCGCTTAGAAGCCAGGGTAAGTACACCGAAGCGGAAGCGATACATCGACAGGCCTTAGTAGGCCGTGAGGCCTTGCTTGGGCCTAACCATCCAGATATATTAACTACTGTGGATAATATTGGTGCAGCGCTTAGAGGGCAGAGGAAATACACCGAAGCGGAAGCGATACATCGACGGGCCTTAGTAGGCCGTGAGGCGGCGCTCGGGCCCAATCATCCAGACACACTTTTTAGTGTGAATAATCTCGGTGTAGCGCTTGAAAGGCAGGGTAAATACACCGATGCGGAAGCGATGCATCGACGGGCCTTAGCAGGCCGTGAGGCGCTCGGGCCTCACCATCCAGACACACTTTATAGTGTGAATAATCTCGGTGTAGTGCTTGAAAGGCAGGGTAAATACGCCGAAGCGGAAGCGATACATCGACGGGCCTTAGTAGGCCGCGAGGAGGCGCTCGGGCCCAATCATCCGGACACACTTTTTAGTGTGAATAATATCGGTGCGGCGCTTAGAAGGCAGGGTAAATTCGTCGAGGCGGAAGCAATACATCGACGGGCCTTAGCAGGCCGTGAGGAGGCCCTCGGGTCCAATCACCCAGACACACTTTCTAGTGTGAATAATCTCGGTGTAGCGCTTGAAAGGCAGGGTAAATACGTCGAGGCGGAAGCGATGTATCGACGGGCCTTAGCAGGCCGTGAGGCCCTCGGGCCTAAACATCCAGACACACTTTTTAGTGTGAATAATCTCGGTGTAGCGCTTGGAGGGCAGGGCAAATATATCGAGGCGGAAGCAATGTATCGACGCCCAAGGCCAACCATTTCCCTCATATGGCAGAAAGACAAGAAGACCTCAACGCCATGGTCGATGACGTTAAAAGTGTCCAAACTGCTATTCAATCACTCTTAGACCTGAAGCAAAATGAAGCCACTATCATCGAAGCCCAGGCAACACGCAGACAGAGTGATAGCGTCATGGCCTTCACGCTGGTTACGATCGTATTCGTGAGTTCTCACCATTTTCTCAGCCTTTGTGCATATATAAACTCACCGATGACTAGCTACCTGGTTCCTTTATGGCAAGTCTTTTTGCCTTGAATGTCAGCGAGTTTCCTCATGAAGGTGGATCTGTGACTTACAAAAGCTGATGGATATTCCCAATCATTTGTAAGTCTACTGATCCTGAATGAAATATTACCATTCTCGTGGTTGATGACTTTATTGATAGTTGGTGTTTCAATTGCTTTCTCCTTGATCTCTGTGCCCCTTGCCTTCAACGCAAATGCGTTTAAGAATATCCCTTGGTTCTGGATATTTGGGGGGAAGCTCACAAATAAAATCAAAGAAGAACATCAAAAGCAATCGGCGAGAGAAAGGAGGAAATATATGAATAGGGCAGGCAAGAAAGCGGAAACCTTGGAAGAAAAAACGAAAAGAGACTCCCCGGAGTCGATGGAAGCCGTGAATGAGAATCGGGAACCCACTCAAAGCACGTCTCGACCTTCGGATTTGTCGCATTCAGCTGATCACCCGGAAGGACGGGTTTCAAAGGGGTGGATCAATCGGCTACAGAGAGCGTTAATCCCTGGACCAAAGCCTGGAGAGAGTCTTCGACCTGGGCAAGCGTAGGGTAGGTGAATGTGATCACATCCCTTGAAGGGATCTGAGAGAAGTACGTTGGGGGCACTTGAGATTGAAATGTAAAAGGTTCAGTTGCATGATAATTAAATGATTTAGTTCCCAATCAACTCTTCATTCCTTCCAAGCGAGTGTAATTAGACAAGAAAAGAAGAACTCCCCCCCAAAAAAGAATGCTGCCAGCCATTCCCCGTATACAACTGAAATGCATCCCATATAAACCCGTAACATCAAGAAAAATGAATACATATATCAAATAATTCCAACTCAAACAATTCCGAGGTATGCGCAATGGCTACAGTACTTCTAGACTCGAGCCTTGACTACTATAATAGCCGAGGTACCAACCTCCCACTGAGTGTGACGTGTCATAGTAGACATGGCGAAATTGCCCAAATGCTATTAGATCACGATAGAAGGAGTAGATGTGAATATAGATCGGGGTGGAGTGAGTATCAATAGATTTGAGCCGGTGCTCCGCTGAACGACTGTTTGGGACACATCCGCATTTTACGAACAGATTGGTTCGTCTGTACTATGATATCTCAAAGCTCTTTTCATCCAAATGGTTAGATGGGTTTGCGCGAATAAATGTCAACATTGCCTGGCAGTATCAGATTTAATCTCGGAATTTCGTAATGTTTTCCTCATGCTCTCCATTTGCCTTTACTTTGGTCTTGTAGCAGAACTTTTGCCCAAGAGGGCTCGTGAGGTGTTGCTCTACTATACGTGTTACCAGCCCTTATATATCTGTATCCTTACCTAGTGTATAAGGCTCATAGCTTCAAGTAGCTTGATTCATTCACCAACCGCTCCAAATTCTAGACTAAAAGGGTACTGAGATATGTGTTTTGCAGATTCTGTTTACTATAGCGCCACTGTTGACGACGACCGTATGATACCATATCTGATGAATGATGTCTATGATTGGGCCCTTTTGCTTCGATATTTTGTTGGTGTTGGTTCGAGGCCAGAGAACCCTGAGGATTGATATTAGTAGATTGTTCACTTTATCAATATCTAGCTGCTGATAGTACGGAATTATCCAGATACTAAAGGGGGAAATGCCTATGTATGTAGCATGGTGATAGGAACGATCATGTGCCACTTCCTCTACTGTCGAAAATATAATCATTTGAACGTTTCTCTTGTATTGCAAAGCTATCCATTGTTTTTCGTTTTGTATTTTCTTCCCAATTAAGTGGCTAGGTATCATGAGCAACCTTATAAGCAAACTTGTAAGAACTGAAATCAAAATCCACCTTCTCCAACGAGCTCACCTCTTAGACCATATCAACAATCTCATCTCGGATTGATGCAATGATCGCCCCAGGCAAACCCTGATCCATCATCCTCTTCAACTCAACGCTAACCCAGTCAGAGGCTTTGGCAGACACAAGTTCCCAAACAGCCCTTGAAGCCGAGTGCTTCTTCAGCAGCCATCCAATTGCCAGCAGCGTTGCAAGAACTTTGGGCTCGCTACCATTTTGGAACCCATCTTCAGTAATTCGATCGGCAATCCCATACAGTGTGGCCAATTTATTGATTATAGTGCTCTTGTCACATTCCAAGAGCCCGAAGAGTTCGTTCGACCACATCCAGCTACCCTCAAAGGTTTGCAGCCGAATAAGCTCGTGCATTCTCATCAGCGCAGTCTTCGGCAAAGTAGGATTTGGGGACATTGGAACTCCAGCGCTGATTGCGCTCCTTTGACCAAACATTGGAGCGGCAGCAAATGCGGCCAGTTGATTGATAGAATTCGAATTTCTGGATCTCTTACGTAGAGGTGCTACACCACTGGAGAAACGGAGGGCTCCCGCATGTTCATACTGCAAGCCAGGTCCTGTTGAAATCTGAGACGTCTGCATTGGCATAGCTTGGCGTGAACTGTGGGAGCTACGTTGACTGCCGAATACACCGCCACTCCGGCTACCACCAGTGCGTACACGTGCGGCATTGGGAAATCTAGCAGACTCTAGAATAGAAGAAAAATGCTCTACGGTATCTTCCTTCGGGGTATGTTGTTCGTCCTGTTGTTCCGAAGACGAAGAGTCACACTCCTCCAATGCCACGAATGAGCAGTATTTTCCAGCTACCTGGAACTTGATTCCTAGGTCCTGGCATTCACGCTCTGCAAGTCGCTTTTTTGTTGTTTGGTGGAAGTGTTCGAATTTGTTTCCTTTCTCGTCCTTAGAATGTGCGAGCCAGCCGTGTCTCTCTTCGAGCTCGATCACGGCCTTTCGCGAAGCAAGTTGGTGGATTGTTTCACCAGTCCCGATATGGCAGATCGGAATTTGCAGCTGCAGGGGACCGTCCCTGGAAGTCGCACTGAGCTTCAGCGACTTTGGGGTCTTCTCGGACAAGGTGGGATCCAGAAGGAGGTAGACATTTGTTCTAATGAACGGGTACAAAGGTGGGATATTGTACGGAGCTTGGATTGCTCTTGGAGGGATGAAATTAGGAAGTTTTTCAATTGCTCTCTCATCTTCATCAACATCCATGTCGGGTTCCTGGAAGTTTTCATCGTACAACGAGATCGGCTGCAATGAGCTGTGTGTTGTTTCTTCCATGGAGATGTCCCCATCTCCCTCCTTATCGACCACCGTCTCAGAGTCGGTGAAATTCTCAGTATCGCTCACAAACTCAAACTCTGTCTCTGTCTCAGTGTCATATTCAATTTCGAGCTTGTAGTCATGGACATGAGGGGTCAAGGCGCCCTTGAGCATGCGGATGACCTTGCGATCGAGCTCTTCATACGCTGTAACTGATTGGCAGAATCCATTTCCGGCTCTTGCAACTCCCTCAATCAAGGAGTGAGATGCTCCTTCGCCAATGCCAAGGGTGAAGAATCGAGCAGTATTGTCAGCAGCCTTGTTGCGGACGAAATCGAACAAACGATCCTGGTCGGAGATTTGTCCATCGGTGAGAATCAAGACGTCCAGATCTTTCAAATTAAGTCGATTTTCCACAGTGGCGATGACTGCTCGCCTCATCTCTGTGCCGCCCATGCTCGCATCGATAGTGTCAACAAAAGCCAGAGCCTGCTCCAAGCTAGATTCATCGTACACCTGGCTTGTCGGCCACATGAAGGAGTGGCACCTCCCAAACGAGCATATATTGAAGCAGATACCGACAGGCAAAGACTTCAGGAAAACTCCAAGTGCAGATTTCAAGGTTGATATTTTATCCCGCATACTCCCACTTCTGTCAATGACAAAGACCACCTCGGGATCAGAGGGCAGGAGGCTAAATTTTGGAACGAGGGTTGCCATCAGCGCTTGCTGATTAGGGATAGTTGGGTGTCGTTCAAGCAATGCGCAGGGAGTATCAAGTCCATCCGCTTTGATGAGAACGACAAAATCCTGTCCCAGCACCACCGATGCATCGTTCTGCTGGCGAATAATAGAGGCAGACGCATGTGATGGTTCGAAGGCAGAGGATGTCATTCGTGTAGAAGAGACGCGTCCGAGAGAGACCTTGACCCGATGACTTGGGGATTCCAGCTCTCGAATCACTGATCCCTTCTCCATTTGAACATCAACGGTGATAGAAATTCCTTGAAGATTGGCTGGCAGACCAAGTGGAGATAGTTGGGTAGTACTGTAAGATGTTCCAGTTCCATAACGAGGAGCAATGGTACTGGGTAGTGTGTAGCGAATGCCATCTGTCTGAGCATCTTGTTTCAACTCTCCTACGAAAGTGATGTCGACGTTAATCTTCTCGTGGGCAGGGACATTGCCGAGTCTAATGACAAAAACGTCATTCATCGAAGTATAGTCCATGACAGCAGCAGCCTGGCGTTGAGCCACCGCATTTTGGTAGTCTTTATTTGCTTGAGATTTGGTCTTCACCTTGCTATGCAGGAGACGAGATCCAACTTTGCATTCGAACCCAACAACACTGACACCATCGTAAAGAGGGAAATGATAGAACATCTCTTCGATAGCCTTGTCTGATGGATTCACAAATATCTGTGTCAAAGTTGTACGGGCTATAGAGGACAGGATAGTTGCATGGGCCTTGAGTGAGACCTGTGGGAGATACTGAGGCTGCCAGATATCGGACTTGTTCCAAAGGCAGCCACAGTAGCTGGCCATGATGGGCTATCTCAAGTAAAATAAAAGCTAGATTAATGTAGTGTTGGTGGACAGATCAAGTGAATAGACTGTTATAAACAATAATAAAAAGATAGAACAGAAAGATATTGGTACAAGCAACTTGCAAGTTTATATAGAGCCGCATCACATGTTTGCTGCCTACTCCGTAGGTACGGAGTACTGTTTTGCTATGTGGGGGTGGCCACGGGCCAGGCACAGGCCAGGATTGGTGGGATAAAAACATTGACCTTGGAAGGATTTTGAGTCATATTATTAGATTCACTGCTAATGACTGAAATACACTAGACCCTAAGTGAATTATGTGGGGTTTTGCACATACAAAGAAAAAAAATCCAAAAACCGCCCCATTGGCGCGGGTTTTCCCTGTTTCGTGCTCACTGTTGTTATACGCACGTATCCACGGTCGCAAGACTCATTCTAGTCATACCGACCTTGCAAAAACGCTGAACCCAATTCAAGAAAGGGCATTAGCTGGATCCAACTACTAGATCCCTAGTCAAGCCAACACCTAAGGAAATTGAAGGTGCTGCAAATCGACTTTTATTCCGGGCTGGTTCCGATTTTTCTGTCGGCCACAGCTAGGGCTTTATAAAAAGACTATCGAAAACCCTCAACTACATCAAAAACCTGAGGAAAAGATTTGAATAGAGAGTGAAAGTATAGAGCTTCTTTCTCTATGGTTTTATCACTTCTATAAGGTAATAGAGGAGCACAACTTCCTACCTTATACGGATGCTCAATAGCGTCAAATCACCGCCTAGCAAAGGCGGACGACCTCGTAGCATCACCCCAGTCATGCTCGAGGCTTTCTATATATATGGTTCTGGATATGATAAAAGGATAGGCCTCAGGAGAGCGGTTTGGTCCCCGCTAGGTATAACACCAGTCCAAGTGTAAAATTTTATTGTGATAAGTGATCTTAGGTACTGCTTGTGTATGCCTAAGATGGCATTGTTTTATCTCGAGTGTTCCAAGCATGATACACTGAATATATTTACTGTGTTTGCTGACCGTCTTAGCGGCAGTATCACATCTATCCTTGATGATGTCACTCTTGATCTGGGCATCCATAGCTGGCAAATAATGCCTGCAATGCCCCCGCCCTCTTGTACCTCTGGGTACAATCCTCCTGATCCATGGTATATTGATCACGAGCGCCATTCGCCAGCTCAACTAGCGAGCCGACCGCATCGCAGATGCCGCGCCCAGTTGCGGGAGAGAACTTGACAAAGAGACAGTCCCGCTGGGTTGCAAACGCCTCGGCTTCTATGTGCGACACGAGGGCTTCACCTTCACTCATGGCGGCGATCATTGTCGCAATAAAGGGGAAGACCCCGTCTTCGCAGCGGCTGCGTATCCTCTCGTAGGCGGCGACCATCTCGTCCCACGATTCCCTCGACGAAGCGTCGTACGTGAAGATGAGGCAGATATGCTGCATGAGGGAGGAGTAAGCTAGGCCACCCCCCAGGACGCTGGGCGGGCTGAACCAGACATTGTAGACGTGACCGTCGCAAAGGTAATCTGCGTCTAAGCCGCCCATAGGGTCGAACTCGTAGTAACCCTTCTCTCTCTGGAGTAGCTAATGAAACACGCGGGGTGAGCTCGGCCGGGAGTACTCAGAGCATGTTGCGCTGGGTACGTACCCTATAAAGAAGTAAGTAATCGGCGGCACCTTTGGCATTCGCGACTACAATGGACATGGACTTTGAATCGGAGGGTAGCTTGGTGGGTGGCCACTTCACGTCGCTGATATGGATAGCGCGAGGGAATGGGTCAACAATTTCGCTCTCTGCTGTCGTGGCTGGCGCTGATGGCGCGGGCTCGCTGCTACGGCTGCTACGGCTGCCACTACCACGGAGCTTGCGGAACATGATCCTGGCTTGAGACAGCATTATGGGTGATGGGTGTGTAAGGTGGGCGAGTTGAGTGGATACGGGCAATGCTCCTAATATGCCTGGGACCGAGGCACTGCCGGCCGTGACTTGTGCGGAAGCAGCCTTGACCGTGTTTCTGGCAAAAAATTTTTTTGTCAGAATTGACTGACCGAGATGTTCTGTGATAGTCTATGGTTGAAGGAGTCGGACAGCGGTTACGGAGTACCCCACATCTCCGGACGGCCCCACGGAGCCCGGAAGGCTAGAGTATGGAGATGACCGCAGCATGCCGGTGTGGGCTACTCTATATTGTAGCATATCTAGACTGAATTGCTAGTATTTTCGCTGCAAGTAACTTCTCCGCGTCGTTTCACCCAAAGACCAATGTCACGTACGAATCGCCGGGCTGCCCCTACCTTCACGCCGTGTTTGACAAAGAAAAACCTGGGTCTTGATCCTCACAAACCTACATGACTCAGGCAGTTCTCGATGGTCATATCACGTGCTTTTATGATATTATCCCTTAAAATTTCATTGCTCACCCATGATTGTTGCCATTCGGTATATTCCTCCAGCATCAAGCAGCCCATGAACGATGATTGATTTAGCACAGCCGGTCTTAGCAGGCAAGGCATCATTAGCAGGAGTAGGTACCGATTGTTGAGATGCAGCAGGGAGAGTATTGGTATTGATCGGAGAACGCATAGCGGAATTATCCAGGGGTTTATTCCGCTTTTCATGTCGCCAGTCTCCCTCGGCATACAGCTGTTCGCGAAGGCTATTGGGCATATCGTCATGGGTCTCGAGGACTCCGCCTTGGTCCACGTACCTGACGAGGACCTTCAGGTGGTGTGTCTTTGATCCGACATCGGAGTATCAATTTCCATACTTGAAGGGCTCAGTGGGGGCTTTTTTTACTAGTTTGATGATTGACGACGACAAAAGCAGTATGTAACTCGGGCTATGGCCATGCCATGTCGTATATCAACCACAGCTAAATTTCAATTTCAATGACCAGTGCTACAAAACCAGCTCAACGATTTCAGCTGATGATTTCATTAGAAGATATGCTCGGTACTACCGATTAAACAACCACCATGTCCAGTAATTTTACAACCGAAATAGCACCACGCCAGGTGCCCAACACACAGAATCGAATCCCAATGCCCATATCATACATTCCACATAGACCTCATCAATCCAATCCAAGCCTCCATATAAACACACAGCAAAATTGTACACTCAATTACAGCTTGAACTGCATCAAGTTACCGACCATCTCACGGGCAGTGATGCGTGTGGTAGCCCACAGCGTCGGGAAGTCCAGGGTGCTGGAGAAGGTATCGGCATAACCGAAGAAGAGCATGGGAGGGATCCAGCCACGGGCGTACTCGAGCGCGAAGCAAGCCTCGTCCATCTTGTACTGCTTGACCTCGCCGCGGACCAGGTGGTGCACGCTGCCAGTATTGTAGACCTCGGGCTTATACTCGCCGGGGACATAGGCGAGCTGGGTGCCGTGGAGAATGTGGAAGTAGTCGTCGGCGGTGTGGCGGCCGGTATGGCCTTCGGTTCCGATAGCGGTGCCTGCGGAGATTTCATGTGGTTAGAAGGGGAAGAGGAAATCGGATATGACTGAGTACGGGCGCGGGCGCAAAACTTACCGAAGACGATCAGGTACTCAGTGATACTGGCGTGGATCACGTACATGGCACCCATAGCGCCGCCGGCGTTGTTGAATACCCACTCCTCCTGGGTGCTCAGGTAATTGGGGCCGACCTTCTGCTCCAACTCGGCAACAATGAAGTTGACAACGGAGCGAGTGTCATCACCGTGGGCGCTGATGGCGCGCTGGGACACATCGTGCAGGTGCTCAGGGTCGAAGATGTAGAATTGCTCGAGGCGCGCATCGAGGAATCGGTAGACGGCAGAGAACAAAGCCAGGAAGATGGCGATGTAGCTCAGGGTCTTCAAGGAAAAGCAGCGACAGCGGCAGCCGGAGCTGGAGGACTTGGAGGATTTGGAAGGCATCTTGGGAATTGGGGAAGGGTCCTGGAGTCTTGAAAAAAAAGAGGCAATCGAGCATTTAAATTTAAATTTCACCCCCTGGACCCCGGAGTTCCACCCGGTGGGGCATCAAACTAAAACAATTTGAATAGTCGAAACACCCTCGCTTTTGTTCAATTAAATACTACAGTATATATATATCAATGCCTTACTCAAATGTGTCTCATTGCATAGTTCAATACATGCACCTCCCATGTGCTGGTGATATCGGTGGAGGTAAAATTGAATGATTTTGCAATGTGTTTGTATGTGTTTGCACTGTTTACTTCGGTTGACTCGTAAACAGGCCATGCCGGATGCTCGCAATCCGAATTGTCCTCACTTCTATTGGCCAATTGTCCTTGATATCTTCTTTGTCAATGATGTTGCCTACGAAGTAATCCGTACTCCGTACATTATCAGCATTCCAATAATACTAGTCCAATGATGGCTCACGTTTGATCCGTAACCAAGACTCAGAAGTTCCCGTCTGCAGAACCCGATGCCAAGAGATATCGACCTTTATCCTTCTGTTATACTACCCGAGGTTCAAGACGGAATTGATTCAGCAGATGCCGTTGTCACTAGCCGAGCTGTAACAAGGTTCCTCTGCCGGTGCCTTCTTTGAGCAACTCACTTCATTGTAACCTCCGGTGACAACCTCGCCGCCTTTTCAGGCGAGTCGGAAGCGTACGTTGCTTAGGGTCGCAACCACCATTGGGGCCCTTGGCAGGTCGTCTCGTCTCACCTCTCTGCCATTGTTGAAATCATCTACGCAGTTTCATGCGCAGTCCGGGCAAGGTGCCGAACATGTGAATCATTTCGGTGTCGTTCAGGTGTTAGTTCTTCGGTACCGAACAAAACATGTTATACGGCCTACATTCGAATGAAGGACAGACCAAATGTTCCGATGACGACGGAATCTCCATAAACAGCTCTAGATATATACTAATCACTTTTTGGGTCGAAGTCAACGGGCCATTAGGCGTATCGCTGTCTACCTGGCCTGAGGCTCTGACAGGCGATCAAGCTCAGTCCATATAAACAGTGCTTCCCTTAGGATAGAATTCCAGTGTGCATTCTCCAATTTCCTAAAACTTCGGTATAGTGCGATAAGTGGAATCGCCATCATCGTCAAGTTTTTCTAGGGGCCACAACTTCGTTCCCGAACAGATCGGGTAAGACGATTGGCGTTAGTGAGATGCTTTTAAGCCTTGAACGCAATGAGATTGCGCATGATGTGAGGGTTGGGACACAGGACTAGCTTGACCGTCTTGATGGGCGGTATGATTTAGTTGGTCAGCAAGATATAGGACCTCGGGAGATATCTGACCTGGACATGGATAATATATATTTCTGATAGATGTGTACCTGATCTCAAATCGAGTTCACGATATATCCACAGATGTATTGATCGCAGTTTCCTAGTGCATATATCCCAGCGAACCATCAACTTAAGCCACTGGGTGCCTTTTTGCGTCGCAACTTATAACCCACGCTCATCGACCTCAGCCACTACCAAAGTATAAATCCTTGTCCCCTCTCATTTCCTTTCTCCTCTCCTCAACACCCGTGACCCCAGCCTGACAACTTATTGTTCTTCACCACTCTTCCCTCCTCCCTTATTATTTCTATTAACTGTCTGTCCCTCTTCCACCCGCAGCTCGCCCCCCATGGCCCAAAAGGTAGGAGTCTCTGATGCGGTTCCGGTTAGGCTGTTAATGACACGAAGCATGTCTTGGGAGGTAAACAGTGAATAGCTTCAGCTGAGGACACCCCTATGAACCTTTGTGGATACAGACTGTCCTTTCCCATGTGCACTCCATTGCTCCGTTCGACTACCTTATGGCTCCGATTAGGCTGCGAATAGCACGAAGTATGTCTTGGGAGGCAACAGTGAGCAGCTCCAGCTGAGGACACTCCTATGAACCTTTGTGGATATAGACTGTTCTTTCCCGCTCACTCTGATTGGGCTGCTAATGGCACGAAGCATGCCTAGGAGCAAACATGCCGCAAGGCGCCCCAGAAGTGCCCTGCTAGGACGAAGGGTTGGCAACTGCGATGGCCTCTACGGAAAAGGCCGTCCTTTCCACCGTGCTCTTCAAGCCATCTTTCTGTTCTTTCTACACTGGAGATAGCCCTCCCTGACTAACGTGCTCTTTGAGCCAACTTTGAACCATTTCCACAGAGATAGCTCTCCGTTGTCCACGGATTGCCGAGAATTGGTCTTTTATTTGATGTTGCTCTTTGTTGACATGGTTGCCTGAGGCCCATCTGTTTGTTTACTCCAGGGTATGCTTGGTTGATTCCTCTCTCTTTCATACATATTCTTTGTTATTTCTGTTTTTCCCCCTCATGCTTCGGGCATTATTCCTAGCCAGTTCAATTTCAGAGTTATTTCTCTCCTTTGCTTTGCCATTGCTAGTTCTTGTTGTCCCGCTTCCTAGTCCATCCTGTTATTCTTGTGTCATTCTATTGCTCGAAGACCTCTTCCACGACGCGAATTGCTCATGGGAGTAGTTGTGTTCGTTTTATAGACACAGGAAATCCTTAACTCCTGGGTCGGCGGCTCCAGACTATTTCAGCGGCTAAATCTGGGATAGGCTCCGACTTTTGCCGTCAGCAACATGCCATGGTCAATATATCGTTATGCACTTGAAGCTTGCAGGCTAAATCAAAGGTTATAGCAGAGGCTGCATACGCGGCCAAATACTCTTTTACAGGCTAAATACAGTTATTGAGCGATGACGGCAGTGGTGCCTCCATGCCTAAGCTATGTGGCTTACGATTGAGGACATCGAACGATGGCAAGAGCCATGTGGCTTCTGCACTGTCACTTCAATTTGAAGGTCAAAATGAAGATCATCGCCCATTGAAGAACGGTGAGCATTCCGCAATCTCTGGGTTAGAGCAAATATTCAGGCTATTTTGCACTTAGTCTCTAATTTCCGGGGGAACTTGGGCTGCGTTTGCGGGGTACATATGCCTGAAGAACCGGCCGAAGTGCCAAGGCGCCGATGTGGCTGATTTGAGGTTTTTTGAACCAATCTTGACACTGTTGTCCTGGATAACACGGAAAAGTAAGTAAAATTACCCTCGGAGAAACTTCGCAGATACTCCTCGGGGCTAAGTTGACACTTTATTCAGGGGAATCTTGAAGAAATCGGACACTACCTGTTCCCGTAACAATCGCCGATTTGACTGTGTTTTAGACACAGACATCCTCCGCGACCCGCTCTGCCACGCTATTGTCTCATGTTATTTGCTGTCAATGCTCGGAGATCTTCCCGAATCGGCAGAAAAACGGCTAACGTCCTGCACAGCATGCCTCCGGTGGTGGAAAATTTCCTCCACGATGTCGAAGGAGGCGCATTTTGTGGCTGCGGCACTCTCCCCAATCCTGGTCCGGTCGGTAGCCCCATTCTCCCCTTGCAAGTCTGGGATTACCCGGCCGTTGTGGAGTCGTTCCAGTCATGAGCTCGATGGATGGAGAATAGCACGTCCCAATATGAAATTTGAGACAGGACCTCCTCCGTGCTCTATACGGAACATGAATCCACTATCAATCCAGGTTAATTTCCAAAACGGATGACATCTGAGGGAAGATGGCATATATAAACAGACCAACATCTCCCGTTCCATACGGCCAGAGTCTTATTTCCATACTAACACTTCCATCTCTCCCCTGAACATCCGATCCAACAGCCACAATGAAGTCCTTCATCGCACCTGCACTCGTCTCCCTGGCGCTTTCCACCTTGGGCAACGCTGCCTCCGTCCCTGCTAAGGCCGCTCTCACACGTCGCGCAGACTTCTGCGATCAGTGGGGTACTGCCACCACCAGCGACTACATCCTTTACAATAACCTCTGGGGCCAGGCCGATGACCCATCCGGCACCCAGTGCACTGGACTCGACTCCGTCAACGGCAACACCATCGCATGGCACACCTCATGGTCGTGGGCCGGCACCGCGTGGCAGGTCAAGAGCTATGCCAATGCCAAGCTGCAGTTCACTCCTAGAACTCTGAGCGCTGTCAACAGCATCAAGTCCGTCTGGAAATGGAGGTAAGCTTTGAGTGGTGACACATGGATACTTTACAATGAACATCTCCGCTAACCATGCTCTCGAATAGCTACTCCACCACCAATGTCGTCGCCGATGTCGCCTACGATATGTTCCTCAGCTCTACTGCTAACGGCAGCGAGGAGTATGAGATCATGGTGTGGCTTGCTGCCTACGGTGGTGCCGGCGCCATCTCGTCTACCGGCCAGCCCATCGCTACTGTCACTATCAGCGGTAGCGTGTGGGATGTGTACGTCGGTCCTAATGGTGCCATGACCGTGTACAGCTTCGTCGCTAAGTCTCCCATCACGAGCTACTCCGGTGATCTCTTGGACTTCTTCAAGTACCTCCAGACCAACCAGGCTCTGAGCTCCAGCTTGTACTTGATCGCTGTTCAGGCTGGCACTGAGCCTTTCACTGGCAAGGCCAGCATGGCTGTTTCTTCTTACTCTGTCTCTGTTGTTTAAACAGCCCGTTAGGTTATTTTTAACAAAAGTGTGTGGTCGGGGGTTTGGATGGGGAGATGGTAGTATATCGTTAAGAAATGGAATAAATCCAGAATTCAATCCAACCCCAATTCTACAAAACAACAGAGTGAGCGATAATTCCAGACTTGTTCCAATAATAGATTCATAATTATTGTGATGTCAAGACACATGGGCACACTGTCACCCTACTAGTGCCATGTTGTATGTACTCCGTACATATTTACGGTCGCATCCTCCGTGTTTCACACCAACACGACGCATCAGCCATACAACATCACATCACCAACACAATCTCTAACCGCCCACCCAACACTGAAACAAGCAGCCCTATGGTCTTGAAACCGCCCCATCCCAAGCGCTTAGCTCTAGGGATCACAACGGCCCACCAACAATGATGCAGCCCGGTCCACGGTGGGAACACCAACACATGGAAAACAAAGAGTGATGTACTTTGTGTAAACCAACAACAAAATCAGCCACTCTCAACCAACCGTATAACCAACACTCCCAGCGGCGATACGCCCAGATGAAACGAGGCGCAGCCTCACACCAACATTCCAACATTCCATCTCGTCTAGTGATTCGGCTCAGGCGGAAGGGCGGGTGACGACCCGCGTACACAATCCCAGCATGGGGGTCCGGGGAAGTAAAAACGCAGGTCCAGCGCGCGTGGAGAATTCTAAGAATAACCTCAAATGCTCTAGTATACTGCATGAGAATGGAGAATACATAAAATTAGAAACGCGAACTGTAGCGCTTCCAACATGTTGGGATTGTAAGCGCTGAGCGGGAAGGCGGGAAGAGAGGGGAAAAGGCCCAGGGGACCGGCGCTTATATAGATGCATATGCAGTGTGTTCTGTGTATTCTGTCTTATTTTAGGGTACGGAGCAGCTTGTACTAAGTCCACCAAAGTCACGCTAAGAGGTGCTATGCACGGAAGATTGCATGCATCCCACGGCCTCGACTGCATTGGCCGGGGAGAAAAAAAGAGGTTGGGGAATCGATAGATCGACCTGAAGATACGGGAACGGGGAGAAAGGGGAGGTCGGAAGGATAATAATATGACCTCCCTAATGTGAGGTGGATAGATTCTTCGGATAATTTGAATCTGGCACTCCGTACTCCGTAGATAAATTCCCTACAGGAGGTCATCAGGCATAACCCCTCGAACACGCTAGACTGGCACTGTGACAGGGGGGGGGGGGTCAATTTGGGATCCAATGAGAAGGGTGGAAATGAATAAAAGGACTGTGAAGCACTAAAGCAGTAAAATAGTGAAAGGACCACTTGACAGGGATTCGAGGCGTGTGTCTCGCCCCATGGTGATCAGAGCGGAAACCGACAGGTTTCGAGTGATTGGGCACTAACGCGAGTTCACGGCGCCAAACTGAAATTGCCACCATTTTTTTTTTCAGCTGAGGTCTGTCTTTGGTAATGACTGACTTGTTGGTTTGTTGGTTTTGTTGGTTTTACTGGTTAATTTGATTTGTAGAAGAGATTAGGCAGTAGAGTAACATTATTAACATGAGATGGCTAGATAGGAGAGTTACTATTCTGGTACGTGTCCAAGGTCCAAAGAATGGAATGAGCGCGTAGATGAGACGTGAGTTTCATAGTAAATAATTGAACCGGTGATCATAGATCGGGGTTTATGAAGTTGTACTTGCGATATTACGCCCTTGATTTGTATGTATAATGTAGAAATCCTATCACACTACATCAATAAACCAAGTTGGATAAAGCCCGAAGGTCAAAATACCAACAGTAAATGCAAGAAAAATGATGTTCAAAACCCTCTATTGGATGGATCTAGGGATAATAACGCACAGGTACAATAATAGTCTATCAAGTGTACATCATTAACGTACCCCGTTTTGAGCTTTGAACAAATCAGCTCACTTTCTCTCGTCTCAGACCTCCGCGCGCGAAAAAAGGTTGGAGTATCTTAGATCCAACTATGCAGGTTCGCTCTCTTCTACCCCTGCGCTTGGCCTATTTTCTGTCACTTCTAACTGGATGACTGGTCCTTGCAGGGGAAGCCGTAATCCCCCCCTCCGACTCCCCTCTGGCGCATACCAGATACTATAACTAGAGAGGTATTCCGCCCAGATTCTTCACGAGATTCATCCACATGCTCAACGCCGTCATCATTTCTTTATAATACCCTATTCTATTTGATCATTCGGCTTTCTATAATAATTTCACCCTCAGAAACATTATTTCCGATATATTGTTTACTTACAGTTAACTGTGGGTTGTGTCTCGAATAAATATCCGTCAAGCCAGGTCTCAGTTTCTGTGAAAACCTCAGTTAGGGCTATCGATAGTCGTTGACACGACAACCCGAACTATCCCATCCTTACTTGCAACATTCTTTTTTTTGAAAAGAAACTACTTCATCTGAAAGTTATCCTGCTGGTCAGGAATTTGCTTTTCTCTGGACATTGTGAACTTTGATCTGATTTACGTCTTTACATCACTTTGTATCGACTCGCATCTGATACCCTCCCCCCAAACACACAAAGACCTTTGTCTTCGCTTTTATCTCAACCTTGAGTTCGATTGTCCCGAGACAATTCATTTGTGCCTAGAAAGCATCTTTGATCGCTGCCTATTTGTCAACATATTTAATTCCCATCCTCGACCCTTCCTCTCCTCCGACAACCATCACTATCATATCCTTCAATCACAATATGGATTCATTGTCACTCAACAGAGCAGCTCTCGATGAGTTTGTCACCACCAGAGTCACTCGGGAAATGGTGGCTCACCTGGCACAACAGGCAGCACAAGTCATCCGCTGTGAGGCTCATGTGACCAACACAGTCAACCAGAATGGCCAACCTACACCTCCATCTACTCCTCCGATGGAGCCCTCTAACCTACCTGCCCTTCCCTCAATCGAGGACTTCATCGCCTCACTTGTCGCTCGGTCGCAGGTGCAGGTACCCACTCTCATGAGCTGTCTCGTGTACCTCGGTCGTCTGCGCTCGCGTCTGCCACCTGTCGCAAAGGGCATGCGCTGCACTGTTCACCGCATTTTCCTCGCCTCTCTCATCCTTGCCGCCAAGAACTTGAATGACTCCAGCCCCAAAAACAAACATTGGGCTCGCTACACCGCAGTGAAGGGATTCGAAGGGTTCGGGTTCTCTCTCCCCGAGGTCAACCTCATGGAACGCCAGCTCCTCTTCCTTCTCGACTGGGACCTGCGCATCACTGAGCAAGACCTCTTTACCTATCTCGAGCCATTTCTCGTTCCCCACCGCCAGCGCCTGATCGCACAAGAGCAAGAGCGTCTCGCCGAAGAAGAGCACCGCCACAAACAACAACAACACCGTGAATGGTATGCAGGAGTCCCATTCTATAATCTTTTGTTATGATCACAACTAACCCACCTCCAGGCGCCGTCTCCACGCATCAGCAGATCTGCTGGCCAGTCGCCTCCGCCGCCAAAAGCTTGAAGCCCGCGGCGAGGCCCGTCGCTCAAACGACAATTCTATCCGCCGTCTGCCAAGTCATGTCTCATGCCCAAGCATGCACAACACCCACTATACCGCACAGAGTGTCTCTGAACATGATCGCTACAACCCCTACCAGCGCCAGCGTGCATCTCCCAACCGAGCCAACCGCTCTATCTCTCCACCATCCGTCCGCGATGTACCAGCGCTCTCACACGCAGAGACATTCAACTCTCTCTGCTCGCGCTCATCCAGCGCCGCGCCCAGCTCAAGAGGCACACCAGCTTCCATCAGCACGGTCTCATCCCAGGGCATCGATGATCTCATGCTCACGGACCCAAACAGCAGCCCGTCCGCAGCCTCTCCGAACTACAGCTACGTTCACGTCCCCCACCTCGAATCAAAGAAGTCCTTCGAGCCTATCCGCCAGCCATCCAAGAAGCTCAAGACCAGCAGCAACGCGCACAGTGGCGGCTTCGTCGCTCGCTTCCTGGCATCGGCGACGAGCTCTTACATGGGTGGTCGTCGATCTCACTAAATCGAGCCGGTTCTCGATTCATTTTTCCTATTTGTTTTTCTTTTAGCAATCTGATCTTTACTTAATCACCGATGCTACTCACGCATCTCACCTATTTCCTATTTTTCCTGATATATCTCCTATCTCACGCACCACAACTCCTATGAACTTTTATTTCCTTTCCCCATTTCAATTTCCATATTCCTGCTTTTACAAAAAAAAAAAGCTGTTCACACGTTGATACGCACATCTGCCAATACCCTCCTCGCTCTCAATGCCCTTGATGTTAACATATGTCTAACACCTGTGTATGAGCCTGACTCTGTGAGAGCTGTGATCCTCTCTGATTTTCCTTTCGTCGTTTATTTATTACACTCGCTACTGCATCTGCCTCGCGTGAGACTCCGGCGTTTGTATGTCTTTTCTCTGGTATCTTTATGCTTATGGTCTACGTTTCACTCGTTATTTACTCCATGGACGCTATTCAAGAATTACTACGCTTAGACTTTTTATTTACGCTCGCGCTCGATCAACGTTGGACTTTTGATGTACTTACCTCCTACTTGGACAATGAAACTTGACACTATTTTGGATCTCCTTGTAAAATACTGTGATTCTAGAGCCCTGGAAATGTAGTCATAGTAAGAATATAGTGTCTGTACTCCTTGCGCATCCGTCCAGGGTCCTATATTGCATACCCCTTCCCATCCCCTCATCTCCCTTGCACGTACCTACCAATAACCTTATTCCAAGCCTCAGTCATAGCTTTAGTCTCCTTCTTCCTAAAATAATCCCCTATCAGCATCCCCTATCATCCTCCCAGCCTTCTAGGGTCTATCCTTCCATATCCTCAGCCACTGAACATCCTCCAAAACCTCCACCCCATGCTCAATCTTGGGAAACTACCAAGGGAATACTGCAGTAAGGGAAACAAAAGTATTCTGAAAATTCCCAGGAATCTGCCTACGGAGAAACGATCCAAAGTGAGCATAAATGGAAAGCTCAGTTTAGATATTGAAATCCCAAACCCTCATAGCTCAGGGACGTCTTCTAGGTAGAGTGACTTTAGGTTGTCAAATCACAGCTACCATGTAGGTAGGCTGTGCTGAAGAACTGTCGGGTGAGTCACGAGCTGACCACATTGTGTAACCTCACCATGACTAATGGGGTTCTGCTTTTTGTACTTCCATAGACCTTCCCTGACTTTTTCCTTCTCTTCTTTCCCGTATTTATAGTATCTTCAATTGCTTTGCTGAAAGACCTACAATTCTAGGAACATTACATTCGAGATATCTTCTAGATATGTCTTATGTATGTTTCAGATATCCAGGATAAAACCATTTTCGATGTTCCCCGAGACAAAACCTGGCTCACATATGAGCACAATATTTTCGGGTATCTTCCAGCCTCGTGAGAATCTTGTGCATAGTGCGCCGTAAATTGGCTGCAGCTTGTGTCGCAGGGCATTTGGAATACAACAGCCAAAAATTTGCCCAGAAGACTGAAGATTATTTTTGACTCTTGGAGTCGATTTACACCGAACGGTACGATTCTATCAACAATAATACTGCATACTCAAGGCTCTACTCAGAGTAACAACTAGAACAACAACAGCCCCAGCAACCAGAACGAAATCAATCATTCGAAGAAATTCAACCTCCAGACGAATTACATGATTTGAAACATACGATGCTCTAGGTAATCACTTCGCGACCAACTGTCTGTTGAAAACCAGCAATGCTTCAGCCTGTTCAACAATGTTTCAACCTTCTCGAAAACTTCAATAGGTCCCAGTTCCTGTGCCAGGTCAGATCATTGGCCAGGTTGACAGCAATGAAAAAATCCTCTAGAATCAATGTCAAAAGCGACTTCACGTACTATTTAAACGTGGCTGCATACTGAGCTAGGCGGGGTTATGGGGGTACAAAAGCATACATGTATGCCCACTAAATTGAAGTGAACCACAAAATCGCCCTAACACATTTGACGCAGCAGTTTCCTGTTAAATTGCACTGGATGAAAAGCTTCAGTTCGCCTACCCGATTTTCAAGGTGAACCTCCAAGGGTTCAAGATACCTTGCTTATTAAGGTCTCTGTCAGTACTTCAGGTATCATGATTTCTACCCGTCTAAAATCAGGCATAACTCGGGCATCAACCTCCAAACTACCAGGCTTGACGATGGCTGACATACCTCTTCGCACTGCGGCTGGAGACAAACAAACAATCTTGTATGATGTTATCTCCATACCATCAGCCAATCTTCCCCTTCGCAACTTACGAACACCCTGCCAAAGCTCAAATGAGTATTCCCAGGACATCTAAATCAGGTGCTAGGCACTTCGCCAAGGCGTAAGTAAGCTGAAATTCCATAAAAGGCATGTCTTAACATTTATATCTGCCCAGCATGGTTCCACTCTACCACGGCCCTCTCATCGAGATACGACTCGAACCTAGCGGTCAGGAATACACGATCTCGAGAGACCTGCTCTGCACAGAGTCACCAGTCTTTTCGGCGATGTTCAAGTCCGAATTTCGAGAGTCCCAAGAACAAACAGTAACCCTACAAGAAGAGGCAGGCATCATCTCGACACAGGGTGTCGAAGCACTGATCCAGTGGCTATACCTTCGGGTTATCAATTTCGATATCGACGACAATAGTAACCATATCTCGGCTGCTATAGAGCTCGCAAGGCTTGCGGATAAGTACGGTATTATCATTGAGATAGAATCTTATCTGGCCGAAGATATCAAGAGAGTCATTTGCACCGCTCCCTGGGAGAAGAACTACTGGCTCACAACTCAGCACCTTGTTTCGGGGACTTTGCTGCCTCGCGACCACCCGGTGCGCCGTACCTTAGCTGCAGCTTGTGTCCAAGGGTATCTTGAAGGCAAAACCCACAAGTTTGCCCAGGAGGCTGCGGAGCAGCCCAACTTTGGAGCTGATCTTCTCCGAGAGGTGCGGCTAGTTCTGAGTGCGCCAAACGGGCCCGTTGGTCAAATCAGTTTCAGAGATCCTATCGACAACAAACCGATTTATCTGGGCAAGGATTGAGCGGCATCCAGTGTGAAGGCAATGCGGGAGCTCAGTATTTCTCGGGGACTTGAGAAGCTACGGTGTGGGCAATAGTATAGGGTTGGGATATCGGAATTGGCACACAACCGCATTCAGTTAGCTTAGGTAAATGATTGAAGAATTAATTCGGATGTCTATATTTTGCAGCAAACACCTCTTTTGGCTAACAGTACACTGAATTACGCTGGGTTGTCGTTTGTAGTCATAGCACAGTAGACGAACAAATGACATTGAAGGTCATTGTAGAAAGCAACATTAAAGACCATTATAACTCGTCAATCCTCTCCTTAACACCTCACTGCCAGTCTTTTCAAACAGGGGATTCATCAAAGTTAAAATGAGTATGATATCTCAAGCAAGCGCTGAGGAATTCGCAGCAGCGTTAGTAAGGTGTTACTCGACCATGGCGTACACTGTCTAACACTATACCATTTCCAAAGGATTTCTCTGCGCAGAGTCACCTGTTTTCTCGGCCATGTTATCAGGTCATTTTCGAGAGAGCCGAGAACAGATAGTGGACTTGGAAGAAATGGAAGGAGTTATCTCTATGCAGAGTCTGGAAGCACTCTTTCAATGGCTGTATCTCCGTTATATCAAGTTTAATATTCAAGAGCCCGGGAAGCATATTTCGGCCATAATAGAGCTTGCAAGGCTTGCAGACAAGTACGAGATTACCGGATTGGAATCTCAGACTGCCCGATATATCAAGAAAATAATTCTTGCCAATCCAGATCCCGACGACAATGACCGAGTGGATGTAACTAACAACAACACCCTTTGGATAGGACGTGAAGACATTATCTCTGGAATTCTCTTGCCTGGTGGCCATCCGGGTACGCCGGCTTTTGGCTGCTGCCTCTGTTGGGGGATATCTTCAAAGTGAAACCCACAAATTTGCCGCACTAGCTCAAGAATATCCTCAATTTGGAGTTGACCTCCTCCGTGAAGTAAGGCTAACCTTGAGCATACTGTGCCCCAATCGCAGTGCTACGTTCACAGACCCTATCAGCGGGAAATTAAGGAGTCTGGACAAAGATTGAATTAGACCACTGAGAGGGCTGAGAAAGCATGAGTGCATACAGGGAATTTGAACACTCCCAAACAGGAAGCATTCGTTGCAGGTGGGCGCTAAAGCATTGGGATTTCTTGTACTGAAAGGTTGCTGGGTGTTATCTGGGGCCGGACTGCTATGTATCTAGGGATCTTGTTGAAAGCCTCGGATTGGTTGAAAATTACGCATATGCCAGGGTAGCCAAGGAATGTCCTAAATTCGGAACTGACCTCTAGGCTAACCCTCAATGCTCTGAGCCTGTCTTACAAAGCTACTTTCAGCCTCATTAGCGGGAAACAAAAGAATGTGAATAGGAGAGCGCTGAGCGAGAGTGAGTGAATCTGGAGAATCGAAGCCTTTGAAATTGGAGGAATCGCAGACAGTTATCGAATTTTGTACGGGGTAGTTAGGTGCTATTTGGAGCAGGACTACTATGCATCTACAAGCAACCATATCAGCCCGGGAAAGGAGTGGAGGTATAAAATAAAAGATTGAAATCAAACGCCACCCAGTCCAAGAAGCAATAACCGCACTCTATTGAGATAAGCCAGCCCATGGTAAATAAGACAATGTTGAAATCAAGTCAAATAACAAGAAAGGTCCAAAATCCAGGCAATGCTAGCTGTTTCGTTACTCGTGATCATCTTAATGCAAATCGCCGCTCTGACAGCTCTATAGAGCCGGGCTCTCCCAGTACTCGCGCTTGATCCTCATGATGGCAGAGTGCTTATGCGGGAAGCTGACCTCGCCTTCTTTGTAGAAGCCTGCTTCTTGGAGGTAATTAATGAGTCTGTCAGAAGTTAGCACCTTAATTTTCCTTGCCTTCCTTTCCTTCGGCAATAATGCCAGTTGTGCAACTCACTTGAGATTATCAACCCGCGGCTCCAAAACCACAGATTCAGTCCGCAGATCCGCCAAGAAGCAATGATGCACCAACGCACTCAACCACACCGCAACCCGATGCGCGCCCCGGAACTCCTGCTCCCCAACAAGCAAATGAATACCCCGATCATAATTTCCCACATGGTCCACAAGTCGTCCCAGTGGATCTTCCTTAACCCAGTAGATCTCAAAATACCCAAATGGCTTCCCGTCCCAACACCCGATGGCAGGGAAACTGTGTCGACTAGTCAGACTAGCCAGCAGGAACTTCTCCTGCACAGGCCTTGGTCCACCTTCGGCCCACATCGCCTCCACCCGCGGCACATTCATCCACCGATGCAGCGTGTCCAGATCAGAGGAGATATCCTCCGTGAGATGCTGCGCGATGCTAGTCACAGAATTACTAACAGGCGTCCCGGGCCGACTACCAGACCCAGAGCTCTGCGACGTCATCGGCACAAACGCAACGCGGAAAGAGAGATACTGGCTCAGACTCGGGATGTAGCGCACGTAGAAGACTTCGCCCTGGTGCGGCGGTTTCGGACGCACGGGGTGCCGCACCCCGTTCGTCGAGGTGAACTGCATTGGCGGTGGCGGGTAGTATGTTGGTAAATGGCTGCCGGACGTAAACGGTCCTACCGAGGTGAACTGGCCCATATTCGACGTGTGGAAGGTTGCCTCCATGGGTGCTAGCGATGTCGTCGATGCGCTGGATAGGCCTTCGGGCGTGGGCGACCCAGTGCCCGACCGGTAGGGCGGTGTTGATGCAGTTCCGCGCGGGGTCAATGTGAAGAGGAAGAGACGTGGGTCGAGCTGCCAGAAGCTGCGTCGGCTTACGAACATCGATGTCCAGCTGCTGCAGTCGCGGGATTCGACGGGTTGCAGGCCGACGGAGGAGTCTTCGGTCGCGATTAGACCCATTCGTTCCAGCTTTTGGAGCAGGTTCCGGCCTTTGAAGATTCCCTCGCGCTTGACGTTGATCCGCCAGTCGCCTTTGGGCTGTCCGTCGCGTGGGGTCCTGCTTGATGCGGCGGTCTCCACGTGCAGGTCTGGTTCTGGCTCGTGGAAGTACCACCATAGAGTTGCCCAGAGCATCATGGCGATATGGCGTGTGGGGGAGGTCACGGCCTTGAAGTCGCTGGATGGTGGGTTGACTATATACGAGATGTAGAGGGAGTCGCGGGTCAAGGTGGGGGTAGTGAAACGGGTGAAATTGTCGTCATCTGCGCGGGGCTTCTCTGAATCTTGACCCCCTTCCTGCTCTGTCTTGGGAGGTTTCGCGGTATTGATTATGATTGTCCAACCTGGTGGGAATGTGGACTTGTGATGTATGTTGAAGTCGGTGGATTTGAATGTGACACCACCAAAAACGGGTGATACGTCAAAAGTGAGCCCATTGGGCAAGCAGCAGGTAGTGTTTCGCATGGTGAAGATATCTTGCGGTTTTCTGGGGAATCTCGAGACTTATAGGAAATAGTTTTTTTTATCCCTGCTTTGGCCCCTCACTGCGCGGGGTGAAGACTCGTGCGCAGCTCAAGATCCAATATTAATAGCTGGATTGGTAATGCGAAGTTGGAGCCCACAAAGAAAAAAAAAAGGGAAGTCCAAAAAGTTACATGACAGGTGACGCAGACCATCAGCCCACTATGTATAAGCTTTTTTCCGATGATTCAACTTTGATTGCAGTTATATACTACATACTATATACTATATATACTATACTATATATACTATATAGATTACTTATTTAAATGTTATTTCATACTACAATCAACTCTATAGCTGTATTTCCATCTTGTTCAAATGTCTCTTAATTTAAGATATTGTGGCTCTCCGGGGCGATCTGTTGATCTTCAAGCATTTCCTTGGAACAACCCATAGAAGTCCAAAGAAGACCAACCAATAGGAAACAATGTAAAATAAGCAAAAAGGTATCGAATAAAAGTCATCTGGGCAGCAAAAGTCTCAAGAATATCAAAAGTCACAGTATTAATGCAAAGGAAAAAAAAACCTCCAGGGCTCAAACCTCAAAAGTCCTCCACTGTCGTGCCCAACTTCCGCTCCCGTGCCAAGCGCACCAAATCTCCGCCAGTCACGAGATCCATCAGCCCAAGCCCAACGGATTTGTAAATGACATTTCCCCGCTGGGCCCATTCACGCAGGCCCTTTTCCTCATCCACAGTCGCCGTTTCACGGGTAGAATCACGAATCATTAGTAGCTCGCCTAACTCCACAACTTGTTTCGGCTTAATTCCGGCTTGAATAATCTCACCCGCCTCTTTCATGGCCGCGTCTAGGCTATCCACTAAGATCACACCACTACGGTGAACATGCTTGTACCAGCCGCTATGCGTAGCTTGCATGTTGACCTCATCTCGGAGGATCTCCGGGTGGATCTCGGTCATATGTGCCTTGTATGATCCAATTGCACAAATTAACCGGCCCTTTTGACGGCCTTCGGGCGAAGTGAGGTACTCCGCAGGGAAAAGGGGCTCCGACGAGGGAGTACAACAGAAGATCGCGTCAGCCTTGCGCACGTGCTCCTTCAAAACACGACTATACTCGCCGAAATCGGTGCTGATGGCGGAGAACTTGACATCTCTGCGCCATTTGTTGTTTTCGGACCGATAGATCTCCTGCAGGAGTTTGGCTGCGCGTTCGAAGGATCGGTTCACAATGTATACGCGGCGGATATCCTCACCACGGAGAACCAACGCCAAGCGGATGTGCCAGTAGGCCTGGGTGCCCGCTCCGAATACAACGATAGTGCGCACCTTCTTGCGTCTGTTGAACATCATCAACGATGCCAAGGCCGTGCGGAATGCCGTCAGCTCATGGGCATTGATCAAGGCGAATGGCAGACTTTCGTCATCTAGAAGCGTCACACTACCGCGGGGCGATGTGTCACGAGTTCCTGCGGCTGGCCAAGCGCCAAGAGTTTTAGAAATGTTCGAGGTCACATTTTGCTGATTAACACAGCCAGTGAGGAGGGTGGAACTCTCCGTGCTTGATCCTGCCGCACTGCTATCATTGGCGGTAGTGACAAGGCTGTCCTCCTTATCCTCCTTATCCTCCTTATCTTCTTGGGAGCCCACCGACAGGTCACTCAAATCGGAGGATAAGGAAGCCACGGAGTTCCGGAAAGAGCCTCGTCGGCGCGAGGAAATATATTCCTTCCCCTGGGCATCCACAGTATCCTGTTCAATAGCACAGCCGGCAGCAGCCCCGTCCTGCAGGGAAATCATCTTGATGCCGATTGTCTGGCCTGTGCTGGCGGGCATGAAGAGGGTGGTGCAGCCATTCTGACGAGTAATGGCGGTTCGCTGGGGTTGGTAGGCTGCTGAACAACCCTTCTCCTGGGATCCACTGGAGTATTCTCGTAGAGCTTCAGCGAGGTTGCGCTGCAGATTCTGGATCTCGTCGCGAGAAAGCGCGTGTAGCAGCTCGCGGAGCTGCGATCGGGAGAGGATGGTGAGCGGCATTAAGGCGGTTCGTGCCCGGAAGACAAAAAGGAGGGTGTAAACGAGTAGTGGGATGGAGGGGAAAGAAAGGAAAATCTGCGAAGGAGTTCCAGTTAGCCAAGACAAGGCAGTCCCAACCCACGCCTCTGCCAAGATGTGAAACACCCTACAGCCTATTATTGTACACACACGGTATCCGGCGCCAAGTACTAATGGAGTTAAAACAGGGGCCTTGGAAGTCCCGACCGAAATAACTCTCGGAGGTCGGAGAGAGCGAGGTTGCCTTCTCCGATGATGACGACAACTGCTTATGAGGTGGGGGAGGAGCGGGGGGAGATCAGCAAAAAGTTGATTAAACGATCAGGAATTGTGACTCAACAATTGAAGACACAGTTTCAGATGACAATTATGGAAAGTCTCAGTTAAAAGAGGAGAACTTCTACTTCGTACAAAGTACATTATAATCAAAAATATCAAAGATGATAGCGGCAATCCCTGCTGCATTCGGGGATGCGCAGCCAAGCCCAATGCGGAAATTTGTATACGCCACTGGTAAGGCGGATGTATGCCTAAGGCCAGAATCAGATAGCCTTTAAGTTCTTCGTATTCGTTTGGCTTGGCCTCCTCCAGGGATGTTCTCAAGATATTTTTAGTTTCATTTACATTTCAATTCTCCTATATCATTGGATTTTGCCACTGTTGTACGAAGAGATGGCATACAGTCAAAAGCGAAATTACTGACACGACTACCCAACTAGCCCCGGGCAGCATGCGCAATTCGTGAGCAATTGACATGTCTTCTTAAATAAGAAAAATATATATCTTGAAACGCCTTTATGATTCTAATAAAATATATAAAACAAATCTCGGCATCGGCTGCCGAACGCCAATGTCGGGCACCTCACCCGAGATGCATGAGTCAAGAGATAGCCAACCCCTCAACTCAGAACACACAATTAACCCTCTCTCTCAGTATCTAGAATATCATCATGGCTTCAGGACAGACCCTCGGATTCATTGGATGCGGTAAGCAAACATAACCATCAATAGTAAACCGCCACTAACAATGCCCTCAAGGTAACATGGGAGGCGCCGTCCTAAACGGCCTCCTAAACAGCGCATTCTCAAGCAAAGACACCTCAACCACGCCTAAGCCAATAACCCGCTTCATCGCCTGCACAAAAACAGCCAACTCAGCATCCCGCCTCCAGAAGACAATCGCACCAGAGCACCAAGAACTAATCAAAGTCGTCTCCGACAAAACTGTGCAAACAATGCAAGAATCCGAGATAATAATCCTCGGCTGCAAGCCCTTCATGGCCGAAGCCGTTCTAGGCGAAGAAGGCGTCCGCGACGCCCTCGCCGGAAAACTAGTCATCAGCATGCTCGCAGGCCCAACATGCCCAGCCCTAACCCGTCTCATCAACCCAGACAACCTCGCGGATTCCCCGCACCTCATGAAAGCCATCCCGAACATGGGCGCGCAGTTCGGGCAGTCGATGACGATCATTGAGACTCCTGCGCCGACGATCCCGCAAGCCATGGTTGAGACCACGGAGTGGATTTTCAAGCATGTCGGTGCGGTTAAGTACCTAGGTCCTGAGCAGATTGGGCTAGCGACTGTGCTTGTTGGTGCGACGATGGCGACGTTGACATTGCCGATTGAGGGGTTGTTGGATGGGTGTGTTGCGGAGGGATTTAAGAGGGCTGATGCGATGGAGTTGGTTTTGCAGGGAATCAGGGGGTTGTCGGCTGTTTTGGAGTCTGGACAGCATCCTGCCGTTGTTAGGGAGAGTATTTCTTCACCGAGGGGGTGTACTATTCAGACGCTTTTGAGTCTTGAGAAGGCCGGGACGAGGTCGGATTTTGCAGAGGCTATTGTTAGGGGGAATACGCATTTGAAGGAGAAGATGTAGATGGACAGAATGGGGATTTAGATCTGAAAATAGAACTATACAGCCAGTGTATTTATGTGTGAACATTCCCCTGTAGATATGCTTGAACGCCTAATTTCCCCAATTTAACCCGTTTCCCCGGATTATCATCCCCAGATATCATCATCATCCTTGACTAAATCGTCTTCGTTCAATACTTGCAGTCCATTACCACGCTCTTCGCGCTTCCGTTGTCGCTTTGTCACCGTGCGCCCGGGGGTAAAGGGCGTTACAGGAGTAAACGGCATGTACGGACTGTACGGTGTAGCCATGCCCGTGACAGGAGCTAATCGGTTCTTCACCGGCCGTTCCAAGATAGTAGTCTTGGTAGCCGGGGCACTTTGGGGCGGGTACGCCTCACGGAATGGCAGATTGGACGGGACAGAGGTAGAAGGTGAGGGAGTAGACAGGGTTAGAGGCGCCGGTGGACGGGCGCGTCCAGGAGGAGGCATGAGTGACTCCTTCGCCTGGGGCCGCGGCACCACTGGAGGTGGACCGGGGTTATAAATCCGCGGGGAAAGAGGCGGGTCTTCGTGCATATATGCTCGAGGCGTAGGCACTGCTGGTGAGGCTAGTGGGGAGGAGATGGACATTTTGCGGGTAGCCAGACGTGGCGAGCGCACTTTACTCGGGTCTGGGTTGGCGCGGGAGCCAGTGGTGAAGAGCTTGGATAAGCGGGAGCTGTTGAAGCCCTTGGTGGGGGACTTCAATGGTGCCAATGATGCCAATGGTGCCAATGGCGCCAATGAATTATCCGATACATGGGAGCCACGGTCAGTGAACGGATTTGTGATTTGACTGTCTGGCGATTGTGCTTGGAAGTCTTGTTCGCGGATGGACAGATCACCCCCCGAAGCTTTTTGGGCGTCGTGTTCCATGACCGCCGCGTACAGCATCTCCATATCATTCTGGGCTCGTTGTCTGTCGTTCGCAACGATGGACTCGTCGATGGTCAGCATGCTGCCGTTCATGGATGGCTGGGAGGGCCTGGCACTCCTGTTCAACGATCCCCAGGACTTGAATCCTCCCGACTTGGGACTGGGGAGGTTGTGTGACATTGGAGAGACTGGGCTGGGATCCATGCTGACGGGAGGCCTGGTAGGCTTCAGAATTTCCATATGCAACGTATAGTTAGACGACTGAACTGTCCGACGCAGACGACGTCCGATGAAGAGAAGTAGAGCTAGGAGGACAGCGACGAAGATTACATAGGCGCCCACAATGCTTCCAATTTGAATTGCTAGCAATGGCTTGTCAATTGTTGGGGGCGCGGCTGAATTGGACCTGTGTTGGATGTTCTGGGCCTGGACCGGAACACCATATGCAATCAGAGTAAAAAGGACAGGCAAAAAAAGACAACCGGAGGAGTCATTTCCGGTGACTCGATTACAAAATATAGGACAGGAAAAGGATTTTAAAAGTAGGTGTAGTCAGTGATCGACATTTCGAAACGGTGAATCTCACGGGGGTTTGAGGTGATACTTTGGGGTGATACATGTTCCAAAGGTGATGGGGGCCGCACGGGAGGGGTCACGTATAAGAAGCAGCCATAGGATGTGATGAGGTGAAGAGAAAGTCAGTGCAAGCCCAGTGCAGGGTCAGTGCAGGGTCAGTGCAAGGTCAAGGCATTCGAGTTAGCCTGTCGTTGGTCACAAATACGCGCCCTCATGCACGATCATCACTTGGCGGCGACCACTCACAGGGGAGAACCCTAACTTTTGCCAAAAGTCCTTTTTGGCCTATTTTAGAACATTTTCAACTTATGATGAGGATACTCCGTGCATTGGAATATTCTTAGATAGACTTTGCTCGAAAATAAAGATCATTTGGATATACTAGAATCTCGTAAGTAGGATTGATTCCTCGAAGTATACGCAAGTGCATAGTGAAAATCAATTCGTATCACCTACAGTGACGAGCATCTCTGAGAGAAGCTTTTGGGACTGAATATGAAGGAGATTATTCTATTATAGTTGAAAATTAAGATACAATATGTATAGCTTTGTCGAGGATATCTCTACCTTTTAACATGTATTTTCTAAATAGATAATTCTACTGAACAACTCGAACCTACCCTGTCGTTGCTCTTTCCAAATAGCATATTTATGACTCCTACTCCAGGATCACTCGTCAACCTGACAAGATGAACTCATACTCATCCATCACTTTCAAGTACCTTATACAATATCGCTTCAAAAGTTACAGTTCTTGTTATATCATCACATCCAACACTTTATCCCAATACCCGAATGGGCAATAAAGTCTCCGCAGTGAATGGCGTAAAGTCAGACCATTTCTACGACCAAGGCAACGCCGTCAATGAGATCTGGGTGGGCGACGTTGAAGTCATCTCGCGTTTACCCTTCGGTGATTCCGACCTCGAACAAGCCGGCTGGCCTCCAGGAGGCTTCCCAAAGATCCCGTGGCATCATTTCATCATCCCCATGCATAAACGAGACGAAGCAAGCGACATGACTTCCAACCCTTCCTCGGGGGATACGAATGCGGCTCATTATACTTGTCAGGACTGGCTACCAAAGGATGGCTACCTGGGCATGTACACGGGCGCCAGCCCGGATTTTGCGTATTTTGCCGGAACTGTGTTCCTTGGCATCTCTGTCTTCTTGCATATCTATTTTCTTTACAGCCTCGTCACTGCTTTCGTGAGGTGGCAAGATTTACGGGAGACATCACGTCTTCTCCCGGATCCGGCCTCGGGAAGACGTATGGCTAACAAGTACCTTTGGATTCGCCTCGGGAAGGCATTCGTTGTGTTTGTTGTCTCTGTTTTCTGCCTCGTGGTGGGTTTGCCTGCCGCCGCTGCTGGCACAAGGAGGATTGACGCTACCAGTTTTATTTTGGCTAATGGACTTTGTGTTGGTGCGGCTTTCCTCCTCGTAGGCCTTGTCGCCCCCTTCACCCTGCTATGGTGCACGAGAAAGCGAAGTGCTGCAATTATTAACGCTTCGTGAGAAAACTGCAGATTCCCATCCAGTTTTATGGGTGAAAGTTGAATGGCTGGGAGGTGGCGTTGGAAAGATCGTCTTTGTCTGTTTTATTTCGGGTGCCATTGCTCATGTTTTATGCGCATTATTGCTGTATTATTATCTCCGATATACCCTATACAGGATGAACAAAAGGAAAGTGGGAGAGTTCTCTGTTTTGTCATTTGCTGTCCTCAGGATTTAGTGAATAAATCGCGCCAAAACTGCTTCATACCGTATCCCTTCGACTGATCTTCTTCGTAAACTTGTACGGTCTGTGCCGTGCCCAGTGACCCAAACCTGCTGGAAGGAACCGGTGGAACGACTGATGATGGACGCGCACGCTCTGTTGCTCGGCGTTTAATTTCCTCCGCCAGCTCAGGCGCTACCGCGGCATAGCATGCGTTGAGCTCTCGATCAAGATTGATATATGGTTTGTGGGCGGAGGCCGGAGCTTGGAGATTATATGTGCGTGCGAGAGAATTGATTTGTTTCACGGCGAGTTCGTGATAGGAACGCTCTATTGAGAGGTATCCAGGGTCTCGCAATGGTGGAAGATGGGCCAGATCTTCCGAATTTTCCTCGCTCTCATTCTTGATCGCAGGTGATACCTCCGACTTGGAGACTATCCGGCCATCAGTGTTGATCTCCGAGACAGACGTATCTTCTTCGAACGAAGCCTCCAACTTTGCTTTGTTTGCCAACCGAGTCTCGGCGGCAGCATAGGCTCTTGCTCGCTTCATCTGTGCATCCAAGGACCCACCCTTGCTCGCAATCAACATCGCAGCATGTCTCCGCCAGTCCGCTCGAAGACGTTCACGGAATCGACTGATTTCCATACCAAGCTGCTGTTGTTTCTCGATCCACGGTGGCACAATTTCCTGCTGCTTGATGATCTTATTCATAAAATATTCGGTTGTATCAATGAATGCGCTGCTCGCATTGTGGTCTGGTTTCGTATTTACGCCTTTCCCACGAGGTATACTTTTAAATTGTCCGCGCGCAATCGCATCTTGAATTCGTTCATCTGCCAGCGACGAAAGACCCGTAATCGAGATTGGCATTGAATGAGCCCCGGGCGTTAAGCCCTCCCTCATCTCGCGGCGCTTATGCTCGCGCTCCTCTTTGGAAAATCCAGGAGCCTTGCTCTGTGTGTAGGTAGAAGTGCGCTCTTTTGCTTCGGCAAGTCGTTCAGCGCGAGACTTTTTGGGCTTCGGGGCGGGTTTGAGGTTCACGGGATCGGGGATTTTGTAAGGCATTCGGATTGGTTTGCTCGCGTCATCTAGCATACGCAGAGTCGTGTCCTCCATGCGCTCTGTTCCTGTCCATGCGGGAGCGGCCGCTTGCTCTCGTGTGCCCTGCCCTGCGAAAGACTGCGATAAGGGAATGCGGGTCAGTGGTTGTTGGACAGTAGGACAGGATAAGGATCACATACGGGCATTTCGACTATAGAATGAGCAGCAGCATACTGGCTCCTGAATGAAGAAGCAGCAATGCGCTCTGCAAGCTCATTTTTCAGCTCTTCTGAGAACCCCGCCTGCTCGAAGTTGCGTTGCGCAGATCGTCCACCTTCTAGCAACGCATCTTCGGTCATCTGAGACAGGCGGCGTCCCATCGCAGTTTCTTTTTTCTCCTCTTTAGAACCATTTTTGTCATCCTTATCCTCCGTCTTAGCCGTAGACGAGGGTGGTGTTTGATTCAGGTGGCACGATGCGGAGAACCGCCTAGACGTGGGAGCTATCGGAGCTCTAAAGGTGCATGTTGAAGAAACACCACGGAACTGTGTTGACAAACCGTATCTCACGGACATATTCAATAATCTCGTATTGGATTTAATGAGCCTGCAGTATCGAAAAGAATGTACAGGACTTTTGTTAATAAGGTGGCAAGCCATCGAGGTAGACAAAACAGCCCCAGGGCCGACCAAGATTAGTCATCCACCTCCGCGGCGAGTCCCCGAAACTTCGGATTTTGTTTGTCGAAGATCCGTCGCCGGCGCCAGTCTACCATCGTTACTCCCGCACACGGTCGCTTCAAGGCATTGTGCCTCTTCTCGCTCCGATTTATACCTCTGTTGTCAGTTTTAGGAACCTAATAATTGCCCATCATGTCACCCAAAGGCTCCCTCTCTACCCGGCTCAACCCGATGCGTCTCAACACCATCAACCACCTCCGTGTTCGCCGGCCGAATCAGAATGAGCAGAACCCCTGCGTGGTTGTGATGTCTTCTATGCTTAGTATGTTTGCTCCTCTTCTGCGGCTATGTTGAGCCGTCAATCTCTCGTCGCCCAGGCTTTGCATCCCAGATGTCGAATACCTCGAATCTTGAAATCATGAGTGGATTACTGACAATATTGCGTTACAAACAGACTGCTGGGCTTCCGCTGGATATGGCGCAGAGGGCTGCTCTGCTCTCGAGGCTCAATTGCGGAAGTGCATGGATGCACCGGTACGTTATAATCCACCGTCGTTCTTTTCGTTTACTATCAACATCCTTCTAACGAGTTACCCCCGCGTATAGAAATCCAGGGAGCAGAAGAAGAACACCGTCAACTACCACCTCATGAGAATGTACCCCAAGGTTGTTGGCCCCCGGAAGAAGGATGGTGTTCTCGGTTAAAATGTTCTTTGCACGATTGGATTCTTCGCGATTGTCTGTCCGGACTTGGTAGCAGAAGCGAGTTGTCCACCAGGAGTTTTTGGGTTTCTTTTCGATATATCATTACGCGAATATTCCGGTCCTTATCAGAATGTGCTGATTTGGTCCGCCTATTTTGCATCAGAGGCTATGGGACTTGGCTTTTACTCATATGTACAATATACAACTATGTGGGATATGGAATCACCTGTCAGACCAATTGATTATACTATTATTTCATGCTGCGTTCAGTAATACCTGCGCATGTACACTGAATTTATTTCTTTTCAGGGGTCTTTTCAAATGTCTTTTTACAGGATTATGGAGAACGGCGAACTTGCCTCAATCAAATCCCCCACTCGAAGTTTTCAATTCTCTTCTTTACTATCCTTGCATATTCGTGCTAGTATAATTCCATCTATACACTGAACATCAAACCATGTCCGTGGCACTCGCCAAAGAGGCCGAATTTGGCCGCTTTCCTTTCGACCTCTTTGCTATAGTTTGTCGTCCACCCTCAGTTTAGCTCACCCGGAATTCTTTCTCTAACAGCCATTCAGGAAAAATGGGATAGGGAGGCCGAATCGACACTAGAAGAAAGGAAACGCCAGTGGGAAAAGTTAGCATGGGACTATCAACGTTTGACTCTGATTGAACGTTGGGTATATCTACCCCTCTCCGCCACTCATTCGGCCTCTGTATACAATGAGAAGAACTGACAAAAAAATCTTTGGTCCCATGTTTCTAGCCCTACTACAAGCAGACTTGGTCAGAAAATACGCCTGCTGCAAGCCAAGACGAAGCTGAGCGGATTCTTGGAAATAACCAAACCCCCGCCGAGCGTAATATGAGTCTCGGCTCCTGCCAAGGCGGCTTCAAGCGAGTCTGGTTACGGACATGCTATGATCCTACTATCGCAGAGAAGTAAGAGAAGATGAAGAAATCGGCCTGGGTGCCTGGAGTTCAAGCCCTAGAGGATCGGATCCTAGATGATGAATTACTCTATGCCTTCGAGGACGGTACTGAGGATTCATGGAGAAGGATACTAGTGCGTATGCCTGGTCTGACAGACTTCAAGGGGGTTGATGATTACAACGGGGATGATTCCGACATTCAGTATAGGAGCGGATTGAACGATGAGGAAATTTTGGCAGGTATCGATGAAGAGGAAGACGAGGACGTTAAGCTTCTCAGTAGGCTCGATTTGGAGGCACAGACGACAGTGTACCTGTTAGATCGGGAGGCCATTACTACTGGTATGATCAAGGTTATCTGGGTGAATGAAAACGGCCAGAGCGTGTGGGATAATGTTGTGAAACCAGGTACTCTAGGCGATCTCACCCTGGCTCAAGACTACTCCAATCTCGTGGAGATTGTTAATTATCAGGCAGTGCGAGGGGCATTGATCGTTAGATAGTCCTGAATCAGATTCTGGTAGTCGGTTTTGCATCCAAATAGGGGATTATGCCTTAATTCATCTCTTACTAGACAATAAAATCCTACGATATCGCTTTGAAGACTAGCCCTTTTTGTAGATATTTTTCCATGGCTCCTTCCTAATTCGGCTCCTAGCCTTCTCTACGCAGTCGGACGCACTGTGATGGATATGGAAAGTGCTGTCGAGTTCGCCCATAAAAGAACACCCGCCTGAGAAAAGATTATTCTTCCCAACTATCCTCAATGAATATCCTTTGGCCTTGCCCAACCCACATTCTTCTTAACAGCGCTTGTTGGAATTGCCTGAACATCGAGCAGCTTTGGCCTTTGGCTATTTTTCCCCTAGAGGAAAGTCCTATACACGGTGGTGAGTGAGTGAATACTGTTGTACCTTCTAGAGCTTTTCTAATTATGTCCCATGGCATCCAAAGCAGATGCCCTTCCATCACTCATTGAGATCCAACACACAACGCCGCACAGATTCCGCTTTGGGACACCTTTTGTGATGAAACCCAGAGCTTAAACAAACATCTATGCCCCGCGCTGGCCTTTATTAAGGGGCTCGGCTTTGGCTGTTATTTATCTGTGTTCTAGATGAGGTCCCTATCAGGCACAGCTACTACACACGGTGTATGGATACCGTGGTATCTAAAGCTTTGGGATTACGATTCTCTCCTCTGAAGCATACACATCAGACGGGCCATCCCGGGCCACAATGATACAGCCTATAATGTTGTGCGGACTCGGCTTTGGAACATTTTCCGCGGTAGCAACTATGAATCAAAGGTTGAGCGGCTCTCACATGGGACAAAATTGCCATAACAACCTCGACCTACTCCCGAACCTCACTCTACCAAAGGCACTGACTGGGAAGTACGTTCCAAATTCCTTAAAGAGGTTGTGTTGCCATCGATTCTATCACGCGCTTTACTCGGACAGAGGCAGACACACTGGGTACTGGGGCTCCTTCAGAGGCAGACAGGAGACCCTGGGTTCTCGTTGTTATTACTTTACCTGCAATCAGGAGTATTGAGAAGCAAGAACTCATTGTCTCGTTCTCCTTTCCCTCATTTATCTCTCATGCAATATTGATACTTTTTGATTGATCAAACTGGGTTTACTCTGAATTCGTACTGCTTGTAGCGATGGCTGCGCGTAAAATCTCCTCCCAAGGCATTTCAGACAGACTCAAACTTTAGTATCAGTTTATCGCCTGTCGGTTTCACGGTGTAAGCATCGATGGCTTCAATATTGTCATCGTTGACAATGCTAGTGCGGAAATTGGTGAAAATCGCAGCCACGGCCAGTTTCATTTCTGCCAGGTGGTAATTAGCATAATTCAATAATTGGGATTCTTCAATCCATATGTACCTTGCAGTGCGAGATTACTTCCCACACACATACGCCCTCCACTACCAAAAGCCCAGAACCACCGGCGTCTCTCTTCTAGATCAGCCGGCGGGTTTTCAGCTTCCAGCCAACGCTTTGGCTGCCATGTTTCTGGCTCTGGGAATACCTCCGGATTACGGTGAAGTGAATATGCTTGCGCATTTACTCTGGTGTTAGGTGGGATATCTGCATAGCCGGCCAGAGTGCATGACGGAGATGGCGTGACCCGAGGCTGGATGCCAGGGATGGGAGCATGAAGTCTCAGTGTCTCTGTCACGATCGCCTCCAGCAGGGGCAGATTATCAATTGACTTCGCTGGCGGTAGATCGGCTGTCTTTGGGTACGAAATCGGGGGTTCCAGTGTGAGAAGCTCCTCTCGGAGTTTGTCCTGCATTTCTGGGTTCCTGGACAGTTGCCAGAACAGATATGTGAGGCCAACAGCACTGGTTTCAAATCCGGCAGTCAGTTGATCGTACATCTCGCAGGCAATATCGAGTCGCTGTTGGGCCTTGTCTGGCTCTGCTTCTCCACTCTTTGCGGAATGCTTGTCCAGGGATTGTTTCAACTGCTTGTAGACAGTTGGCTCGATGCCTGGCTCGGTTGCTGAAATTATTTCCTCCGCCCTATCACAAAGGTCCAGAGCCCAAGAATCAAGCATTGCATTGGCTTCGTCGCAGTATTTTGGTATCACGCGAAGGCCAATCCGTCTCAGCCATCCATCCAAATATGGAACCTCCTGGGCATAGAACTCGAACGGCTTTCGGCACATGTATAGGTGAAGCCAGTGCTTACGGATCGAATCATCTTGCAGGTAATTAGTGCCATTCCGCAAACCGAATAGATAGGAGGAGACAAAGTCCATTGTCAGTCCCTGATTGAGATCATGCACATCGAGGGATTTGCCAGATATTGCTGCTTCTTGAAGAATCGGCATCAGTCGATCGAAAATGACTGTGTTTGAAACTATCTGCATATGAGGGGATGCTTGCAGAGTCGATTTGGAGTATATATTGGACAACATCCTTTTCCGAGTTGAATGCGTCTTGCTTCCTGTCATGGTAAACATGCTCACTGTTCTGTTTCTCATGGTGAGCTACTTTGCTTACTATGGATCAGTTCCATACTAACCCAAATGACGCAAAGACTCGCGGATACCAGTCATGCTTCTCAAATCCGCCAGCATAGACTGACTTGATTCCTCCTTCAACACAGTTGATTGAGATCTCTGATGGTCCTAACCTAACAATAGGACCGAGTTTCTCGTGTGCGGCCTGAATCGTTCGGTTGTTTCGGCTTGTGAATCGCCTCCATAGCATCCACACCGGCGAGATGGAAGCAGTCCAGTGCACATTGGGGATCTTTGAGAGTGGGGAGAGGAACGCTGGGTAAATGAATACTCGGAAGAAGATAAGACCAGCGGAAAATGCTACCGCCAAAGCAGTGATCGAATATGCCATCGTGAATTCTGGGAAGCTTGTTCGTCGTCCACTATGGTAGGTATCTAGTGGGGGATTATATGCTTCCACTAGGCTCACAGATGTTTTGTAGTTATCTGTGGATAAGAGGACCGAATACTGAGCCGGATCGAAAGGGATCTATCCCTCAAGAGCAGATATAAAGAAAACTGCTTGGGAACCCCTCCGAACGTCGGGGCTGCATACAACGGAGATTGCCGACACCGCTATGCAACTAGCTGTTAGGCCAGCCAACACCCATCCGTGTATTACAGGTGGTGCCGAGTGTATTCCCTAATCGCAAGATTAACCTATAGACCCCATACCATTCAATTTCCACTCACTCTGATTCGTTTTGCATTTGCCGAGGGCGAATAGTTAGGTAATGGAATTCTCCCGAAAGTTTCGCCAAGGGGACCTCGATATATACGCCTATAGGTAGATTCGATAGGGAAACTGTCTTGTCCAACGACCTACGACACTTGCATTACCGCTTTCCCCGCGAAAGCGATAAGGTGATAACGCGATAAGCAGACAAAATGGATTGCTTGCGGTATATGCCTTTAGATCCTCTTTCTGTGGGATTGAAACATATTATACATGCTATAGTCTTATTACTTCGTTCAAACCTATGAGATCTGCATATTTGCTTTTGGGCACCAAAAAAAGAGTACAGCCCTCTAGAGCTATCCAAGCGAGCCCATGTGCTTACGTCATAAGGCAACTGGTGCACACATGGGGCAATTTGTGTATGGAATTGCTGTCCAACATCATATTGAATGGATATATGAGCATCACGCGATCAACAATTGCGGGGCAGAATAGAGATTGAAGCTCCAATCCGTTTGTTGTTGAACAAATCAGGCTCTTTCTGCAGAATTTCCCTTTCTAGCACACTCAATGAACACCAAAACACACAAAAGTGGCGGAACCAAACAAAGAACGATGGCAATAGTCTAAAAGCCCAAAACAATTGTTCTTTCAACATCCCTGTCAATCAGGATTTCGCGTTCAAGATGCTGTCCGAGCTCCCATCAGAGATCATCTATCAAATCGCGACATATCTTCCAACTGCCAATGCATTGGCTCATTTGTCCCAGACGTGTTACCGACTGCACCGCATTATCACAGCTGAAAATTCTCGCATCTTCCGAGCTTTTGTGCGAAGCAGATTTCCATCCACCCAAACACCGCCATTTTGGAAAGATGCAGCACAAGCTTTGACCTCCAGGTCCCGGGCCTTGGACAGAAAAGCCATCATCGGACGATTTGCTGTCCCACCTCAAACTGCGACTAAAATCGGTTCTCACGAGGTGATTCGCCAAGACAACCCAACTCTCGGCTACAGACCCTCGATTGATTCTTACGAGATCTGGAATGGCCAGCGTTGGGCTGATAGGAAAGAGGTTCTTGCCTGGGGTGCTGCCAACTTGCTTGTGATGAGGATCAAGCAAACCGGTGCTCGTTCAAAAGAAGACTGGCTTGTGTTCAATGATGTTGATCACATTAGCAGCTATGATGATATTTGTTCTCTGCATCTTTTGTCCTCGGGGAATCGATACAGCGACGATACCGACATGGAGCATCTGATCTTTGGTCGAGTTCGAGGTGATATTGCTCATCTCGCCATATCCCCCAATGAAGGAACCTTTGAATACAAGCAGAAGTTCGTCACAAACGGACTCAGACTTGATAAAACAGATTTGAGCAGTGATACAGACCCTACTTTGGCTGCGCATTTTGACAATGGATACATCGCTTTCTACCATACCGAGACCGACAAAGAAGAAATCCAGCCATTCACATGGCTTCGACCGGAAGGCTCGTCACGAACCAACTACTCCAAACTGCTATCCTCATCACTAGTGGCAGTGGGAACTGGAAATGTGGAAAATTCCCTGTCTATCTCGAAAATCACACCAGATGGCATCTCTGCATATCGAAATATCGGAATCGGCCCTTTAGACACCGATCCTGCAAGCTTCAAATCAAAGGCCAATATCAGTGCCATTGAACCTCTCAACAACCACGCCATTTCAGGCTCCCCCGGCGAAGTCTTTCTAGCCGCCTGGGACGACTACGCCATCAGGCTCCACGACCTGCGCTCCCCACGGCTCTATGAAGTCTCCTACAGAGATATCACGGACCTCAACCCCATCTACAGCCTCCACGCCTTCGGCCACGAGCGCTTCCTAGCTGGAGCTGGCGGCGAAGCCTTGGTCAAGATCTTCGACCTGCGCATGTGCAACACATACGATTACCTCGATGCGCAGATACCCGCCTCGCAATGGCAGGGCACACAAACCACAACAAATACCGAAGCCAACATCACACCCAGAACAGCAGCAAACTCCCGCCCTTGGCAGGGCTTTTCGATGTTCCTCTCCCATCAACCACCCCTTACATTCCCCCAACAAACTCAAGCCCCAGTCCGCACCCGCCGAAGAGGTCCCTACCGCGGCCCTATCTACACAATGTCCTCGCCGTCGCCCTCCTCGCCAACCGTCTACACAGGCGTCGTGGACGGGGTCGTCCAGCTCGACTTCGCGTCCACGGACGACCTAACCGGTCCACAGAAAGAGTGGTACGAAACTAACTTGGACCTGGGCGTGAACATAGGTCCTGAGGTTTCACCACGCTGGAACTCTGAACCGTTCAATTTGGCTGGATATGAGCGCCCAGATGAAGATGACTTCGTTACTGTTTGTAAGCTGAGGAATCAACGCGCCTTTCGGGATCTTGAGCCTAGGGATGTGGCTGAGACACACACGGGTTGGGATTGTCGATGGAAGGATTTGGATGAGTCTAGGAGTTGGAGGAGGCGGGATAGGTAGGTTCTGAATTTTGAATTCTCTTCATTTGTACACTGCTTGTGACAAAGATTGAGCGAGCAGAAGGAGTTTTCGTTGGTAGGCTAGTGTTCGGCCTCTGTACTACTTGATGGAGGATTGAAAATACTTGAGAACCCTGTCAAGGGTCCCAATTTTTTGATTGATGTAAGCTAATGAGCAAAAAAATTCTAACTCTGACAAACCTCGGGTCCAACGACCTTGTCCATTGCTCCATGTACGCCTTGCTGAGTGAAATTGGTAAAGTATGATGCGGGATATGAGAGCCTTATATCCATATTCATCCATTGCAGCGAACCTGAGTTGCACTGCAAAGATTGCAGCAACAAAAAGATAGCGATTCTCCCTTCAGCAAAGCGACATCCAAGACAAAAAGCCCAGTCTCGGGGGTGCTTTGTGGGTTTGGTGGGCAAATTCTCTGATTAGACGCTGACGATGGCCTGGTATTATGGACTAGCAAATACGTTTATGTCGCAGAAGCAAGAGTCGTTTAATCCTCGAACTTGAAAGAGGTGGTGCCGGGGGCAATGTCGATGGGACCGCCGCGGTAAGAGCCACGCTTCTTCTTGTTCTTTTCCTTGGTGAATCCCTTTCCGCGAGTCACAGACAGGTCCTTCCAGGCGCGGTCTGCGTAGGCGTACGACATGTAGTCGTTGGAGGGGTGGTTGTGGGGCAACTCACTCAGGAGGGCGAGAGGGGTGGGACGAGCTCCGGTGTGCTTCTTCTTGACAGGTCCATTTCCAGGAGCGGGACTGGCGCTAGAGGAGGTGGTTTGCACGGCCTCTACGGCCTTCTCGACAGGCTTGGTCTCGGTCTCCGGGGAAGGGGGAACGGTGTTGCTTCCGGATGATGAAGATTCCGAGTCGGAAGATGAGTCGGACTCAGGGAGAGGAGTCTTCTTTGCGACCTTCAGGGCCTTCTTGGATTCCTTCTCAGACTCGGACTCAGACTCGGAAGAAGAGTCGGAGGAAGAGGAAGAATCAGAAGAGGAGTCGGAAGAAGAGTCAGAAGAAGAATCAGAGGAGGAATCAGACGAAGAATCGGATGAAGAAGAGCTCGACGAGGAATCGGAGTCAGAGCTGGAAGAATCCGAAGAAGAGGACGAAGAGTCGGATGAGGAGGAAGAGGAGGAAGCCTCCTTGGGGGTGGGAGCGGTCTTGGCTTTCTTGGCCTTAGGGCTGTCATCTTCGGAGGAAGAGGAGGAGTCAGAGTCGGAAGAGCTGCTAGACTCGCTGCTAGACTCAGCCTTGCGCTTCACACCGGCAGACTTCTGAACCGGAGCGGGGGCCGCAGGAGACTTATCATCATCTTCATCATCCGCATCGCTGTCGGAGCTGGAAGAGGAAGACGAAGAGGACGGAGAGGACGAGCGAGTGGCCTCGCCCATCTCAACATCCGAGTCGTTATCGGAGCTGCTGGGGCTAACAGCCTTCTTCACACTAGATCCCTGCTCCGAGGCTTGGAAGAGTTCCAAGAGAGAGGGCACATTCTTCGCATCGCTTTTCTTGCCCGACTTTGCCGCTTCCTTGGTGAAAGCGGTGCTGGTCTCGGGGAAGTTGTCCGACAAGAAAGCCGCGACCGAAGCGATCAGCTGAGGGGGGATAGACTTGGGGATTTTAGACTCAGTCTGTGAAATTGGGGCATTGTTAGTTTAGTCTTCACTTTAAATCATGCCAATCGACATGTCAAAGCGAAATTAAAGGACGCACCTTCTTGACCGAAGTCTTCTTGCTGGAAACCTTTGCCATAGTGACTGTATGGTTCGCGTTTCAACGATAGCGAAAGGAAGAGAACCCGGGGCGAGGAGACACTATTTAGAAATAATCTGCCAGGAACCAAATGAAGAAAGGGAAAAAAAAAAAAGTATATAAAAGGCGGTAGGCTGTAAGCTTCACGGTGATTGGCGAAGCTTGATGAGCGTTGATCCGTGGAGGTAGACGGTTATTGGCGGGTGGTTATTTCGGCACTATCAACCACCATCCCTTTTATTGGTCAATTCCTTCTCACCGCCCTCATGCTTATAGTACTTTGTACGTACCGCTTTCGACCTACTCCATATCCTGAGTGTTTTGTTATTTTATCTTGAGCAAAACATCTCAATTGAAGTCTTTTTGGTGGTCTCTTCAGGAGTCTTTTTGTTTGTCTTTATAGATGTCTTTTTTTTTAGATATCTGTTTTTTTAGATATTTTCTTCTCCTCAGTTTCATAACTTGACGGCAGAAAAAGGCAAAAAAGGATAAACTGTGCAAACAGCTTTTTTAGGTACAATCTTTGACTTGTGCTTCTCTATTGAAATGCAGATGGCATTCACTTGTTTCTGGGGTTGACTACATATATTTATCCATATATATTTACCCGAAAGCCAGAGATCTCTGACGATCTCGAAACTCTATACAAAGGCCTAGTCACAGTCCAGTCATACTGTATTTCTTAGCCAGTTCTGCAATTTCTCCAGAGCTTTAGACCTCTCAGAAACCATGTTCTGTTTGTTTCAATTAGAGGCTAGTGGATTGACATGATGCTCGTTTGAATTAACTCACCTTGTGTGTAATACTCATTTCTGCATAGGTCTGGCCATCAACTTCAAATATGGGGTCAAAGCCTGAAGAAATATTAGGCATGGTCTCTCGAGAAAACTACAATGGGCGGTTTGAAAACATACCAAACCCACCTTCTCCCCTTTTGGGAACGATCTTGCCTTGAGTGCGTCCCTGAAAAAGGAGAGGCTCGGATCCTGGACCGGCGGAGAAGGCGAATGTACACACAGCCGTGGCTACTTTGTCGTCATAAGCTGCGAGTAGTTTGTGCAAACCATCATTTCCTAGAGCAGAATAGAAGCACTTTCTAGGAAGTATTAAAGAGGATAAATAGCAACAATTGATACGGACATACATATATGGCCCTGGTAACCCTTTGAGTGCCCTAAATTCAAGGGCACTATCCTCTGTCAAGACAGGGCCGTTGACCTGTAGAAACAAACATTTATATTTAGCCTGGTGATGCTATGATAGCAGGGAGGATTTCAGACTGGCATACTGCTAAAGCTGCTTTTTGACACTTGTCTCGCGCAATTTCTTCAAGAGAACCCTGAATTTCGAGAATTTCGATGTTTTGATTTGAGAGCTGCACCACATCACCCAGAATTGCCCTAGTTTCAGCAAGCTTGTTCTTATTCCCAGTTATGAAATTGATCATATTTGGATTGGTGGAGGACATGACGGACTAGAGAAAGAAAACGCGGCTCATAGGATATAGTATAGTTAGTCAAGGTATTGCAGGGAGTACATTCACAGTGTCCACTCTGCATGTGATAGACCCGAAAGCCTTGAGTCAACTCCGTACAGGCTCCAGGACTGGAGCCTGGAAGGCTGCCCCCCTTGGCCCCGGGGCCCAGCCATGGGATGACTAATTTTATGCTGGCAAACAAAAAGCCAATAGGATCAAAGTCATGGATAGTGGGTATGCACTGTGATGGTATACCTCAGTATGTTAGTAAACCCAAGCAAGTATGATAGTATCTCTATGGAGATACGCCATGAAAAACATTTCAATTGATGTCGGACATTCCGCACGTTCGTTTACAGCGTTTGAGCAACCCCCGGATCAATTCGATACTCCGCTCCAAGCTCTCCGCCTTCCGCCGCCCGAGACACCTTGATGAGCTAATTCGAACTTCAGCCCGCGCTGGTCACTTGTATTACTTTGGGCCACAACTTGTACTGCTTTGTACCTCGTCATATTGTGCTGGATTAACCGAATTGCCGCTCAACGGATTTCAATTCCTTCGGCGCGTGGTGCGTAGTGGCGTCGCCGATCCCAACCTCCCCGACCATGTGCCCTTGATCTCGCGGCTACCTACACGTGAGCTCTGTGTCCCTTGATACCACGATGAATGGCAGAGATCGTCCCCGCGGGCCTCCCCCAGGGCCGCCAGGGCCCGCGCCAAATCGCGGAGATTTGCAGTCTGATTCGGGCTCGAGCCCAAGCACCATGACAAGAGGAGCCGCCTTTGAAGACGAGAAGAAGCGGATCATTCATAGTTGTTTCGCAAAAAAGGATGAAGATGGTCTCCGTACGTACATAATCAACGTACTTCCTCAGCTTTGCCCTCCCACCCAAGTTCAGTCAATAGTGATGTGATTGGCAACACATTGCGAAAGTGACGTACACAGCCTAAAATCGCAACGTGTTTGCTTCGTCGAAATTACATTCTACCCGCAATCCCTGCTAATCCGTCTTGTTGCTCCCAGTACTCGAATCCTATATCACCCACGTTCGCATCACCGAGGATGCAGTGCACCCGTCCAGCCCTTCCCCGCCAAACGGGCCACCTGAGAACAAGAAACCCCGTATCATTATCATATCAGTTCGAAAGTCGGGTAGAGTCCGCATACACAAAGCTCGAGAGAACAATGAGGGGACTTACTCTATCGGCAAAACCTGGATGCTCGACGACTTGACCGCAATTCAATCATTTGCCTCTTTTGTGCCGAAAACACCAGGAGAGCAGCAACAAAAAGAATGGGCGGGCAACGTAGGATTCACAGTCACAATTGGAAAGCCATACTACTGGCATGCCAGGACTTCGAAGGAAAAGGAGTTCTTTATTGGGAGTCTGGTCAAGATCTACAGGAAATACACCAATGGAAAAATCCCCAACCTCATCGGTTTCGATGATAGGGAGCGACAAATGCTGGCAAGGCATGGACAACCGCCACAACCAGGACAGCCAGGCCAACCAGGACAGCCGCCACAGTCAGCACAGCTTGCACAACCAGGTGGTCCTCCAAATGGTCCACCGCCCAGGGGACCCGGTCCAATGCCTTCAACATCGGACAGCTCGGTGCCTCCTTCGCTACAACCGTCCTATAGAGGTCGTGATCCCAGTCGCGATGGGCCTCGGGAAGTCAAAAGGAGGCCTTCCGAAGACCCCACCCTTCGCGCTCAAAAGAGCCGTGAGCAGATGTCTCGGCCATCTACTGGTTCTCGGCCATCTACAGGACAAGGCAGACCGGCACCATCTCCATTTGATCTACATAAATCTCCTCCTCCGTCACTCCTTTCTGGGCCGCCTCTGGACCAGCAACTGCCGCCACGCGCACCCGAGCGTATCGCAGCAAACGCAAAACCCCCGACTTCACTATCAGAGTCGAGGGGAACAGATAATCTGACTGCTACTGCTGCACAACCCAGCTATGCCGATATTCCAGAGTCACTCCGCCCATCTTCTGCTCGCAGCCAGGATCGTGGGCCCAAACCCCCACCTCTTGCTACCCAACCAACCCCAAACAAGACACCAGAATTCATGCGCAGCAATGATGCACTTCGTCCTCCCACTTCTAGTTCTTTCAATAACGAGAGCGGGGACACATCCCCACGTCCCGCGCCCAGCTTTGGGCCAAAGTCGCCCCAGCGTGGTCGCGGCGAGAAGGTATTCACGTTTAATCAGCCCTCTATGCCTCAAGAGAAAAGTGCATCAGATAGCTTGTTGGCTGGACCTTCCGCACATCCCCGGGAACCGTCTTCGTCGCCAGCAATTGAGGGACTGGCTGCAGAGCCTGCTGCTATGATGGCTGCGGGTCTACCCTCAGCAGAGCCTATTCAGCCTTCTATGGAAAAGCCCAAAACCCCTGTCGAAACCGTTCCTGCTGTGGATTCACCATCTCAAGCTTCCCCAGAGCAGGAGGAAGAAACCAGCGAACTCGAGCCACATCGCCCAGGGCTCGGCCCTATGGTCAAGAAAAAGGAAGGCAAAGATGTTGCAGGCGCCTGGAAAAAGGCTGCAAATGCTTATGGTACTTTCAAGCCCAGGGCTGGTGGGGCTGGTGAGCGACTGCTGGCAGCCGCGAAGAAGTCACAGATTGATGCTACGGGCCCTGACGGCATTACCAGTGTCGTTCCGGCGCCATCCCTTACCCGGTCGGCCACTGATCCCCCACCGAGTCCAGTGGCAACAAGGTCAGAACAAGATCTACAAGTCCCCGCACCCGCACAAATCCCTGCGCCTGCTGCAGGGCCGGAGACACCGATTGTCGAGATCACAAAGCCGGCTCCTGAGGAAATCCCGGTGGCCCGTGTGCAAACCCCTGAGATCTCTCAGGAGAACCTCTCTGATATTATTGTAAAGGTTGAAGATCGTTCAAGATCACCATCCCCGGCATCTCAAGGACGTCGTCGTAGACGCCGTGAAGACCACACTATGAAATATTGCCAAGCCCTTGGAATCGATCCCAGCATTCTCGATGGACGTGGTATTGATTTTGATGACATCCTCACTGATCTAGGTTGGAACGGACGGTTGGCCGATGAACAGAAGATTGAGGATTTGGAAGCAGATGTTCGCCGTGAGATTGGCCGTGTCGAAGCCACCAGCTGGCTTGGCAACCTTGAACAGCAGGAAGGAAAGGTGGAACAACTTGCGAGCTTGATCGATAGAACGATTGAAGAGTGCGATGAACTGGATGGTCTATTGACCCTTTACTCTCATGAATTGAACGTAAGTTTCGGGATTACAGAGTCGGGATTGATCTTCAGCCTGCTAACGAGACTACACAACAGACTCTTCACGAGGATGTAGCCTATATTGAAGCTCAAGGTCAAGGTCTGCAGGTACAAGCAGCGAATCAGAAGCTCCTTCAAAACGAACTACAGACCCTTTTGAAAACACTCTCAATATCTTCATCTGAGCTGGGACCCCTCAAGGAGGCCTCTTTGAGTAATCCCGATGGTTTGAAGGATACTGAAGGCGCTCTATCGACGTTGTACAAGGCCATGCTTACGATCGACTCTGACATTGGACAAAACAAGAAACGTCAAGTCGATGCCAGTGTCGGTGTCTATGCTGATACAGAAATTGGCCAGATGCGTGCGATAAAGCAAAAGAAGGAAGAGTATCGCTCTACTGCAACCATGTTCCTCGACCGACTACAACAGTTCATGGCCCTTGCCTTCAAAATGGCAGAACAACAACGAGTTGATTCGACCAACGGTGCCAAAGATTCGATGAAATTGGACAGTGCCGCACGAGCGCACTTCCGTCAAGAGGTTTGGCGGTATAATGCCCTGATGCTATTTGCTAAGGAGGTTAGCATGGCAGAGTGGAATAGGCTTGTTGGTCTCTATGAGCAGCAGTCTAAGACTTCGTACCAGAACGACTTCCGCGACAATAATCTGGCTTGGAAGAAGACCGCGCGCAAACCAACGGGAGATGAGCAGGAACTCCTCTTCACACACCAAGAGAAAGAGAAAGAGGCCGAGGGTCTTACCATGGCTGCAAGGAAACTGACAGTACGACGAGGCAAGACGGTGCGGGCTGCCGCTGGGCTTCGACTGGCTTCGGGCAGTGGGAAGAAGCAAGGAAGGGCTGAGCCATCTGAGGTATTTGCTGGGACTCTACGAGAGACACTGAACATGATGGCTCAGGAGCAAAACTTCATTATCCAATTCTTCCATCTCAATTCTCTTGCTAGCGCCGACTTTTCCGACTTGGTGGCTGCAACCATTCCAGAAAACCGCTCTTGTCCCAACTTTTCTGCCAACCAGCCACATGATCCTGATCGTAGAATGGCAAAGAGAGTCGAGCAAATCATGGATGACATTTACTCATTCTGGCCAAATGACATGCAGAGCATAGTGGACTGGGCGATGCAGGCTGATCCTCTTCAGGGAATTGGTATTATCTATGCCTTGGAGACTGCCATGAATGACTTTGATGACACGAATCAAGAGTTCATTCTTCATGCACTGCAGAAAATTCATTCCCGCTTGATGGGACTCTTCAACCGATTTGTAGATGAGCAAATCCGAGGCATTGAGGACACCAAAGTCAAGGTGAACAAGCGGAAAGGAGTAATTTCCTTCATGCGGGTGTTCCCCAACTTCTCCAATGCGGTGGAAAGCATGCTGTCATCCCCGTCCAACGCCTTCTGTGACATTCGGGTTAGCGTCAATGACGCGTACGACCGCATCAATCGTGCGATGTGGGAGTCACTCAAATTCATTGCCAAGGAAGCACCCGGCCAACCTCCGGGTGTCACTGCGGGTGCGGGCGATCCGGAAGACAAAGAGATTCTGAACTACCACATCCTCCTCATTGAGAACATGAACCACTACATCGAGGAAGTGGATGTGCACAACATCCCAGCACTTGAACGTTGGACCGATCGGGCCCACCAAGACTTCCAGGAGCACATGAAGCTCTACCTTGACGCGGTCATTCACCGCCCACTGGGCAAACTAATTGATTTCGTGCAGTCAATTGACAACCTCCTCGCGGCGGGCGGTAACCCAACCGACATCGCAGCCCGCGCCAGTCACTCCCGCATTATGGCGAAGAAGGTTCTCACCTCCTACGATAACAAGGAAATCCGTCGTGGTATCGAAATGCTCAAAAAGCGTGTTGAGAAGCACTTCGGTGATGCCGATGACCCTGGTCTTAGCCGCAGTCTCGTTGTCAAGGTGCTCCGGGAGTGTGAGAACCGTTACGAGAACACTTATGATCGCACGCGGCTGATTATTGAAGACGTCTACGAGGGTCAATTGGATATGGACTGGCGCAAGGAAGAGACCCTTAGCATGTTCCGGAAATGAGATATATCAATGTTTGTATTGAAACTTAATCTATTCCCCGTTGTTTTGGTCTTGGTTTCTAGCTTCTCTTGTAAGATCAATAGGTTCTCTGCTTTCTCATGTACATCCACCTGGGCATCCTGTATACATGTAGATTATGAGCAACCCTTATGGCAGCCCCTTGAACGGGGTTAGGTAAAAGTCAATGTAGCCATTGGCTTCAGAAGATAAATAACTCCAACCTACTTGCAATACCACTCTTGAGTCCTGAGTCAAGTTCTTCCTTTCTTTTCGTGCTCATGGAAGTCAAATTCGAAGGCCAAAGCGAAAATTTCGAGCACTGACTTCTTCTCCTCGTTGTGGGCGTTGTTAGGATTCTGGCTTCTGTCTCCTACGTCAAGATCTGAGAAAAAAGATCAGAATTCTCTCTTTATACTGGACTATAATAAAATCCTTATTTATTAATAATTTTAGAATCGCTATATAGACGGCCGTCAGACAAAAGCAACGAGAAGCGTGGACACCAACTTCGCATTCCACTATTTATGCATGAGACGAGATGCAGGTCAGCTATTACTACGGTATATCTAAAGCTTCTTTAATCTCATTCTATCCCTTGAAGTATACGGAGCACACAGCCAACTACTATTTGAGATGTCAAACCCGTGGACGTCCCTAACTGCTAGTGATCAGCCACCCTGAAGACAGAACCCGTCGAAAATGAGATGCTATTCTTGAAACTTGATTGTATGTTTTGTTTTTTTGTCTACTCCTTATGTGTTGTCTTATAGGATGTAAGATATTCCATCTTCTTATTGGCCATAATGACCCACCGGTTCGGGAATTCATATCGTTTCAGGGGTATGGGTATACACTATGTTCGTGCCTAGGAACTATGTACTACTTTTAAGGAGTACTATGCTGTAAAAGGATGTATCACATTATAGACGTTGACTGTTTCAGAATTGGGGATAAATCGCATTTGTCAATTATTGTTTGACAGGCAGTTAGGAGATGTAATCTTAAAATGTCCTTAAATATGTAGCTAATATGAGGTAAGGCAGTTATCCTCCGAGGTCCAACTTTGGGCTAAGAGATGGGTGTGGGGGGTGATCTTCGATCGATTTTAATCTTCTTCCTTTAGAGGTCTCTCTTGACAAATTCTCCTTCCTGTTTCTTTTTTTAAAACTTGTGTGTGTTTTTTTTTTTTAAATACGGTGAGCGTCTTCCCCACGCCTCTAAATTGTGGTCTCCACCAAAATGTCGTTCAAGGGGGGCACGGATAATCAATTGCAACACTCGAGACCCCATTCGTGTCTTCTGTGTTATGAGAACTTCAATCTCTCTATCTTTTCTTTCCTCGCTTTCCGACAGAGCGACAAATTCTTTGGTCCCGCTTATACCTCTTCTAATCATGTCTCTTTAGATCGTTACTTGTCGCATAGCATTCTTCAAATTCCCACATTCCTCTCATTACTCCCCCGGGCCCTGAATCGGATCTCCCACTACATGTGGCCTTCGATTGACCGAAACGAACATTCCTCGAACTGATCTACACCCCCCGAAAATCCATTCCCGCAAACCTTGCGATCGGAGACCCATTTGCGGGGACTGGCACGCCTCAAATCCAGTGTCTCGAGCTCGAATCGCGTCGAGCGATTCACAACAGAGCTATGCCCTGGCGGCCGCTGCCTCGTATCGCCTTTGCTGTGGCCATATACCCTTTCAACCCGTCTTCCCCGGCGGATCTACCATTGGAGCTTGGCGATGAGCTCTACATAATTGAACAAGGAGGGACCGACGGTGAGTGGTGCCGAGGCTATTTGGTCGCGCCGCCCTCATTGCTAGCTGGCTTGACAAGCACCAAAGGCCAGACCCTCGAAGCTCGCGTGTTCTCAGGTATCTTCCCGCGGAACTGCGTTGAGATTAGAGAGGTGCTAGGCGACGGCGATGGATATAAGGCACTACTAAATGCTGATCGGGGAAGCATCGATCGACTGACATTGCCCGGCTGGGATGGAGACTTGATGTCCAGAAATAGTCTCACTTACTCCGCCAATGACTTCCAGGCTGTTGGCGAAGTGTCGGACGTTGTCTTTGCGAGAAAGGGGAAGCCTTCCCAGATTGTTATTCACAAGACCGATGGATCAAACCAGGCAAGTCCACAATGGCGATCGGGCTCCATCCCGCATACGCCTGTCTCCTTTGCTCCTCGCGACCCCGATGCGCCCAAACCTGCTGCCCCGGTCCCGATGCTTAAGATCGGTGATGAAACTCCGACTTCTCTCACCGAGCCGCTAGTCGACGAGATCGCATCGTGTCTGCGCGAATGGCATTCGACGAATTTGCATGAACTGCTTCTGGCACGCCGGTATGATGTGTTGGAGGAAATGTCGAACATTGTACAAGAGCTGGACTTTGCGAGACGACAATTACTCCACAATGTTCTGACTGGAAAGGAGAAGGAGGCATTGCGGGACGAGACAGTCTGGAAACTTGTCAAGGCAAACAAAATGCTCAGCGGGGACGTCATTGTTCGCGATCCGGAACAGAGAGGCCGTTTGCTAACGGGTGACGACTCCGCTATCCAATTGGCAAAGCTGCAGTCCGAGATGAGTATGCTCGACTCCAGTCCCACCCAAACATCCGATGCTACAGCACTTCACCATTTGCTGCTGGAAATCAATGCGGTGTCAGGGAATGCGCCGGGACAACTGACCATTGGAATTCAACTGTTTTCACGATCAGATGCCGGTGCACTCAGTCCATTATCTGAGACCTTTAGCTTAGATATTCCGTCTCCTGATAAGTTCATCAACATGAGCCAAAGCAGCAAACTGAAGACACTGTTCACCGAGCTGGCCGCAACAGATATCGGAGATGGGTCCGCGAATGGGCGGCAGCTCTATCTAGTTGCTTGGGTTCGTGCCCCAGAGACGCGATCCACGGCTGATACCACTCCTGTGTCGAGGCCATCAATCTCACGAGACAGCCCGATCTCACCCAAGGCCACGACAAATGGAGGCATTCAACCCTCCGTCAAGGGCAGTTTGAGGACGCGACGCAGCATGATGTGGACGGCCAAGCCACGCGGACCGAGCCTCGATCAACAATCTAAGCCCACTACCCAAGGGATTCCACGATCATCGAGCAGTGCATCCAGCGTCAAAGAGCCAAGCACCCCTCAACCCGCCCCAACGAAGGAGGTCTCGGCGATCCGCACCGTTGGCGTTGGGATCTTGGAGATCTCGCCGATCCTCCGACAGGATAAGGACGCTGAGCAGGTGATCAATATTTGGTCGCCCCGTCGAGACGGGGAAGATGGTGAGGGGCTGACGGATGGCTTTGACAAGTTGATCCGCGCCTTGCTTCCTAGTCCCACCGGCCGGTATGTGCGTGCCGATCCCGCGGCCCGTTTGCACCTCCATCTACGCCCCTTTGTCAGTAGTGACTCCGAGTTCCTGATCCGTCAGAACCCTACCATACTGCACGATGTCGTACAGACACAGCGTATTGGATTCTCCAAGGCTCCTACGAAGCCAAGATCCGATATTTACGTGACGCTCTCTCAGGCCGTGTTCCCCACGGATGCTCTCCTGTCTCATCCTCAGGCTGGTCAAATTCCTCTACAGGCGACCACCGGACTCCACAATCTTCAACTCACTCTCGAAGTGCGTGATGCTAAAGGAGCACGGATAGACAAATGTGTCTTCCCTTCGTCATCCAATACCTCGAACACAGCATGGCGCACTACAGTCGCCCAGCGAGGCACGCCTTGGAACCAGACAATTCGCCTCAAGATTCCCACGGAACAAATCCCTGGTTCGCACATGGTGATGAGTGTTGCAGATGCACCAGAATTCCCCTTCGCTCTTGCCTGGATGCCCCTTTGGGACCAGCAAGCTTTCATTAGAGATGGACGTCATTCTCTGCTGTTGCATGCTTATGACAAGCAGACATCTAGCATTGAGAATGGAAAGGGTGCTTATCTGAACCTCCCATGGAGTGCACTCGGCAAGAATGAATCCGCCAAAGATGAAGCTGTGACGGGTCCATTGGCCACTTTACTCCTTGAAACCCATCTCTGCAGCACAGAGTACTCCCAGGACCAAGTCATTCTAAGTCTTCTGAACTGGCGAGAGCGACCAGTGGGCGAGGTCTTGGATACATTGAAGCGTTTACTCTTTGTTCCGGAGATCGAGATTGTCAAACAGCTCAGTGGTGTCTTTGATGCGCTGTTCGGAATCCTGGTCGATAATGCTGGTAATGAAGAATACGAGAACTTGATTTTCAACAACCTGGTCACCGTTCTGGGAATTGTTCATGATCGACGATACAACCTAGGCCCGCTGGTCGACCGCTACGCCGATGAGCAGTTCAATTTCCCATTCGTCACCCCATGTCTTATTCGAAGCTACTTACGTCTCTTGCACGCGGCGACGGACAGTACACAGTCTCGCAGTCTCCGCGCTGCCTTCAAGGTGGGACGCCATCTATTGAAGTTCATCATCAAGGCTCGTGAGCAGCAAAAGGCCAAGGAGGAAGGCATTGGAATCACCACAGTCCAATCCACCTTCAACAGAGACATGCATACCATTTTCAAGGCTCTGGAGACTTTGATGAAAAACTCCTCGCCGGCTTTGGTGGGTAGCAAAACACTGGTTGTTCAACATTTCCACACGTGGCTCCCTGAGCTCTCCAGCGTCTTGAACAAAGATGAAATGATTATGATCGCTCTGAGTTTCATGGATTCATGCAAGGATGTCACCGGCATGTTGATACTCTACAAGCTGGTTCTCATCCAGAACTATACCCTATTTGACGTTTTCAACTCTGGCGAGGAGAGACAAACCTTGATCTCCAGCTGTATTGGCTGGCTGGCTCCATACTGGGGTTCCACCTCGGGCGTCTCGGATTTGTATCGTGATCAGGTGCGACTGAGCAGCTCAATCGTGGCTCAATTGCTCAGCCAGCCAGATCGTCTGATTTATGGATTCATGCCTAGCATCGTTGCCTCTTAC